TTCAATAATTGTGATTAAAGGTATTAATTAATTTTTCACAAAAAGGCCGGCCATGTGCACGTTTATGCCACTCGGCCATTTTACTGAATTTAGTTAGTCATAAACTATTCCCTTGACCAGACGCGTTAAACAAGCAGTAGACGCGTCGTAGAATAAACATTTTAAAATTATTTTCCTATTAAGTAGCTAATAATTAATTAAGTTCAAGCAGCAGCCTCTAGACACTTACTTCCAAAAATATTAGTTTGGACTCAGAAAGCTACAAAGTTGATAACTGAGAAACATAGAATATATACACTAATGTGGATATATCAATATTATCTACGATATTAACAATTTTTAAACTGAAGAATTCAGTACTATGAATATGGCAAATGCATAAGGTTAGGTTTCATCTAAATTCACGCAAAATTTGTTTCTTGTTTGTTCCACGAACAAAATTTGAATACAGAATTGCCACGCTACATGGATGTAAGCGCCATAATTACAAACAGTATTTTTTTTTTCGTAATTCGTTGTCGTTTTCATATACCATAACTAATAACTATCAAAGCAGTTTGTATTTGGTGATCTAATTTTTTTTGTTTTTTATTTACTAATTATGACTTATTATTACAATTTTAAATCACTGTTCAACCATTAGTTTAATGCATTTAATTGTTCCGCGTATTATATATGTATTTTTCCTGTATCATTTTGTTCGTTTCTATATATTCAAAGCCTATACATTGGTGAATATACTACTATATACAACATAAATGGATCATCGTGATTACGAATTTCAGTCGTATTAATAATGATAATATTAATACGTCACTGTCAATTGTGTGAATGAAAAAGACACATTGGTATAATTTCTCAAAACAACACCTGCATGGTTTGATTTGATCCATAGATTCTTGATTTGCTTTTTAGGGCCACTATAATTTCGATCTTTGACCCCCTAAAAATATAGTTAACTACATAATCAACACATCCTATATAAAATGGTTGAATATATATATATATCTACACGTAAATCGAATACAGTGCATATACAAATATATGCAATAAATGCTTATATATTGGTAATTCAAAATAAATAACTTTGTTTTGTAATGGCTAGGATATATGTTAAGTATAAATTTGATCTTATCTAGGGAAAAGGAAATCTCCGAACAAGATTAGAAATTACTCTTATGTATAAATACTTGTTACTATGTGAATAATAAACCAAGCCTTTCTATTCTATTTCATTTTGTAAAATAAAACAGTGTAATTTAGCTACCTTAAACTAGAACTAGATCATCACCCGTACTACAGTACGGGTTGAATTTCATTTATTACAAAATTTATATATTATATAGTTATAGAATAAAATCGTGATATATTATAATAGTAAGTAAAAAAATATTAATTTTTTATGTCAGTCCATATATATAATATTAGAATGAATATATTTTTATTTTTCTGTAATCCTCAATTATGGATATATTTTTTAAAGATATGAAAACGGAAAATAATATTATTTTCAAAAAAAATAATATTGTTTGAACAATGAATTAATTTATGTTAACAACCACAAAATGAGAGTGCATATAATTTAGTTAGATCAAAAATCAAAATATCATAAATGAATCGCATCTAAAACGTAAATTATTTTGAATTAGTTAAAAAAAGTAAGCTATTATTTTGAATTAATTTAAGAATTTTTTTTTTCAAAATCTAATTCATTCGTTGTTGAAATAGAGATTTGTTTGAGCTAATTACGGAATTTACCAATTATTCACATAATCGAATATGTTATGAATATATATTTGGTATATAATAATACCAAATTCGATCCATGTGTGGAGTCTATATTTTCATTTTACAATCCCTATGAAATATTGTAGCACAATCTATTATTCATTATTTCCAAAATTGCTTGCAGAATTAAATTTTCAAATATTTAGAAGTGTCAAACCTTATTTAACTCATCTCATCATAAAATCTTAAAATGTCGTCTATTATAAGGATCATAACTTTCTATCATATAATACATTACTTTTAACCCGCCGCCTACTATAAATATATTAAACATATCTTTTTAGAAAATCAAATTAGTATTTATATTTTTTTTTATCTTTTTAATCTATTAAATATTTATGATATTCTTTAATATATTAAATTAAACTTTTTTAAAATGTTCCAAATTAAAATCTTTAAAATTTTTATTGTAGTATGTAAAATTATGAATTAAAAATATATATATATATGAAATTAAATATAAATATTCAAATAGTTATAAGGATCATAACTCATTTCATCATATAATACATTATATTTAACCCGCCGTCTTATTATAAATATTTGTTTCAAAAAATCAAATTAGAGTATTTATATTTCTTAACTTTTTGATCTATTAAGTATTGATGATATTAAAAAAAGGAATATATTACTCAAATATGAATTTTTGACCCGTTAAATTTGTTCTTTCATACATTGAACAATTTATATTCGTTTTTAAAAATTCAAATCTTTGTATATGCGGAAAAAATTTACTTTTTTTTATTATGTAGATGATATAATATTTTATTTATTTTATAGAAATAGAATAATATAAAGATGAGAGGTGAAGTATATTGATTAATAACAAATTAATGTGATAAGTTAGATATCAAATCTTATATGTTCATTTTGATTGGTCATTCTTTTTTAAAAAAATTAATAATAGATTTTCGTTTTTATAATTAAATTAAATTAATTAAATTGCATAAAATAGTATTTGACTTGTTTATCCTTAATGAGTTGAATTAATTTACTCTATAAAATTTTATTTCTAATGGCATTCTTAAGTAAATTTTTACAAAAGGGAAGGTTAGTTAAGGGTATCTTATAAAGTGTACTCCCCAAATCTTATTATATAAAGTATAGTTTTTAAAGTTAATAACTCGCATGATCGTGACACGTGTCAAGTCTATCGATCAGATGTTGACATGTGTAAAAAAAAATTAACTTTTTTCATTAACAAAATAGGAAAACTAAAAAAAAGAATATTTACATATACTAATTTATAAAGTTAATAACTCGCATGATCGTGACACGTGTCAAGTCTATCGATCAGATGTTGACATGTGTCAAAAAAATTTAACTTTTTTCATTAACAAAATAGGAAAACTAAAAAAAAAGAATATTTACATATACTAATTTATATATTTAATTTTTAAAATTTGTTAACTTTATTTTTCTTAGCCAAAAATGAAAACTAACAATTTCTCTTCACATGTGTTATTGGTCAATTAGATTTGGCATGTGTTAATTATTTTCTATAAAATCATTTAGTATGGATATTAACAAATAAACAATAACGGTTGAAGTTTTAAATAACAAAATAAGTTATTTAACATTAATTTAATTGGATAAAATTGTATTTATCATCGTAATATAGTGTTTTTATTCGTCAAATGAAAACACAAATTTTTTACAAAAACTAATGAGTTTATAAAAACGAACGAATATTTGAGTATTTGATAAGAAAATTAGTGTGGTTATACTTAATTTTATTTTAAGAATTTTAGTGCATGTAGCATAATTATAAACTAAAAATATTTGGGAAAGTGGCTTATATGATTGAATTTTTGATTACTTAATGAGAATGTTAATACATATATTTTTAATGATTTATTTATTAATTTTAACTCATTTAAAATTAGTTTGCCATGAGGTAAAACTAACTTAAGAGATTACGTTATATCGAAAACTCTATTTTAAACAATGTTTGTTTTCCATAATTTTTGTGGATTTCTATTTCTTTATTAAATGTTTTGTTATTTGTTAATTATATTTAAAATTTTAATATTAACTAAGATATAGATTTAATATGATATATATACGATTTTGATACAAAATTATTATTAGCAGTTTATCCATTAAGATGAACTATAAAGACTTAAAATCAAGTTTATTATGATGTTATAAATAGTTAAATTATATTACAAAATGGAATGTGCAAGATTGAAATTTCGTTTTTAAAAAAATACTAAATTAATTATATAAAAAATGTGTCGGTTACTATTTAAGATTTAAATATCATCAATACGAAAGAGTGTGTAGAATTAAAATTCAGTTTATTATGATGAAATAAATAGTTAAAATGTATAGAAAAATGGAATGTGTCAGATTTAATTTTTGTTTAAAACAAAAAATACTAAATTATTAAATATTAGGGAAATTGAATGGATTATTATATTAATCAAAATTCAAATATCATCGATAACAATTTATATTTATATATTATACCCGCCTATTTAGGCGGGCCTTATCTAGTAATAGTATAGGATGTACATATAGTTAGAAGTGACGACATAATTGGTATATGACATCACGAGTACTCTTCACGTCAGCGAAACAAAAGAAAGACATTCAACCGAATCTATAACGCGGCAGGACGTCTTTGAAAAATATTGTTTATTGGTTCACTCGTCTGAATAAAATTATATCTATAATTATATTTTAAACTTTTAAGATAAAATAAGATTAGCTAAACCGATTGAGTGAGACTCACCAAATATGGGTTCTATTATGTGATTGGGGAGAGTTAGTTGACGCTTTTTAGATACTTGATATGTTCATTACTTTATCTAATGACTTTATCTAATGTATACAAATTATAGATAGAAAATTATAAGATAAGAATTATAGTAGCTTTGTCCAAAAAAAAAAAGGAATTATAATAGCTTAATAGGTATTGAATTAGGTACATTTGAACCTTTTTTTTTTTTCTGTGGTATTTTAAGACAAATTTATCAGTTTTATATTTAATATATTCTAATATGGGCAAAAAGAGTGGAAAATAATAGTCTCTTTTTGTCAATTTCTCTCCAAGATCCTTCTCTTTTCCACACAACTTCTGGTCTAAGATTGAAACAAAAAATAAATACAAAAATAAAAAGAAAACTTATTGTTTAAGCACAATGAGATAGTACCATCATAGAATCTCATCATTCATGTATATAAATAGACGTCGACACTCACAGACGAAACTCACATCTCTCACTCCATAGAAAACAGAGGAAATCTATAAGAAAAAAAGATTCTTAATTTTTGCAAGTGAATGCAGAGAGATGATGATGGAAGAGAAACTTGTGATCAACGAATTGGAACTAGGGAAAGAGCTTGCGAATCGATTGATGAGCAATCTCAAACACACTTCTTCTGTTGATTCCAACAAAACCTTGATCTCTGAAATCCTCCGTATTTACCAGAATGCCATTTTCATGTTGAGGTTCAACGAAGACAAGAACATCCTTAAGCGAAGCCTTGAGATCGATGGAAAGGCTTCTAAAAATGTCTTCAAAAAGCGGTAATAATTGAGATTTGACTGATTCTTTGTCTCTGTTTGAGTTCCACTTTGGGAATTTATGTGTCTGATTCCTCTGTTTTTTTTTGGTAATTTTTCAGGAAAGTTTCGGAGAAGAAGACAGAGAAAGTTAAGGTTTTTGTTGCAACAGGACAAGAAAATGGTTCAATCGATGATGGTCATTGCTGGAGAAAATACGGGCAAAAAGAGATTCATGGATCCAAAAATCCTAGGTAATTATCAACTATCATCATCATCTGGGAATTTCAAAGTTTTAATTTTTCTTTCCGGGAAATTTGTTAAACTCAATGTCTCTGTTTCTGTTATTACAGAGCATATTACAGATGCACGCATCGATTCACGCAAGACTGTTTAGCAGTGAAGCAAGTTCAGAAATCGGACACAGATCCTTTGGTTTACGAAGTGAAGTATCTCGGAAACCACACTTGTGACAACATCACATCCCCGAAGACGAAGATGACCACGAACTTCTCTGTTTCGTCGTTCGAAGAAGGAAACAGAGTACATGTTACAGACCAAACAGAAGACATGAAACTGACGAAGTCCGAAGAAGTGATGATCAATCTTGAAGATCTGGAGAACAAGAAGAACATTTTCAGAACGTTTTCTTTCTCTAACCATGAGATTGACAACGGTTTGTGGAAAAGTAACATGTTCTTGGGAAATTTTGTGGAAGATCTTTCTCCTGCAACATCAGGTTCTGCAATTACCAGCGAGGTTTTATCTGCACCTGCTTCTGTTGAGAATTCCGAAACTGCAGATTCGTATTTCTCCTCTCTGGACAATATTATCGATTTCGGACAGGATTGGTTGTGGTCGTAGCTTTGAATTGATTTGGTGAATGTAATGTCTCTCTTAATGGCAGTAATTAATTATAGATGGTCAGTTTAATTAGTATAGTATAGATTTTGGCCCTTTTCATTTTTTTGTATCAGCTGATTTCCCTATGAAGTTGGATTGTACTTTATGACAATTAATAAAGAAAGGATTTTATATAAGGTTTTTTTGTTAGTTTAAGTTGTTAAATTCTTATGATTAAAATTGATAGAAAGACATTTAGATGATTGACTTATGAAAATGCTTTGTGAAAGTGACGCAATTATTTGGATGAACAGATTCAAAAGTGGAAAATCTTCCATCTTTCATATTCCAACAAGTGTAAAAATTAATTCCTGTCAAAGAATTTAATTTTAAATATCAATGTTTTGTTTACAACTTTTGGGTTTTGGCTAAGAAGGAACCTATAGTTCTTATGGGCCTCAAGCCCAAATAAAAATACTAAACAAGCCCAATTTCGAGCTTGTGTCGTCGATTTCATCAAAAGAATCTTGCAGATAGTCGGAGAAGACTAAAAAACGAAAGTTCCGAAGAAGACGAAAGAGAAAAGATGATTTACCGAAAGTGGAGTTTGCTGTCCGGTCCACCGGTGATTCTCGGCGGAGCCGTAATTGCCGCCGTCGCCGTCGGAATCGTCTTGCAAAACGTATTCTCGTTCTCTATCTCTTATTTGGTCGTTAGATCTATATCTTCATTGGCTGGTTTTTCCCTCCTTCTTCGCAAATTTTCATGTGTTGCGCTCCTCCTTTGATTTCATTCGGATCGCAATACTTTTGATGAGTTATTGATTGGCCTTTTCGAACATTGAGGCGTGAAAGGAACATCCTTTCATTGAAAATTTGTGTTCTTCTTAGGCTTAATTGATGGATCAGGATTGCCTTTATTTGTGTGTTTTAGGTTTGAATCTAGAAATCCAATTACAACGCTATAAAGGTTGTGACTTTGATCCGTGACATTCATAGGCGATTAAGCTTCTTTCTCGATCTTCTCGAGATTATGTTTGAATACCTTTGTTTTGGAGTCTGAGTTTTGGTGTTTTATGATCAGGTTATGAAAGGGGAGCAGAAGAAGAATGTCTCAACAAACAAGTGAGAAGACGAACGGGAATATGCTACCAAATGTGGTGTGAATCATGAGATTTGATACATTTAGTTCTTGCAGTGTATGCTCAATAATGCTTTTGTAAGCTTTTGAATACACAGATCTTTGTGTTGTTATCTTCACATGTTTACCAAAAAAAAAAAAAAGATCTTTGTGTTGTTTTTAGATTCTTGTTACTAATAATGATATTTCATTTTCCACTTTCTCATTCTTTACATTGATCATAAGGCTCTCTAGAGTTAGAAAAAAGTTTAGCCTAGTAATGTTAGGATAATCTAACACGGATGTTCAGAGAATACAACAACACAACGGAGAGGCTCATGAACATTTCTAAGATTCTTCATGCAGCTCTCCTCGGAACTCTCATCCCAAACCCACGCTTTAGCTTATCGACCCTGACCATGTAGCATCAAACTCAGATACATGAGAACTTGAAATGTAAGGCTAAAGAGAGGTGTTATAGGTTATGTGAAAGCTTACGTTGGGGCGAGTTTGCCAAGACTATCTAGCTCTTCACCGGTATCTTCGTCTATGACTCTACCTGAGATGTAAACAGTGTAGGATCGATCTCTATCCCGTGGGAGACCTCTGGCGGTGAGCAAGCGCAGGTCTTTCTGGTGAAGCTCTCTTCCGTTCACAAAGACTCTTGTGGTTCCGCCAGCGCAATTCTCTGGCATTGGGTAATTGAGCTCTTCAATGAAAGGCTGTAAGAAAGAAGTCACCTTTCGCCAGCTTTAGTACACATTCTGAAGAAAATGAAGAGAGATTGAAAAATATGATTTGTTAGCTGATGTTTACCGGTAGTATTCCAAGGCAGTGACTTCCCATTACTCCCCAGAATCCAGCTCTGTAGTCGTACCTGGTACCAAACAACAGAACACAAGAGAATCATTAGGGCTGGTAGGTGAGAAAATTTTATGAGATTGAAGGACCTCCTGGTACCAGTAGTTTCCTGGTCGGATTGGTCCAGCCTGCTTCTCTGCCATTTTCACAAGACGTTCAGCTACAGGTTGCCCATTTATTGAGACATCACTTCTGCCTTCGTTCTGTATGGATTTCTTCAGATCCTTGAAGCTATTCTTCACGATACTCGCAAATCCGGCCTTCTTGGTTCTTCCCTGATCATCTGTATAGTCATTTGCAGAATCTTGTGACACTTCATTGTTGTGAGAGTAGTCATTAACGTCCATCTCAATTGCAACTGAAGCTTCTTTCATAGAGTTCTGTCTCATGGATGTTTTGCTCAGTGTGACCCTGTCCTGTTCTGAACGAGAGCTTCGGCTCCTTGGCCCAGACCGGTCCCTTATATTGATCGAAGAGTATTCAGAGTATTTGTGAAGAGGCGAATCAGGAGTAACTTTCCTAACTGTTGAACTGTCTGAACTTAACTCATCTTCAGACACGCTAGGAGAAGTAGGATCCGCAATCTGCATTTCTTGAGCTTTGTTGGAGATCAAAGCCAGACCAGTTGATACATCGGCTGGTCCTCTATCCATTGCATGGAATTCGTAAGCAGCATTATCATAGTCATCAGAAGAGAAGTTAGCAGTAGTTTCCCAACGCAGGCTACTATGAGTTTCTGCTTTTCTTACTGAAGCAGGATCTGTAGAGAGAATGAGTTTCTTATCAACAAAGGTATAACCTATTACACAAGAGCATGCTCCGCAGCGCATTCTCTGTTTCTTTCTCGTAGCAGAATCTATTTTGTCTGGCAATTTCAGAAGTTTGAAGCAGTTTATACAGTTTATAAATGGTGCACCACCAGCCACAGGGTAAATTAGGCGAGAGCCACCTGAAGATGATACACGTTTAGGGAGGTGAACACGAGAAATTGCATTCATTCCCGTATCCTTAAATCCACTCGGGCATCTTCGTTGGAGCTGTGGACCGGGAGATTGAGAACCAGGAGGAATAAAGGTTCTCGGACCATGCAATGAAGTACCAAACCCAAAACTTCTCTCATGAGGGTAAAAACCGGCATTACGCAGAGCATCAGGTAACCCTGAGGGAGGAAACACTGAGCCCGAAGCTCTATGATATGGATCATAGCAGTGGGAACAAGAGCAAGTTGATTGATGAAACATCCCATTTCCAGGATGTGTATCAAACAAATCATGACCATTATTGCCAATATACTGTCTAGAGTTGTGCAGATGAGATGGCTGCAGAGTTCTTTCATGCATTTGGAACCCGTGAGGGTCTCCATATGCTGGAACATGAGCCGGTTTAAGCATCGGACCACGTAGAGAAACATCAGCGTCATTGTTATAAAGACATGGAGGCTCGGGTTCTGGATAATACTGGTAACAGGAAGGACCTACAATATGTTTCCCGGAACTGAAAACCCGCAATGGAGCCTTTTCGAATCTTGGAGACGGACTCGGGATCTGCTGCTCTTTAGGTTGATCAAGCTGTTCTTTTAGCTTATCCAATTTTCTCACCAGTCCAGCTCTGTCTTGCTCAATTGCTTCATCACTAGACAGAGAATCTGTAAAGTAGTTAGAAGTGGAGAATCTGAAACCTTGGAAATCGCATCTCTTTGTTGTTCTTTGCCTAAACCGATCCAAACCTGGTTGAGAATCGTTATTACCCGGATCAACAACATTCAGTTTCGAAGTAGGATCACTGTGAACATCCCAAGTCTCTGTTTGACCATTTTGTTGGTGTCTTAATGAAGCATCTGAATCAGATTCTCCATCAATTGAACCAGAATTAACTTGAGTTTCTTTGGCTCTATTTTCTACGGACTTAACCGACAATAAATCAGCTTCACGGTCCTTGTTCTTGGCTTTACATACATAACAAAACAAACAAACAAAAACTCTTTTGGGTCAGAATTGTTTTACCCTTTTACCTAATTGACGTCAGGGAGAAGCAAAAAAAAAAAACAGAATCAGAAACTTAATGAGTGGTTGAAACATCAAAACCAGAGCCAATCTCGAAATTGTTCTTTTTTTTGCTGAACTATCTTCAGCTAAAGAGAAGAGAAGGATGAAAAATGGGAACTAACCGCAAAGAACAGTTCCACAACCACCACACTGAAAAAAGGGGCAATCTTTAGGCTCCTGTAAGAGATTCTTGCACTTGGGACAACGAACCAGACTTACTTGGATCGTCGACGACTCAGCCATTACAAACAAACTAAAATTGTCCACTGAGATGAGAAGAAAGATACTCAGCAATCAATTAAAGAAGAAAAATTTAAGAGATGAAGAAGATGGAGTCTATGAAGAGGCTCTAGCTTCTATTCGATCCTCTCTTTCATTCTCTCGATAATCAAACATCAAGAGAGAGAGACTACACAAAGTAGTGAGTTTCAAATCGATTTATTTTGGGCGGGCCAAATCTTACAAAGTGGGGCCCATATTTCTGTAATTTGTCACTTTCTTTCTTTTCAGCCAAGGAATAAAATTTAAAGATTATCTTTACTTTTATTTTATTTTGTCGATGTCTTCTGGTTGTAATTAAATACATAAACCAAAGGGAAATTACTGAAAAAAATAACGCTGAAGGCTCAGCTCACAAAAAAAAATATCAATCAAAGAGGAAGAAAAGTCAAGGTTAAGAACTTAAGGTCAAAAGCCAAACTGGTTTTGGGACAATAATAAAAGAAAGAAACATTAAATTGCTGAGGGTGTGGAAGAAAGTGGTTAGTTGTCTATTTCTCATTTATTCTTTATAACTTGAACTGTTCTGATTTTGAATTTCTTATGCTATATTTGTTCCTTAGTAATTTTCAAAAGATTGAACGAGGGAAATATGGAATCAGGCTTATTCCAATTCATTTGAGAAAGAAACAAAGCAACAAACAAAATTTACAAGATGGTCGTTGGACTGAAGGCAACTTATATAAACTTTATACAAAAGTAAAGAAAAAAAAAAAAAAAAAAAGCAAAGCCAAATACAGTAGCTTAGCTTTTATGGTTTAACGGATTTCAAACTAATTGATCAATGAGTTTGTTTGTACTAGAAAAGTTTGGACCTTAAAAGATGGGCCTTTATGGGCTTAACCGTAAGCCCACTCTGAACTTGTTTTACGTTTTGCCAAATTCACATCTTCTAGGCATAAAATTCACTTTGTAACAAAAGTTACATGGGAGCACAGTGAATTTCTTTATACTTATCACATCTCAGTTTATTCGATTACTTGTGAAGTAATACAAGCTCCTAAAACACACAACACATAACTTTCATCACATAAACAACTAACCTGCTTACACATTAGAAGAACAAGTTCTTATAACACGAATTCCACCAAAAACTACAATCAAACATCTTCTTCTTATTGATTCGTTCCTTCAATTCGTCGTTCTTCTTTCTGTTCCACCAATATTCCCTCCGGTGAATACAAGGTCCCCTCCTGGTCGACGCATAGGAACAATCGTTGTTATCTTTATCCATTAAAGATCGTAGACTCAAACCAGACTTCGGAGCGAGAGGAGAGAAAGGCATTAGTTTACGTTCGATGATGTGAACAAAAGAGACAAGTTCGTAGGAATCGTAGAGAGTACTCTCACAGTCCCAGATTTTAGGATCACGACCATCACTAATCTTCTCTTGTGAGCTACTTCCACCGGTGTTTCTTGTGTTTGTCATTAGTCAAGGACTGAAGAGTTCTCTCAAAGTCGATTGCTTACAATTTCAAGTTTTTCTAAGTGGTTTTTTTTTTCTTGCTTTGTTTCTGTATCGAAGTTTGTTGTTATATAGGCTGGCCAAATAGAATGTGTGTGTTAGGTTAGTGTTATAAATAAAAATGATAAGTTACGTTGTGACTATTTTAGTAAAAAATCTCGACAATATTGTACCAAATTTACGTCAACACTTATCTGTACTGTTACCGTTTTCTTTAGAATAATTTCCAGCTGTTTTTTTTTCTTGTTATAATTTTTTCAAATTAGGAATATCTCATCATGCCATATTTCAATTTCGATTTTTCTATTGATTGTATTTTGTACTTTTCAAGTTTCCTTTGTGTGATGATGTTTTAAACATGTCTCACAAAAGTCGAAAGACTATATCTTTGGCACTTAATCCATAATTATTTCGTCTTCTTCATCAGTCCTCTTAGATTATTCCTCTGTTTCTCCACAAAGCAGAACATTGACTAGCCAGAAAAAATAAATTCTTCCACTTCGTATTTGCTGTTTTAATTTGCCCTGAGACTCAAAAAAAAAAAGTAGTACAATCCTTGATTTCATGTTTCATCAGACAAGCCATAGAAGAACCACTAAATTACGTTACAAAATTACTTAGCAGATCTAACGAGTACAATGAGACTAAGCAAAGGCAAGTCACTCAGATAATTTACCTTGATAAATTGTTCTTACGCAGTAAGAGAAAATATTACTGTTACAACAGTAATATACAAACGGTAATATTTTCTAACCATGACGATTGTGAGAAACATAACTCGGCGAACAAGGTTGTGAGAAACATTAAACGACGAGAGGACGGAGAGAAGCTTTCTCCAACCGGTCACGTGCGGGGGAGGTTTCTAAAAGTCAAGGCACATTTTCGTTGACTTTACAATTTTCCCTCAAACCATCTTGTTCTCGTGGACCGACAGTAAATTTTCACATCTATTAAATTTTTTCTTTACAATATTTATAACAAGTCTATGCTCAGACTTCTAACTAATATTTATAACAACTATATAATTGAAAATTCAAAAGATTCCAATCAAAGATTTTTTTCCTATCGATAATGACAAATTAGTGGACTATATGTAGATAAGTTGATCTATGATTACTTTTTCGTAAGAACTCTCTAAATAAACGTCAGTCCCACCAATAATGTCATAATCACGTATAGCTTCTCAGACAAAATCACACCACTATGCATATTTCTCTTCAGCTACTCTATTGTTTATGATCTCTTCTTGTTTTGAGAAAAGCACCAAATTTTTATGTCTAGATTCAATTATTGATCACGTTATTGGTTTCGAATATAGTAATATAAAACAATATTTATTCGATATGGTTCAGGTCAGATAGATTAGAGATTACCCGAATTTTATTCTCAAATCAAGATTACAGAATCAAATTCGAATCTTGATTTTATTTGTAAGTATATAAAGGTAACGTCACATCAGAAATCTATTTATTTCTCAAACACTAATTGCACAAAAAAGCAAAGTAAAACCACTGTGATACAATATTTTCTATAAAGATAAAAAGTTTATGCTCAATTAAATAACGTAAAAGAAACTATATTGACAATAAAGACAACAACGACAAATAAACAACTAAAAACCACTTTCTTGATTTCACAATTTATAGTTAGTCAAAACGCTGTGCTGAAGTAGCTACTCACCACATTCTCACACAGAATTTGGAGAACCTTAGCATTACATGGCTTCACACATCTTGGCATCTTAAACTGTCCAGCCGATGAACCAAGTCCGAGAAAATGTTCTTGAATCTTCCGGAAAGTTCCTTTTGCGACAACTCTCAGCTCTAAGGCTCCAATAGTCTTGCATTTCCGGGAACTTACGTAACCCGCATCGATGAATGCTCGGTCTAAACAGTTGCAGCAATCTTGAAGAACATCTTCGTTTGTTTCTCCTGAAATCTCCCAGAATAGCGTAATGTCCTGGATCTGTCGAGACATCGATGTGGCTAGAGAAGTCTATGACTTCGATCTTTTCTTCTGAGAGTCTCTTTGCAGCCGATTCTACTGAAAGCTGGAGGTCTCTTTCGGTGTTCTTGTCGATGTTGATCGAGAGGATTAGGTTTCTCCTGCATATGAATTTTAGTTGGGGAGTGTTGTTGTAGAAACCAATGATCTTTACCACATCTCCAAGCCGGTACCGATACAACCCTGTGCAATGTGGATCAAATGAGATTTTGAGCATCCATTATGTGACCGATAATACGCGAATTTCGGACTTAAAACATCGGTACATACCTGCGTAATTTGTGATGACAACCTCATACTCTTCTCCGATCTTGACTTCGGTTAAACCAACCGGTTTCTCCTCTCCTTCCCCTGTTTCAGATACAGGGAGAAACTCGAAATAACCGAGATTCGGAATCACTGCAAATGTAGCTTCCTCTGGAGAGAGTTTCGGGGTAACATTAGCAGCAATCCATCCTTCCGAGCTACCGTAGTCATGACTCACAAGAGGTAGATCGCCCGCATAATGTCTCAGCTTTGGCACATACGGCTCCATCGAGCCAGTCATGATCCCGTAAACATATTTGCGTTCGGGAAGAGCGCGGGAATCAATCCGTACCAGTTGCTCAAACTCATACATTTGGAGCGGATTGTTTCAGCTAGCTCAGGGTTAGGTGTGAGCAGCTTCGACATTGCAGTACGGACCGATGGAACAGTAATACGGTTGCTTAAGACACCATCTTTTATATCCGTAACAATCTCTTCCCAGACCTGTTCAAAGGTTCTAAACGCGTGAACTAGACCGTGAGCAAAGACGGCAAAGACGTATTGAACTTGATCTCTGAAGAGAATTCCGGATAAGAGATGGCAATACAAGGCTTGATGGACATCAGGACTAAAGACAACTTCATCAGGACTACAGGAAGGAGACGTTATAGATTTCATCCCGGCTTTAAAGTTAGGGTTGCGGTAGACGTTTGTGGTTGCGGTTCCAACCGGGACACCTCCGGTTGATATGTACTGCTTGCTGCCGAAGATAAATTGCAAAGCTCTGCCATTGTCATCAATGGGAAAATCTCTGTACAACAACAAAAACATCACATGTTAAGGCATAATCGGTGTAACAACACCCTTAGTTTGTCTGTTCATGTCAAATGGGTGGAACAGAGAAAAGCGTGAAATGTGTGGGGGAACATAAACACTAACTAATTCACTATACCTGTTTCTGAAGGCAAAAGCAGTGCGAAACAGTTGTAATGTGTTCTCCATTAATTCATCAGTGAAAGGAATAAACTTTGGACGGCCTTGACTAGTTCCAGAGCTGATGATTATCACACACAGAGATTCATTCATTCATTAATCACAGAATCATCAATGACAAAGGAAAAACAGATGTTTTAGGAGTAAATAAAGTTACCTTAAGGAAATGGCAGGAACAGGGTGACCAGTGAGAATAGGTGAAGTGTCACCATCGACCATTCTTTTGATGTAAGGCTCTAATTCAACATCAGTGACTAATGGAACCATAGCTTTGAAAGCTTCTTCTGAGTCAGCTGCGTTTCCACTGAGTCCACAGTTTTGTAAGTAAATGGCGGATTTGTTCTTGAGAAGATATCTTTCAAGGTTTGTTTCTGGACTTGATCAGCGTTTCTAGTCATTTCATCGAATTCATCAATTACTCTGTTCATGTCGAAAGTTTCAACCTTCTCCAACATCCTAAATTAGCAAAACAAAAAAAGTGATGAGATTCTGACAGATTTGCAGACAGAGAATACATAAGGGAAAGAAATAAAACTTATAAAGGTCTTTATGTTACAGAGCATCCATCCATAAAGGGAAAGTTTTTAAAAATTCTTATCAGAAAGATTTCTGCAAAACTTTTAGCAGATTTTTTTACAAAAACGGTTTTCCGGAATCGACGCGTACTGAAGGAGGAAAATAATCAAAAGCCCTACTTAGTAATTTTTCCCGAGAAACTAGTGAATCGAAAATTTAAGGAAGGAAGACTCAAGAATCAAAGAACCCAGTTGTTTCAAAGAGGTAACAATTAGACACAAATCGGAATCTATGAGATTGAAGAAGTAAAGATGAAAACTTTTTGGAATCTATCAGGAGAGAGAGAAAAAGAAGAAGAAGATAAAAAGTCAACGGAGGTCGGAACCGGAGAAATCAGAAGTGTTTTTTTTTTCGATCAGACGAAACGAATTACTGAGAAATATGAAGATGATCAGCTTTAGTTTCTAGATTAAGGAGTGAGAGAGTACCTGCTGGTAGTTGCTGCGAGTTCTGTAGATTGGTGGAGGACAGAGAGCAAAAGATTAAGGAGTGAGAGAAAAAAGTTGAGTGAATTTGGAAAGTCAAGAGAAGAAGCTTGTTACATTTATACACAAAAAAAAAAGATTTAATTTTTAAATAAATATAAAAAAAGGAAGAAGGACGGAGCAGCAAAAATGTTGAAGGCGATAGATTAGTGAAAGCCGTTAAGTTACTTCTCCCTCTTTCTCTTTTTTTTGACTCACAATTTTCGCCGACGGGATCTCTGTTTTTGTTTTATTTTCTTTCTCCGACCACTTTTTTGTATTCTTGGTTTTGTTTCATCTTCGTATGAGTTTGGGTCCAATCCGTAAAATAAAAGTGTGTAATATCTTCTTGATATGCGGACCATTCTTAGTAATGCCATTTTAAACTTGGTTCTCTCTGCCAAAACTTTAGTTTATTTAAGGCTTTGTTCGGATGCGCATTTGTGTTCAGTGAACCAAAACAATCGCTGTGGATACTTTTTTCATTTTTTTAGTGTTTAATACTATCTTCATTTTGATCAATACATTAACGACGATTCTTAAATTCAAGCCAACTTTGTCTTGGAAAACTATTCTTCTTCTCTTGAGTTTTTGGTTTTTCTATGTTAAAATATATCTCGACAACCCATCATTTTTTTTAGTTTTCATGCCTAGTCTCATAACTTATTCAAGACGAGTATCATAGCATGTTACAGCATGTTTACTTAGTCACCTCTCGGGCATCGTTGTCCATATGGTCATTGCGTTAATGATGTAATACTAGATAATACATCACAAATCAATATTAATCTCTAACAAAAGACCTATATTCATCAAAGTCTATGAGGATCATAAGTTTATTGTAATGTCTACCAAATTCTATTAAAATCAGTTTCACAGCGCATCTTCTCGTGTACATAACAAATAAAGTCCAAATAATCCCTTTCTATTGCAGGGTTTGGGTTTCTTTTCGGAAACGCATAACTAACCTTTTTTTGTTTACAACTCTCATTTTAATGAAGCTGAGAAACATTGTTTAATTAGTTCCAAAATCATATAATTAATCTATCAGCTAGTATAAACAAACATAGTTGATTTGTTTTAAGAAAAAACTATGTAAGAAACGTAAAACGATTTTTATAGATGCTTTATTGTTTTCGTTATTCTCTTCAATTCATACATTTTCATTCGTCAATTTCGTGCCTACTTTATACCGAGAAAATCATGAACTGATTGAAATCTGTGGAAAAGTTCATTTTAGAGAAGTTAACATTTTTTTTTTTTTTTTGTTGACTGAATAAGGCAAGCTATAAATTGTCTACATGCATGACAAGTCAACACAAATCACATATTCCTCCATGCTCATCATAAATGTTTTGAGCTTAAGAAACAATACTACTATGACACATGCATACACAATTTTATTATTGACCGCTGATATTATTATTTTTGACCTAATTTGCTTAGTTACATATAATCCATTTTAGTTATTTTTCATACTAGTTGGAAATTAACTACGAAAAACTATTATGTGTGGAAATTAATTTAATACTACTCCATCTATCAATACAGTTACAAGCTAAATGGATCCAACACACGTCAAGAAAACAAAATCAACACTGATGTTCTTTTCTAATTGGCTTATCATAGTGATGATAAATTCAGTTGATTAGCTTTTTTAATTTTAATATTTGACACTCGGAAGAGTCTAATTGGCTAAACGTCAAAGATCCTCTGGATCCGCATGTACGACGACCCAAGTGCGTTTTCGTGCTTACACGTGGCAGTGCCGTCCAATTCGATTTCGTCTCGGCTCTAAATAATTTGTCTGTCACATTCTTTACGTTTTCCTTATTTTCGCCCCAAATGTTTCATGAATTACGAAACTTGCCTGATTTTAGTGGGTCAATTTGGCCATTTCCTAAAATAAAGTCAGGTCCATTAACAGATCACACATATAATTACATCAGTGACGCATTAATTACCTAAGAAAATTGTTTAATTACGGCTTAAGATTAGCTTAGACAACATTTACCTATCACGTCAAACCATAACTTAGAACTTATGTACAAGATTAATTGAATATTAGTTATACAGTGTTTACGGACAAAAAAAAGATGACTAAAGAACTAAACAGTGTTTAGCTTTTTGAGTTGTATGAATACGTAAGCATCCATCCTCGCGTTTCCATACGGGCAAACGTACAACTGTTACAAGTGATTATGAGAAGACGAAAAAGTAAAACGACACACAATTTCTGCAATAAGCATATATAGTTAGTTAGTTTAATAATTATACTTATATTGATGTCTCTATACATTTGTTCATTAGTTCATCGAATATGTTTTACCATAGTGGTCCCATGGATGTTATATTATGTTGTCTCGATCCTTAGACGTCTTATTTATATGTTGTTTAGCTTCACAATTAGCCAATGGAATCACACATTATATATCAAACATTATCACTAAAATATTTCTAACTTACTTATTTATATTGATTGTGACAGCTATAATAATCATTTCCTATCAAATGATCAGTCAATTTACTCCAACAAACATTTTGGGTTTTTAATAAAAGCATCTATATATTTATATATAATTGTTTGTAGACCATGTAATCTAATTACTAGTGCTAATGATATTGATGTGTCATATATGCACCATCCAAAATCAAACCTGCATAATGCATTGACAAATATTTATGTAAATAACCATTTCAGATATTTTCTTCCTCATTACTATATAGAATTCCAATCATAAACAAAATAGTTTATGTCAGATCTGTACGTAATATCAAGTTTGCTTGTAACTTCGTGTAATGAGATTTTTTAACGTTCATATTGTTATTGATATCTATTATTATTATACTGAAATTTTCAGATTATGTATACGTGAGAGAAAAATCAAATATACCACTAACCATGTGTGAGCGATCATTTTCATGCGATAATCTTGTTGAAATATAACAAAAACGTATTTTAAATTTGGAGGTAAGTTGGTGTCATTAATTTATTATTTATATGTACCTCTAAATAAACCCATGGCTTTGCTTTTTATGACGTTTTAACCATTTCTTTTACCTCGTCAAATCGTTACAAAAAGGGTTAGTTGTCTTCACTAGAATAATGGTTGCTGTTTGCATTCAATAAACCAATCAAATTATTGAGTAAAAAGGGTAAAGGGTTGTTAGGAAAAGTTTAATGAATAATAAAGTACACATATATAGCCGTAATTAAATAGCTAATGAAGATACACGTACGTATCAAATGATTAATGATTGAACCTTAGCCCTGCCTATTTGACATTTTTATCAGTCGACCATATTCTAGTGGCTATCACTTATCACCTTTAATTTATTCATGCGAAAATAATTGTGTAACTCATCGTTGTATTAAAAATACACTGTGAAAATATAAGAAATCCGTTTAATAACATGGAGCTCATGTTTTATTAGTTTAGAATGTAAAAATAGTTATACACATGTGACATGTCATCTCTATATAAAATTATTTCGGTATATATACAACCACAATGGACATGTATACAATAATACAAAAGATAATAACAAAAAAAAAAGAAAACAAAATTAAAATGAATGATAATTAAATGGATGAAAAGAAATTAAATGTCATAATAGTGGAGACCGTGTCATAACTCATTTAGTGACAAACCAAAACTTCTTATTGCATAGTGACCAAAAATGGGTTTTGCGAAAACGACGACCCCTCATTTAGTACCCCCTGATTACCCAATCCCGTTTCCGGCCACTTTTTTTTATCATTCCTTTTGATCACTTTTTTGTTTGTTTTCAAGTCATCATCTTCTCGATGAAGACCAAAGCTCTCTCGTGTGAACATCTTTTCCCTTCGACGGCTAGCCGAAATTTTTAAAGATTTAACACTTTGATCTCAACTAATTAAAATTTTCATAACAGCGCATCTTTCCAAATACTCTACCATTACATTTAAACGTGTTGTATATAAATATGATTTATCATTGTATTATGCATTTTCAATTCAGGGTATACTATGGGATATTAGACCGACCAAAAATCAAATTATTATACGGAATCTAATTTTAAAGACTATGCTGGTGATCAGTTTGGGTTTATTTTCAAGTTCACATGTTATGAAGAATTACGAAAACAAAAAAAAAGTTAAAGGGATTGTGGATTAGGTTGTGGATGTCAACTAGTTATTTAATAATGATTGATTAAGGGAGAGAGATTAGGTAGAGGTTAGCTAGCTGTTAATCATGTTACATATTATTATTCCTATGTCTCATAATAATATTTTACGAATCCTAAATAGAGAGATGAGGATTTTCATGTTTATGTTGAGGAGGGTCGTCGTGTCAATGCTGCTTTTAATTTGGTTCATTGTTTAAGAACAATGATCATAACACGATAAGATTGATGATACGTTTATATCTGATATATCACACAAATTTAACTAAGCAACACAAATGAGAATTAGAACAGAGAAAACAATACAAAATGTTGCTGGTTAGGTTAAAACATTGAATTTGCATCTCTTCTATAGTGATACAAGATTGGAAACATCTTCGTTGCAAATTAATCAAAGTGAATACTTGCTTACAATTAAATAGGCCAAAAAAATCTCTTCATTTGTCTTTTCATTTATATAATGATCAATTACAAAATTTTGATTCAATAAAATAGAATTGTATTCAGCTTCTGGGGCAATACAGGTCAGTCATGCGCCTTCACATTTTCCTGTAATGCCTGCACATTATAGTCATAAACAAGAACATGAGCAGCTACAAAGCAAGAAGCTATAAACAATTTTTTTGTTCTCACCTGAATTCTTTAGCCATGGGCTGAAGCACGTGACTTCTTTTCTCCATCAACTTTGTTTCCTTCATAAACCTCTTGTTTTCACGTGCTCTAGATTCACGAGCCTCGTGTGCAACATGATCTCTTCTCTCTTTCTCCAAACCCTTCTCATCTTCCTTGTTCGTACAAAGCTGAGAGAGAAGCACCACCATGAGATTTACATCCATCAGAGAAGTTTTCTCGTCTTCTCTTCTCTCTTCCTCATCGTGTTTGCGATTAGCTTCGCGAGACGAATCCATAAAGCGAAAAGAAGACACAAAAAGATACAATTATTGGGAGCTTTAGTCCCAAAATTAGCCGTCTTTTGGACCTCTTCTATTTTTTTTCTTGTGGCCATTCATAGTAAACTACGTATAATAACTAACTAAATCAATTTGCAATTTTTTTAGTGGTAATGGTATATTTTCCATCTTAAAGACTTGATGGTAGAAAAATAAGATTCTAAAATTCACTAATCACTAGATCGACCATTTTTTTTTTCATAAACAATTTTTTTTTTTTTCTGTCAAATGTTTCGTTTTGAGAAAAACCAAAATAAGATAGTTTAATTGTTTAACCATTGATAAAATTGGCAAATTGCAAAAATGAAGGCCCTATGTTTCTTTTTTTGACATCCTATCATAAATGCTTAACTAATGGGTTTATGGAAAACAAAAATTGTGTTTGTTTTTCGAAGTTATAAGCGAAGCAGCCCATAAAGTTTTCAAAATGGGCTAAGCCCAATAACTGTTTGTTATATAGGTGGGAATATATTAGTTTATTCGAAAAAAGCGTGGCTTAATAATCTCCACATCTTTCACGTGAACCCCCCTCGAATCGCGAATAGATTAAGCGACGTCGACGTGTTTTAATCTCCTCCTCTTAACAAATATCCCTAAAGATTACTTCCCCCATGCAACATTCTTAATGCCCACCCCTTTCCTATTTATTTACCATCCTGCCCCTACACTCACACATAGTGCTTAACCAAAGAGGAAAACCATGAGTGGTATTTTCCGTAAATAAGACCAGAAACATGACCATCTCTTTAGCTGATGTCACTAATCAGAAGATTATCAACGTAATCTCGTGTCATAATCTTTTTTGACCTCTTACTTAAACAAAACAAAGATAATAATTGGGCAGCCAGAAGAAGAAAAAAAAAAGATCTTCTTTCTCTTTTTTTTTTTTTTGTTGTAAGTAATAAAAAATTAAATAAAATAATGTTCAAAAAATTGTCCGCCAGAATAAAAGAAAAGCATATGATTTTGATATGTGGCTTGAAGCCTAAATTAATCATTAAAATAACAGTTTTAAAAATAAAAAATCAGAAAATAAAGGAATGAAGAACGAATGATGCGAGTCTAGAGAAAGAGAGATTCATATAGAGATATTATATTTTTCGTAATTATCATCAATATATGACAAATTTATAGCCTCACCTTTCTTCTTCTTCTTCTTCTTCTTGTGTGTGTTTTTGAATTTGCTTTTTTCAAGAGGTTTCTTCTCCACACCGTTTGGATTCACCGCTTCGGTGTATGATCTGATTGTGATCTCTCGATATCTGGGATCTTCGAGGTAAGCGATTTAGATTTTTGTGTATTTCTCGTTTCTCGTAATTTTCATTATTGGTTTTAGTTTGCTGCAATTTTACATAATCGTCTGATTAGCTGCTTTAGATTACAGCTTATGATACGTTTCGGGATTAGTGATTATTTTGTGTTTAACTAGTTTTAGAATCTGAACATGCATGAATTTAGTAAGTAGGGCTTCTTTTTTTTTTCTATTGTTGCTTTCTTCTTCTTCTTCATTTTGTTGGTTTGATTCTGATGAGATTCGATTTGTTTTTTTGTTGTTGTATATGATTAAGGTATGGAGGCTGTAGATTATTATAATTCCATGTGGTGTTGTTGATGCAATGAATGTGGATGCCTGTTATGGAAAGAGTAGCTGAAGAAACTGTGGCGAGTAACAACAACATACAATTAAAAGGACGAGTGGATGATGTTCCTTGTAAGCCTGATGCTCTTCATAACAATATGGTGATTGAATCAGAAAATGGAAACAGTGATTGTCCTGGAAGCTCAGCTCACAGGAATGTTGAGATGACTAAGCCGCCTCCTCCGGAGGAATCTGCTGGAGCTAAGCTTTCTGTTGAAGAGTTGACATTGGGGAACTATAGGATTGTTCAAGGGACTAATACTACTAATACTACTAATATGGATAGTTCTAGGGCTGGGAAGTTTGAGCATCTTTATCGTCTTGCTAGAGGGTCTTCTTTAAGGCCAGGAGATGGGGATCTTGATTCTCAACCTCGTGACATGGATCAAATGTTGTCACGAATTAGACAACAGCTTGCTGGAGCTCCTTCCGAAAGGCAAAACCTTAAACCTTTTATGACTAGGAGGAGCGATCAGAATCTTGAAGCTTTTTCTGAACGTCTAAGAGCAGCTGGTGAGAACAGTATTATGAAAGCTCCTGCATTGATCAGTAGTGAAGGTGTCCAATTGAACACGCCTGTCAGTTCTTCCAATTTTTCTCAGTTGTTACTTAAAAGAGCTATGAAGGGGAAAGGGGTAGTAGGAAAGAACCAGGAGTCTCCTCCTGAATTTGTCTCTGATCAAGATTTAGGAAGCAAGGAAAAAAAGTTGGATAGTAGCAAGTCGCCTACTCCTCACCATGTGTTACCCCTAAAATCAAGTCCCAAAGGAAATGGGATGGTATCACATGGTGATGGTAATCATACTAAATCTTCTTATGGAATCAGTTTGAGGGAGTTTCTTAGATCAAGTTATGCTAAACGAGAGAAAAGACATGGCCTTTTGCTATTTAGGCAGCTGGTGGAGCTGGTTGACTCAGCCCATTCAAAAGGATTATTCTTGCTAGACTTGAGACCATCCCTTTTCACTTTAGTTCCATCGAAGAAACTTAGATATATTGGTACTTTTGGAAAGAACAATCTAGACTCAGATGTTGACGAAGATTTGAATAGGAGGAGGCCTGTTGTTCAGGAATCATCTATTGGAGGTAGGGATTCAAAGAAAAGAAAAATGGACTTGCATGTGCATTCTCCAGGGAGTCAACTTCAGGCCACTTCAACCGGGAGACCTTTCAAAAGGAAAAGCCCTGTGATTGATTTAAATGTGGTTGATGCACGTAATCCAGACAGTTGCGAGCTTCAACAGCAAGACTATATCAAAAATTTAAGCGTGTCTTCAATGACGAGAAAACAGTCTATGTCCACATGGCTAGAAGAGCAATGGTATACTTGTCCAGAGGAGATTAATGGAGAAGATATCGGAGAAAAATCAAATATTTATGCCCTTGGTGTTCTTCTGTTTGAGGTATGGACAAATACTCAGTTTTATTGTTGTGATAAGATTTTTAGTTTGCTTTAATACCACGAAGGATGTAACATTTAAACACTATGTATTGTCATATCCTGCTTATGTGGTCTTCTTTCTTTCATTTTTCTGTCAGGCTTTGGTTTTCCATTTCTTTCGTTTTCGTGAAATTTCTTAGTCTAGTTTGAACTTTGAACCCCAGAGCTAGTATTTTCCAGTCTGCAGTATATAACTTGTCAGTTTTTTTGTTTACTTGTTTGATCCTTTCATGTGAAGACGCCTACTGATATCTCTAGCTTGACCATTGGTTGTTTCAGTTGCTATGCCATTGCGAGTCCGGTGAAATGCATGCTGCAATGATGGCAGATTTACGCCATCGGATTCTCCCACCAACATTTCTCTCAAAATACCCGAAGGAAGCTGGATTTTGTCTTTGGCTTCTACATCCTGAACCCTCGTCCCGACCAACAGCTAGGTAGTTAGCTGAGTGCTACTCTTTTATGAATCATGTAGGGGAATATTTACTAGGAGTCTAGGAGTGGTACAAAGGAGAATGTGTAGACCTTCCATTAGCTAAAATAGTCATTTTAAAGATTTCTTTGCCGGATACTTTCAATTTTATTTAATTTTTTCCCTCGTAATTGGGAAGAAAAAATGGCATGCCACTGTGTGAATTATCTTCTTGTTTCTTTTTCTGTTCTCAGTCTCTTCTCTTTCTGTGACAGAGATATACTGAAGTCAGAGTTGATATGCGAGGAGGATTCAGTTAAATCGACTGCTGCTGCTGAGGAGATATCTGAGCTCTTACTTCATTTTTTGTCTTCTCTAGAAGTGCAGAAGCAGAAAAAAGCATCTAAGCTTTTGCAAGACATCCAGACCTTAGAGGATGATATCAAGGAGGCCGAGCGAAGATATTCTTCAAATGTATCTCTGGTGAGATCTCATGGAGCTATTGAAAGAAGGGTGCAATCATCTCCCCTAGACGAGCACTGTACAACTTCTGGCGCCTTGCTTGTACCAAGTGCTAATACAGACAGGCTGATGAGTAATATCCGTCAACTCGAAGATGCATATTTCTTCATGCGATCACAAATCAACTTGTCGAGTTCTGCTGCTAGTACCCGTTCTGAAAAAATCGTACTAAAGGACAGGGACAGATGCTCTGAAAACCAAAATGAAAGTCAGGATATGAGTACCAAAGGAAAATCTTCAGATCAACTGGAAGTGTTTTTCGAGGGGTTGTGCAAATTTGCTCGGTATAGCAAGTTCGAAACCTGTGGGACAATAAGAAGTGGGGACCTTTTAAACTCTGCAAGTGTGGTCTGCTCATTGAGTTTTGACCCTGATGAGGAACACATAGCAGCAGCTGGGATATCAAAGAAGATCAAGATTTTTGACTTCAATGCATTTATGAATGAATCTGTCGGTGTTCATTATCCACTAGTAGAGATGGTCAACAAATCTAAATTAAGCTGTGTTTGCTGGAATAGCTACATCAAAAACTACTTGGCCTCGACTGACTACGATGGTGTTGTTCAGGTGCGTATAAAAGTTTCACCTATCTATGTCAAGTTTGGAATCTTTCTCATTTACCATCATTTGTTGCACATTTGGCTCTAGGACCAGCCTCATGAGATGTGTACATGTTAATATTGTGACAGGATAGAGATATAGAGCCATCTATTTCATGGTTTTCACTTGCCATTTTCTTACTTTATGGTGCTGGTGAATGCAGATTTGGGATGCCGGGACTGGACAAGGATTTTCGCAGTACACAGAACACCAAAAGAGAGCATGGTCAGTTGATTTTTCTCCATCTGACCCGACAAAATTTGTCAGTGGAAGTGATGACTGCTCGGTGAAGCTTTGGAGCATCAATGAGGTGCTGCTCTTTCTCTTAACTCCTAAGATTGCAAGAAGTTTGATGTCTCTGTTGTTTTTAATACTCCAAATCAGTATAGCTCCAGAAAGCATGATTCTCTGTTTAGACTTATGAATATCCACATGTAGTGAAACTTATTTTCTTCTCTGTTGGCTATGCAGAAACGTTCATTAGGCACAATCTGGAGTCCAGCAAATGTGTGTTGCGTGCAATTCTCTTCTTATTCCAATCACTTATTGGCATTTGGGTCAGCTGATTACAAGGTCTATTGTTATGATCTTCGGTATGTCAAAACACCTTGGTGCACATTGGCTGGTCATGAGAAAGCGGTGAGTTATGTTAAATTTATGGATTCAGAAACCATTGTTTCTGCTTCCACTGATAACTCTCTCAAGCTTTGGAATCTTAACAAGACAAATTCCTCTGGTTTATCTCCTGGTGCTTGTTCATTGACATATAAAGGACATACAAATCAGAAGGTTAGTCCCAAAAAAATTTCTATCCACCTTTAATTTCTCAACCAACATCATTAGTTAGTTCTGATGTATAATCCTTTAACTGTGCAGAATTTTGTCGGATTGTCGGTTTTGGACGGGTACATAGCTTGTGGTTCAGAGACCAATGAGGTATATATCAACATCATTATAACAAGAAAATATCAACCTTTAGAATACTTAATTCTAGATTCTCATGGGTATATGTCAATTGCGTTAAGTTTGTTTATGAAGCTGTCTTAAATTGTTACGATTCATCTTGATGATGATATTAATGTTACAGTTAGTTATAATCCTTTGATTTTGCATCTTAGGTATATAGTTACTATAAATCCTTACCGATGCCAATGACTTCATACAAGTTTGGATCCGTCGATCCCATTTCTGGAAACGAATACTTTGATGACAATGGACAGTTTGTGTCGAGCGTCTGCTGGAGGAAAAAATCGAATATGCTTGTAGCTGCAAACTCTACTGGAAACATGAAGCTACTAAAACTTGTTTGACAACTTGGCGTTTTCACTACTACGGCCTACGGGCATTGGGCTCTTTGAGTAAGTTCTTTGGAAAAATCTCAAAACCTCATCTCTTGAGTCTGAATCTCGGACAAACCAGTTTGACTTTGAAGCAACGTTTTTGTCCTGGAATTATGATCCCATATGACCAGAACAGAAAAAAAAAATCGAAATCTTGGAGAAGTTGAAGAAGCAAAACTGTCTGTGGTAATATTATTTGATTCTTCTTCCTGTAATTCTATATATATGAGATATAATTTGAGATAACTTCTCAGATTCTTCAGAAGTGATTCAGATTTGGTCGGCATTATGTGTAATGATGAGAGGTATATAACTTGTACAAGTGTGTTATATCATTAGCTCAATTATGTAATTGTTGTTGGAGATTCTCTGTTAAGAGATAAATAGAGGGGAAGATATATCATCCATTCATCTCATTGCATTGCTCTCGTCTGCATATTTCATAATTTATGGTTTTAGATTCAGTCTTGTTTTAGAAGAACTTCATAAGCAATTGCACATACGATGTTTCTCTTTGAGCACAAGTATATGTCGTTGATGAAGGGCACATGGGTTATTTTTTCCTATTATATATTACTATAAATCTCGAAATCATGAATTCGACATGTTCTTTGTATCTATGTCCAACATGTAATGTACATTGTATGATTAAGTGTAAAATGAGGAAGATTTAATTGATTTGCTTGGTAGCGCCAACATTTCTCTTTGGATTTGAACCCTCTGACTATGTGAGAGACTCTCTTTGTCTCTGGTTTCATTGTTCTGTTTTACTTTAGTACTTCAACATCCATGTGACCTAATAATTAAAAATAATAATCCAATTCACTCCCTCCTCTTGCGTTTTGAAAAAAAAATGTTTAAAAATCAAAACATTATCCTTCCTTCAAAGCAAAATCTTGAAGATTTTGGTGCTATGCCATCTCTTGCAAGTCATCTTTCACATCTGCCAGGTAAGTGTCTTTTGAATTATTCCAATTCTAACAAGTCCAGACAAACAAAAAACAAAAACTTGCTTCTTCAATGGAAAATGGATCTACATATTAAATCATCAGTGACTATCAATTTTTGGCCCATTTGTTAATGCCACAAAATAATACTAGTAGTTCTATCATCTTTGTTATACCTTGCAAATAATAACATTTTCTGATATATATTATCATTTTGTAAAATGCTAAAGATGATTTGATTATTCCAATTCCAATGAAATATTGGTAACTTTGATCAGTAGTTGACAAAACATCGGTAATGTAATTGGAACCAAAAGAGGCAAGTTGGGTTCACAGGGCACATGGTTGCTTCAAACAATCCCATTACTCCATCCTTTTCATTGTCCCTCTATTTTAGGCTCTTTGTGCTCATCTCTATTCTTTTTCTTTGATCAAAATTATTATACCAAGATTTTTTAATTGTGCTTATATTTATAGTCGTCATATAACAAAATTTATTGTTATTACTTTTTTTTTGCTAAAAAAATTATTGTTATTACCATCTATAGGTTATTTATATACTTTTAATAAAAAAAATTACGTAAGAAGAAATTAGTAACTTAAATTTATAGGATAACGAATATCATTCTAAGAAATTAATACGTAAATATATATTTTTGTCACCCTTGAAAACACCACCAGTCGAGTAACATAATTGAAGATATGTTTATCAGGAAAAGAAACATGATTGAAGATACGAGAGACCAAGGGTCAGTGAACTATTTTGGCAGCACACATGTGACACATATATGTGTATTTTTCCTTTTGGATTTACATTCGTTCTGAAACATTAGTATTTAGCGACCCTTGAAAAGTAAAATTTTATAACGTTCTACGATTTGCAAATTTGAAAAGATGACCCTACATTATTTCCAACTGCAACATGCACGTTCCTCTATTGTTAAAAGATCATTATTATATTTTGAAACATAAAATGATTGATGTAACTGATCCAACGGCTAATTCCTCTCACTAGTTTGTGAATTAGCTACCTAATAAAGATTACATCAATCTTTAAATAACAAATATAATAACTATACAACAAATAATTCATATTGTCGTACATTCAACAACCGAGGTACTCCAAATTAAAATAGAAGTCAAGCACACTCATATATTTTTAATTTTTTTTTTTTTTAAATATAGATATGGAATAGAAAGGTAAAAACCATTATTTACTATTGTAGAATTATAAAATAGTGTCAAAATAAACCGAAGTTAAAAGTTTTTATTGTAAATACACTCTACATAAACAAAACAGCAAAGTTTAGGTAATATGATAACACCATCACGATATATTGTTTAATTCTGACGACACCACATGTGAGATACGAAAATCTTAGTATTTCAAAAATCAAAATGTGGGCAGAGTAACCGATAATCACGCTGATTAACACCTACTTTGATAGCCGTTAAATTAAATAACTAATCAAGAAAAGAAAAAAACACATTGCAGAAACAAAAATAATTGAGAATACATATCATAAAAATGTAAAAAGAGAAGAAGGAATAATAGAGAGAAAGAGAGACTCGTGAGTGAGTCACATATGACGAATAAGTCCAGTTTGGCTGCCAGTCTGTCAGCCCCTACCATTACATTACACCACGGCACCTCTCAAGATTTTTATTTCTTCTTCTCATAATTAACAAAAAGAAAGGCTTATAAGAAAACTTTATAAAACAAAAAAGGAGATAATCACATCACATGGTCTTCTTCGTCGCTGTAACGTTTTACTAAACTAGCCGCCAATTTTAATTAAAGAATTTTTGTTTTTTTTTGTCACGAAGTTTTTTTTTGGTTTAAGCTTTATTTTTATTTTCCTTGTTTTTTTTTTTAACATTAGAAAACTATTAGTTTAGTTTAAAGCCACCCGTTAGTTTCAAAGTGTAAATAACTTTTTTTATGCATCAATTTAACTGAGTTCTTTTTTTTTTACATTAGAAAAATCAATTTTTGATAGTTTCAACAATTAGTAAATCCATAACCTCATTTTGGCCGGATAATGTTATTTAATTTTCTATTGCGATTTTTGAATTTATGACCTTTACCATTTAAAGCTAACAATATTCAAATTTTGTAAATCTTTTTAGTTTATTACAATAAGAAAATTTTGAAGCCTACCAAAAAAAAAAAAAAAGAAATTTTTGAAACTGCTTATAGGATTATAATTTTTAGATCGGTACCTAATCAAGTTTCTGTCTTTTACTATCCGTTGACAAAGAAAAAAAAAAACAGTTTCCTATCAACAATTCACAAATCAAATTTGATTAGAGATACAACAAACTTTAGTCAAAATTATTACACAACAATTTATACCTTTGATCATTCAAACATGAAGGTATATTGTCTCAGGCGTATATGATTTTATTTATATTTATCTAGAAACATAGTAATGTCAATTTTGACAAGAAAACTAGGAAAAAGAAAAAAGAACAATCGAGGAAGGGTCAATAAAGAATAAAAGAAAATTCGAAGAAAATCATGCTTCTTGAATTTTTTTTTATTAGCTTGACTAGTAGATATATTTGACCGGATAAAATAACCGGTTAGAACCGGTCACCTTTAACCGGTCTTCTTACTATAAGAACCACCTCAAACAAGTCGTCTCTCTACACTTGCTTCATTCATTTCTCAAACCGTTTCTCTCTCCTCCGTCGTCTCTGCAGAATCACTCTCTCGCCGGAGTTTTTCACCTGCAGAGCTCTCGATTTTTCTCTCGAGGATCATCATTTTCTTCGGATCAAACACCAGCAGATAGATGGCGTCGAGAAACTCCGTCACCGGATTCGCGTTGTTCAGTTTTGTATTCGCCGTCATCTTATCTCTCGCCGGCGCTCAATCCCTAGCTCCAGCTCCTGCTCCCACCAGTGATGGTAAGCATCTACTTCTCTCTTGCACGATATTCGCATTTCCAGATCTGAATCGTGAAATCTGGAAACAGAAAAAAAAGAAATCGATCTCGAATTCGATTTGGTTTCTCTCTCACATTCGTATTGATATTGAATTTGGTGTTTTTGGTTATGGCAGGAACATCGATAGATCAAGGGATAGCGTACTTGCTAATGGTGGTGGCGTTAGTGCTGACTTACCTAATTCATCCTCTTGATGCCTCTTCTTCCTACTCTTTCTTCTAATCTCTCTCTTTTTCTTCAGTTTTTTTAATTTCTTTTTGCAACTTGTTCTTAGTTTCAATTTGCCTTTTTTTCTTGTGGATAAAATTTTCAGAGTCTGGCTTTTGTTCTCGTCGATTATGATGATTTCTGGAGATTGATGATAGTCTCTATTGTTTGTTCCCCATCACTCCTCTTCCATATTAATTTATTCTTCTTCGTTATAGTATTTGTGTAATGGTCATTTAGCTTAAATTACCAGAATACAATTACCAACTCTTTGATTGGAGAAAAACAAAAAGAAGAAGAAGCAAATCCGGTTTATTGGCCTCACGAAAGAAATCTGACTATTTCAAAAGCCAGAAAATTTGCAGCCGTTGAGTTCAATGCTTTTTGGATTCGATTCTCAAAGTCCATCTTCAGATTATATTTTCTCATGAAAAAGTTTATATAAATCACGGAATTATATATGCCATGCCAAAATCACATGTTATTTATTGAGAAATGATGCCATAAGAATCTCGTGTTAAGAAATAATTTTACTTTGTTCTTACAAAAAATATTAAAACGAAAAACAAATGCAAACAACTTGAATAAATAATATTCCTTCTTGACCCCAAAAAAAGAATAAATTTCACGTTTTGCCTTGTGAAGGTGTAGAAAGCACCTTATACGGCAACAACCTCTTTATTGATTTAGACGCGGAAGGGTTCTTTTTAGCTTCGCATCAAAACAAAATCTGTGTACAGTAACTATAAGTGTTACTGACTTACTGTTGGTGAAAGTTGTGCAGTCCATACTTGACCACTTCGTAAAAGGATACCACAATGGCTACAGATGGTCCTGCTCGTCCCACCCGAGCCCCTGCTCCACTAAACATCCCTCTTATTCCTCCATCCCTATACAAAAACCCGACAGGGATCATAAGTTTGGAACTTTCCAGTGATTATCAAAAAGTGATTTGTCTAATGGATCTCTAACTCATACCTCCAAATCTCTGCTAAGGTTTGTCTAGTGGTCATTGTCATGGCTCTATCTGTATTCTTCTGCAAAATCCAAACAAGTTTAAATGTTACTTGGTTTTAAGATCTCAAACTTTACTTAATGCAGCTGTCTAGAAGCTGGTGATATATTCTAATTTGTAAAGCAACACAGTGGAATAAAGAAAAATAAAGCGAAGGTATGTTTACCTCTATTTGACGCCTAGTCTTTGCAACATCTAGTGGGCAAGTAGCTGCAGCAGCAACTGCACCCGCAACAAAACCAGCAGTGAAGTTCGCACCTATTATACTGCCTGCCCCTGGTTCTTCACCCATGGCCGACTGAATGCTTCTCCGGGTCTAAAGTCACAATGAAACAATCGTGAGGACATGAATGGAAAACACAATGGATTAATATGGATGTGTTTTTCAGAGACAGATTACTACTCACAGGCTCAAGTATTGACCAGCAGATTGCAGAGAATGGAACATCCCTAGCAAGTTGAGCACCAAGACCCGTCCATAACATCCTGTATCCATTATTTGAGCCCTTGACTGGATTGACGACGTCAACTAATGTCTTCCAGACGCCAGGCAGTTTCACATCTCTTTGTGTTCCCTTAAATGCCTGATAGTAAAACAAATGCGTCGATATCCATTGGTTCTTTGTCTATATCTCCTCCACACCATTACATCTACTTTTACTACTTTTACCTTTTTTGTTCATTCAACCGGATAGGTCTCAAGACTACTAACTATATTGTTAACGGGCAATAACGAGGGATCAAATCCTTAAGAGTTACCTGCATCCGTGTCCTTGCTAACTCAACAGGGTAACAAGAGATACAAGCCAAGGAGCGTGCTATTGTCCCGGCAACTAGAGGGACATAAATCGTTAAAGTTGGGGACTTCTCGATCGTGAACTCCTCCATTATGTTGCGAAAATAATCATAACAAGGCATGTAGATCCCAACCTAGCAACATATTCAAAGAAGTAGTAAATAAGTCATGTAGACCCAATGAACAAATAAATTGCAGAAGCAAACAGCATTACTTAAGAGAACTCACAGTTGGAACGGCCAAAGCTAAACTTGCGTTTGTACCTCTCCAAAGCCTAGAGAACCCTTCCTGCATAAAGTTGTTCCTGTGAAACTCTACAAATGAGTAAATAATGAACTAGAAAGAAAACAATTACAACAATCCTCAATAGAGGTATCTATCTACTAGATGATGCTACAACTTCCAAGATAAATTGCATCACACAGACACTATACCAGAAGCCAGTAAAATGAAAGTTCTCAAAGAACATAAGAAATTCACATATATCTCTATATATAGACACCGCAGCTCTTAATACCATATTAATTTCAATATCCAACAATAATCAAACAGAGAAATTGTTCTAACCTGGCGGATAATTTTGTAGAAGACATCAAGAGTTCCCTTGTACTGATTATCTGAGCAAACAGATGCAGAGCCAGTAATTCTACACATCCCTGGAGCAGAATTACTTCTCAAACCATGTACCACCTGCTGCAATAACCAGAAGATAAAAATCAATCCTTTGGCAATCCAGAATCCAATTTAGAGGACTAGCTTATTATCATAATACGAATCAGCTAGCAAAAATACCTTGGAATTCGTATCGAAACAACCAAGACGACACGAGCCTTGATACGGAACTCCTGCAGCCTGTGCTTGTAATCTCGTCTGCTTATTACAAAACACACAAGAAAATAAGCTCAATCAAATTTACACAGACGATTTGATAGCCAAAGTGTGGAAATTTGTTTACTTTCGAACCTTAACAACATCGAGGGGATTAACTATGACCGCTGATAAAAAAGCGGCGCCGCCGGCAGACAAAGCCCTTTCTCCGAATCTCAAATTCTCATTCGGAATCGATTTCGATTTTGAATCCAATTTTGCTTCTTCCACCATCAGGAAAACCAAAACTCAATCACTATAACTTTCAATTTCAATAATCGTTCAGCAATCGAATTCTTCCGTTATGCCGGAATTTTCACGTCGCACGATTGCGAATGGTTGGCGTTCTTCTTAGGGCTTTCCAATTTTGCTTGCATGGAGAAATCCAAAAAGAGAAAGAAATATCTTCGGAAGACGATTTCGTTGCCGCTGATAAATCAACCAGACAAAACACACACTAACACTCTTTGTCGTTTTCAAAACTTTTGACCGCACTCCCTGCCGTTTTTGACTAAGGTTTGTTCACATTATGGGCCTCATATGGGCCTGAAACCTCTTTTTCTAGAATAAGTTTGATCAATAAAATCGTCGCGGTTTTCACTTGACTGGTGGTACTGTAAACTTACTAATTTTAGAGTCGAAGGCCAAATTTAATATGTTTTTGATCAAAGATTATGAACTTTATTTTTCGAAAAAGTTCTATTCATCAAACGTGAGGAGGGTCTATATGTTTGTGAAGACAAGAATGAGAACCAAGCTGGCGAAATCAGTAGTTATAAGTGTCTATTCATCAAACGTGAGAAGGGTCTATATGTTTGTGAAGACAAGAATGAGAACCACGCTGGCGAGATCAGTAGTAATAAGTGTTATCTTTATATTGACCCAATTTCACTATGAGCATTTCACCAACCAGGTACTACCACCTAACACTATTATTTTTAGTGTTATTAGGGAAAACATTAAACACATAATGTGATTTGTCATATTCAAGACCAGCCATTCATCATGAGAACAACAAGAATAGCTATATCTATTGATGAATGATATTATTCATCTAATATATCTTATGTACAGTTGGCTCAACTAGTTGGAAAAATGGTGTATCAAGTCGGATCTAGGTTAGAATCACTGCAACATTCAAAAAAATATTAATTCATTCAATATAGATTTTTTTGAATTAATCCAAATTTATGTATTTTAAACTCTATTTAAAAAAACAACCAAAATATGTTGATATATAAGTTGTTTGGGTTAAAAATGTGAACATTGTAAAGCAAGTGACGTATATCCAACAACATTGTTGCCGATTTCTTCAAATAAAACAGTAGTGTTGTCTCCGAATTGATGTACTTGAAATTTTGATGAATACTTGTGTATCTTCAAATTTTCCAATGTTCGTGCTTGGAATATTTGAATTAATCTGATATTGACAAACAATAACTACTGTAATAAATACATTTGAATCTTTAAAAATCATTCTTTAACATATATAGAAACATACAGTATTTGTGAACAAGTTGGGGGAAACGATACTTTTGCTTTTATTCTTTGTTCTTTGCTTTGTTGCCTAAATTGACAACACAATACCAAAGCATAGATGACAACCCTTTTATCTACCAAAAATGATAGTTCGTAACCACTAATTAACCAGATTTGTATTTGCAAGATAACCGGAGTTAAACCGGGTTATATGTAATTAATACACAAAGTGTAAAAGCGTTTTAAGAAGGGTTCACTTAAAGATCTTATGGGACCCATAACAATCTCATTGGTACAGAGGCAACTTGTCTCACCTCTCAATTTGATTTGGGCCAACCTCTGTCTGATAAAGACATTTCCTTTCGCAACGTGGTTCGCTACATGGGCTTAGAGCCTTAGACCCACTTTTTTTTTTTACTGAGATATTACATGGTCGATATTGCTTTTACAATTTTTAAATTTTGTTCGACTTCATTTAAAAACTTTGTTTACAGAGCATTTCCTGCCACACGCATTAGATGACTGCATTAAAGGGTCGATTGTTCTTTTTAATTTTAATGCATTTGCATGTCTTAATCAAGTAGATCTTAGAATATCTATATCTTGTTTTTGCTTTGTTAAATCTTCATTGTGATTCTATACGCCTAGTGGTCCATTTTTTGCCACACTCATGCCTCATGGATTAATAAATTTTTTGAAAACAAACCAACTTTAAGGTTTTACAAAATATTTTCATATTTATGATTTGATCGGATAAGTGATCTAACATGTATTGTCTCTCTCTTTTTGGTGCAACCATCACTAGATATCTATGGAAAATTGCATTATACTTAAAAAATCACAACATTTTTGAACAATTTTTTTGTTGGTTTGACCATTCAACCACAAAAATCAAAGGTTTCAGTTTTGATTGTTGTTAAAATTTCTGATAGAGGAATGGGGAGCGCTCTGCTTCTGAAGGAAAAAGAGGGTTTCAGGGCAGTGTAGTCACACAAACACTTCGGGAAGCCAAAAACGGTCTGGTCCAATTCCAATTTTTAAAACACGAAAGAGACAAATCTACTCAACTGGTCAAATTAAACCTCGAACGGACCAATACTGTTGTTATTGCTGTTTTTGGTGAATGGTCCTTTTTTATTTCTAAAACATCACAGACTTCTTTCTCTTCTTCTATTTATTCTCCTATTGATTTATATTTTAATGGTCATTTTTACTTCATTCTCTTCACAATTGTAAAAAGAAAGTAAAAATGTTGAAGAAAAAAACATAGTTAGTAGAAGTGTAAGAAAAGTCTACAATCAAATTAAAAACATTTCCTAAAGTAGACAGAGAGTGACAGGTTGAACCCATGTGAATAAATAAATGACAATTCCATAAGACGTTTTTATGTAATAATATTAGGAAACGTCGTAATCGAAAGATTGATAGATTAGAAAGTAAATAATTAAAATGTTGTAGTGGGGGACTAAGGTCAACGACAAGATCATGAGAAGTCTTCTTCTTCATTGGAAAACTCTTTCCTTTAAATTTCCAATTTGCCAAAACAGAGCCTGTGGTGGTCTTTGACAGAAAGACATCTAAGTTCATGTCCCAATACATTGTCTTTCTCTACTCCTCACTGTTTCATTGCTTTTTTTGCTCCATTGAATATACATTCACTCAATACATAATTCACATCCACACCCATGTACAAGAAAATGACCTATTTGGTAATTAAGAAGACATCAATTTTCTCCTTAAAAAGAGATGTAAACCTAACTTTGTATTGTTTGGTTTTGCTGTTTGTATCGAATCAAATGAACTATTTGCGTAGACATGGACCAAATTTTGTATACAAGAAAAAAAAGAGTGTAGTAATTGATTGTCTTTGAAATTGAGAAGGTTGTTAAAGTGGAGACAATGTGTAGGGTAATACATGATTCAATGAGTTGGTTCTTCACATTAATGGGCATTGTTGCTCTGACACTTAGTGCCAAAAAAGAAGAAAAAAAAAGCACAAGAAGATGGTTGTTTACTCTTTAGATATAAAACAATTTGTCTTTTGACTATATGTACATTTAAAATTAGATAGTTGATTTGGTCTTAATCCATATAGTTTTTTTTTTTTTTTTTAATCCATATAGTTAGGATCTTAAGATATTTTCCTGATTTTTTTTGTCTTATTTAAATTATCTATTTGTTTAGGAGAGAAGAATTTGATTGGATGTTTATATGTACAAGAAAAATCAAATAAAATGACAAGTCACATAAACCCCACTTGCTAGAGAGATTCATGCGAAGGAAACAAAAGACAAAGATTTGCACTAAATAAATACTTTTACCAATAATAATAAATATATATACGGTCTATATACTGCTTCCTTGCATAGTGACAGACTCGGAGAGAAACCAAACAACAAAAACCTCCCAAAATCCCCAATTCAAAACCCCCCTAATAATTTAAACTCTCACAATCTTAACACTAATTACTATATTTACTCGCAAATTAAATTAAAAATTCTCCAATAGATAAATAAAAAACTCCGTTGCGCTTCTTCCGCTGATCGGAGCCGTCCACGAAAGGGAAAACGGACGGCTAAGATTCATCCCCGTCGTTGTCATCAAACCACTCATCACTCACACAACCAAAAAAGAACCCAGAAAATTTCTGAGGAAGAACCAACTTTAAACTCTATTACTTATCCAACAAATGATCTTGGAAAAATTCGTCAACGTCCCATGAGCTGAAATCGCCGATCACTCCCAACGGAAAACTCTCGGACAGATTCGTTTCTTTATCAGACACTGTGTTGTTGTTGTTGTTTGGTAACAACGACTGGTGGATTTCGTCTAGAAACAAAGGATCAGGGGTAATTTCGGAATCCCAAAAATAATCTCCGGCGCGAAATAAATCAGGCAAGAAAAACGGATCCGAGACCGGAGTTTGTTCTTCCTTTGGCTCTGTTCTGTACTCTGTTTCGTCGTTGTGACTAAACCGGAGAACAGAAGTCGGAGAAGACAGACTGATTTGTGAATCTCTCGCCGAATCACAACCAGAGACCGTTTCAAGATCAATCACCGGAGTTTTCGGCAACACCTCAGTCGTCGGACTAGGAGGAGGAGTGAGAAAATTCGTCTGAGCGTTATGTCCTTTGAGTCGAATCGCGGCTCTATCGTAACCTATAGCAGCTTCCTCCGCCGTGGCGAAAGTTCCAAGCCAGAGTCGAGTACGACTCGAAGGATCACGAATCTCCGCCGCGAATTTTCCCCAAGGTCGTTGTCTCACTCCTCTATACTTCACAACAGGCTTCACCAAATCACCACCGTTCACCACCGCCGCCGCCGCGGCTGTTTTATTCCTCGCTTTCCTCGCCGGTTTAGGGTCATCGTCGTCTTCACCGAACCTAATCTCTTCCACATAACGTTTGACCCTCGGAGCAACAGATTTGTTGTCGTTTTCCTCATCACTGGAAGAATCAGTAGCACATGGGTCAGTGACGATGATTTTCACAACCTTTGGGAAACCGTCGAACGGAACGGAGGTGGTTTTCCGGTGAACCGTGTACTTTGCTTTTCTCACTCGGCTTTTCATTTCTCTTTAGTTGCCGGAGAAGAAGAGAGAGAGAGTAAAAAAGTTTTGGGAGGAAGAAGAGTCAAAAAGGCTACGAAGAAAGAAATCGCCGTTTCTTAGTAACATCCCTTCTTAAATATAGTCACGCCTCCCATTTAGTGTTTTTTTTTTTCCATTTTTCAAAATATTATTATTTCCTTTTTTTGTTGTTTTTTGCTTTTTCCTACTTTCTTTCTTTCTTGATTTTCGAAAATTTCGTTATCGTTATGGAATTTCCGAGATTTTGGCCGTATCATAATTATGTTTTCTGTAAATGAAAATATTAAGTAAGGTAATTAAGAGAGAGATTAGTGGGCGATTCAAACGACTAGCCGCTTCTCCGATCAGAGAGCTAGATTTTGGACACGTGGATTATTTGGGTATAAGAGCTTCGGTTATGGTCACTCTATAGCTTGGTTTACAAGCAACTTTGACTATTGAACCACGACACGCGCCCATAGGTGTTCGTGAAAGTCATGCGCGCTAATGAGAATAAATGGGCCTTCTCTCACGTGAGACTGGTCACAGTACTGTCACTCACTCCTTTTGACCCACTACCATAATTATGAATTTTATGGTAATGATGTTATTGGAATGTTTTTAAAGTTTTTGGGAAAGAACATTGATATTGTTAAGATTATCTCGATCTTGATTTGAATTAAGAATGTTTTAATTTAGGGAAATTATGATCTGTTTGCTTGGAGATCAAGTGATTGCACCCATTAAATAATTTATTTCCTTATAATGATAATATTCAGCTTTAAAACTGGACACTGGAAAGAAAAAAAAGAATCAAAATTCGGAAAACTTTCCTGAAATGATAGTTTTCGCAATATATTTTGGCACTTATTTATGAGGAAACAATATTTACCACAACTTTAATTACAGAAAAACATTTGGTTCATAAACTTATAATAATCAGTTTCTCTTTATTTGTTACTGAAGTTCTGACCAAGTCAGGTTCTTTTGTATATTTTTCAGGGATCTAGGCCGATTCATTTTCTTTGGTAAGTTGTTATAAAAAATCTGGGGTCATAACTCATAACCAAGTCTTTCGTTTTTGTTGAATAAAAGCAGTTTCGGAAGAAAATCAATTTAAAATAATTAAGAGATTCGTACCGGGAAATAAATAAGGAATATTATAAATCTATAATCAAAAAATTAATTTATATAGTATGTGGCGTGCATTAACATGCATTAATCTATTAATAGAAAGAAACGAAAGAGAGGAAACAAAAGAGAAATTGGACTTATCTTATTAGGGCCACATGAACAACCTTGTAGACAAAGCGATAACAAAAGAAATTGCCACGATATGCGTTGGACGTTGAGGCATGAAAGTATTTTTGTTTCACCTAATTATTATTTGCTTTTTGGTTATACGAGGTATGAGTTGGTGTAGGTAGGAAACGAGATGGTCTTTGTATTATCGTCTACATGGTTTTCTCTCTGTTTTATTATTGCATTTAGTTGAAGGGAATAAACATCGTGAACAAGTTTCACTTTTTGAATCAGTTCATCATCATATACTTAAAATAAATAAGATAAAACAGTCATCGACTCTCTTCTCCTTCGTTTGGCTTCTCTTCCGAGTTCTGACCTGTGATCTAGTTTGATCCTAAATCGTTTTAATATCTGTATAGTGAGAATTTTGCAGAAAGAAACCTGCAGTCGTACGATAGATAATACTAAAGATAGTACATTCTCATTTCTCAACTAGGCAGTATACATCTAAAATATCCTCTATCACTTCTACAAATCATATTGAATGACAAGTGCAGCTCTCTCTCTCTCTCTCTATAATGATACACATGGGGAAAAATTAACTTATATTAGTGGGTTTTTTGTGTTATTTTTGGACTTCTAATTCTGAATAAATATTTCTTAAGCCATTTTTTCTGGTTAGCTGTTTATTGATTTTATTGTCAATGGTTAGCTACTTAATCGTTCACTACTTGTCTACTTGTTGAAGATAAATATAGTAAACTCAACAACATATTTTGATTTAACCAGAAACTAAGTTTGTAAAAAACACAACCTCAAAAAAAAAAAAAAAAAAACTGATATCATGCCTAACTTAATTTCTAAATTTAACCAGATTATTTTTCAGAATCCAACTTAACATTTACCAATTTAGGCCCCAAAAATGGCACAAACCAACAAACACCATTCGGAATCTATCTTTTTGGTCACAAAACATTTAAGCCCATATACTCTACGGGCCCATTGGTGTCTAACATTCATACACCACCTGAACAACAATTCCCACCATTACACAAAAATGTCGAAAATATTCTTAAAAATAAATAATCACCACATTACAGTATGTTTTCCTCTCAAATAAATTACCCACATAAAGTACACAGACAAAAAAAAAACTATCACACACAAAAAATAAAAAACACAACACTCCCTAAGTATGCCCCCTCAATGAATTTGATCAAATGCCCCCAAAAATAAAAATTAATAACATGTATGGAGTATGAAAATATAAAATTTTTAAAAAGGAAAAACATTATATCTACAGTAAAGTTACAAATATTTATACGGATGCTGTTGTTAGATCACCGTCTTTTCCAAATCCTCGAATCCTTGCGTCTCGCTACTGTATATTTAACCTGCAATGTAATAATTAATAATCTCATAAAGTTTCGAAAATTTGGATGTAATTAACATCAAAAACCAAATCCTAATTACTGATAAAAATTTACCATTTGAGTGTATTGAGGGTGCATTGAGGTGAATCAGTATCAAGCTTGTTCAAGCTAACGCCACCGCATCTCAAATTAACGGCGAGCATTCCGATCTTAATTCCGCCGACACCTAATCCAACTTTAGTCTTGGCAACAACATTAATCACCAAATCTTTGCTTTGAAATTTCGCAGCGAGTCTCTTAGCTAATCCTCTCTCCACGAGCTGATTCTTCACCGTCGTCTCCACTTTCACGCTCGTCGAGTTTTTCGGACCTTGTCGGAACCCATTCACCGTCGTCTCTCCCATCCCGGTCTCGTCGTTTCCTGAACCAACGCTCATTTCCACGTCCGTGTTTCCGTAGTAAAAGACAAGTTTCGAGTTCGGATTCTTCATCTCAACGCGGGCAACGGCGGTGGCGGAGAGAGACGCGCCGTCGGGATCGTCGGCGAGTTTGAATCCGTCGAGACGGAAGGAAGCGAGGCTGAAAGTAGGAAGCTTAGGATCGAACCAGAGGTAGAAAACAGCTGTTCCGACCAAGAGGAGGAAGATGAAGAGGACAAGAGTAATGCAGATGCAACAGCAACAGAAACGACAACAGCTTCTGCGTTTTTTCTTTGGTCGGTAAGAAGTAGGCATAGGGACGGCTTTTCTCATTGGTTGTTGAGAGATGGGGGGAGGAGGAGGAGGAGACGACATGTTTGGATCTCTGTAACCTGGTGGTTTTTGAAGAACCGGTTTCATCTGATAATCTGCCATTTTTTAAATTCTTCACACCTCTCTGACGATCTCCTGATAAATCGTATCAAAGAAGATCAAAACGAAATCAATCTCTCTGTTTTTTAATAGCAAACAGAGGTGGAATTGATGAGAAGGGGTGGGAGATGAAACCTGAGGAGATATCTTGAATATGGAGAGAGAGAGAGGCGATGATGATGATGATGATTGCAGGCAGAGATGGAAACTTTGTTTCTAAGAGATTTTGAGTTTTTTGGAAGAGAGAGAGATTTTTTGTGTTGTGTTGTGAACTCTGTTGCTAATGGGAGAAGGGTGAGACGTGAGGAAGGGAATTCGTTTTTGTTTTTAGGCCCGAGACTCACGCGCGCCGTTTTTGTTGCTGACGTGTTCCCTCTTTTTTCTCTTCTTCATACATTCATCAAAATATTCAAATTCAGTTATTATAACGTGCTGATTAGTTTCGATTAAAACTGATAATCAAATTCTATTTTAGTTTAATATAATCACTTCAATATTTTACTACTACGGTATATTAATTACACATATGTTTTTAATAAGCTATGTAAAAGTTGTGAAATAAATCATTTCACAATAAAACTAAAAATTGAAATTACAAAGAAACAAAATTTTATAACAATCTAATTGTATAAAAGTATATCCACATTGAAAAGTATCTTTAATCAAGTGGTTTAAAATATTCGCGTTATTTAACGATGAATGGATTTGGTTATGGATCAGATTTTCTTTTACAAGTAAAATTAAAAAAAGAAATTCTATATACACATCTTTAAATTTATTTTCATTTTTAGGAATTTAAAAAAAATAAAAAATACATAAGTTTTCAATCTATACTATTAATTGGGAAGCACTCAAACATAAATAACCTTATAAAGTGTAAAGTATTACAAAAATGCCATTAGTTTTAGTTTTTAAATAAATTAATTAAAGATACAATAGTAATCACAAAATAATATATTTAAATAAAAAATAATAAAATTCTTTAAAGTAATTATTAGTTTCCAAAAATTAAACTCACTTTCTCTCTCTTATTAATTATGGACGAAAATTATATAAAAAATTTCTAAAAAGTTGTTAACCAATGAGAATTGAAAAACTAAGATTTGATATCCAACTAAAATTTTATCTAAACCAATCCTAATAAACTATTCTATATCAAAAATAAAAAGAAAAATAATACCATTTTAATTCAAAATTAAAAACACTATAGTTTAAAAAAATTTATCAATGGAGGATTTTAAGATTGAATTTGAAATTTTGTAAAAAAATTAAATACAAATATTTAAGACTCTGTTTTGTTATAATATTTTCACAAATTTTGAAATATAAAACAAAATTTTATTTCACAATTTCTAAAAAACGATATTGGGTATTCATTTAGAGCAAGTTTCAGAAAAATCTAAACAATAGACTGTACATATTAATTTCGAAATATTTTGTGTTTTCTTTTTTTTTCTTCTCAACCGGATCTTCCTTAAACCAATCCATAATATATTGCACACAGTTTTCGAAATAAAATGAAAATAGAAATTACAAGATGGAAAGGGAACATATATTAAAAATCAAACTAAATACCCAACTGGTATGAGTTCGGGTTATGAGCACTATATAAATAAATTTGTTTACACACATAACCATGTACATACGTTTTCAGTTACACATACTCTATTTATGACAGATATGGGACCGTAATATTTTTATTTTACGTGTACGTGACAGGTTATGGGACAAAGAATTTATGAGAGATACCGGACGGGATATGTTTCCTGTTCCAAAATAGTTACGCCTTGCTAATATAAATGAAATAACCCTAACTAAAACCGAATTCATATCCTATTTAACATATGTAATCAAACTGTTACAATTGTTTTGATTAGTTAAGAAAATAAAAATGTAACACCATTTAACTTTTGCAACTAAATTAGTCCGGATCTTAAAATATAATTATGCATTAACGCAACTGAATTTTTTGTTCATTACTCTAACTTTATAATATTTGTATTATTACGAAGTTCACTAATACAACAAAATATTTTATATTTTAAAAATCTATATAACAATTTCTATAAAAATATTTCTACACGTACGTGGATCCAGATCTAATACACTAAAATATATATCATAAAACAACAAAATAATCTATATTGAATTAAATTTTGTTAAAAAAATTTTAAAATATAAAACCCCGCACGTATGTGCGGGTCATGATCTAGTTCAGTTTAAAACGTCTACATAAAAGATAAAACTATAGTTTTATAGTTTCATAGTTTTATAATGTTTTTATATTTTGTAAACATTTTTTTGATATCAATATATTTGAGTTGACCAAAAAAAGAAGAAGATAAAACTATGAAATTCCATCAACTTATTAACTTATTATGCCAAAAATGTATTTATGCATCACTCTGTAGCCTCTTTCTTTTCTAAGACATGAAACAAATAAATCACCTTATTAATTTGATTAGATATGCTAAATAAAATGGCATGGATCCTATTGATTACATGTTTAGCCCACGCGGACTTTGTTTCGAGCCCGTTACTGCCACGTGGCTCCATGGAAGTAATTTACCAGTTGTACCCTCACCGCTTAAACGAATTCACAAGATAACCTAAAGCCCTCAAAATCTCACTGAACGCTGGTCTGGTCTCACTGAACGCCTGGTCTCATCGAAGCCGTCTTTGAACCGTCGCCTCCTCCGTCATGACAATGGCTTGCGTTAATCCCGAAGGTCTTCGATTAGATGATCGCCGATTCAACCAAGTCTGTACGCATATCTCTTCCTCTGTTTGGTTATGTACTTATTTCCGCTTATTGTATTATCTTCTGTTCTTTCTTTTGAATCGATTTCGTATCTGTTTTCAAGATGCGAAGCTGTTCGCATCAAACCCTAGAAACGAGGATGAGGCCGATCTTGATGAAGGGACACGAACGTCCATTGACATTCCTCAGGTACAACAGAGATGGCGATCTGCTTTTCTCCTGCGCCAAGGACCACACTCCCACCCTCTGGCTTGCCCATAACGGCGAGCGCCTTGGAACTTACCGTGGCCACAATGGTGCTGTTTGGTGCTGTGATGTCTCCCGTAAGTTGATGAAATGGATTCAATTTAGCTTCTCAAATTCATATCTTTTAGTCTTTCAATTTAGGGTTCAAGTCGATGTCTTTGTTGTTTTAGTCTTTCAAATAGTAATGTTTGGTTATTTTTTTTGTGATTTCTTAGGAGACTCGTCAAGATTGGTCACTGGTAGTGCTGATCAAACTGCAAAGCTCTGGGATGTAAAATCTGGAAAACAATTATTCACATTCAATTTTGGTTCTTCGGCGAGGTCTGTGGATTTCTCTGTTGGAGATCATCTTGCAGTGATTACCACTGATCACTTCATGGGAGTTTCCTCTGCTATTCATGTGAAACGCATTGCGGAAGATCCCCAAGACCGTAAGTTGTCAATTCTAGGCTCAAATCTTATCTACTTATGATTTTTAGCCTTATGTCTTGTATGTCTAAAAGGAAATTGGTTTAATGCAATGGTGTAGAGGTTGGTGATTCTGTGCTTGTCCTTCAAAGTCCTGACGGAAAGAAGAAGATCAATAGAGCTGTTTGGGGTCCTCTGAACCAAACTATTGTTAGTGGTGGTGAAGATACTGTTATCAGAATCTGGGATACCGAGGTAGCTCATATTGCTTGATGGCTTTCTTTTGTCTATCCATTTCCCTTTTAAACCTTATGTGGTGCTACTGCCATTGTTACTAGACCGGAAAATTGCTCAAGCAATCAGATGAGGAAGTCGGTCACAAGGAGGCCATTACATCGCTCTGCAAAGCAGCTGATGACTCTCACTTCCTTACAGGTTCACATGACAAAACTGCAAAGGCATGTGGTCCTTTCTGTTTCGAAGTTTTGCACCATACATATAGAGATAAATCATCTAATAGAGTGTTCTTTTTGTTGATTTTTTCAGCTTTGGGATATGAGAACGCTGACTCTTATTAAGAGTTATACCACAGTGGTGCCTGTAAATGCTGTTGCCATGTCTCCACTTCTCAACCATGTATGAATTAATACTTCTTGAAAATTCAAATTCTATTTTCAAAATCAACAAGTCTTGATGTTAATCTTTGTGAATGTTTCTGCTCTCTCTTAGGTTGTGCTTGGAGGTGGTCAAGATGCATCAGCTGTGACTACCACTGATCATCGTGCTGGGAAGTTTGAAGCTAAGTTTTACGACACGGTTAGTGTGTTACAATTAGAAATTTTTATTTGAAAACATGTAACCTGGAAAAGAGATATATAAATGTGTATTTGGTATTATAATATATAGATTCTGGAAGAGGAAATAGGTGGTGTGAAAGGTCATTTTGGACCTATAAATGCGTTGGCATTCAATCCTGATGGGAAGAGGTAAACTAACAACATTTGATTTTGATTGATAGATTGATACAATCCTCACATGATGAGGTTTTGAGTGTGATTTTGGCTTTGTTACTGAGTTTGTGGAATGTATTTTTCAGTTTCTCTAGTGGAGGTGAAGACGGCTACGTGAGGCTGCATCATTTTGACTCCAATTACTTCAACATCAAGATTTAGTTAGATTCTTTAAAAAGTCAAAACCATTTTTTTATCATTCCGCATATTATTTTCTTTTTTTAACATTTTCAGAATTTTATGTAGGAACTACTAAATTACCAATATAATACTACTTTGATAATAAAGCTTTGGAAATAATTTATGGCATAAATGTGTATGGCATAAATGTGTTTTAACAAACAACAATTCAAACGTAAATATAAAAAATCTATTTTTTTTCAAATTGACATGCACACAACAAAAATGAAAAAAAAAAACCTAAGAAGCTTTTGAGAAACGAAAATACTAAAATATGCGCAATAGGAGGGGCTCGAACTCACCAAAAAGGGAAGAAGTTTAAAACGCCGAAGCCAGTGAGCTAATAATGAATTTTCTATTCTCTAACCTATAGGGCTTAGAGAATATAACTAAGTAGTGGCATATCAAGTAATTTAAAGAATGAGACAAGGTTAAAATTGTCAAATGAGAGCACAAAGTTGATTTCCTAGGGTTTTTGCTTTTCCTCTTCGTTTCTCGTCGTCTTCAAGTGACCAGGTGAAGAAGAAAGCCGTCTTCCATAATCGTTTCTTCAATTATCTTCTGTTCTTTCTATTGATTCGATTTCGTATTTTTTTTCAAGAGTCGAAGCTCTTCGCTTCAAACCCTAGGAAATTGAAGATGAGGCCGATCTTGATGAAGGGACATGAACGTCCATTAACGTTCCTGAGGTACAACAAAGATGGCGATCTACTTTTCTCCTGCGCCAAGGATCACACTCCCACCCTCTGGTTTGCCGATAACGGCGAGCGCCTTGGCACATACCGTGGCCACAACGGTGCTGTTTGGTGCTGTGATGTCTCCCGTAAGTGTATCAACTTCTCAGTTATTTCTGAAATTGATTCAAATTGTATCGAGTAGATGATTAAATTCAATGTTTCCCTTAGCTACAAGGCTTGTTTAGGGTTTATAGTATCGAGTGAATGTTTAGTGATTCGTTTGTGATTTGTTAGGAGACTCGTCAAGATTGATCACTGGTAGTGCTGATCAGACTGCAAAGCTGTGGGATGTGCAATCTGGAAAAGAATTGTTCACATTCAAGTTTGGTTCCCCTACGAGGTCTGTGGATTTCGCTGTTGGAGATCATCTTGCAGTGATTACCACTGATAACTTCATGGACCGTATGGCTGCTATTCATGTGAAGCGTATTGCGGAAGATCCTGAAGACCGTAAGTTATACATTCTAGGTTGAACTACTACTTAAGTTTTAGCCAATTTCTTTTATGTGTTAAAGGAAAAGTTGTTTGTTTGATGCAATTCTGTAGAGGTTAGTGATTCTGTGCTTGTCCTTCAATGCCCTGACGGAAAGAAGAGGATCAATAGAGCTGTTTGGGGTCCCCTGAACCAAACTATTGTTAGTGCTGGTGAAGATACTGTTATCAGAATCTGGGATACTGAGGTAACTCATATTTCTTGTGGGCTTTCTTTTGTGTATCAGTTTCGCTTTTTATGTTATTAGCTTTAAACTCTGCGATGCTACTGCCATTGTTGCTAGACTGGAAAATTGCTCAATGAAACAAATGAGGAAGTGGGTCACAAGAAGGCCATTACATCGCTCTGTAAAGCAGCTGATGATTCTCACTTCCTTACAGGTTCACATGACAAAACTGCAAAGGCATGTGCTTCTTTCTTTTACTTCTTATTCTTGTTTCAAAGTTTTGCACTATACATATAGAGGTAAATCATCTAATAGAGTGTTCTCTTTTGTTGATTCTTTCAGCTTTGGGACATGAGAACGCTGACTCTTATTAAGACTTACACCACTGGGGTGCCCGTAAATGCTGTCGCCATGTCTCCCCTTCTCAACCATGTATGCACTAATGTTTCATGAAATTCAAATTCGAATCCAGAATCAGCAAGGCATGATGTTATCTTTGTGAATGTTTCTGCTCTCTCTTTTAGGTTGTCCTTGGAGGTGGTCAAGATGCATCAGCTGTGACTACCACTGATCATCGTGCTGGAAAGTTTGAAGCTAAGTTTTACGACAAGGTTAGTGTTTACAATAAGAGTGTTTTACTTGGAAACATGTAACATATATATAACTGGATATATATAACTGTGTATCATTGTGTTTGGTATAATATATAGATTCTGCAAGAGGAAATTGGTGGTGTGAAAGGTCATTTTGGACCTATTAATGCTTTGGCATTCAATCCTGATGGGAAGAGGTAAATTAACAACATTTGGTTTTGATTGATTGATACTATCGTCACATGATGAGATTTTGAGCGTGTTTTTTTTGGCTCTCTCACTAAGTTTGTGGATGTATTTTTCAGTTTCTCCAGTGGAGGTGAAGACGGTTACGTGAGGCTGCATCATTTTGACTCCGACTACTTCAACATCAAGATTTAGATTCCGACTACTTCAACATCAAGATTTAGATTCTTTGAAAAAGTCTCCCATTCCGGATTTTGTTTTCTCGCTCTTTTAACATTTTCATGTTTTTATGTACTACCAATACCAATACCAATACTTTGATGATAAAGCTTTTGAATTTTGGCAGAATCAAGTTTTCATTTCCAGAGTTCTCAGTACAAGTTAGTTAACCTGCTCTATGTGTGAGCATTACTATTCAGTTTCTCCACCAAGAAAAGTTGCCTTATTGATCCAATTTTATAAAAAAATTGGAGAAATAAGACACGATTGTAGAAAAGAATCGTTGTTGTGTGCTTGAAAGTCCTCAAGAGTCGAGAGTAGCTAAGAAAATCACCCAAAGACAAAGAATCATAATGCAGCAAGATGTTTGTGTTCTTCCTCATTACAAGACAACATATAGCTTCTAAGTAGGTTATGGGCCACTAGTTAGAGTTAGGCCCATATCAGATGGGTTTCATAAGTTCAGTAGTTATAGGTTAAGGTTGAGAGTTCAAGAGGCTAAACTAGAACCAATGTTAGTCCTTGTAAAAAAAAAAAAACAGATTTATATAAAAGAGTCAGCTGGTACTTAAAATTATAGTTTTGGACCTTTTGGTTTCTTTTATTTTTGCTTCTCTTTTATATAAATCTGTTTTATTTATACAGCCCATTCCAGCTCGAGTGATTAGGGACTATGGGTTACACTTCCCCGCCACTGTAACCTTGGTCTACCCTCTTGTGGCGAAGTTTGGCACAATTGACAAAGATAATTAAGAGCCGCTCGAGTCAAGGATAGACAATGAACTCATGTCTGTCAATGTTTTGACCAAATAAATTTTAAATCATAAAGACATAAACATGAAATAATTAAAATTCATATATAGTTTTGAAATGCAAATGAAACACCATAAAACTAAGAAAAAGATTAGATATTGATTGTTTTTCAACTAATTTCACCAATATGGTTTTGTGTTTACCCAACAAAGCATCTATTGATTTTTATTATGAAAACTGTAAATCGACAAAAATAAATGTGCAAAAATAATGTAAAACATAAGTGAAATACTTTTACGTATATACATTATGTGTTTTGTAATAGATGAAAGTAGCTCTCCGAATGTCATAACCTCTCTTTTGTTGCTACTTGCTACTTGCTACGTTAGCGCTTCCCGAATACAAAGTTCTTTTATTTTATTTTGAGAATTGTTTTTGTGTAGCCAATAGGCCATTCCATTTCTACAACATTATTTATTTATCTCGAGTACATTCAGACTATGGAAATAAAACAGGTCGTTTTGTAATCTCATGTTCCTAGTGAATTAATTGCTTTCCTCTTCTTCTTAAATGGATTCGTCTCTTTAGAAAAAAGGAAAAGAAAAAAATCCATTATGCATGAAACCTTCAAAAAATAAACAAAAGCTTACGCAAAGTAACAACACCGATCTCATAAAATTACATCAGGTCTACGTGCAACAAAGGAAGCCATTTATAAAACAAGAAAAGCCTCTCTATATTAACAGTAACAAACCACAACACCAAATTTTCATCTGGAGGAAAAGCTTCTCTTTCTCCCTCTCTCCGAAAATTTATAGATCAATAATCATCACATCTCTCTGATCTCAACTATACTATCTATGAAGTTTTCTGAAATTAGTATAGCACTTGTTTCCTTTGTTTCTGTCGACAAATTAAGTAGAAATCGACACCCGAATTATCATCGATTAGCCCGCAGCTACAGCATTAGCTCGGGGCTTCGTATCAAGCAGTTGATGCAATTTGCTTGTAGAGTTAGAATCATTGTCTCCTTGGTTCTTGTTCTTGTCTCCAGCTCCTGAGTTTTTAACTCTAGACAACATTTTCCCGGAGACTCTCTTTTCAGGTTCTGAACATTTCAGTTTGTCCTGCAACCCAAAAAGAACCGGACATGTTCAAGAAAATGACACACCTTCATAAAAGATCATCTGTTGATTAATGCTTTCTTACCAACAAGGTTGCATTTGCTCCTCTTAGTTTATCCGATTTCTCATTAAGTTGGTTTAGTTCAGATCTTAGTGCCATGTTTTCGGCTGTCAAGGCTTCGACTTTCCTAGCAAGTTCTTCCGTCTCGGCCTTCAAAACAAGGAAAGACAGAAAGTTTTATTAGCTTGTCAAATGTTTTGGTGAGAGCTAGTCACACTAAGAGAAAGAATATCTAAAGAGCTTCACTGTTTCTTTCATTAACCCAACCTGTTTTCTTAATCTTGACCTTCTAGCAGATTCTCTATTAGACTGTTTCCTTCGCTCCCGTTTCAGTTCTCTCTCGTTCTGAAGACAAGAGTGGATACATGGTGAGGGAAACGGAACAAATTAGCTCAAAAATCCAACAAGTGGAAGTTTAGAATAAGTCACAGGGTACCTGAGGCCAAGTTTCAGGAGGAACCATGGCTAAAGATTGTGACATGAAGGAGTTGGAATTTGCACTTACACCAGGAGAGAGTATAGCTGATCCTTGAATAAGTTTTACGCCGGTATCACCACTTGACGGAGAAACAGAATGAAATGAGCTAGATTGTACCAATTGTTTCCCATCTGCCAAAAAAACCAAATGAAAAATCCTGTTATATCGAATATTAACACTGAGTCTAACTCTTTGGGACATGAAAAAGGCTATATACCTTTTGTCGGAGTTCCCTCTCGACTTCTTTTAAGTTTCGGTTCATCTGCCTGGAAACATGCAAAAGGTTTTAGGCTTTAGACCATCATATAAAAACTAAAGATAGCTGAGAGCAAGAGAAGAGGAACATTACCCCAGTTGTATTCCCATCACTTCCATCAGTTGAACCATCAGTTTCTGAGCTGTTCCGTGATCGTTTATGTTCATCTGCACCATTTTCAGGATTCCCATTTCCTAGAGACATAGCAAGCCCATCAAACTCTTTCAGCTTCTTCATCAATCCATTGTCTGTGTTCCCTGTAGATTTAGTAGGAGTGTCGATGCTCAAATGAGTCCCCGGCTGCCATAAATAAGGACCCCCATTAAACAGCGAACAAAACCATTTCTCAATCCTTGATGTATCAAACTACTTATACAACTTACAGTTGTTAAAGGTGGAGCCTTTTGACCTTGAGGCTGTGATCCCTGTCCACAGAAACTCAAGCCAGTCAGATAAAAACGATCAAGATCAGGGATGATTCAACTACGAGATGTTTGAGGAACTGAATTACTATATACCATGGGAATTCCGGGATGAGCGTAAACTCCTCCTCCATGAGGATAAACCGCAGCATAGGGTGCTCCATATGGTGACATCATATGCTGAAAGATTCAAGACCACCAAAACACCAATGAAACGTCTTCCTAATCTTAACCATATTTGCACAAGATGATTCGAGTATGTGTAAACTACCTGAGGATTCCACATGTAAGGAGGAGGAGGATGACCAGATGCAGCCAAAGCTGAATTGTAATAAGGAGGCATTGCAACTCTTGGACCATAATATGCCTAGCAGCAACATATCATGAATCATTTTTATTATCATCAACATGGTATTAGTACTAGTACATAAACTGGAGAGTAATTAAAAAAAAAAAAGACTAACCTGCATAGCTGCCCAATCAGGGTACACATGAACATTTGTTTGATCCTATCAACAAACAGTCAAGTCAACGCATAAGGAATTTACAGAAAAACTAATTTTGACTTGGGAATTATGGTTTGGAAACTGTTGAACATACCACCGGAGGTGAAGATGGTTTATCTGATTTGGTAGGCTTTGGTTCCTCGCTGTTATTTCCCATAGGACTGGTTTAAAGTTTTCCCACTAAAGAGAACAATGACTCTTTCTGCAAAATCAAGGGATGTTGTTGTTGTTGTGTGAGAAATAGAGGGACAGAGAAGGGTAAAATAGTATTTCTCCGTCCAATTCTATGTTCAGAAAACTTTCATGAAGACAAAAGGAATCAACAAAGTAGTTACTAATGGACAATTCTACCCCTGAAAAACAATCACATGCACACAAAAAAAAGCTCTGTTCTCCTCTCCGCTTTTGCTGTTTTTTGCTTAAATTCAAAAACTTCAAAACTTTAATTCAATTTTGTAAATGCTAAGCAAACGATCAAAAACGCAAAATCTTTCACAAATCCTATGAATTTTTATCCCAAAACTAAGAAGACCAATGAATGATGGAGAAACCAAATCATAGACTCTTCGACCAAACAATCTAAGTTACGCAATACCTTCAAGAATCCGAAAGCTCCTTGAAGAAACGTAAGAAGAAGATGAAGAAGAAGCAGCTTAAACAGACACAAACCCAGAAATTTAAATCGCGAATTCGAAACCTAAACAGCAATGAAACGCATTTTCATCTTTCTCTCTCTAAAAAACCAGAGCGAAAAAGAGTTCAGTTTTTTTTTTTTTTGTTGAGGGAAGAAGGGAGACGAGAGAGAGAGAGGAAAAACGGAGCGCCAAGACGATGACCACGTCATCAGACACGTGTCAAGCGAATATATAACAGCGTAAACTACGGTGGTGTTTGATGAGTTGGCTCATCGAGTTTAGTGCCAGCCATTTCTTATGTCATCTCTACCGTACACGTGTTCGATTGCTAGTCGCTCTACGCATCCCTCATGTGACTTACGTGGTCCGTCCATTTTAATTTTCCCAACTCTTTTTTTTTTATGCAGTTAATATAGTTTTCTAAAATAGGATTTAAAAATTCGATATTTACCATAGTGTATAATCCTCTTCAAATCCGTCATCACATTCACATCAGTGAAAGTCATGTGCAACATAAAAAGTAAGAAAATAAACTTCCAACGAACTTTCCGAATCATTATTTTTGGTTAGATACATTTACGGCCAAAAGAATAACTCCTTACATTACATAAAACTTTTGCTACTTACCGATGGGCATATTTGTTTAATTTTATATATTGCTTCGAATTATTTGGATAAATAAGTAAAAATTTGATTAGAAAGAAGGGACATTGTTGTAAAATACGAAAGGAAGAAAAGACCTTTGACTAGTAGTATCTCCGACGCGGAGAGCACTTCTGTCGACCAAACTCAAAATCTGGACCGTCCATTCTTCACTACCGATTCATATCTTCCAAAGGTGCCACGAGACGACCCACGTGTATGGCCACGTTTTTGCCATCATGGAAGCACCAAAAAGGAATAAATTAAAAAAAAAATACTTTTTAATTTATTTTCCTTCATTATTATGAAAAGAAAAAAAATAAAGAAAAGGCCCACAAGCCCGACAACTGCTTCGAATCCAACGGCTGGGATAAACAAATGATCCAACGGATAAAAAGTAAGCCACGCCAGTAGAGAGTTATTGGCATCTAGAGGCTAAAGAGCCAACGAGGCTTTTTTTTTTTTTTGCGTTGGCGTAAAAGAGCTTCTATCCACGAAGTGGTCCCTACATTACAGAATGCGAGTAACATGGATGTATCTACGTGTCGATTACCCATTGGGTGATGTAGTAAATATTGTCTGGGCTCTCTACTTTTGTTTATTTATTTTGTGTACAGTACAAATAAATCAGAGAGCATAATACTAGTATAATACTTAGGTTTTCGATGACGTAAGCAAAAGGTAAAGACCACGTCAGATTTGAATCAAGACCGTTGATCTCGGCGTCTCGTTGAGAAAAAAATCGACTGTAATGCTGCTTTAACGCCGCCTAGAGTAAGAAAAAACGTGTGTAAATTATAACTTCGAATCATCTGACGTGGCTATCAATATTTGTAGTGGAAAAACAAATAAAGGATTATTATTATTGCTGCTTGCTACGTGGGGTCGAAAGTCAGAAAAGGAGAGTTAAATCCAACGGCTCAAACGTGTCCCCGACAAAATGACGTGTCCGTCTGGTAAGCGGATAGTCTTACTTACGCATTCATGTGGGCCCGCTTGTGACGAGGACTCGATTCCTCTAGCCTGATTTTCCGATATTAACCTTATGACTTCACTCTAATTCCTCGACGTACCATTTCCTATAGCCGCATTGTTTGAACTTTGAAGTTTGAATATAAAAAGCCTCATGTTCACACTATAGGCAATTCGGCTTCACGGTTACGCATGCAACGTAGTAGGCCTAGAGCCCATATTATAAGGCTAATCTCAAAAAGCTAGGCCCAATTTCTTTGTACTATTTAAAAAAAACACGTTGTCAATATGTGTAAATAGAAAAGTAAAAAATCCAATCGAATTTACAGAGCGAGGAACTCTTTAAACCTTAACTTTTACTGCTCCTCCTTAGGCAATTACAAAAGACACTCGTGGTTAGAGCTGGCTACATAACGAGATAATACAACTTAAACATGGCGATGTAGAGAAAGAGAGATAGATAACAGTCAGTGCAGGTCTGAGGAACGTTTAATGGTGAGCTCGGCTCTGAGATGGAGAATGCCATTGATGAAATGCTGACTGTCATCAGCGATGAACGAAGTCCACGGAATACCGAAAAGGTTTCTGTAACCAACCGCTTTCCCCCCTGTGAATGTGTAATTTCCTTTGTATTTGCTTACGTATTCTTCGGTTGATTTTTTATCTCTTGCCGCGAATTCGTAGTCCACACCAAAACTCACAGCTCCTTTCTCTTGCATTCCGAGGAATAGCCCAAAGCAGTGGAACGAGCTTTGCTGGTCCATGTTGCAGTGTGCCGAGAGGAAGAACCCTTGACCTCCTAAGTGAAAGGCCTGAGAATAGACTCTTCCCGAAGGGAACAATCCTGCGCATTCCTCTCGCTTCAAGTCCAGGTACACTACACATTGCGGCCGAGGAAGCTCAAACTCCACCACTTTTACGGGTCTGTATTTGTAAGCCCTCTCTATGAAACGGCGATTCAAGGAGTCTGATCCTTCAGCTGCGAGGATGCGTTGCCTGTGTGGGGCTTCTGCTTTGAAGAAGAGCGCTTCTAATACTTGCTTTGATGCTACTTCATGCTCAAAATCGCTACACGTTAGTACCTTTTTCAGCTTTCGACACGTCATGTACGGGAAGCGGATGTAGAGCGCAAGGCGTGAACCCAGAATCTCTCTACGGTCTTCCAATGAACTGTACTGTCCCCTTGCCCATTTCAAGACAAAATCATAAACAGCATCCTCAGAAGCAATTTGGAGATCATCGCTCGACAGTATCGCCTCAATCCCAGCCAATGGTAAGGCCATAACCTCATCATGAAATCTGCACAAGATGGTAACACATGAATACAAGAATTATACAACACTGAAGTAAATGCATTTCAAACCAGTGGAGAGTCTTACTTGGTAATATCCTTGTAGCGGGAGGCAAGGAACTGCTTTGCTGCATCGGTTAGAGGTTGGACTGCTTCAGCCATTAAAACACTAGAGGGAAGCTCGAGATAGAGCAAAGCGGAATCAGGGGTCATGGGCATATTGCGCAGTAGTCTACTACAATACCTCATGCAGGAAGCAACCTCAAACTTGTCAGCAGCCATAAGCACATCTAATAAAGCAGGTGCCGTTGTGACACTTAGAGAGTTGCTATACATAAAGTTTAAAAGCTCCATCAAAGCACCTTCCTCTGACATACACATAAAAGCAGAACATGAGAAATCAACATTGTGGACTCTCTTAAAGCTAATATCATTTCACGGATACAAGATATCATATATGCAAATCATAGCCAGCAACTTAAGTTAATACAAAAGGAATAAAGAATCAAAAACAATAGACGCCAACAGAGAGCTAGTAGAGAATTGATGCCAATAAGACGAGATTGACAATAGCAGAAATGAAGCAAAAGCTTGACTGAACTGCCGTACCTTGTGCACTAATTCTAAGGGTTACATGTCTTTGTTCTGATTCCCTCATTCCATTAGAAAAAAGCTACAACAGGGTAAGGAAAACAAGAAGCAAAAGATAGCATTACATGCGAGATAAACAAGAGCAAACAACAAGAATGTAGAAGAAGAAAAAAACGTTAATACCTTGTAGAAAAAGGGGCTTTTGGCTGCCAAGATAGGAGAACTAATATGCAGTTCTTTAACTCTAACAACAGTAGAACAATCAATACCCCAATTTGGCTCGCTAGATGCATCATCATCACCTAAAAAAAACAAAGCTATAACGTTTTACACAACTTACTTAAACAACAGAAAGCTATTACGAAGAATAAAAAGTTTCACAAATCCAAATCCAAACCCAATCACACGAGAAAAAAACTGTGAGAATTAGAATGCAACGATTGCTCAAAGTACCTACCTGATAAAGCCTCTTCGACCATAGCCTCTCCTTCATCGTCAAGATTATCACCACCAGGACCATCATCCATATCAGGTTGGTTGTTATCGGTTAAAATCTGTTCTTCAGCACATGCCACAATGTCTGAAATCGCAACTGGAAATGCAAAAATATAGAAGTTTCTTAAACATTTTGAAAACTCAACCCAAAAGCCCTAAACCAAAGCATCAGAACAATTCTTAAAAAATCTGAGATTCCAGCCGATCAAATCATTATTCCGAAAGAGGAATCAAACGTACCACCATTGTCCTTCTTGTTATCCTCTCTTCTCCTCTTGCGATGACGAGCCCAATCGGCAATACTCGTGCATCCTTCACCATCAGACCTAGAATCCGAAGGCCCACCCAAGATCTCGATCCGGAGCAAACGATCGGAGAAGTTACTGTCATTGAAAGCGAAACCAAAATCACCTTCGGAGGAAGAACCATGGCGAGAGAAATTGGAATCCATCTCCGTCTTAGGGTCAAATAGATCGGTGTTATTGGAACCTCTCATTCTCCTTTTCGAAAACCCTCTTCTCCGTCTTCTCTCCGGCGAGAACCGAGCAGAAGAATCAGGAAAACAAAAAAGGGTCAAAAAAATTCGAAAAGGTTTTTTGAGGAACGAAAATAACAAAGAAACCCTAAAAAAGTCTCTCTCTTGTTTTTTTTTTGAACTACAGAAAAAAAGGACAAGATGTTGAACGGTTTATGATAACAGGGCGGTGACGGATAAATTAATGAAAGGCTAATTAAAGACAAAGAGGTTCGTTAGTGCCTAACTAATTAATCAACCGGTTCGGTCTTTTGAATTTTGGTTCTTTTCCGGTATTATGCATAAATCGCGTTGGTACGATTTTTAATTTTGACTTATCAGATTCGATTTTTAATTTAAAATAATTTTCAGAAATTAGTTTAGTAATTTGGGGGAGATTTAAAATTTACTTAATTATAAGAAGAAGAAGTTTTTTTTGTTTTTTTTTATGTTGCTCTGGTAAGAGGCAAAATTAGGATTGTAATTGGTTGGAAAGCGTCAAATTTGGTAAGAAGACAACTCGTTCAACAAACGGCAATGCCTTATGTCGTTAAAATATTCGTTGGAAACTTGGAATCAAAAGTCTGATTTGGAGTTTTCTTTTAATATAATAAAATAAAATTAGTTCAACGTTTTACAGACTGTTAATTAGATTTTGACCGAGTGAAACTTGGTAATGCAATGATAACTTGACAAAAAATTGGACTAATTTATAAATTGAAATCCGGCCGGTATACACTTCTTCTTAGGCCAACACATGACAAACCAGTTGACTATATATTGTGTCACTAGAGATGATTCATTTGAAGTGATACGACTTAACCTATCGACTACAAGCAAACCAGCTATTATTTGTTGAAACCATCCAGATATATTTTCTCAAACCAAACAATAGTGTACTTATTTCAGATCTGATCGAACTTGAACCTAACTTTTTATTATTGTAACTAAGAAAATAACCAAGACCAATTTTGATGAATTTTTTCTTTTTAAGGTGAAATTTCCCCTTCGTACTAAGATGAGATCATACTGCTAGATTAAAGAATAACAAAATAAAGAATTAAATGTCGGTTGACTGTAAAAAAAGAAAGAAAGGGAGGAGTCCGTTTAAGCATAAACAGGCAACACTTGTGACTAATCTACCAAATCAAACGTATTTTTAAAATTTAGACGAAACTTGACCATTATTCACCAAACATTGTAAAAGCATAAAAATTAACAACAATTACAGGACTTAGTGGAACTACGTAGAGTTACTAATGTTTAAAAAAAAAAACAATAAACAAGATACATTTATATATATAGTCAGTTTTAATTTATATCACCATTCATATCATATCCCTATACTAAACCGCCATTCATATCATATTTTCAAATTGGCCCACGAACATCATCTCGCATTAAACAACATTAATATCGCTTCGATGCAAGCATCAACCACAAACACCTGCAAATAACTTTGACAAAAAACACCTGCAAATAAACATGTCAAACTGAAAAAGAAAAAAAAAAGGATTGCACAGAAAAAAAACAAGTTAGAGAAACATTTTTGAAAGCACTGACGAATCCATCTTTAAATCACATTTAGTAGAAGAATTGTTTTATATATATATATATATATATATATATATATATATATATATATATTTATATATATATATATATATATTTATATATATATATATGGTACATCTTGATAAGCAAACCAAGAACTCAACCTTCAAAAATATATAATTTTGGTGAATTATGTAATTAGAAAACTATATATATATCATATATTAATTCAGTCGCGCGGTGGGCATATACAAGACTCTAAGACAAGAAGAAAGAAGAAAAGGAGCTCCCTTCAATCCAAACGAAGAGAAGAGAAGGATGTGTAGAGAAAGAGAGAGAGAGAGAATCTAAGAGGTCATGCAGTCCCCTTAAAGTGTGCTTTCTTCAAGATGTTAACCTACGCACTCTCTATGAGGAATCCATGAACTCTTAGATTTTGCTTTTTAGTTCCTCAAATCATGTCCTCCTCGTTTTGGAGGAAGGGAGCTCCTTCTGTTACACTTGAAAAACAAGTGTCCAAAAAGGAGTTTTAACATGTTTTTACTTTAAAACGAACCAAGAAACTATCAAGAGAGTTATACACAGATATGTATGGTGATGGATTGATGAGGCTTATGAATTATGATGATGTGAAGAAAGAACATTGTTGTGTTAAGTGGTTTTATAGATGAAAGAGCATAAGAAACCCTAGTCTACTCCTAGGGAGACGATTATGGAACAAGTATTAATAAAAATGGAAAAATATAGAAGAAAAAAATGGCACTAAATCTTACTGTCATTAATTAGAGATTTAACATAATCTTGTTGACTAGATTCTCTTTTAGAGAGAGATACGGTTAGGGTCAACAACTAAGAGAGAATCCAATTATCCTAATTGGTCTTAGATTCTCCTAATTATGTGAGTATTTGCAGTTTTATTGCATTAAAAGTTTAAGACTATAACCGGGTGCTTGTCTCCTGGTGGTATAGGAACCTCGGCTGAGGCACCCGCCACCCAGCTTCGAGTCCCGGCCACTGCGCAATTTACCTACGGGGCGCAGCGTCCCAGATCACCAGATCCGAGAGGTCCTTAAGTGGAGGCTTAAAAATCCAAGGAACGCGGGCTTAGGCCCAGTGGGCTAGTCGGATCACAGTGTGGTCTGGACACTGGGTTATAAAAAAAAAAAAGTTTAAGACTATAGGGATAATTGGTTAGACTATAGGGCAGGTAGAGTTTGGTCAATCGCTATTACCGACACATCTTTGACTTGTCTTTTTTTTTTAACCTTTATTAATCAGTATACTTAAAGCGTGTTGTGAAATTTTAGATGACTACAGATTTGAACTGATCGGTTTAATTGTCTCTCCTTTACGTTAGATTTTATTTCTTCTTAATTACAAATGCCAAAAATAATTGACCGGAGTTGTGTTCAATGTCAATGTATGTGAACTGTTGACAAAATTAATTTTTTGTCACGGGGACATTAAAATATTTAAGTGTTTAGCGTGGTTTTTTAACGAGCATTAATATTAACCACAACCAAATAATTACTCCAACATGAGACACGAGTTATCAAATTGGTTCATGCTTGAACCGGATCACTCTGCTTTCAAAGAAGAACGTAAACGTCGACTCTCGACACGAGCTTCCATCAGCTTATCCTTGAGAGTACGATGATTATCTTCTCTGATCATCGCATTCACATTTCTCGGAAGAATCTTCGAGAAAGTTCTAGACTTTTCTTGACTCTCATGATCGTCAACGTTCCTTGGACTACTCTCTGGATGAATCTTATCTCCTTCCGAAGACATAGATAGATTAAGAACTTGGCCTGAGCTAATCTTCTTAAGCTGCAACTTGTTATCTCTTCTTGTTCGCTTTTCAAGCCCTTCTTCAAGTTCCTTCAAGCAAACCCTTTGATGCATAGATACCGAATCATCTGATTTTGCTCTCAAGCCACTTCCTTTACTTGACTGTGATCTACTCTTCTCCTTAGCTCGCAAAAATGTTTTATCATCTTCCTCTAGCTTCATTTGTAATCTCTGGTCATTCCACACTTCTGCAATCTGCACAATTACTTTATCACTCACTGGTGACTTATTCCCAATTCTTCTCGCCTTATCTTCATAATCTTTAACCGCTTTTGCAAACTCATCGCAGAGATTTTCCACAACAACACGTTCTTGTCTCTCCTTTTCAAGATCTTTCAAAGCTTTTGATAAACAATGCTTCGCTTCACAAAGCTCTCGTGTTAGCTTCCGGTGCAAAGTCTCTGACTGCTTTCTGTCTTTTCTCTCATCATCTAACTCCCTCTTTATCGATCGAAAGACATCTTTTACCTCTTCTTCTTCTTTATTCTTCCTCAGTCGCCTATCGCTTTGCTTCTCCCGCTGCTGCACCTCCTTAATCTCGGCTCTACATTCATCTAACTCCATCTTTAGAGCCCTAACCAAAGACATATTAGCAGTATTCTGTTCTTCGAGACTCCATATCCGGTTTAGCACCTTGAGAAGCTTTGTAGAGGAACCCAAACCATAGCTCGCAGACTTAACCGCCGAAGAACCTGTCTGACTAAACGCTGGCTTACGCACCACAACCTACAAGTGCATTAAGCCAACACACACCAAATCCAGCTCAAAAAACAAGATTGTTAAAAAGCATTTCCCTGGTTACATTTAGAGTGAACAAAGAGCAAAAGACATTTTCTCACCTCCAATGAACTACTGCTACAACTTGCAGGAGAGATTGGTTGCAATAGATCACCATTTCTATGATTATCAGTTGCTGCAATTTGTCTCCTCAAGCTACCTCTGCTTGGTGGCTGCAAATTAAAACTCATTAATATATAAATGATTCTTTTCTTCCACAAAACTTTCAAATTCTAAACACACTTAAAAATCAAGGGCTCTAGTAGACCCATCAGAAAGATCACAACTTTACGACCATGAGATTTGTCCAGTGAAATTTGTGCATAGTCCAGATTTCCTAAAGACCCCATCATAAAGAACAACACTTTGAGATATTCTCGGTGGAATTTGCGCAAAAATGAGAATTTTCCGGTGGAATAATACTCTAAAGTCACCATAAAGATCAAAACTTTACGACCTACCAAAACAAGAAGACTAAAACCCTACATAAACCCGTCAAAAACATTCAAGCAAATCAAAAACGCCAAAATTGTTTACCTGATGATCGTGAAGCGGACTACGGGAATGTGATTCAACATCTGAATCCCTTCGTCGACAATGTCGCAGCTCAATTCTTTGCCGGAATTGTTCAGTTTCCCACATATCAGCACACAATTTCCGGACAGAAACCTCTGAATTCGCCAAAAACTCCTTCGACTCGACGACGGCGGAGGAAGCTCCGACTCGCGGCGGCGAAAACTCGAGCCGCCACGTGGGTGGAGGAGTAGAAGGACCAGCTCTCCTACTATAGCCCATGAAACTTCGTCTCAGTTTTGTCTCCATTTCTCCTTCTTCACATTGTCTTTCCATTTATCTTACTCGCTCTGTTTTCCTGTTTCTGTCTCTCAAACCCTTTAGCTGTGGAAAGTTGTCTTCTTCTTCAGACGATTTTTTAAGGCTGTTGGGATCTTTCTGTTGTCTCTTGTAGCTGGAGACAGTTCTGTCTCGACTTTGGAGTCGTCTCTCTCTTTCTATCTTATTTTCCTTAAAAATTCTCAGATCAGTATTAATGGCTTATCCTTAAAATTGTCGATCTTTCTTTATCATTTATACAAACAAAAAAACCAAAAACGGGATTTGTTGTTAAGTATGATTGTAATTCATATTAAAATTCTTTGCTTTTTTATAACAATAATATAATGTTACAACATCAAAAGCCTGTTACTCTCTCCCGACAAAGATTACGAGTTCACTCTTGACTTTTTCTCCCTTCCCAACAAAGCCATAGATTTTTATTTACTGCAAAGGGAAATATATCTCTCAGATACACTTCAGAGTCAGAGACAGAGGATGCGTGTGAATAACCTTTTTCACCTTTTACTATTTTCTTTTCTCAATAACCTTTTTTCTCCTATAAACAATTTACGAACTTGTATATTTGGATCACAATAGTTACAGTAGTATACTACTGCTACGTTATAGTGGTGCAGTAAAAGTCCGATTGGTCGCAATGATAGTAGTCACTGTGACACTGATGAATAGAAACGAAGTATCTTAAGTGTATATAATTTGTGTTTAGATGAAATGCATTTCTAAGATAAGAAAGATAAGAATTAACTTTTGATGGATGTACAAGTGAGTGGGTGAATGATAACCCCTTGAATTAGTTAATTATGCTAGTAAATTTGGGGATTGAGAGTAGGCTAATAGAGTCATTATGAGGTTAAATGGAAAGTAAATAAATGATTAAAATATAAATCATTCGTATCAGAAAATAACCATGCTTGAAGATTCCCAGTCCTTTAATGCTATAGTCTAGAACTTCAAGGCTTATTATGACCAACAACTGACACCATTTCCTTTTTTTCAACCATAGATTGGGTGGGAATGAGATTATATCATTACTTATTATGCACATGTTAATCTTTGAGAATTTTAGTTGTTGTAATGAGAAAGCACATAAGAGATTATGGAGATGAGTGTAAATGGCGTTGGGACGTGAAACGGGACCACAGGAGATGAATATTTGGCGGCTAATAGACAACCTAACGTGACGATGAGAAAGAAGAAAACGAAGAGTGAGTTATGGCATGAAAAGGATGGACTATGTCCGCACGAACCACACACTCATTCTCTTTCTCCCAAAACAAATTTGAAAGGTAAAATTTCAATGTAATACATGAAATTTACTATGAGTTCTTGTGGTCCACCTTTGGTAATGATGTGTGTGGTGGTGGATCATGGATGATGAACTTCACGTAGAGCAATTTAAAAAAATAAATGAACTATAGATGTCTTTTGCTATGAACATTTGAAATAAACTTTAACAAACAATTAAAAACATTTGAAATAACTTAATAAAAAAAAAACTTTTGAAATAACTAATGGGTTGATCATTGTATGGGCCTGAATATATTGGGCTTAACACAAAAGTTTAGTCGAATTTGTCAGAGCGAATGGGTCGTTTAAGGAGGTTATCAATGAACTGGGTCGAAAACAACAGAGAGGCAAATATTTGGATTCTCGGTAGACGATTTTTGAATTCTCGATAGACAATTTTTGAATTCTCATTTTCTATACTTGATAGGATGGTGGAGATGATTGGATACAAATATAATAGCTGAGGAATTGAGACATATAAGTGTTTCTGGGTGTTACAGTACGGCATCGGTCGGACTTGCGGACATTTGTTTGCTTGCACGACGTCTGATCTGTGTCTTCTTCTTATGTGACAGTTTTTTCTCAAGGCTTTTGACCCGACTGGTTAATTTCGATATGACTTCTAGTTGTTCTCGGCCTGCCTTAACCAACGTCTCCATCGTTTCCTTGAATCGCTGGTTCTCCTCCATCAGCTTTTTGGTTTCTTTTGATATCTCAGGTTCAGTGATTCCAGGTTCCCGAGGCTGTTCGTTCAAAATAACTTCTGGCTCTAGAGGCTGTTCTTTCACAATGACTTCTGTCTCTGGAGACTGTTCTTTTTCATCTTGTGGCTCTGAAGTTTCTTGGCCAATGCCTTTGGAATTATCGGGCGAGTGGTCAACTTCAGTTTCCTCATGGCTCGCTGTTTTAGGGTCCATTGCAGTCATCTTCCCTTCACGAATATATGAAGATGATGAATCTTGTGAAAGAGGCTCTGTTTCCTCGTCAATCACTCCAACAGGTAGCTCTGAGAGCTCGACATCTTTCTCTGAATGCAATACAGTATCATCTTCTCCTTTTCGGTCTTCATTCTCTGATGCGTTGGCCTCGGCTTCAGAGACTTCACTAGCATTCTCCGGCTCCCGTGTAGAGTTTGTTTCAGTCTCTTCCACCACTTGCGGCAATCCGTTTATTGGCTCCTCCAAACTTTCCACCAGGGCTTTGTTTTCCTCGACGTTGGTTACTGTCATTCCATTTCCATCAGCTGACGGTGAATTACATGGAACAACAGTCTCAGCCTCTCCAATTTTCTCTGGAGTGGTTGTCGAGGAAGTAGCCGCTGCATTTTCAGTAGCTTGCTCGGAATCCGTTGCCAAGGTTTCAAACATTCCGGATCCCTTTTCTGCTTCAGCAGCCGGTTCAGCCTGGTTTTCATCTGTTCTACTCAAGACGCTCATAGGATGTTCCTCGGGAGACAGGAGAAGAACCTTCTCTAGATTCGAGTCAGATACCATTTTGTTCTCTTCTGCGAGCTGGGAGTGCTCCAAGTTCACTGGAGAGTCACTGGGCTGAGATTTAATTTCCACTTGTTCCTTTACAGCCTCTTTCTCTGCACTGGCGCAGCTATTTTTCAAGGAGTCAAGCTTGTCTTGAATGTCTGAGAGCTCTCTGGCCAAAGATTTCCTGAAGTCTCTTATACTAGGATGCAAGCCCTGCAAGATAAACATAAGTATAGGAAACTGTCAGCAAAAATCTTACACAACAGTACATACTGAGATAAACTATCATGGCCAACCAATGAAATTAGTCTTTCATGCATTACCTCGACAGCATCCAATTTTAATAGAAGGTTCATCACCATTTCTCCATTAACTATAATCTCCTTCTCTTCAATGTGCTGATCATTAAAAACTTCTAACGCCTCAATACGCCTTTTAACATCGCCCATCTGCTCACGGATAGTGGCTATCTCCTTCAATTTCTTAATTGGCTCCCATCTTCTCACTTCATATCCGCGGTACATAGATTGGATAATTCTAGCAGCTTCCTCTTCTGAAAAGGTCTTCTTTGCAGGCAGTTCTCTATTCTCCTTAGCTTCACAAGGTTTAACAATCTCACAGTTTGATACTTCTTGGAGATTAGAATTGCCCTCAACTGATTCTTTTTCTGTTCCTAATGCGTTTAGGCTTCCCTCAGCCATCTTCTTTTCTTCGTTTGCCTCTTCACATTTTACATTACAAGCCTCAGGAACAGTCGTTGATTCAGCCTTCTTGGAGCGCAGTGGGGACGCGATCTTAGTCTCCTTAGATTCTTCCATCCGTTTAGAATGATTTACTGATTTGGAACCACCATTTTTCTTCTTCGGCAACGGGTCAACACGCAGACAAACCGGAGGTAACTTGGATGCTTTCGATGATGACGAAGACTGCTCCTTTTTTGTGTCCTTAACTGGCTCATTCTTTGCAAACCTTTTGGTCGGCTCCGTTGGTTTAGGCAGATGATTTTCTGATAGTTTCACGGGAATATTTCTTGGTTCCTGTAGATGGTTCTCCACTGGGATATTTCTTACAGAATTCTTCTCATCCGCATCTGAGAGAACATTGCACTCAAAGTTCCTTTCTTTGCCTTCTTTTTGGGTTTTCTGACCTTCATTAACGTGGAGATCAGAGGAGCAAGACTCCAAGTTACGCCCTTCATTACTACTCTCCTTACTCTCAGAAGCTTCAACATCTTCCTGTTTCTCATAAGATGGTATCCAAAAAATAGGATACGGAACCTGTCCAGGCGCTTCTTTGTTCTTCTGGTTCTGTGCTTCCTTCACATCTTGACCCTGCAATAAGGATTTTAACTTGCTGATATCAAATGGGTATTCCACAGTTTTCCCATTCTGCATCGTTTTCCTGTCTTCATTACTACTCTCAGAAGCTTCAACATCATCCCGTTTCCCACGAGATGGAGTCCAAGAAGTAGGATACGTAAGCTGTCCCGACTCTTCCTTGTTCTTCTGGATTTGCGCTTCCTTCATGTCTTGACCTTGCAATAAGGATTTCAACTTGCTGATATCAAATGGGAGTTCGACGGTTTTCCCATTCTGGGCCTTCTTCCTGTCTTGATTCTGTACCAATGATTTCATGGTGCTCTCGTCGAATGGAAAACAGCCATGCCAAGACTGAGGAAAACTTTTCTGTATTGTCATATTCTCAGGAGCTTTAACGTCAGCAGAAGGCTGGTTATGGTTCCCTGACCCAAAAGAGCTTCCATGTTCCTGATTCCTAGCATTCTCATGAGGAATCCATATAATTGGGTAAGGGCAGTTGGTCGAACGAACTGGAAGTACAGCTTCTCCTTGTTTTCCTTTCTCAATTTCGGGCTCATGCTCTTCAATCACAACGCCTCTGCCATTCTTCGGGTTACATATCTGAGGAGAACATTTTGCACAGTGATGCTTCCCAGGCACATCCTTGTCAGCATCATACCAAGGTTGATAACCAACTGGAAATGGTGGATGAACATAACAAGGAGGAGCGTAAGACGCGTGAGGAGGATGGAACCCAGCATGATTCATGCAGCATTGATGGTACGGTACTTGTGGTTGTGGCGGGTAAAAAGGAGGCCAGTAAGCGTTGTATGCAGGAAAGTTGCTGTGAACGCAGCTTCCATGACACGGTGGTGGAGCATCCATTGTCATATGCTGAGAGTTATTACCAAAACCTTGATAATAGTATCCTTGTGGTCTCATTTGACATGATTGTGATGGGTCCGTGTACACAGGCATCATCTTTGATCAACTTCAATTAACAAAATTCCAGTACAACTGCAGCAAATACCCAATTGGTAAATTATTAGAATGTGAATTTGGATAGTTCAGAGTTATTTGATTCCCAAAAGACACTAACTAACTGCTTCCGATGAAATCACCAAATCAACAAGATCTACCTATTTCACTGACTGACACTAAATCAATCGCATCTTCAGAAAACTAAGAGCAATGTGAATTCAGGATTCTCAAAGCTATTCATTATACTAAGAATCAGAAGGGAAAATGACGGAGCTTACACAAAACAGAATCGATCCGCAAATTCCGATGACTCAGTTCCTGCGAAGCTCTCACTCTCTCCACCAAACAAAAAACGCAGATTTCTTCTTCTTTGATTTACTTTCCGATTCAGATGATTGCAGCTTTTTTGGATGGGTAGTGAAAAATCTAAAGACATTTCTTGATTTATAGAAAAAGACGAAGAACATTTAGAGGGAAAAGATATTTCTTCTGCTCTCCAGATCATTCTCGCATCAACCATTTTGAAAATCTAGAATTTTCTCTTCGTTTCTTAAATTACTAAACTCATTATTTATATGGGCCATGTAAATTAGGCCCATCTATTTTATTATTGGGCTTGTACTTAGGCCGTATATTGAGGGTTAGATATGTAAAATCGAGTTCGTGTTCAATTTCAGCCTCCGTCTCTGATACAATTCGAAAACCTCTCTGCCTCCGCCGATTCTGACCTTGCATCACCCATTCAGCTTTCCAGTCTCTCTGCGTCGTTCTAGGGTTTTTATTAGTATTTGCTTCGAAGATGGGAAGGGCAAAGAAAGCTCAAAAGTTTGCTGTCATTAAGAAGATTATTAGCCACAAAGCGTTGAAGCAGTGAGTTAACGATTCTTCTTCTTTGAAATTTGATCCTTATTGAGAGGTTCTTAATGTTACTTTGTTTTCTTTTCTTCAGTTACAAGGAAGAGGTTTTGAATCCAAACAAGAAGGACCTCACAGAACTTCCGAGAAACGTGTAAGCTAACACCTTTTTTGCTCTAGTTGCCAAGTTGTAATTATTGGGTATCCTTCAAAATCTGATTTTGATTTGTTTTTGGGATCAGTCCGAGTGTTCCTGCAGGGCTTTTCTTTTCTTACAACTCTACATTGGTTCCTCCTTACCGTGTTTTGGTGGATACTAACTTCATCAACTTCTCTATCCAGAATAAGGTCGGTACATTTTTCAATTGCATTTCTCTACCACAGAGCTATTATCAGAGTCTGTATGATAAAAAGGATTGATCTTTGTAGAGTTTATAGTCTTCGTGAACCTGATTGGAATCTCATTGTGGTTCTATTTGATATCCTTTTTGACTTATTTTGCTCTGGTGTATCTAATAGATCGATCTTGAGAAGGGAATGAGAGACTGTCTGTACGCAAATTGTGAGTTTCTTATACTTTGTGATTGGTCTATAGGTGTGCAATATTCTCTCTCTTGCTAACCATTTATTGTTTCTGGTTGGAAGGCACTCCTTGTATCACTGACTGCGTCATGGCTGAGTTAGAGAAGTTAGGTCAGAAGTATCGTGTTGCTCTGAGGTAAAGCTTTTAGTCATCTTGAAGAAGGGTTTTGTTTCAGTAGAATTGCATCATGGATTTGTCTCAGTTTGTTTCGTGGATTCGTAATTGGTTATTTTGATATTTTTGTAGGATTGCGAAAGATCCTCGCTTCGAAAGACTACCTTGTGTACACAAAGGAACATATGCTGATGACTGTCTCGTTGACAGAGTTACTCAGGTAATGCATTGTTCCTGGCTTGTTGAATTTTGTACTCTGTAAGGAGATAATGATGCTCTAGTCTCATGGTTCTTGGTATATATATTATTATTTTGTATGTTTCTGTGATATTCTTTTTTTGTGGTAATATTCAGCATAAGTGCTTCATAGTGGCTACTTGTGATAGAGACTTAAAGAGAAGGATTCGAAAGGTAAAGATTGTCTGATGTATCAATGCTTTTGTTTATATCCATGGCCCAAGTCTTTGGATATTGTTAACTTTTTTCTTTTGTTTGTTTGCAGATTCCTGGTGTGCCGATCATGTATGTGACGCGACGCAAGTACTCAATAGAGAAGTTACCTGAAGCTACACTTGGTGGTGGTATGCATCTTTCCACTGGGTCATCTGAATATACTGGTACTTTGGTATTAGCTTATGTCAATTAGCTTTTGTAACCTTTGGCTGGTTTTTTTGATGCAGCTCCAAGATACTGATAATTGAACAGAGGAGACCTTATGGATTCCAAGAAGCTCTCAAGGAGTTAGTGTTGGTTTAAGCTCTGAATCAAATGACTTGGAAAGGCTGTGTTATGAGATCTTCAGCCATTTTTGTTCTCTATGTTGGCTAATCTGTTGTTAATTTGATACGAGGTTTATTAACATTTCAATAGAAATCTTAAGCATGCTTTTACACAACTTTGAAAACACATTCTTAATCTATTACATAGTTTTGTTAATGACGACCAAAATCATGTGTAGCCGGACTTCGTACGTTGACGTGGAGATTAAGATAATTACATGAAAAGAAAGAGTGTAGCGACTGAAGCAACTTATCGTATATCCCTAATAAACCACAGCTACTCCTGACAAGAGAGACATTGATGAACAAAGCTAGGAAACACCGTTGAGCACTAGTAGAGAGTCCATTTTGAAACGCAAAAAAAATCTATTGAAATAACTTAATAATGATAATTCTAAAAGTGAAAAGAATTGTCTCTCGATTTTTCACCAAAAAATCTAAACCGAAATCAAGATGAAGTAGCGCAGCTAAAAACTCCAATCTTCAGGGGTACAAAAAAGAAGCCGAGATGATGTTGAAATCCTAGGCATAGCTTCTAACTCCTTTCGGCATTCTTCAAGATTGCAGGTTGCTACGAGGGAGATCTCCACTGTCTTTAAACAGTTTGAGTTAGCGAGAATGTATGTCATTAGTTGTTTCTCATCTTCTTTTCCTTCATATTCTTTCCACCTAACAATCTCTAGGTGAGACGATAAGCATCGGGGAATAGTACTCGGCTGGTTCCACAAAGATGGGGGACACCCCTGATACGACCATTACATTTGCTTTAATATCTAAATACATCAAAACTAGATGTGCATATTTTAAGGGACGAGGGCACTTACTTTGGTGTCCACCGCAAGAGTTTTCAGTTGAGGAGAGTTTTGAAGCAAAAAAATAAGTGGTTCCAACCAATATACTGGAGCATCTGAACTAACGACTAAATCTATGAGCCGAGAGAACTCAATGGCGTTACAACTCGCAACCTGCAATAAAACAAACAAAAGAAAAGATTAGTTGACCAAGCAAGGAATAAGGATCAAAGGGATCGAGCCCGGGGGATATGTAACCGCTACCATTGACTCCGATAAATACAAGCTCAGATCTCTGGCAGAAGAAAGACATCTCAGAAACTTTTCATCAGGGTTAGGAACATAATCGATGTATACAGTATCAAGGCAAATCATATTCTCTATCAAACTACAATAGTCTCCCCGATAGTCAATTATGTTTAAAGATGCTAATGCAGGGGAATCTATCACCAATGACCCAATGTGATATTCTCCTTCCTCTTCCTCTTCCTCTTCCTCGCGCCATTCGGTCTCATAACTTAATCTTTCCAACGAAGGCACTTTCACGGTAAAGTTTGTCAAGTTGTCATCCTTATCACGTCGTTCAACCAACAGTTGCTGGAGAACAGGGGAACTTGATAAAAGCCTAGCAAGAGAGTCTTCGTCTTTGTACACCACGTTGAAAAGATCCAGAAGTAAGAGAGATGGTAGGCTAGCGGGGAAAGAAACATCGACAAGAATCTGGTTGGATAGAGTTAAAGAAACGAGCGTGTCGCATGTGTAAAGACTCTTAGGGAAGCTTGTGGGCTCTCCTGTCCAGAGGAGCTTGAAATCTAACTTTTTCACACCTTGGTTAACTGCCTTTTCAACCCACTTTCTGATATCTACGTCAACAGGACATCTCGGACCCAGTTCGACAACCAGGCTTAGTAGTGTCGGTGCCTTATGGAGTTGCAGTGACTTGTCAATAAACCACCCAAAGCTCTCGCTGCCTTGGTCGTCCTTGAAGGCGAGTTTATGCAGCATCTTCCAGACGTAACGCCATCGTTTAGACAAGATCGCAGTGGCCACTGCATCTTTTGCCGGGACGAGCAGTAAGATCCGCAACAGCAAATCGTCGGGCAAATCACATATTCTCTGACAACCTTCGGTTTCTGGATCAATCCTTAACAAGCCCATAGTGCCAATGTAACAAAACCCTATTCCCTCTCTATTTCGCTGGAAACAAAAACCCTAGTCTAAGATGATAAAATCTGATGTAGGAGAGATTTAGCAGTTTTACATTTCTTTTGATATTTCCTTATTTCAAGTTTTCTATTTTGCAGCATAAGTGCTTCATAGTGGCTACATGTGATAGAGATTTAAAGCGAAGGATTCGAAAGGTAATGATAGGCTGATGTATCAAATGTTTTGCTTATATCCATGGCTGAAATCTTTGGATATTATTAACTTTTTTTCGTTTGTTTGTTTGCAGATTCCTGGTGTGCCGATCATGTATGTGGCGCGACGCAAGTACTCAATAGAGAAGTTGCCTGAAGCTACACTTGGTGGAGGTATGCATCTGTCGGCTGAGACATCTGAATCTACTGGTACTTAAGTATTAGACTACATGTGAATTAGCTTTTGTAACCTTTGGCTGGTTTTTTTTTTTTTGGTGCAGCTCCAAGATACTGATAATTGAATAGAGACCTTATAAATTCCATGAAGCCCTGAAGCCTGAGTTGGTTTTTGTTTATGATCTGAATCAAAATGACTTGGAAAGGCTGTGTTATGAGATCTGAAGCCATTTTTGTTCTCTGGGTTGGCTAATCTGTTGTTAATTTGATACAAGGTTAACTATCAACTTAATAGATATTTTTATTATGCTTTTACACTTAATTAAACTTTGAAAAAAACACATTCTTAATCTATTACACAGTTGTGTTAATGACAGACCAAAATCATGTCTTGTTGGATTTCGTACATTGATGTGATGTGGTGATTAAGATAATTACATTAAAATCAACCTGTTATTATTATCAAGATAAAAGAAACGTGGTATGACATTGACATTCCTTATCAGTACAAAGAGTTGGTGTTTTCACGAGACATAGCCGGCTTTGAGCTTTGGAGCTTTCTGTTTGACGAAGAACGCAGAAAGAACACTCTTTGTCCGGACAGGAGCTTGAATGATCTCTCGGCGTGGGTTATTGTCAAGTGACCTGTGTGCAGTCAGAAGTTTGGGAACCTCCAAATCCTGTAGAACCACAAACTTGTCTCATCAAAACCATGATTACATATACACAGCTGGGATACCTGAGACCTGTGAACAAATGTTGGATACATGCAGAGCAAGGATTTTAAAGTAGCATTGATGCTTTCTCAGGAATTGGTTGAGTCTGTGAATTATAGGCCAAGTCACTTACACATTTTCGACTGTTTTAAAAGCATGTGCCGCTTTCTCATCGCTTCTTATGGGAAAACAAGTGCACTCAATGATCACAAAGCGTGGAATGGCTTTTGACTTAGTCTTGTCCACGTCTCTCATAGATATGTATGCCAAGGCAGGTGATATTACCTCTGCTTCATGTGTCTTTAACTTGATGCCAATGAAGAATCCGGCTTCGTGGAATTCAATGATAGGAGGTTTTGCGAGACACGGATGTTGGAAGAGACATAAATAATAGAATAATGCAATAGTGCAATAAAGAAGTGGAAAACGTTTGTCATTCCATGTCTCAACAATTTTTACAATGAGACACAACACACTTATATAGTTTACAAAATATAACTATTCGTAACTGTTGGTGACAGTTGTGTCTTAACCAACAAGTTACGTGCCTTACTCACACCTCTTCACTTAATTAACGAACACACTTTATTACATGTTATACATATGACCAAACTCAATTATAAACTAACAATGGATTGGGAGTGAATGCTTTAGATGAATTCAAGAAGCTGATCGAGCGCGGTTACAAGCCTGATCAGGTGACTTTCACTAACTTGTTATCGGCTTGTGCTCATGCTGGGCTAGTGGAAGAAGGGGAAAAGCAATTCATGTTGATGAGTAGGCTTGGGATAGCTGCAGAAAAGGAACATTATGCTTGTATGGTGGATCTATTAGCAAGGGCTGGTCAATTAGATAAAGCAGAGAGATTGATAAATGGAATGACTGTTGAGCTCGGGGCTTGCAGATTGCATTCATGTCTGGAGCTCGGTGAAGCTAGTTACTGCTGAAGGAATCTCGAGGCTCAGAAGAGAGCATCCTGCAGCTTATGATGTACTGTGTAGAGTTCGTCTGGCGAGAAAGGAGATTGGACTAGTGTTATGGAGTTAAGGAGACTGATGAGGAAGACAAAAGTGGAGAAGCAAGACGCTAGTAGCTGGACTAGCTCTCCCACTTAATATTACCAGAAACGTTACATTTTTTGTGTGTTTTTTACTATAGAGTTGCGAAACAGAGCAGTTGTGATCTATGTCAATCACCTATTGAGACGAATCTCAAAGGTAAGAGAAGTTTTAAAAGAACACACTTTGGGTAATGCAAGATTCTTTCATTGAGAATAAACAAAGCAAAGTATCCAACATAGCTTATACAAAACCCAGAGGGCTAAGCAAAGTGGTCTTGTGACTAAAAGACATTCTTCTTCTCTGAGTGATCTGTTCCTCTAGTCAAGTCAAGAGAGTTATTTTCTTCACTTTCCGTTCTTCTTGCTCTCGTCCTTTTCCTTCTCTCTCTTTTTGTAAAGCTTCTGTAGGACTCGTTTCGCCTCACAATCGGGGAGGTTGGAAAGATCAGAGTAATGCGGTGCAATATCTACTAACCTGTATACAAGCAGAGTTACTCGGCTTGATCGGATGTCCAAAAAAATCACATGTCTTGTATTTGCTGCTTTTATTGCGGTAGTTGATAACTCATTAAAAGTATTTAAATGCTTTGTGGTGAGATTCTATGCAAGCATTCTTTTTTTTTTTTTTCGTCTAAAGGATTTCATTGATAGAATGCGATTGAGTTATACAAAGCCGACAAGGAACGAAATCCTTTCGGAGACAAAGCCGGCGGGTACATAGAAACCCCCAGAAACTAAAGGCCAAAAGAGGCGGACAAACATAACAAAGCCCAAACGAGAGAAACTTAAGCCCAAACGAGGGAAATTACAATCTACGGAAATAGATGGAACCGCTAATAGCTTAGTCTCAATTAAGCCCAAACATGAGAACGACGAACATGGCGAGATACAGAAATCGAATCGAGAAACCTGACAGAGAATTTGACGAAGGAAGATGAACGCACTTGCTCAACTCTTTCAGTCCAAGATCACACGACTAACTAAACTGAGAGGATCCTGCTGAGAGGATCTATGCAAGCATTCAAAGTAACCAAAACTTAAAACTGAGGTGGATCTCTAGGAGATGAGAAAAGACGGAAATAGCCTTGTGGAAAGACCAGTCAACGGTACTGGTACTTTGGTTGATTTGTAAAAAATATTATGTATTTGTAGCTATTAACTTTATACTTTTAAATCAAATGTAAGGATCTTGACAAAATATGGTTTAGATTAAATTTATGTTTATATTATTTGTAATATGAAGTTAATGTGCAATTATCTTCTTTTTTTTTGGTCCAAAAATGTGCAATTATATATCTTATGAAATTGGTTATTGTCTAATAATATGGTATCTATCTTATGTATTCGAATGAACATAGCGCAAGGCTACACTCAAGTTACAGTGATGAAAATCCATGACCAACACGAAGATCGATAAAGCTAGGGAATTGTTCAGTAATATGAGTCAAAGAAATGTTTTTTCTTGGACTGTGATGATCAATGGATAAATGCAGAGCAAGAATTTTAAAGTAGCATTTTCGATCGAAATCCTCACAATCAGAAACATACCAAATGAAAATCCCGAAAAGAAGTAACATCTCAACGATTCCCTCTTGAAGAAGCTCACGGGTTGAAAAATGTGTGCTTAAGCTTCTCCCTCCTCTTAACCTCACACTTCTTCTTCTTAAATTGACGCTGCCTATTTGGCGGAACTCGGCCTTGGGCTCGCCCTCGTCTATTCTTTTCCACATCAGATGAAGAAGAAGTCAAGAATGAAGAAGTCTCATCTGAGTTCTCAACCTCCATAGGTGGAATCTGTAAAATAAAAGAGCATATTAATTTCATTTTCAAGCACACTACTAAACCTCAATAGTAAGGGAGCTCACCACTGCTTCTGTTTTATCAGTTTCACTAATAAACTCAGAGGCTGAGATCCCCACTACTTCTGTCTCATCTGAGTTCTTGACCTCCATAGGTGGAATCTGTAAAATAAAAGAGCTTCTTAATTTCAATTTCAAGCACACTACTAAACCTTAAATCCAGATCAATAGTAGGGGAGCTCACAACTGCTTCTGTTTTATCAGTTTCACTAATAAACTCCGAGGTTGAAGCAACAGATTCGGTTGAAGCAACAGATTCGGTTGAAGCTATTTCTATCTCAGACTCGGTTGAAGCTACAGATGCAAGCTTTTCAGTTGTCCTCTTAGTAGAGCCAAGGTAATCAGACATCATTCTGGGAAGAAATTTTCTGGCCTTTTTCTTTTTCACTAGGTCTCGATGCTCCCTTCTTTTTTGACGAAACCCGTCAACGTCAAATAGGTGAAACTCATCATGCTCTTCATCAGAATCTGTCACCACTGCTTCTAAGTCCTCCACAAGTGGGATCTGCACAATAAAAGAGCCTTTAACAGTCAAAATTTCATATTGTAGCACACTACTAAACCTTAAATTCAGATCAATAATAGGGGATCTCACCACTATTACTGTCTCAGAATCAGTATTAGCACTACCAGTTTCACAACTAAACTCTGAGGCAAACTCATCATGCTCTTCATTAGAATCTGTCACCACTGCTTCTAAGTCCTCCACAAGTGGGATCTGCACAATAAAAGAGCCTTTAACAGTCAAAATTTCATATTGTAGCACACTACTAAACCTTAAATTCAGATCAATAATAGGGGATCTCACCACTATTACTGTCTCAGAATCAGTATTAGCACTACCAGTTTCACAACTAAACTCTGAGGCAAACTCATCATGCTCTTCATTAGAATCTGTCACCACTGCTTCTAAGTCCTCCACAAGTGGGATCTGCACAATAAAAGAGCCTTTAACAGTCAAAATTTCATATTGTAGCACACTACTAAACCTTAAATTCAGATCAATAATAGGGGATCTCACCACTATTACTGTCTCAGAATCAGTATTAGCACTACCAGTTTCACAACTAAACTCTGAGGCAAACTCATCATGCTCTTCATTAGAATCTGTCACCACTGCTTCTAAGTCCTCCACAAGTGCAATCTGTAAAATAAATAGGCCTTATAACACTTAAATGTTCATGTTCAAGCACACTACTAAGCCTTAAATCCAGATCAATAATAGGGGAGCTCACCGCTGGTACTGTCTCATCTGAGTTCTTGACCTCCATAGGTGGAATCTGTAAAATAAAAGAGCTTCTTAATTTCAATTTCAAGCACACTACTAAACCTTAAATCCAGATCAATAGTAGGGGAGCTCACAACTGCTTCTGTTTTATCAGTTTCACTGATAAACTCCGAGGTTGAAGCAACAGATTCGGTTGAAGCTGTTTCTATCTCAGACTCGGTTGAAGCTACAGATGCAAGCTTTTCAGTTGTCCTCTTAGTAGAGCCAAGGTAATCAGACATCATTCTGGGAAGAAATTTTCTGGCCTTTTTCTTTTTCACTAGGTCTCGATGCTCCCTTCTTTTTTGACGAAACCCGTCAACGTCAAATAGGTGAAACTCATCATGCTCTTCATCAGAATCTGTCACCACTGCTTCTAAGTCCTCCACAAGTGGGATCTGCACAATAAAAGAGCCTTTAACAGTCAAAATTTCATATTGTAGCACACTACTAAACCTTAAATTCAGATCAATAATAGGGGATCTCACCACTATTACTGTCTCAGAATCAGTATTAGCACTACCAGTTTCACAACTAAACTCTGAGGCAAACTCATCATGCTCTTCATTAGAATCTGTCACCACTGCTTCTAAGTCCTCCACAAGTGGGATCTGCACAATAAAAGAGCCTTTAACAGTCAAAATTTCATATTGTAGCACACTACTAAACCTTAAATTCAGATCAATAATAGGGGATCTCACCACTATTACTGTCTCAGAATCAGTATTAGCACTACCAGTTTCACAACTAAACTCTGAGGCAAACTCATCATGCTCTTCATTAGAATCTGTCACCACTGCTTCTAAGTCCTCCACAAGTGCAATCTGTACAATAAATAGGCCTTATAACACTTAAATGTTCATGTTCAAGCACACTACTAAGCCTTAAATCCAGATCAATAATAGGGGAGCTCACCGCTGGTACTGTCTCATCTGAGTTCTTGACCTCCATAGGTGGAATCTGTAAAATAAAAGAGCTTCTTAATTTCAATTTCAAGCACACTACTAAACCTTAAATCCAGATCAATAGTAGGGGAGCTCACAACTGCTTCTGTTTTATCAGTTTCACTAATAAACTCCGAGGTTGAAGCAACAGATTCGGTTGAAGCAACAGATTCGGTTGAAGCTATTTCTATCTCAGACTCGGTTGAAGCTACAGATGCAAGCTTTTCAGTTGTCCTCTTAGTAGAGCCAAGGTAATCAGACATCATTCTGGGAAGAAATTTTCTGGCCTTTTTCTTTTTCACTAGGTCTCGATGCTCCCTTCTTTTTTGACGAAACCCGTCAACGTCAAATAGGTGAACCTCATCATGCTCTTCATCAGAATCTGTCACCACTGCTTCTAAGTCCTCCACAAGTGGGATCTGCACAATAAAAGAGCCTTTAACAGTCAAAATTTCATATTGTAGCACACTACTAAACCTTAAATTCAGATCAATAATAGGGGATCTCACCACTATTACTGTCTCAGAATCAGTATTAGCACTACCAGTTTCACAACTAAACTCTGAGGCAAACTCATCATGCTCTTCATTAGAATCTGTCACCACTGCTTCTAAGTCCTCCACAAGTGGGATCTGCACAATAAAAGAGCCTTTAACAGTCAAAATTTCATATTGTAGCACACTACTAAACCTTAAATTCAGATCAATAATAGGGGATCTCACCACTATTACTGTCTCAGAATCAGTATTAGCACTACCAGTTTCACAACTAAACTCTGAGGCAAACTCATCATGCTCTTCATTAGAATCTGTCACCACTGCTTCTAAGTCCTCCACAAGTGGGATCTGCACAATAAAAGAGCCTTTAACAGTCAAAATTTCATATTGTAGCACACTACTAAACCTTAAATCCAGATCTACGCTTTCATGCTCATTCCGGTTAACACTACAAAGTACAGCGAACATAATCCTACTAACACCAACACCAGCACAACAATATAGTAAAAACAAGATGCGTGCCACAAAAATAAACACATAGATCTGCGTTCTCCTGCTCATACCGGTGAAAAACAACAAAGTAACGACACCGATATACATACCTAATAAGCAAATCGATCAAACTTAAGTTGGTATGAACGCAAGAACGAAAACGGAACAGAAATCGAAGTACCGCCAATTCGAGATCGGAGTTCGTAGATGGATTTTCATTTGCCATATCGTTCTGGAAAACAAAATCAAAGGTATCGCGGTCATCAAAACAACACAAAAAGGTTATTAATCGGAACGAAATCATGAATAGAGCCAGAAATTAACCTTCGGTGAACTTTAGACGAGAGAAGTCGCCGGAATCCTCAAACTGACGCGAGTAAAACGCCGATCGCTTTCGCTTTAGACGAGAGAAGTCGCCGGAATCCTCAGACTGACGCGAGTAAAACGCCGATCGCGATCGCTCTCTCTGGCTCTCGCTCTCGCTCTCTCTCTTTCTCGTATAAAAAAAAACCCTAGTGAAAGAATGAGATTGAAGGGGGGGGAAGTATTTATATCGATCCCAACATCCGCTTTTTGGTTACGCGGGGGGTTAACTGACGTCAGCATGCTTGATCGTCCCAAAATCTTCTTCTGCAGAAGGATTTTTGTATATTTCACAGGGCGTAGAGGAGTTAGGACAATGTAAAGAGAAGGGATGGGAATGACGACAAAAAATAAAAAAAAAGACAAGGGATGGGAATGACGACAAAAAATAAAAAAAGACAAGGGATGGGAACGACGTATGAGTTTTTTATAGGGTAACAAAACCCCTCCTTCTAATTCACATAACAGGCCCATTCAATAACTGAGGCCTAATATTTGATTTAATTGGTGGCAAAAGTTTCGGTCTGTAATTGTTTTTAGGGCGAGAATCAAGTATTTAATTAGCTGAATTTCCTAATTTTAGCTGATTCGACATCTAATTTTGAAATTACATATAATTGTTACCATTACTTAGGACGAGAATCAAGTATTTAATTAGCTGAATTCCTTAATTTAGCTAATTCGACATCTAATTTTGAAATTACTTAGTATAATTGTTACCATTACTTAGGACGAGAATCAAGTATTTAATTAGCTGAATTCCTTCCCTTTTTTTTTGGCAGCCAATTAGCTGGATTCCTTAATGGGATTAAATTACATCTAATTTTGAAATTACATATATATACCAATTAATTAACTTTATTTTGTTGTGAATGAGATAAAATATCCAATATATATTATGTTACGCCAATAATAATTTCTTCTTCAGCAATATGTTTCATTTTTTAGATCATATTATATCCAATATACTTAGATTTTGTTGGTATTTTTTTTAAAAAAAGTTTTATGTAAATTTAGGTTTTGAAATGGTTTTTTTAAATAATAATATAGGTATAAAATTTTAGATTTTGTTCGTTTTGTTTAAGCATGTATTAGACAGTTTGGAATGTATTAGATTTTGAATGTGATTGTATTGTTGTTTGGTTGATTGTAAAAAATATTCATGTATTTGTAGCTATTAACTTAATACTTTTAAATCCAATGTAAGGATCTTGACATTGTATTATTCTATTAACAAAATATGGTTTAGATTAAATTTATGTTTATATTATATGTAATATGAAGTTAATGTGCAATAATCTTTTTTTTTTTTTGTCCAAAAATGTGCAATTATATATCTTATGAAATTGGTTATTGTCTAATAATATGGTATCTATCTTATGTATTCGAATGAACACAGCGCAAGGCTACACTCAAGTTACAGTGATGAAAATCCATGACCAACACGAAGATCGATAAAGCTAGAGAATTGTTCAGTAATATGAGTCAAAGGAATGTTTTTTCTTGGACTGTGATAATCAATGGATACATGCAGAGCAAGGATTTTAAAGTAGCATTGATGCTTTCTCAGGAATTGGTTGAGTCTGTGAATTATAGGCCAAGTCACTTACACATTTTCGACTGTTTTAAAAGCATGTGCCGCTTTCTCATCGCTTCTTATGGGAAAACAAGTGCACTCAATGATCACAAAGCGTGGAATGGCTTTTGACTTAGTCTTGTCCACGTCTCTCATAGATATGTATGCCAAGGCAGGTGATATTACCTCTGCTTCATGTGTCTTTAACTTGATGCCAATGAAGAATCCGGCTTCGTGGAATTCAATGATAGGAGGTTTTGCGAGACACGGATGTTGGAAGAGACATAAATAATAGAATAATGCAATAGTGCAATAAAGAAGTGGAAAACGTTTGTCATTCCATGTCTCAACAATTTTTACAATGAGACACAACACACTTATATAGTTTACAAAATATAACTATTCGTAACTGTTGGTGACAGTTGTGTCTTAACCAACAAGTTACGTGCCTTACTCACACCTCTTCACTTAATTAACGAACACACTTTATTACATGTTATACATATGACCAAACTCAATTATAAACTAACAATGGATTGGGAGTGAATGCTTTAGATGAATTCAAGAAGCTGATCGAGCGCGGTTACAAGCCTGATCAGGTGACTTTCACTAACTTGTTATCGGCTTGTGCTCATGCTGGGCTAGTGGAAGAAGGGGAAAAGCAATTCATGTTGATGAGTAGGCTTGGGATAGCTGCAGAAAAGGAACATTATGCTTGTATGGTGGATCTATTAGCAAGGGCTGGTCAATTAGATAAAGCAGAGAGATTGATAAATGGAATGACTGTTGAGCTCGGGGCTTGCAGATTGCATTCATGTCTGGAGCTCGGTGAAGCTAGTTACTGCTGAAGGAATCTCGAGGCTCAGAAGAGAGCATCCTGCAGCTTATGATGTACTGTGTAGAGTTCGTCTGGCGAGAAAGGAGATTGGACTAGTGTTATGGAGTTAAGGAGACTGATGAGGAAGACAAAAGTGGAGAAGCAAGACGCTAGTAGCTGGACTAGCTCTCCCACTTAATATTACCAGAAACGTTACATTTTTTGTGTGTTTTTTACTATAGAGTTGCGAAACAGAGCAGTTGTGATCTATGTCAATCACCTATTGAGACGAATCTCAAAGGTAAGAGAAGTTTTAAAAGAACACACTTTGGGTAATGCAAGATTCTTTCATTGAGAATAAACAAAGCAAAGTATCCAACATAGCTTATACAAAACCCAGAGGGCTAAGCAAAGTGGTCTTGTGACTAAAAGACATTCTTCTTCTCTGAGTGATCTGTTCCTCTAGTCAAGTCAAGAGAGTTATTTTCTTCACTTTCCGTTCTTCTTGCTCTCGTCCTTTTCCTTCTCTCTCTTTTTGTAAAGCTTCTGTAGGACTCGTTTCGCCTCACAATCGGGGAGGTTGGAAAGATCAGAGTAATGCGGTGCAATATCTACTAACCTGTATACAAGCAGAGTTACTCGGCTTGATCGGATGTCCAAAAAAATCACATGTCTTGTATTTGCTGCTTTTATTGCGGTAGTTGATAACTCATTAAAAGTATTTAAATGCTTTGTGGTGAGATTCTATGCAAGCATTCTTTTCTTTTTTTTTTCGTCTAAAGGATTTCATTGATAGAATGCGATTGAGTTATACAAAGCCGACAAGGAACGAAATCCTTTCGGAGACAAAGCCGGCGGGTACATAGAAACCCCCAGAAACTAAAGGCCAAAAGAGGCGGACAAACATAACAAAGCCCAAACGAGAGAAACTTAAGCCCAAACGAGGGAAATTACAATCTACGGAAATAGATGGAACCGCTAATAGCTTAGTCTCAATTAAGCCCAAACATGAGAACGACGAACATGGCGAGATACAGAAATCGAATCGAGAAACCTGACAGAGAATTTGACGAAGGAAGATGAACGCACTTGCTCAACTCTTTCAGTCCAAGATCACACGACTAACTAAACTGAGAGGATCCTGCTGAGAGGATCTATGCAAGCATTCAAAGTAACCAAAACTTAAAACTGAGGTGGATCTCTAGGAGATGAGAAAAGACGGAAATAGCCTTGTGGAAAGACCAGTCAACGGTACTGGTACTTTGGTTGATTTGTAAAAAATATTATGTATTTGTAGCTATTAACTTTATACTTTTAAATCAAATGTAAGGATCTTGACAAAATATGGTTTAGATTAAATTTATGTTTATATTATTTGTAATATGAAGTTAATGTGCAATTATCTTCTTTTTTTTTGGTCCAAAAATGTGCAATTATATATCTTATGAAATTGGTTATTGTCTAATAATATGGTATCTATCTTATGTATTCGAATGAACATAGCGCAAGGCTACACTCAAGTTACAGTGATGAAAATCCATGACCAACACGAAGATCGATAAAGCTAGGGAATTGTTCAGTAATATGAGTCAAAGAAATGTTTTTTCTTGGACTGTGATGATCAATGGATAAATGCAGAGCAAGAATTTTAAAGTAGCATTTTCGATCGAAATCCTCACAATCAGAAACATACCAAATGAAAATCCCGAAAAGAAGTAACATCTCAACGATTCCCTCTTGAAGAAGCTCACGGGTTGAAAAATGTGTGCTTAAGCTTCTCCCTCCTCTTAACCTCACACTTCTTCTTCTTAAATTGACGCTGCCTATTTGGCGGAACTCGGCCTTGGGCTCGCCCTCGTCTATTCTTTTCCACATCAGATGAAGAAGAAGTCAAGAATGAAGAAGTCTCATCTGAGTTCTCAACCTCCATAGGTGGAATCTGTAAAATAAAAGAGCATATTAATTTCATTTTCAAGCACACTACTAAACCTCAATAGTAAGGGAGCTCACCACTGCTTCTGTTTTATCAGTTTCACTACTAAACTCAGAGGCTGAGATCCCCACTACTTCTGTCTCATCTGAGTTCTTGACCTCCATAGGTGGAATCTGTAAAATAAAAGAGCTTCTTAATTTCAATTTCAAGCACACTACTAAACCTTAAATCCAGATCAATAGTAGGGGAGCTCACAACTGCTTCTGTTTTATCAGTTTCACTAATAAACTCCGAGGTTGAAGCAACAGATTCGGTTGAAGCAACAGATTCGGTTGAAGCTATTTCTATCTCAGACTCGGTTGAAGCTACAGATGCAAGCTTTTCAGTTGTCCTCTTAGTAGAGCCAAGGTAATCAGACATCATTCTGGGAAGAAATTTTCTGGCCTTTTTCTTTTTCACTAGGTCTCGATGCTCCCTTCTTTTTTGACGAAACCCGTCAACGTCAAATAGGTGAAACTCATCATGCTCTTCATCAGAATCTGTCACCACTGCTTCTAAGTCCTCCACAAGTGGGATCTGCACAATAAAAGAGCCTTTAACAGTCAAAATTTCATATTGTAGCACACTACTAAACCTTAAATTCAGATCAATAATAGGGGATCTCACCACTATTACTGTCTCAGAATCAGTATTAGCACTACCAGTTTCACAACTAAACTCTGAGGCAAACTCATCATGCTCTTCATTAGAATCTGTCACCACTGCTTCTAAGTCCTCCACAAGTGGGATCTGCACAATAAAAGAGCCTTTAACAGTCAAAATTTCATATTGTAGCACACTACTAAACCTTAAATTCAGATCAATAATAGGGGATCTCACCACTATTACTGTCTCAGAATCAGTATTAGCACTACCAGTTTCACAACTAAACTCTGAGGCAAACTCATCATGCTCTTCATTAGAATCTGTCACCACTGCTTCTAAGTCCTCCACAAGTGCAATCTGTACAATAAATAGGCCTTATAACACTTAAATGTTCATGTTCAAGCACACTACTAAGCCTTAAATCCAGATCAATAATAGGGGAGCTCACCGCTGGTACTGTCTCATCTGAGTTCTTGACCTCCATAGGTGGAATCTGTAAAATAAAAGAGCTTCTTAATTTCAATTTCAAGCACACTACTAAACCTTAAATCCAGATCAATAGTAGGGGAGCTCACAACTGCTTCTGTTTTATCAGTTTCACTAATAAACTCCGAGGTTGAAGCAACAGATTCGGTTGAAGCAACAGATTCGGTTGAAGCTATTTCTATCTCAGACTCGGTTGAAGCTACAGATGCAAGCTTTTCAGTTGTCCTCTTAGTAGAGCCAAGGTAATCAGACATCATTCTGGGAAGAAATTTTCTGGCCTTTTTCTTTTTCACTAGGTCTCGATGCTCCCTTCTTTTTTGACGAAACCCGTCAACGTCAAATAGGTGAACCTCATCATGCTCTTCATCAGAATCTGTCACCACTGCTTCTAAGTCCTCCACAAGTGGGATCTGCACAATAAAAGAGCCTTTAACAGTCAAAATTTCATATTGTAGCACACTACTAAACCTTAAATTCAGATCAATAATAGGGGATCTCACCACTATTACTGTCTCAGAATCAGTATTAGCACTACCAGTTTCACAACTAAACTCTGAGGCAAACTCATCATGCTCTTCATTAGAATCTGTCACCACTGCTTCTAAGTCCTCCACAAGTGGGATCTGCACAATAAAAGAGCCTTTAACAGTCAAAATTTCATATTGTAGCACACTACTAAACCTTAAATTCAGATCAATAATAGGGGATCTCACCACTATTACTGTCTCAGAATCAGTATTAGCACTACCAGTTTCACAACTAAACTCTGAGGCAAACTCATCATGCTCTTCATTAGAATCTGTCACCACTGCTTCTAAGTCCTCCACAAGTGGGATCTGCACAATAAAAGAGCCTTTAACAGTCAAAATTTCATATTGTAGCACACTACTAAACCTTAAATCCAGATCTACGCTTTCATGCTCATTCCGGTTAACACTACAAAGTACAGCGAACATAATCCTACTAACACCAACACCAGCACAACAATATAGTAAAAACAAGATGCGTGCCACAAAAATAAACACATAGATCTGCGTTCTCCTGCTCATACCGGTGAAAAACAACAAAGTAACGACACCGATATACATACCTAATAAGCAAATCGATCAAACTTAAGTTGGTATGAACGCAAGAACGAAAACGGAACAGAAATCGAAGTACCGCCAATTCGAGATCGGAGTTCGTAGATGGATTTTCATTTGCCATATCGTTCTGGAAAACAAAATCAAAGGTATCGCGGTCATCAAAACAACACAAAAAGGTTATTAATCGGAACGAAATCATGAATAGAGCCAGAAATTAACCTTCGGTGAACTTTAGACGAGAGAAGTCGCCGGAATCCTCAAACTGACGCGAGTAAAACGCCGATCGCTTTCGCTTTAGACGAGAGAAGTCGCCGGAATCCTCAGACTGACGCGAGTAAAACGCCGATCGCGATCGCTCTCTCTGGCTCTCGCTCTCGCTCTCTCTCTTTCTCGTATAAAAAAAAACCCTAGTGAAAGAATGAGATTGAAGGGGGGGGAAGTATTTATATCGATCCCAACATCCGCTTTTTGGTTACGCGGGGGGTTAACTGACGTCAGCATGCTTGATCGTCCCAAAATCTTCTTCTGCAGAAGGATTTTTGTATATTTCACAGGGCGTAGAGGAGTTAGGACAATGTAAAGAGAAGGGATGGGAATGACGACAAAAAATAAAAAAAAAGACAAGGGATGGGAATGACGACAAAAAATAAAAAAAGACAAGGGATGGGAACGACGTATGAGTTTTTTATAGGGTAACAAAACCCCTCCTTCTAATTCACATAACAGGCCCATTCAATAACTGAGGCCTAATATTTGATTTAATTGGTGGCAAAAGTTTCGGTCTGTAATTGTTTTTAGGGCGAGAATCAAGTATTTAATTAGCTGAATTTCCTAATTTTAGCTGATTCGACATCTAATTTTGAAATTACATATAATTGTTACCATTACTTAGGACGAGAATCAAGTATTTAATTAGCTGAATTCCTTAATTTAGCTAATTCGACATCTAATTTTGAAATTACTTAGTATAATTGTTACCATTACTTAGGACGAGAATCAAGTATTTAATTAGCTGAATTCCTTCCCTTTTTTTTTGGCAGCCAATTAGCTGGATTCCTTAATGGGATTAAATTACATCTAATTTTGAAATTACATATATATACCAATTAATTAACTTTATTTTGTTGTGAATGAGATAAAATATCCAATATATATTATGTTACGCCAATAATAATTTCTTCTTCAGCAATATGTTTCATTTTTTAGATCATATTATATCCAATATACTTAGATTTTGTTGGTATTTTTTTTAAAAAAAAGTTTTATGTAAATTTAGGTTTTGAAATGGTTTTTTTAAATAATAATATAGGTATAAAATTTTAGATTTTGTTCGTTTTGTTTAAGCATGTATTAGACAGTTTGGAATGTATTAGATTTTGAATGTGATTGTATTGTTGTTTGGTTGATTGTAAAAAATATTCATGTATTTGTAGCTATTAACTTAATACTTTTAAATCCAATGTAAGGATCTTGACATTGTATTATTCTATTAACAAAATATGGTTTAGATTAAATTTATGTTTATATTATATGTAATATGAAGTTAATGTGCAATAATCTTTTTTTTTTTTTGTCCAAAAATGTGCAATTATATATCTTATGAAATTGGTTATTGTCTAATAATATGGTATCTATCTTATGTATTCGAATGAACACAGCGCAAGGCTACACTCAAGTTACAGTGATGAAAATCCATGACCAACACGAAGATCGATAAAGCTAGAGAATTGTTCAGTAATATGAGTCAAAGGAATGTTTTTTCTTGGACTGTGATAATCAATGGATACATGCAGAGCAAGGATTTTAAAGTAGCATTGATGCTTTCTCAGGAATTGGTTGAGTCTGTGAATTATAGGCCAAGTCACTTACACATTTTCGACTGTTTTAAAAGCATGTGCCGCTTTCTCATCGCTTCTTATGGGAAAACAAGTGCACTCAATGATCACAAAGCGTGGAATGGCTTTTGACTTAGTCTTGTCCACGTCTCTCATAGATATGTATGCCAAGGCAGGTGATATTACCTCTGCTTCATGTGTCTTTAACTTGATGCCAATGAAGAATCCGGCTTCGTGGAATTCAATGATAGGAGGTTTTGCGAGACACGGATGTTGGAAGAGACATAAATAATAGAATAATGCAATAGTGCAATAAAGAAGTGGAAAACGTTTGTCATTCCATGTCTCAACAATTTTTACAATGAGACACAACACACTTATATAGTTTACAAAATATAACTATTCGTAACTGTTGGTGACAGTTGTGTCTTAACCAACAAGTTACGTGCCTTACTCACACCTCTTCACTTAATTAACGAACACACTTTATTACATGTTATACATATGACCAAACTCAATTATAAACTAACAATGGATTGGGAGTGAATGCTTTAGATGAATTCAAGAAGCTGATCGAGCGCGGTTACAAGCCTGATCAGGTGACTTTCACTAACTTGTTATCGGCTTGTGCTCATGCTGGGCTAGTGGAAGAAGGGGAAAAGCAATTCATGTTGATGAGTAGGCTTGGGATAGCTGCAGAAAAGGAACATTATGCTTGTATGGTGGATCTATTAGCAAGGGCTGGTCAATTAGATAAAGCAGAGAGATTGATAAATGGAATGACTGTTGAGCTCGGGGCTTGCAGATTGCATTCATGTCTGGAGCTCGGTGAAGCTAGTTACTGCTGAAGGAATCTCGAGGCTCAGAAGAGAGCATCCTGCAGCTTATGATGTACTGTGTAGAGTTCGTCTGGCGAGAAAGGAGATTGGACTAGTGTTATGGAGTTAAGGAGACTGATGAGGAAGACAAAAGTGGAGAAGCAAGACGCTAGTAGCTGGACTAGCTCTCCCACTTAATATTACCAGAAACGTTACATTTTTTGTGTGTTTTTTACTATAGAGTTGCGAAACAGAGCAGTTGTGATCTATGTCAATCACCTATTGAGACGAATCTCAAAGGTAAGAGAAGTTTTAAAAGAACACACTTTGGGTAATGCAAGATTCTTTCATTGAGAATAAACAAAGCAAAGTATCCAACATAGCTTATACAAAACCCAGAGGGCTAAGCAAAGTGGTCTTGTGACTAAAAGACATTCTTCTTCTCTGAGTGATCTGTTCCTCTAGTCAAGTCAAGAGAGTTATTTTCTTCACTTTCCGTTCTTCTTGCTCTCGTCCTTTTCCTTCTCTCTCTTTTTGTAAAGCTTCTGTAGGACTCGTTTCGCCTCACAATCGGGGAGGTTGGAAAGATCAGAGTAATGCGGTGCAATATCTACTAACCTGTATACAAGCAGAGTTACTCGGCTTGATCGGATGTCCAAAAAAACTATATATAACAGGAACAGGAGAATCGAAACTAACCATTCACCGCGAATATCTGTAACAGTGTAAATGAAATTCCGAGTATTCAATACATATTCATTGTAAATCACCCACTCCGGTTTGTGATCCAAGCAATTGAATGGATGCAAGTGAACCACCTGCGCCCAGTATATATACAGACGATCCATCAGATGAAATACTCCGGTTTTCAGTTGTATTGCATCACGGATTTTTTTGCGGATTCGACGATTCGTAATTGGTTACTATAAATATTTGGTAGGATTGCGAAAGATCCTCGCTTCGAAAGATTACCTTGTGTACACAAAGGGACGTATGCTGATGACTGTCTCGTTGACAGAGTTACTCAGGTATGTTGTATTCACCAAGGAACTTTGTATTTAAGACTCTGTACTGTAAGGAGATACCAATGCTCTAGTCTCATGGTTCTTGGTGTATGCTTCACATTCTATCCTTTCTATGTGTCTGTGACATTCTTTCTTGTAATTTACAGCATAAGTGCTTCATAGTGGCTACATGTGATAGAGATTTAAAGCGAAGGATTCGAAAGGTAATGATAGGCTGATGTATCAAATGTTTTGCTTATATCCATGGCTGAAATCTTTGGATATTATTAACTTTTTTTCGTTTGTTTGTTTGCAGATTCCTGGTGTGCCGATCATGTATGTGACGCGACGCAAGTACTCAATAGAGAAGTTGCCTGAAGCTACACTTGGTGGAGGTATGCATCTTTCGGCTGAGGCATCTGAATCTACTGGTACTTAAGTATTAGACTATGTGAATTAGCTTTTGTAACCTTTGGCTGGTTTTTTTTTTGGTGCAGCTCCAAGATACTGATAATTGAATAGAGACCTTATGAATTCCATGAAGCCCTGAAGCCTCAAGCCTGAGTTGGTCTTGGTTTAAGATCTGAATCAAAATGACTTGGAAAGGCTGTGTTATGAGATCTGAAGCCATTTTTGTTCTCTGGGTTGGCTAATCTGTTGTTAATTTGATACAAGGTTAATTAACAACTTCATAGATATTTTAATTATGCTTTTACACTTAATTAAACTTTGAAAAAACACATTCTTAATCTATTACACAGTGGTGTTAATGACAGACCAAAATCATGTCTTGTTGGATTTCGTACGTTGATGTGATGTGGTGATTAAGATAATTACATTAAAATCAACCTGTTATTATTATTAAGATGAAACGTGGTATGACATTGACATTCCTTATCAGTACAAAGAGTTGGTGTTTTCACGAGACGTAGCCGGCTTTGAGCTTTGGAGCTTTCTGTTTGACGAAGAACGCAGAAAGAACACTCTTTGTCCGGACAGGAGCTTGAATGATCTCTCGTCGCGGGTTATTGTCAAGTGACCTGTGAGCAGTCAGAAGTTTGGGAACCTCCAAATCCTGTAGAACCACAAACTTGTCTCATCAAAACCATGATTACATATACACAGCTTACTAATTCAGTCGAAGTTTTCTACATAAACTATCCGATTCATACGAGATTTGTTTCGTGTGTTCTCAAATTTTTTACCTTATGGGCAACACCGTAGGTCTGCTTTGTTACAGTGGATGCAGCAGGAACACCTGAGACCTGAGAACCAGCCGAAGGCTTCTTGTTTACTATGTTTTCTTCATCACCTGCATGAGTTTTAGTGTATATCATCAATCTCTTGGCATGAGTTATATAAGAAGAAATGCTATGTTTGATTCTTCTTCGACTCCCTGTTTCTCGTACCTAAGAGATGGAACACTCCAGATGTCTTTGTGAAAGCTTTTGAATCTTTGGAGCTGCACAGTAAATACGTATTAGTTGTCTAGTTATCAAGAACGTGAGAAACACTAGTAAAGCTTTAGTGGGCTCACCTTGGTGCAACCGTGGATGTTCCTTTGAGGGTAGACTTGGTCTCTGAGCCTAAATGCCAGGAGAGTGATTTCGATGCAGGGGCATCTAAGTGAGTCAAACCAAGGCATTACTTAAACTGTTTGATATATTAACTAATAAGCTCAAAGATGAGGACATTGCACCTGAAGGTTGAAGACGGGATATAGCTTGGTAATGATTCTGTCTTGTGTCAGTTCGTCTGAGAGGACTAAAGTGTACCCGCTTGTTCACAGAATCTAAGAACAGTCAGAGAAAAAAAAATTCAGATCTCACTAGTAAACTAACAAAGAATCTTACTTAACAAGGGCCAAGAAAAACTCTTACTGGGAAGAATGTAATGCTTGTGATGCAATGGGATAACTGCTAATAGCTGTTGTTGTCTAAGACCTTCTTTGTCGATATAAGTCCGGCATGTAAGCAGTTGCTGATGATAGAACATACACAAACCTTAAGGGAGATTGCCTAGAAAAGGTAAGATCAATATATAGAGAAGTGTGAGAGAGGTTTGATACCTGGCTAACACAAGAAGCTCTCAACTCCATAGTTGATATGTCTGAATTTTGCTGATCAAAAAGATCAGTAAGCTTGGAAGCTACAGTTCCAAGGTGATCAACAGCATTAACTAGAGCCTTTACAGTGTAGTCTTTCAAATTGTCCAATACCCTAAACAAAAAGGTAAAAATGTAAAGAGAAGAAATGAATAAAACTGTCATTCAAAGCTACTAGTAGAGTTAAATTAAGAGGTTACTTACATTTGCTTTTGCTCGCTATGAAGATAAGACTTTTCACAGTAATCAGCAGCTGAATAAAGTTGTGGCCTCAAGTTCTTGAGCTCCTGTTACATAAAAGTAAAGTGTACAATTAAATAACATTGTAAGCCAAAACAAACAAAAACAAATCACAAGATTCTTGAGTCGTCTCCAGGTAGCTATAACTCAGTAACACAAGCTAAAAAAACAAATCCTAAAGGAAGCTACAAGTCAAGCCATTGTCTGTCTTAATAATCCCAAGAAAGCCAGATTGAAATCTTGAAGACAGTAACACACTAACCGACAATCATCATCTTGGTCCCATCAATAAACTTAATCCACAAAATTTACAGCCAACAAGACTTAGTTTTTACCATGGACTCAAACGTGTATATAGCCTACAACGAGATCATGGATCTGGCTCAACTTAACCCAATTATTGTGATCATAGCTGTTAATTTCTACACAATCTAACTGATCAGAACCCAAAAAAAAACAAAAAAAAAAAAAGAGAGATAGAGAAAATAAGGAACCTGCAATGCCTTAACGAAGCTCTTGCTGCGTTCCATGGAAACCTCGTCGAAGGTCATAGCTGGATTATCCATTCCCGATATCTCCGTTTCCATTTAGCGATCAGAGTGTGTAGAAATTACGAGAGATTAGTGTAACAATCAATGTTTGTTCGGATTTGTGAGGTAAGGCTAGCTTTCTGGTGAGACGGCTAAGCTAACTTGACAGAGAAAGAGAGAGAGAGAGAAGAGGAAGGTCAGAGTGAAGTAGAAGCGATTCCAAATCCAAAGGACTCTAATGCCATTTTTTGCTTCCAGAGTTATTAAAAAGGTATATAGAAGAAAACGACTTCGGAAAGACGCACTATGTTTTTTTATTAATTCTTTTAAACAAGTTATTATGAACACATAGAGAAAACAGATTAATTAATGGTTTGATCATATCTCTTAATGCAAGTCTCTCCAATTAAACCAAACTAAAAATTGGCTTTGTTGTGAATTATTTTTGTCATACCATAAGATGCCTCTGAATTACACAATTAATACAGCATAATTTGAAAGGACATTAAATTAATATTTTTTGTCGAGTATACATTAGAAATACTCCCTAGAAAGGTTAAAAAAATCACATGTCTTGTATTTGCTGCTTTAATTGCGGTTGTTGTAACACATTAAATTATTTATGTGTTTGTGGTTAGATTCTATGCAAGCATTTAAAGTAAACGGAGGTGGATCTAGGGGAACGAAATGACGGATATACCCTTGCAAAAAAGACCGGTCAACGGAACTGGATTTTTTAATTGACTCCGGCAAGTTGCATGAAAAGTAACGCTGGCGGGACACGTCAGCATTAAGCCAGCTTCATTCACATGAGATCCACACGTGTGGATTAGCTGTCAAAACGGACCTGCACGTGCTAAGGCCCATGGTCCATTATGGTTTTACTGGGCAAAAATCATTGGGCCCAACTTTAGTCTTCTAAATCATTTTTGCCATCTGCTTTCAATGATTCTGTTCAGGTGAATTGAAAACACTGGCGAAAATGACCAAACAAGTTTTTTTTTGGTTTGTGCCAAATTGCCAATGTTGTCTTCGTGTTTATATAATTCGAATTTATGTTTAGAAATATATGCGTTTGATTGAAGATCAAAATTATGGATATACACACAAATGTTGGCTGTATAAATCATATTCCTTAAATAAAAAGCTTTTGTCATAATATGGATATAAACAAATGTAAGACTTGCTCGATTTTCACCTTCCAATAAATAATCATTAAATAAAATGTCTAAGATTATTTTAAAAAATAATACAACTTTAAATTGCATCAATCATTCCAAATTTTTAATTATAATATACATACATGCAATGCAACATGATACTAGATTGTAAATGGTTAAAGATTATGTGCTTCTTAATTTAGTTTATCAGCAGATTTCTACAACAGTAACCTAATAATGGTTCGATCCTCTTCAATCGCAGTTTTGTTTATTTTAAGGGTCACAAGTCTTTTTGGGCTTGTGGTCCTTAAAATTTCTGGGTCGGCTACACTGTAAATTTTTGACATATATGTAGGCTTTTCTTACATATACACATAAAAGGGTTTATTGTATTCATGTTATTGGGTTTATTTATATCGTTCCATCTTCATCTATATTACACACACCACTCTATCTATAACCACACGAAATACTACTATACACAACACTAATATGTTTCAGACGATGATGATGAATCAATCTCCGAACTCAAAGTAGGTCGGCTTGGGAGTAGAAGGGCAGCTAATGGCTTCAACAAGCTCTTGAACAGTGAGCATTTGAAACTTTGGAGGCGAATTAATGGCTATGTTATCGACTTTATGTTCATAAATCTTCCCACTCTTATCGAATTTATACTCAGAAGTCCCATCGAATCGACCCCGAGTCTCCCAAGGACCACGAGGAATTCCATGAACAGTCCAACGGATCATTAGAGTGTTCTCTGTAGGTTGCCAAACACTAACAATGTCAACACAGAGTGCTCTGAAGAAGATCCTTCCATGGAAACGTAACGCCCAAAATATGGATTTGTAATTATCAATCCCCATGAAAGTGTTCATAGGGTCTCTGAAAACAATATCATCCCTGCGAAATTAGACAAGACAAAGAGCTAATCAAGAACTGATCAAACAGAACATTCTCTAAGAAATCTAACCAAGAACAGAACAGGCAATATATACCCTGAAAGCTAATTAAAAGGAGACCAATTTGACGAAAAGCTAATCAAGAACAGATCAAATTTGGGATATAAGCATGAAAGATAATCAGAGAGCAGTTAAATCAAAATCGAGAAACTTAAACCTGTAAATGTCAAAATTGGGCTCTTTGTAGAACAACAAAGGAAACTCTTCTCTGATACTACGAACGGCGTGACCCATATTCACGTAGTAACTCTGCTTATCTTCTTCTTTTTCTTCATCTCTGCTAATCTTGCAGTCTTCTTTCACCGGAGCTGAGAATCTCCCGTACAATCTCGATTTCTGATTCTTAATACCAGACAAATCTCTTGCGTCAATCGCTGAAACCGTAACCTTCCTCCTCATAAACGCATGACTAATAACACTCGAATTCGAATCGGAGAAGATTCTCGCCGAGACAGTGGGAACTTCCGGCGAACGAACAAGGAATGCCATCGGAGAATGGAAAAAACCGGGAAGGAGATTGAAGATTTAAACTAGAGCAAACATGGAAACGAGAAGGAATTTGCGGAGGAATATGCTGGCTTTGTGGATTGAGAGAGAAGATGAGAAGGCGCGACGCGAGGATAGGTCAGGAAAAATCTCTAAGGATAATCTTTCAGTCCGCATGGATAACGATTCTTTGACTTGTCATCTTCAACGACAAAGACTATTGAAAGTTCTCTAATAATTATCACAAAATTGACGGTCCATTTATAGTTAGGGCTTCAGGTACCTAATTAAAGCCCATTATTAGAATTGTACAAATTATAAATTGTTGATTACAAAAACAATTATATTGGAAAACCCACTTATCTGTAGATGTATAAATGAAAGGGACATTAAATGAAACGATTTCATCGAGGCCCAACTAGTTTCGAGGCCCAAGTCTAAGCAATTTGATACAAGAAGCAAACAAAATTAAGGAAGCAAAGTTACACAGCGTTTTATAAAACTTTTTTTTGTGTTCATAAACTCCAAATTCATTTGGCAAATGCTTTCATTAATGTTCTTGAGTGTCTCATTTGTTGTAGAAGCATGAACCCTTGAATATACAACTTTACATTGACGTGAACTCAAACAATTTGGTTCAAAAGCTCGGTTTTTCCGGTGGAGTACTTTGTCATGTTTATTAGACCTGCACAATCCGTCTTATACGTAGAACAAGTACGCATGTGTGGCAAATTAGTGATATGAAAATTATAAACTCAACAGAAAATAGATATATATTATGTAGTTTTGATCATGGTAGAGTTACACCTAAAAAAGTAACTAATTAAAAAGTACTTCACAAACGAAACACCAACAAAAACGATCTGTTTAAATCAGATTTTTAGCCATGAGTATTCACAGCTTCCCACAGCAAGTTCTTCAACATAGGATTAGTCACATCTCTAGCTTGAATCGCCGCATTCTTCAAAGTCCTAATCGTCCACACATTAGCCTCCCACCACGAAAGACTCCTATAAGGAAGATTATGTTTCTTACAAAGCTCCTTAACCACCGGCGATACTGTCCGGAGATGACAACGAGGAAGCCGAGGAAACAAATGATGCTCTAACTGAAACTGTAATCCACCAAAGAACCAATCCATATACGATCTACACGATATATCAAGCGTACCAGCGGTTTGTTTCTCGAACCAATCGTTTCCGTTGGGCGGACCGGTATAAACATCTGCTGCGAAATGGTTTAAACAGAACTGAACGTGTTGAATCGCCGTGACGGCGAAGCTAACGAAGACGAAGATGAATCTCTCTTGCCAATTCGGGAGGAAGGAGACTAAGAGAGGGAACCATGTCCAGAAAACTAAAATTCCGGCGATGTTTAAGGCTCGATCTGGGACGTGGCGTTTCGAGAATAGCAATAGGAATGTTTGTATGAAGAGATTGATTCTTCCGACGCACATTACTGGGTAAAATGTCCAGTGTTGGTAGCTGATTAAGAATCGAGCTAGAGGATCGAATGTTAATTTCCTGCCATAGAAACGTGACGTCATCGAATTGAAGAATTTGGTTGAGACGGCGAAGATTGGGATGTGTTGTAGATCTGGATCGTGATCAAGGCTGTTACAAGCGAGGTGGTGAGCGTTGTGCGTCCATTTCCACCACGCGATTGAGATTCCGGTGAGACAGTTACCGGAGAGAAGCTGGATTAGTTTGTTACACGGTTTGGTCGACGTCACCGTGTAATGACCGGAATCGTGGCCTACGTAAGCGCTCTGGATCCAGAGGAGACCGAGTAAGACGGCGGAGATGAGGTGAGCCCAGATGCTGGTACACGCCAAAACGCCGTAGAGAACCGCCGCGAGCATTACACCGACGCACGTGAGCGTGTAGAGGGTCACGTGACCTTTTTTGTCGAAGAGGCCGCGTTTGGAGAATTCGGCGGCTAATCGGCGGTAATCACGTGACACGTCAGACACGTGGAAGTCTCTCACGTGATAGCCATTGTGAAGCTTTTCGAGGTGGTGCCATGCGGTTCCGGGATGGTAAGCGATGAACGCGTCGGTGACGTCTTGGCCGGCGAGATTGAGAATCGCTGCTTCGCCACCGGGATGAGATTTAACCCAATCGGAAACGTCGTAAACTTTACCTTGAATCGAAATCCATAAATCTCCAGGTTTGTTGTGTTTTTTCAAATCCTCGCTTGTAACGTATCTCTTCTTCGTTTGATCCGCCATTGTTGAACCAGAGAATGAGAGAGATTTAGTTCCTAGATCCAAAATCAAGAAAATTTACAGAACCCAAATTGAGAAAGGTTGCAAATGCAAAACCTTTCTCTCTATGGATTCGTAACTCACAGATTTTGAATCGATTCTACGCCTTTTGTTCCTTATATTTGTGTTTTTTGGTTTGTTTACTGTTTTGGAATCGATGTTCGAGTCTTTGACACATGTTTTATTTTTAGAACCGATTTAAATGGTTAAATTACCTTTTATTAATCCGTTACGTTAACTCTATTAATGGAATTGTTGATTACAGAAAAACTCCATTGACAATGTTGTCTTACATGTTATTATGTCAGTGTATCATTAGTTTGTGTGGGTCTATCAATTTCTTTCAGTATCCTCAAAATCAACGTCAAAGTCGTCAATAACAGAGAATAAAATCCCAAAAGCAGAATAAAGTGGTAACGTACGTTACGTTTTTAGTTCTCAACTTTAAAAATTTGTCTTAGCAGATTTTTGTGATTCAATGAACTTTGGCGGATTCAAAACCTACTGAATGGGCTTCTATATTTTAAAATGGGCCTAAAGGTATCAATTTAAAGGCCTAATTATTTCATAAGCATCTTCTCTACCTCGCGCGCTCTTGTTATGCTTTTGCCGGCGTCGGAACTCGCCGATGTCTCCTCCGTAGAAATTATTTTAACTGTAAGTCTCAATTAGTCTCACGATTATCAACTTGCACCTTCGTAATGATTTATTGTCTATTAGCTAACTTCTAATTATTCATTTTGGTCTTCGTTGCTCTCACATTAGGTTGTGGAGCTGTTTTGGGGTTTTCTGGTAAGAGACTCTCCGAGATGAATCCGGCGAATTTTCAGCCTCCAAATCCTCCGTTCCACTGGGCTCCGATGTTACCTCCGGACCCGCCTCGTTTTGGTATGTTTTGGACTCCGAAGAACATAACCGATCAGCTCAAACAACTCCAAGATACGCTTAACCTGGCTAAATCAATGTAAGTAAGGCCACATGAAATTTTATTTTTGTGTTAATGAATCGATTTGAGTATCGGAGTTTCGATTTCAGGGTATAGTTATAGATAGTGAATCACAATCTAGTTCACTGTTGGTGAATTCTTATAAGTTGGGGTATATGTAGGGAGAAGGAACTGGAAGCATTGAAGATGATCAAAGACGCCAAAGGTTCAGTGGAAATTGTAGAACAAGGTTCAGGAGTAGAGTGTTTGAGATATCTAGAAGCTATGAAGATGGATTTGGGACAGCAGGAGATGCTTTCAGTGGAAGCTGCTAACTCCTTGATGTCTACCTTGAGATCACAGCTTGAGCCTTTTAGGTTTGTTGTTGATGAGAATAGTCCATGGGAAGAGAAATCTGCAGCAGTAAGATTGACTTGCAAAATGAACAAATCGAAAAGGAACAAACTGTGGAAGAAGCGAAAGAGACGGTGTGTTGCAGAGATGCGTGCTAAGGTGTATTTTTATGCTCTATTTATCTTATATTGCAGTAGTTGAGTTATTAATTCTATCATCCTTTAAATGGTTTCAGGAGCCTGAGAGATTTGAACAAGCTGATCGAGAGGCCGATGAATGGAGGGAAAAGGAAATGGCCAAGGACATGGCTAATAGAAAGGTTATAAATATCACTGTGTGGAATTCATAAGCGGTGAAACATATAATATATGTTCCTTATTTCGGTATCTGACAGGGTCTAATCTGTTTTCAGGTTGATGAGATGAAGGCAATTGAGAAGATCAAGGCAAAACGTGAGCGAAGGAGACTAGAACCCGAGGTGAGACTTCTAAAGCCATCTCAGACATTATCTAATGGGAACTCGTGATAAGATTTCATATAAATTCTTTTATAATTCATCTCATGGTTTCAATGTTTCAGCTGGAACTAGCTCTGATTGTTGAGGAAATGCAAGAGTTACGTTCCCTAAGAATCGAAAAACTAAAGAAGCAAGGTATGTCAATAACATGAAGTAGTACAATGCTTTCTGATATCAGAGTCTGACTTAAGTAAACGGGTTATATGGACACTATGCAGGACATTTCCTTCCCGAAGAAGATGACAAGTTTTTCGAGAGTGTTCGTGCTGCGGTGGAGCAAGAGGAAAACCAAGCTCAGTCCCTAATCAACACAGAGACCGAAGCGAATGTCATTGCCTCTGAGGAAGACACTACTCTCACTACCAGTAACAAAACCAACAAAGACACAGAAAAAGATAGCAATACTATTGCAGCTTCTTGTGAAAAGACGATGAAAGCTCCTGAAAATGGTTGTGACAATATATCGAATTTACCACCCGAGTTCTACCACTACTACTACGGAAGCAATATTGACATGGGTAGACTTATTGAGGTGGGTTTTATTTTGACATCCACTTCTTTTTATCTCCTAACTTAAAGATGTGATTCAACTGGTTTATGGTTTTAAAAGTACAGATCAGAAGAGAATGGGATGCATATCTGAGTCCTGGAGGAAGGTAAGTTACCAAATCAATAATTCTTAAATTAGAGATTTTGATGTTTGGCTCTTACTTAAGAAAAGGTTTTGATTTTTATATACAGCCGGATTCCTGGACACTGGGTGCAGCCGTCGCCACCAGCTAATGAGATTTGGGCTTCTTGTCTTGTTGATACTCCCAAGAGAGATCTTAGTTAGTTGCTGTTCGAATTCTAGGATACAGGTTTCAGCCAGCACCACTGAAGATCATGTGATTTGGTCATGTATCTCTGTTTCGAAACAGATCACTAAGTAGCTTAATAATCATAAAGTTGGCAATATATGTATATATTCAAATTCACATTTAAAATACATCGTCTGTCAATAGAATTTCTACCTTATTAATCAACTTCAATGGAATGAGTTAACTCCATCAATATTCTAAGTTTTGGAATCATGATAATTTTTTGAAGTTACACAATCTGGTAATTATTTCATCAATCATCAATAACGGTCCTCATATCGTCTGCTGAAGTTCTCAGAGATAACATTTACCAATTGGTCGATTGCCTCCAAGATTTAGTTGTCCTGTCGATTAAGTTGAGCCTTTATTTATAGTAAAGCACACATATTATTACGATCAAGTCAAACGAATGTGGGGAAGATGATTGTTGAGCTATTCAATTGACGATGAATCACAACTGCCCATCTGCCCCAAATTTGGATATTGCAAAGAATTCTTTCGTGAAAAGTGCATTTGAACGCACTAAACCGATACACACATATCTCTGCTTCTCTAATTAACCATAACCAATTTTCTTCACTTGTCCGTTTAAACCATCATAGATAAGCTCTAACAATTGCTCAATAAACAATTTCTCCCGTCAATTTGTGGATCTAACTAATCCAATTACAGTAAAGTTGGCATTGTGTTCCAGATCTTAATGAAAGAATTAAATAAAAGAATTGTGGGGAAGATGATTGTTGAGCTATTCAATTAACAATGAATCACAACTGCCCATCTGCCCCAAATTGATTTCGCAGAGAAATCTTTCGTACAAAGCGCATTAGATCGCACTAAGCCGATACACACAATCTCTGCTTTTTTTTTTTACAAAACCAACAATGATATTTCATATCAAACAAGTATACACCAAAAACACAAGACAATCCACAAGAAGACAGATCATCAAAGAGCTCTTGGAGACTCAATCTACGAAGGTTAAATAAATTGTTAGAGAAGCCTCATTTCATGAGTTTACTCGCTTCCCTGCTGGGTCCTTCGCTTTTCTTCTAATGCAAATTTTAATACCAACAGAATTTAATCGAAAACTAAATCCATAAGGGATGAAAAACCGAAATCTGGAATTGAAACCATAGATCTCGGATAAATCCACCAATCTCCGATTTGAATTTCCGAAGGTAAACTTGGCTTGAAGACGCATTGATTAAAGCGTTTCACCCATAGGTCCTTCGTTACCTAGTTTCTAAATGACGAATTCGATGCTCAGCGAATACGAACCATAATATAATCGGACATCAACTCGCGAGACGAGATTCGCCCCACGATCTGTTATATTTTCCGATATTAACTCTTCATCGCATCGCTCAATACAGAGAAAATCTCACACAATAATTAAAGATATAAAATAAAAATACGAATTTGAAAGCTTAGTAAAATCGCAGAAACGGCGAGGAAGAAGATGAGCTATAAACCCTAGATTGAGCTATGGATGTTTTAACTTTAGATAAGTTTATATAGGGCATGTATTATTAGGGTTAATGCGACGTTATCATAGCCGTTAGAATTCTAAATCAACGGATGTGGATTCGGCCCATCTTTTTGTGAGTGAGGCCTATATTGGGCCTTTAATTATTAACGTGAATGAGTTTAATAGAACCACCGATGACCCGACCCGTCCGTTAAGTTAACCCGCCAACTGAAATCATGAAAGTCATTTGCTACATCCAACTTTTTGGACTTAGGCTTTGTTTATTAGTTTGTATATGTTGTCTGTGTGTTTGATATTATGTAACCTTTAATATTGCAACTAGTTTAAATCTTGAAAGAAGTTCATATTTGATGTGTGTTCTAATTCAAATCTGTATTATGTGACAGATACCATAAGCCAAATTCTTGGTGGTTTGTTGTACAATGAAAGATGTCTCTAATACATGTTGATACCGATTTTTCACAATCGATTTTGAACATTTTCAAGAACTCAGAAGTTATACTATTAATTAATAAAGCATAGGTTAATGTCATGATGACTACTAGTTACTATAGTAGCTCTAGTGATGGATTGTGCCATGATTCTACTCGTCGTTTTCTCTTTGGATTGGCACTGGAAATAAAAAGTGAATACCAAACTCGCATCTGAACTTGAAAGTCATCATTACCATATATTAATTCTCAAAAAGATGGTGTAAAATATTTAAACACATGTGAAATTTTTTCTAAAAGTATCGAAATTAACCTTTTCATTCCTCCAAAAACTTCTTCACATCTTTCAACCATAACACATACTTTCGGGTGTCCGTGGTCATGTAGTTGTACAAGGAAAATTTTGCGCTGTAATCAAAAATTGTACACAAATAATTGTGTCTGTAATCCTTGTTTCTGCAAAATGCCATGAAAGAAAAAAACAACATTATAACCTTTCTTGGATCATGCCTATCTATATATACAACCTAAAACTAATTTGCAGTTATTTGATTCACAAAGCTTACTTGGAATCAGACAACAAATCACACGGCCGTTGATCCTCCCAATAATTGCCCCGATTAATCACAGATACATCAGGCATGGAAGAACCATGATCAATAACCGTGCACCTAAACTTGAGGCGGAGTCCACTGATCTTCTTGGTACAATTCACAGTTAGTGGAAAAACTAATCCAAAATCTTCATAATCATAGGGCATGCCTGCTACAACTATAATATGTTCCCCTTGATAGTCTCTAGTCAATTTCACAGTCTTACCTCCATTATCTTCAATTGTGTACGGGTTTATTCCTGGAGTCGGCTCATCATCCTGGAAGCATAATAATTATAAGTCAACTTAGCTATTTTTATTGCAACGTAAACCATTATTATAATCAGCAAAAACAAACATGATTTTCCTACTAGTTTAGGAACGAAAGCAAAATGCACAAGTATTTACAAAATCGAGATCATGAAATTGCAAAGCAGAATAGATCTCGGAGTCAATCAATCGGAGAAGCATTTGGTTGGAGCTCTGCCGATCAATAGCCGTCGAGTACAGAAAGCCACGAGAGACCAAGGGATGCAGCGGAGATGAGTTGCGAGCTAGATTCGAGCGGTTCACGACGGCGGAGATAGATCGGATTTGACCACAAACGGAAGCAAACTTAGATGCTGACCCGCACCAACTGAAAACCATAGCCCGTGATTGATTCTCTCTACTTCTTCTGTGAAGAAAATGGATTTTTAAGGGTTTTCAGTTCCAAAGAAGAATTTATTTTCTTATGATAACTGCCAATAGAAATGACTTGATCTCCAAGCAAACATGTCATTATTTCTAGTCTTTCCTTTTTTAGTGTGAAGTGTTTGAGCTGAATATTAGGGCTAATGAGATTGTATCGTAGCCGTTAAGAGCATGGAATTATAAAATCAACGGATGTGGATTAGGCCCATTAGGATTTAAGTAACGGCTGTTGTGTGAGTGAGGCTCATTAATAATATATTGGGCCTTGATTGTAAAATCTAAATGACTTGATGACCCGACCCGTCCGACAAGTTGACCCGACAACTGAAATCATGAAAATCATTTGCTAAAAATCCACCTTCTCGGATCTACCTGCGCGATAATAATCTTAGAGAGGAAGATTCTTGTCTCTTTGATAAATTCTCGGAGTAGGATTCTCTGTCTCTGTCCGTTTTTTTGCGAGTTGAGCTATGTGGAGTTCGGTTGCCAATTTGAAGGAGAATTTGAACAAGATCGCGCACGATGTCCACGACGACGACGAAGATGATGAAGATCTCACCATTTATGGGTCCACCAATGGCGGCAGCGATTTCCTGGACTCTGATCGGAGGAATTCTAATGGATTTAGGTATTCGAGGTCTGTATCGAGGTCTCCAATGGCCAATGGTGTCGAATCGCCTGTTAATCATGAGGTAATTCTTGAATCATCTTCTTCCAGTTCGAACGTTACTGGAATGTTGCTTTAACACATGACTGTAGAAGTGTTAGTTAGGTTTGTGTGTGTTAAAACTCTGAGAAATGTAGTTAGTTGTTTATTTATGTATGCTCAATTTTGTAGATTGAGAGATATAAAGCAGAGATCAACAAGCTTCAAGAATCAGAAGCAGAAATCAAAGCTCTTTCAGTAAATTATGCGGCTCTTTTAAAAGAAAAAGAGGTAAAGAATGTTCATGGTTTATCAAGAGTATTGTCATACATCTGTTTCGTGCTCTTTCCTCACACAGAAGCCACTTGGTTACAGGATCAGATTTCCAGATTGAACCAGGAGAATGGCTCGTTGAAACAGAATTTGACTTCAACTAATGCCGCTCTTAAAGAGTCTAGAATGGATCTTTCCAGGGCATCAAACAATAACGCTATTAAGGTAGAATGGTAGATACAGCTTATTACTTACTGTTTCTTATTCAGAAAGAATGCTACATCGTATGTAGTAGTAATGTGTGACCGCGTAGTGTATGGTATATTGTATTTTGATGCAACCGATGTTTCTCACCTTAAAACATTAGACTAACTAATAGTCTTTTGTAGGGAAACGGTGATTATTCACCCAACAAGTCACAAAAATCCCCGACTAATTGGAAAAGCCGAAACCAAATGTACAATGGCATTGCCTCGAAACAAAACGGGACAGAGAATGATTCCGAGTCACATAAAAAAGAAATGGTATTTCTGTCGTGTAATGTGCCATTTTTAAAAAAGAAAAGCGTTGCATTGTTTGTTTGTTAATTGTTAGATACATGTGTTATGTTGTATCAGAGTTTCAGAACAAAATCTTTAAAATTTAGTTAGATATATCGGGTACTAGGTAAATGACCTTATTCTCTGTAATGAGAGTGCAATAAATTACTCTGGTGTGTGCTTTTTGCTGAACGCGGAACTCTAAGCGACAATCTGAATGCCTTTCAGGAGTTTGCAGATATGCTTGAAGAGAGAACCAGGTCAATGGCATCTGCTCAGGCTAGAGAACTTGAGAAAGAGCGAGAAAAATCAGCAAATCTGCAGATTTCACTACAAGGTATATAGTAACACTAGTAGCTTGGCTGATTCTTTATATCTTTCTTATCTGTTATTCTCTAATTTACCTTGCTTTAATCAGAGGAGCGGAAACAAAATGAGTCTTTCAAGGAGGAACTCCAGTCTCTGAGGTTAGATAAGGAAAAAGTAAGTATTTGATCTTTAAGAACTTTAAATTTTTTGTTACTTAGGCATCACTATTTTTACTTTACAGTATTGTTATCTGATTAATGAGAAGATATTTATTCCAATTGTATGCAGACACTCATGGAGAGTAACAAAGTACGTCGTGAATTGGATGCAAAATTGGCTGAAATCAAACAACTGCAGATGAAGTTGATTGGTGGGGAGCAGCATGCTGTTGGAATTTCCATAGAAAATCTGAAAGAGGTTAACAAAGCTCTGGAGAAGGAAAATAATGAGCTTAAGGTCGTACAAACTTTTTATTTTCTTAGCAAGAAATTTAGTTGTCCTCTGAGCTCCAGACTCTGAAACTGATTTACATTTCTTTCTGTTGTGTAGTTGAAACGAAGTGAATTAGAGGCTGCTTTGGAAGCAAGCCAGAGGTCAACAAGTACGAAACTCTTCCCAGAGGGCACAGAGGATCTTAGTAGACATCTTAGTAGTTTGGACAAGGTTCTTTAATGCTAACTTTTGATTCAGTTAGCTCTTTAACCAAAAGAAACATTGTTTATACGCAAAAATGAAGTATGGGGCAAGCATTTATTTATTGTCCCTTCTGCTTTTCCTCATGTATAATTAGGAGAAGCCCGGAAGCTTCCCTGGGAAAGAAGATATGGAGAAATCTTTGCAGAGGCTAGAAAAGGAGTTGGAGGAAGCACGAAGAGAAAAGGATAAGGCACGGCAAGAACTAAAGCGGCTCAAACAACACCTGTTAGAAAAGGTTATTTATCCTGAAGCTAATTTCCTACTTACTAATTACTATATGTTTATTAATTATCCTATAATTGTAACTTTTACGTTGTAATGAATTACTTGTGAGTTGTTGATAATGTTTTCTTGGTATCTGTGAACAAAAGTCTATAAAACTTTTATTGATAAATTCTGACAGGAAACTGAGGAGTCTGAGAAAATGGATGAAGATAGTAGATTGATTGAAGAACTCCGCCAGACGAATGAATATCAGAAGTCTCAGATACTAGGTTTAGAAAAAGCTCTTAGGCAGACAATGGCTAATCAGGAGGAAATAAAGTCGAGCAACGACCTTGAAATCCGGAAGTCCAAGGGTATAATTGAAGACTTGAATCAAAAGCTTGCGAATTGTTTGAGAACAATAGATTCCAAAAATGTGGAACTTTTAAATCTTCAAACTGCTCTTGGCCAGTACTACGCTGAAATTGAAGCTAAGGTTTGTATTAATTGTGCAAGTTGTTTTTCCCTTTTTAGGTGTAAGTGTAACCTTGATTTATGTATTCCTGTTCTTATAATGTTGTAGGAACATTTTGAACGAGAGCTTGCAGTGGCTAAAGAAGAGGCAATGAAACTCTCAGCTCGTTTGGAAGTAAACTCTCTAAATTTTTTGCTTTGTCATCTATCTGATATACCATATGATTTCAATTTATGCTATTTTTTCTGTTTCTTAAGGATTTTGATGAACGGTTAGAGTCATCAAAGAAAGAAAAGGAGGAAATCACATCGAAGCTGTTGCACGCAGAAAATATTGCAGCAGAATGGAAAAACAGAGTAAGCATGGTTGAAGAAGACAATGCAAAAGTAAGGCGTGTTCTTGAGCAGAGCATGACTAGGCTGAATAGAATGTCAATGGACTCCGATTTTCTCGTTGATAGGTGGGTCAATGACTTTTATGTACATGTTGTTCCATGTTTCTTCAGATTCTGATCATCTCGTCATATTGTTTCTTCAGGCGTATTGTTATCAAGTTACTGGTTACGTACTTCCAAAGGAATCACAGCAGAGAGGTAAGATTTGTGGAATTAGAATTGAAGAATCTATTTTTTATTAGAACACAAAAATTGTAGAGGAAAACACTTTATTATAAATTTTAGCACTTATAGCTTATGCAAAATGGCCTTAAGCTTATCCTTCTCTCATCTGTAGGTGTTGGAGCTAATGGTTCGAATGCTTGGATTCTCAGAGGAAGACAAACAGCGAATAGGATTGGCACAACAAGGAGCTGCAGGTAAAGGTGTTGTTAGAGGTGTATTGGGCTTCCCGGGTCGCTTAGTCGGTGGCATCTTAGGCGGTGGTGGTGGTACACCGGATTCTCATCCAACTATGGCGTCAGATAATCAGGTATCAATAGCTTCAAAATCAAAAAAACTCTTGAGGGTTGAATAAGAACATTTGATTGATTTTCCTGTCTCTTTTGTTTGGCTCAGTCTTTTGCAGACATGTGGGTCGATTTTCTTCTTAAAGACGCGGAAGAGCGAGAGAGAAGAGAAGCAGAAGATGCAGCAAACAAAGAGCAAGAGAAGGCTACTGTTTCTTCTACGCAGAGACCAATGTATGAACAATCTGATTCGGAGTTTTCAACGGTGCCTCTTACATCATCGGATAGTAATCACAGGCTCTCCAGATTACTCACTTGACTGGATTTGGTATATACTTTTTATACACGTTTTGTAGGAATCTATAATCCGAATCTCTTGCTTCTTGTGTTGTAATTATCTCTCTCACAACTATATTCCATTGATTCTTTTTTATACCATTCATTTGGAAAAAATGAAGAAAAAAAAACAATTTTAACTGTTTTTCCCGTGATGTATCTCTTTGGGGAAAAATGTTAGACACAGAGGAAGACTTCGAGTGGAAATAATAATTACTTTTCTATTCTGTCATGAACTTTTACTCCAACAAAATGATTCATTATTTTCTTACTTTTCTATATCTTCTATATATGTGGAAAGTCCAAAACGAAACCATGTCTCACGTTTCATGAGCTCAAGAATTCTCCATAAATAGCTGGAAAGAAAATAGTATTTGAGAAAAACAATTGTAGTCAAAATGTGATAAAAAAAAAAAAACTTAAAAGGACATTTTGGGCCATTAGCGGCAAAACTCTGCAAGTGACGACCAATTTCACAAGATCAAAAAGTGCAAAAAGAAAACCATAGACGTCTCTGTTTAACCCAACTTTGCCTTTGCCTTGAGAGAAGCAATGGGAATCTTAGAGAGAACCTTTTCATCAAAAACCACATACTGTTTCTGCAACTCCTTCATTGCTTTCTCTGCCAATGGATCAACCTTGTCCTCGTGTTTCTCATACAACATTGGCACTGTGTGCAATATCACGAAGCAGATGTACACCAAAGTCAGGAAGTTGCACCAATTGCCCACCACCGAGATGATCCATAGACCAACAACAATCTGACATAACAAATCTCATCATCAGATTCAGGAACAATTGAGTTACTTGCACGGTCTTAATGGGCTATGGTATACTGTAACTGGACACATTGTTGCTAGAAGATACTTAAAATATTGTGTTCTGTCTTAAGTGGTGAATATAGGCGATTCAACAGAGAAAGGTTGAATATGTAACTAATTTCCGATACAAACTTAACCATTTCCTAGATTATTCAACTAAACACAGCAAAATGTCAGCAACAAAGATGGTGCATACCATTAGGAATTTTTTTAGGTCCCTTCCTAAAGCAATGCTTCGTAGGATAACAAAAGCTTGGTTTAGTTCGTTTCTCAGAGAAGAAGCAACCACAAGGAAAGCCTCCTCGGGAACATGGATTTCTGGAATTTGTGGTGAAGACCTGAAAAATTAATGAAAAAAAAAGGGTTTAAGACGATTTAAACCAGCCAAATAACAAACATCCAGGGCGTTGGCGTGCTTAACATGATCAAGGGTCTGAATCTTACTTGTTGATAAATGTGTGAACATTGGACCACAAAAAGAGGCCTCCAAGAGCGAGTATCGAAATGTGACACAAAAGACTCAACAAATGATACTCAACCAGCTCGAACAAAACCCAAATGGCAGTTGCGACACCAAGAACAGCAGCTGAGAGTTTTTTATCCCTCCACAAGAACACATCAGCAGCTGCAAAGAGTCATTGAGAAAAAAGAGAAATAAGGCCAATGACATGAGATAGATAAACCAATAAAGCTAATTTATTGCATTCATATCAAAAAGGTGTAGCAAACTTTCTTCAAACTGTAACATAGGAGAAACATAAATGTCTTCAATCTAATCAACCAATTCTATTCCAAAAACATTATCCCTAAAGTTCAAATCTTCTTTTGGATGGCCAAATCAGCTGGAAAGGATCGATTCACAAGAAAATGCAGGTATGACAAATTACGTAAACATATTTGCATCATATCATCACCAATCGATCTTATACTAGTAACTACACCCTAACATTGCAGATCAAGCATCACACAAAAGAAAAAACAAAGAAAAGAGAGATTAAATAAGATAAAACCCTTACGCTTTCCACCACCGAGAACCTTGTGAACAGGCTTCTCTCTGCCAAACAGACGATAGATCTTCGCCTTCACAGCGGAAGGCGAATCAGGTTTCTCGTACTCGGATTCAGACGATGAAGACGAATCGTGATGGTGAATCTTCTCAGCGATCTTATCCATCAGAGATTCCTTCGCCGGCACAGATTTCTCAATTTCTTCCGCCATTTCAAATTCAATTTCTCCGATTTCCAAAATTCAACACAAAATATCCAAACGTGAGAAGGAGAGGAGGAATAAGCAATGGCAAATAATAGGTTTTACACGAGGCTTTATAACCACGAGCCTGAGGTTCGAGACCCGAACGTCGTGGTTCGGAGTTAATTTTGAAATAGGGTCTTTAACGGCGTTAGTATTTTGACGACGAAAGGGGGAAAACGGACGTTAATTGACGGAGAAGCAGAGTCTCGAAACGTGTAGGCAACGAAAAGGAAGAAAACGCTGATGGTGCGTTAAGCGTCATACCTTTTCATTAAGTAACCGACACCACGGTTAGATTCACGACACGTGTCTGATATCTTATAGCGGAGTCGACGGCTCAAACTTAATGCTCTTTATGATAAAGCATTAAGGCTCACGACGTAACTCTCTCTTTCATTAAGCGGCTTTGGTCAAATTACATTACTTAGATTTTGACCTATTAATCTACTACTACTGTATTATTCACATTTTATGTAACAATGCTAAAGTCTATTACATTCCCTAGGTGATATACATCTTATGTATTTTAAGTAGTTAGAAAGAGAATAAATCTAAACTAAAGCGAGGTTAATTACTTAATTACAAAGACATCTTACCACTAAGCTCCAACAACTATACCACAAGATAGTGCCGTGTAGGAAAAAGCGAATTCGTGGACTAGTCTAAGTCAAATAACACATTCACATTTCATTATGACAAACCAAAATTTTCAAATGTATAAATATAATGTTCACACTACCCAACCTTAGCTTCTTATGATTTGTGTGACTAACGTGCGCCTTACGGAAAAAAAAATCGGCTATTATCGAACCATAAGAAACTTCAGATCACGTAGATATGCAGAATTGCTTGAAGCCAACGCTTCTACAGTATAATATGTTGCCATCGGTTAGTTTGACAAAAAAAATCACAAAATGTGATAGACTACACTTTAACTCGACCAACATTTGGACCTACGAATTTACGATGGTAAATTCATCAACGTCTGTATTCGCGATAAAATATTAAACTATACAACCTTAACTCTTTTTGTTCCCAACTTTAGAAACATCTATTTCCGACATTCAACAAATCCAATATTTAACTAAAGCTAGTTTCCGACCCTTGACCAAAAAACAACAAAAGAACTTAAAAAGTAAGTTGCCTTGTTCAAACTCAAACGCTTTTATTTAAGTTACAAAACACGACCGCGTATTTTATTTTCAACCGCTCATATTGATAGGGGTAACAAAAAAAGTTCAAAAACGTCAATAGAAAAGGATAAATTTTGTGAGGCAAGAAGATGATTCAGACTAGATTTCATTTCGATGATATTAATGGCAAACTCCACTTTTGACGGATTTTTTAATTACAAATCAGTAAAGTTGTAATGAAACGGAGCAAAATTAATCAATAGGAATTACCCTAATTAGGCGAATGGATCTATGTAATAATAATATCATCTTCTCGCTCTCCTCCGATCGGCGGCGTACTGTGAAAGCGGCACAACTTCCGACAAAGGTGTTGACAGAGGCGTTGATGTCGGCGTCGGAAGCGGCGAGTTCCGACAAACGGGACAAGATCCGTTGAGTTTAAGCCACGCATCAAGACAACACAAGTGGAAGTAGTGTTTACACTCGGGCATCATCCTCAGCATCTCCGCTTCTTTATACTCACACAAACAGATCGAACACGTCGTATCTCCTCCGCCACCAAAACCATCAGAGGAAGCGGCGGAGGAATCTTTGGAAAAGTGGAACTTAGGGTAAGAGTTGATGACGGCTTGATCGAGTCCCACGACGACATCACCTGCTTCGAGATCTTCATTGTCTTCTTCAGCGACAAAGATTATGCGAGGAAGGATTACACTTCCGCCACGGTCTCCTGCGGATTCCACGGCGGTTGTGCGGCGGCGAGAGTCACGGCAACAGATGTATGAGGATAAAAGGACGGTTGAGAGAAGGACGAGGAAACCGAGAGCTATGGCTATGGAGTAGCCAAAGCCTAGAGTTGTGAGGTAAGAGTGGTTGCCACCGTGCGGTGGCGACGGTGGAAAAGGAGGGTGGACTAGGAAGACGGAGGCGGAGGAGGCGACTGTTGACATTTGATGGTAAAGAAGAAGAAGACTGGGTCCATGTGGGAGAGAGAGAGAAGAGAGTGATAGAGATTTTTATTTTTTTATTTTTTTGAAAATTTAATTTTAATTAATTTAGTTAGGAGAAGAGAAGAAGAGGTGGGTGGGAATTGCAGCTGATGCATTTAATATTGTTTGGAAACTGAAATTTGCATTTATTAGTAAGTTAGGTTTTATTAATTTAGTGGCCCAACCCCAAGGAATATTATATTTTCTTGTTTTACTTTGTATTTTTATTTTATTGTATAAAATGTGTTCGAGCATTGTAACATTGACTGTTTAACAATATTTGTCAATTTCGTAGTTGATGGGTCCTCTTTGAAAATATTTTATTCGTTGTCATGTTTCATTCATATTAGTTTTGGTTCGATTTGAGTAATTCAAGGCTTCTCACTGCAATTTACTAAACGCTCTTGGCTCTTGGGGTCCGTTCTAATTAAAAGACCTGAGGTTTAACAAAAACTGCTAATGGGTGTCGACTGGCAAATAAACGATAATGGACATGTAACTAATCACGAAGATCAGACAAAATTAGAGCTAAGAGCAAACAATGGGATATAGTTAAATTAGCAAAATTCTGTGTGTGAAAATGCTAAAAGACAGAATGATTGATTAGAAAATATATACAACACGATTAATTTTTAAATCGACCAGTTAGTCTGATTAACCAGTTAACCAAGGCATAAAGTCTACATTAAAACAACTAGAACATGTAAATACTATTGTCGTTGCTGTCATCGAAGATTTTAATCCGCACATCTCACGTTGTTGGAAAACAAAACAAAACATAAAGAAAGAAAACGTAACCGATCCTGTAACGTATACCTCAAAGATCGATTTTTTTCTTGCAATCGACATCTTGAATCGCTTGGCCCGTAATGTTCACAGCCATCGTGCAATTCATCTTAACGGTCACATGCTTCTTCACGATCCCCAATATCTTTACCTTACCACCAACCCTAGTGTAACTCCACATGTTCACAAGACCCGACCTACTTAATTCTCGACCCAAACCCGGATCCGATAATATCCGATCAATCATAATATCAACCGTCAAGTTCATCCTCGAAGTCCGATGCGGTCTCGCCTTCCCCGGTAGTCCATGCGCTTCACCCACCAACGTTCCTTTGTAATATATATCCGTCGTGGTGTTGGAGTACTTAAACGACGCCATATTTGGATTCTTGACCGACACGTCAACGATCATCGAGATGTTTGTCCCCAACAGTTGGACCTGATTAATCCCCGTGACTGAATCTAGGCCGTTGACCATTACGCCGTTCATTTTTATGATCGGGTCTTTGACTCTGAACACCGTGAAAACTAAAGTCAACACGATCGTGGTTAGAATTAAAGATGTTGCAGTGACGCAGATTAAGCATTTGAGTCGGTTTCTACGACGGTGAGTGTTCTTGATGTTGGAGGCGGATTCATCGCTCACCGGAAGTATGGTCGCTGGAGCTAGCGGACGAACATGTTCGGAATCTGTCATGGTGTTTTTTTTAGGTCTTTTATCTGATTAATTACTTCTGGCTAATTATGTGATTTATATAAAACTTTAGTGATGGAGAATTGAATTTTATATTTTATATGTCCTGTGTTTCATGTGCAATCAATTCTTTAAGAGAAAAAACAAATTAATGTAATTGTCCTAACCACTAACACAATTGGGGTCAATTATTGCAGTGGAAAATGGGAATGGTATTAAATTGAGCCTGATTTTAACGGTCATATACTCATATGGGTGGAAGAAAAGTAGAAGCTGCGTATCGGTGGGGATGCCGATTGCGCCAATAAAGATTCGCCAGCTCATTACACTGGTTGGACTTTTGCGTCAACGTCCGAGGATTCTTTCGAGAAAGATAAAAAGGAAAAAGTGGGAGTAAAACGTATTATATCGTTCTCCCCTTGAAAACTACTTTAGATATTTAGAGTTAATTTTCATCAATTTATGTACATTGTTTTGGTTTTACTGTTTTTTTAATGTATACAAGATACAACTTTGTGTTTGAGTCTTCCACAATTATCTAAACAGCTGTTTACTAGTTCAATAATTTGAAAGAATATAGACAGATAATTTGAATTTTTAACACTAAATGCATGATTTTTTTTTGTTACTTTAAGTTGATTAAGATTCAGTTTGCTCCGAACTAATCTTTCTCGATTTTAGTTAGCTGGAGACAACCTAGATTTATACATGGCCACCTTTGTCTATTTGCTCTCTAAACACAAAGCCACCTTTGTATTTAAATCATTTTAGTGTATATTTAAATGATTTCTTAATATATGTTAAATATGTCAAAATGAGACTTTTATAAAACAGAGAAAATAATAATTTTTTTTATCGAAGTTTACATTAATCCCCGTGAGTTGCGGAAAATAGTCCAGTATTCTTTTTTATGGAATAACTGAGAGATTGTGGTTTGAATAAGCATGCATGTTAAATTAGTCCTTCCCGTTGTTTGTACTAGAACTCAGGACCTTCAAAGACGGGTATTCTTGCACTTGTAGTTTTACTCTTACCGAAAAATGTCCAAAGCTTTGTAATATGGTTCGACATAACGGAAACACAGAGTTTTCTACGCAAGTAGCTATATATCTAAAGTCTAAAGATAAATCACACCACAGAGAAACATACATAAGAAGTAAAAAGTAAAAAGTAAAAACCAATAAAATCCTTAACAATATTCCAATAATAAAATCAACCAAAACAAAAAAGATTCAAGAAATGTAATCTCCGATCGTTTATGTTTATAGATCATACATATATTATTTAGAATTAGATTATGATTAAGAAAAGAAAACTGTAGTTGAAATAATTAAAAGAAGTCGCGAAGGGAAGGGAGCTTGATCTCTCCCTGAGTAGAGACAGGAATGGTTATGTCACCAACAACAGGAATGTCGAAGGTTAGCCCAATGTCGAGTTGATAGTCAATGTCCCAGTCCGTACACATGTCCTTCATCAGACTAACCGCTATGCTATAAGCCACCTTAACCGGTACGTCCAGAACCGTCGTACCGCTCCCAACCAACGAACCCGGGTCCGGTATTGTGCCCGACGCGATCGTCCTACGCATGCCACAAACATTATTAATCACCAAATGATGAACAAACGCTACACCTACACATGCCGTTGACGCGTGTGCGTAACGTTATTAGTCTTTTCATATGTTTTATACATGTGTAAATATATCCATTAGCCTATGATTAAATGCTAGACATCATCGATGCACATGGATAATGAAATTAGTATATGGATATATGTATTAATGCGGCACAATGCGAAACATATACAATTAGTGAGATATCAGATCTAACCATTTCGGTATCGAGGCAGACAAATTACCAACGAAATCCATACACATATTAAATACTTTTATCAATTCATAATCAAACATTAGATGATCGGATGCATATTTTGATTCATTAATACAAAGATCGGATACACCTAACACAAAGTACCGTGCACATTTATAAATTAAAAATTCTCAAAATTTAGATGATATATAAAAATATGTGTCACAAATTCTATTCGAACCCTTAGGCTATAGATCCGGTATACGGATTATATCATGATCTGTGTAATAACAAGTGCACAATCCGAATTTTCATCTTTAAATATATGTTTTTGCTTCATAAATTTCATTCGTGCGATGAAGAGTTAGCGTAGATCAGACGGTACAGAAATTATAAATTGAAAGAAAGAAAAAAAGAAGAGAAGATCACCTTGTGGCACTCTTGAGGATGTAAGAGATCTGGCAAATAGGGATGGATTGAGAGTAAGGATTCTTGACGGAGACCTTGGCGTGATAATCAACTCCTTCACGTGTCACGCCTTTGAAATCAACGTCGTCCACGGCGGCTTCCGGCGTCGGGATATTCGCCAGCTTCTCCGCAAAGAAACCTTTGGCTTTGTCCAACAAGCTTGATATCACGGACGCCTTTTCTTCCACCACCTTTTCATCCGCTGATGCCATTCTTCTTCTTCTTTTTTTTTCTTTTTTTTTTTGTTGTTGTTTCTTCAAAGGATCAGATCTCTCTTTATCTCTCTCTCTCTTTCTAATGTCTATGGCTCTGTCGGTTCTTTATATTTGCTACCTCTTTTAAGGATGATAAATACCTTAATTGTCGGAGCGTGACATTTTTGATTTTTCTTTAGTTGGTGTAAAAGGAATAATATAATAATTTTTTCATCATTAGAAAAGGAATTAGATCCTTTTTTAGAGCAGCATGGTCATAACGTGCGTTCTTACTTCTTTGCTCGTCCCAAAAAATAAAATAAGAAGAAAAACATATTTATTATAGAATCCGAACAAATTAATTAGTAGTTGTTTTACTATTATGACCAATTATTTTTAATAGATTTGACATTATTAAAACTTAAACTTAAAAGATATTTAACAACTACATGTTGACTAGTACTACTTTTCTAAACATTAATTTTTGGTAAATAATCCTAAGAAGATGGAAATTTTAAGAGATTATTTTATCTTTCAAAAATTAGTCAAAACATATTTTTCTATTTTTAAAACATTATTTGAGAAATATTTAGAGATAAACATCATTTGCTTAAGTTGAAAAGTGGATTTATGGAAGAAAAAAATATATATGAAAATGTAGTTTTTTGTTTCTTCTTTTAATTCGCCAATCCATATTTTTTGGTACACTTTGTGGCTTCAACGTCGCCAAGACTTGTTCGCTTCTTATTTTCCGTGCCTATTTAAGGATACTGATCAAAACTTCAAAGCAATTCATGTAATAAACCGTAACTGACTTGGTATATGTCTCATTGACATTGTTCACTGTATAAAATAAACAAAACAATGATCACTCACGATGAGCCAATAGTTTATTCAAACGAAATTAAACTGGTTTTGGGCTGGGAAAATTCAACCGAAACCAAATCCGGTTTTATTCGGTTTACATGACGATATTTGCTCTGTAATCACGTGGTAATCATTTCATTCGGATTACAATTGATTTGTTTTTTTATTTGGTTATATGATTAAAACTGATCTATAATCAAAATGAGATTGAAACTATGAACATACTGACATATATGATTACAAGGCTTTAGTTCGCTCCGTTATATGAACTAGGGATCGTTAATATATATATACACATAATTAGATTAGGTGAACTTAGAGAGGAACTGCATTTGATGAAGAAGAGGAGTTAGGGTTTGCATGAGCTCCTCACAAGGATGGTTATGGATTCCTTCATAAGTTGTCTCCACCATGTTCGTCTCTTTCGACAGCCTCTGAACTTGCTTCTTCACGTTACACATGTGTTGTGTGCATCTATAATAGCACCTTTTGATTTATCTCATTTTAAAATTCCCATTAATCCATTATATATGATCATAAGTGAGAAAAACACAACTTTTTGAGATTTTACCTGGGATACAAGCTGTTCTTGACGGATTTCTGACCGTACTTTCTCCATCGATAACCATCATCAAGTATATCTGAATCACTCTTTGTGCGAAACGCAAATCGAGGATTTTTCATCTTCTTATGACTGATGATATCACGAGAAGAATCGACGAGACCATTCATTGAAGAGGAGATATGATGAATCAACAACGAATGTGATTCCTTTATCAAGATTTGTGTGTTAGAATTCTTCCTTTGAATTTGTAATGAAGAAATATATAAAAGGTTGAGAAGCCAACTATATTCAACTACTTCAGACCAACAACAAAAAAAATTCCTTCACGTCATCTCACACGTGTGTGACTAAAAAACCACAGACATGGTTTGGTCTGTTGACTAAAAAAAAGCTCCGTTGCCGGGACTCGAACCCGGGTCTCTCGGGTGAGAGCCGAGTATCCTGACCAGCTAGACTACAACGGATTTTGTTAGTTCTGTTACAATATATTTTTTTATACTAAAAGTATTACAATTCCTATGCTTCATTTTTGCCATTGCTATGCTTGATTTGTGTGTGAAACCCAGAAATGAATCGCCACTTGCCAGAATCTAAACAGACTCTTCAGGTTTCTCCAAAGATTGAAAAAAGTTTAAAGTAAATTCACAGTCACAGAGTCACATAGAGTGGTTTATTCATCGATACAACAATGGCTTCCTCACTCACTAGGAATTGCTCTCGCTTCTCCAAAGCCATCTCTGTCCGGTTAATGAGTAACCTACCGGAAAACACCGTCTACGGAGGACCAAAGCCGCAAAACCCAAACCAAAGAGTGACGCTAACGCATCTCAGACAAAAACACCGGAAAGGAGAGCCGATCACCGTCGTAACTGCCTACGATTACCCATCCGCCGTTCATTTAGACACAGCTGGTATTGATGTTTGTCTTGTTGGAGACTCAGCTTCCATGGTTGTTCATGGTCACGACACAACACTTCCTATCTCCTTAGACGAGATGCTTGTCCATTGTCGCGCCGTTGCTCGAGGCGCTAAACGGCCTCTCCTAGTTGGTGACTTGCCATTTGGTACCTACGAGTCAAGCTCTAGTCAGGTAAAATTGAATCTTTTCCTCTTCTGATAACCTAAATTAACCCTATTTGTTGATAAGCCATGTTCATCTGCTTAGTACTTGTGTAGGTAATTAGATTCTTGATTGCAACACTCTGTGGGAGTTGGAATGTTTATTTCATTTCCTGATACATTGTTTAGGTAATTGGGTTCTTGATAGAAATGTCTTAAATGGTACATTATGTGTCAATGCCTGTGTAATCAGAGATTTAGCTTCCTCAATTTCGAGAACCAGTTAGGGCCCTGATTTTTGGGTTTAAATGCTGGCTTCAGGCGGTTGATACTGCAGTTAGGGTTTTGAAGGAAGGAGGAATGGATGCTATTAAGCTCGAAGGAGGATCAGCTTCTAGGATCACTGCTGCAAAAGCCATAGTTGAAGCAGGAATTGCAGTTATCGGTCATGTGGGTCTAACTCCTCAGGCGATCAGCGTTCTTGGTGGTTTCAGACCCCAAGGCAGAAACATAGCTAGTGCTGTTAAAGTTGTTGAGACTGCAATGGCTTTACAAGAAGCTGGATGTTTTTCGGTTGTTTTGGAATGCGTTCCACCTCCCGTGGCTGCTGCTGCAACCTCTGCCCTCAAGATACCAACCATTGGCATTGGGGCTGGACCTTTCTGCAGTGGACAGGTTTTATTTGGAAAGTTCATTCTTTTCGGTTTTGTGTGTAGCCAAGTGACAAATTTGCATTTCTTATACCTGTTAATTGTTTTCTTGGAAATGCAGGTGCTAGTTTACCATGATCTTCTTGGTATGATGCAACATCCACATCATGCCAAGGTAAAATCCTGACCCAACTATTGTTTTCCAAATGCAATCTCTTGTTGGTTCGTTCGTTATCAACATTCTTCTTGTTTCATGCTCTTAAATTTCACAGGTTACTCCAAAGTTTTGCAAGCAGTACGCTAATGTAGGAGAAGTGATTAACAAAGCCTTAATGGAATACAAAGAAGAAGTCTCTAAAAAAGTGTTTCCAGGTCCTTCTCACAGTCCTTACAAGATCACAGCAAGCGAGCTCGATGGGTTCTTAACCGAGTTGCAGAAGCTTGGCTTTGACAAGGCCGCTTCTGCAGCAGCTTCAGCAGCTGAGAACATGGAGCCTTCAAAGTGACAATTGTATTCTAAAATCTTGAGATATAGTGTCAATTGTACTACACTAGAGAATAATCATTTTATTTTCAAAAGAATGCCAATTTCATAAAACCTCTCAATATTACTGATTGCAGAAACTGAAAAAGATATGTTCTAACAAGGTGGGATGTCAAAGTAAGAAAGATAAAAAAATTTTAGATGGTTCCAATCTTGTTTGCAACATTCAACGCATCATAATCCGGTGTCAACCTCACACAAGCCTTATTGGTTCCGTCGGGTCTGATCAAAGTGTTTAAGTTTCTTATACAAATGATTAAGGGGATGTGGAGGCATCGCCGAGTAAGCAGTGCAACGTCAATAACATTGAGAACGCTATGCATCTGTATGACCAAATGGTTGATGCTGGATGCTCTCTGATGTTAAGATGATTTACGCTTTGATCTCTGGTTTGTGCCAAGATAGGCGAGACCATGATGCCCTTAAAATGGTGGAGAAACTGAAACGAGCAGGATTGTCTTTTGACTTGCTGGCTTATAACATGCTCAGTGGATTGTTTAGTGATAAGAACAAGGCAGATGAAGTTTATGAGTTGTTAAGTGATATGGAGGTAGCAGGATTGATGCCTGATTCCATCACTTACAAGTTACAACACTATCATGTCCATTGAACCAAATCACATCACTATAGAAAATCTAATGAAGCTGCTCCCTGAAGTTGGTGAATCGAAAAAGCTGAAGAAGTTCATGCAAGGTTTCTCTGTTGCTTCTCCAACCGAGAAGGATGGACCTTTGTTTTAAGCCGAGCTAATGAGACAGTGATAGTATGTTTATATGTGTCATCTTCAATAGATTCATTACAGATCTCTAATAGTAATCCCATATTAGTTTCATAAGGAAGTTCCATATATTTACGGTTTAAAAAATCTAATTTGAAATTGACATCATTCTTCATCCACTAGTTTTGTGTCCCCCCCACTAAACCACGGCTGGGTCTCAGAAGTTGCTTGAACAGAGCAATCTTAGGGACATTCCAATGCTCCACGTGCCTGCAAGCAACATTCATCAAAATATGTTTAACCAGCTTCTTCTTCTTCACAAAAGATTTCAAAGTTGAAAGAGATTAGTGTGTTTTACCTGCAAATTTTCCCGGATCCTGTGTCGAAATAGTACTCCGTGTAACCAGTTGCTGTAAAAACAGATTTTTCCCTTGTCATGAATTTCCAAAAAAAGACATAAAAGTTTTGTCCTTTTTATCTTCATTACTAATCATTGAAGCTATAAAAGTTGCAAACTTTATCCTAAAAAGGCTACAAAAATCTGAAACTTTTAAGGTTTCCTTGATAAAAATACCTGAAAGAATGGGTTTCCATGGAAACGACATGACACAGCTAAATTTCCAATGTCCAACTCCTTTATCCTGCAAAACTCATGACGGAGCTTCGGTGATGAAAGCAAAAAAAAACAAACAACCTTTACTCCGACATCGGAACAAATCATCTTTCACCTCAAAATTCTCCCATTTCATGAGCTTCATATTGGATTTCTCGATTAGGCTTCCGAAATTAGTGCAATTCCTTTTGAAACGAGCAAGACCTTTGAAGGATCCAGCCGGATCAGCGAATTCACACTTGTCCTCATAAACCTCCGGCGTTAAATTACCTGAAAAGTCAGATTCCGATTTAGACAACAGAAACAAAACTCATATCACACGATTTGGATGAATTTACTAACCTGTGACGAAGTAGGATCGTTTAAAGTCTTGCTTAATCGAGTCCACGACAGCTACACGAACGGCTCGTCCAGAACAATCAACAGGAACCTCAAAGCCTGTCACAATCGGAGAAGTCTCTGGAGATCGGAAAACGGAAGCAGCGATTCCGAGTAGCTCGGATCCGTACCAAGCGATTTTGAGTAGAACATTCTCCGGCTCGGGTCCTTTACTTGTCTGTGGCTCGTTAGTCGGATTCTGTCCTCTGCAACTCACTCCAGTTGCTTCGAATCGGCGGTTAAGCCGGAAAATTGAACGACCTCCATCGCCGGAGAAGATTGGATTAACGGTGGCGATGGAATGGAAGGAAAGAGAAGCTACCATTTTTTGGATTCAGTTGTGTGATTGATTGATTTAGGAAATGCGACTTTTGCTTTAAAATGTTTTAAAGTATCTGTTTGTGGTTAACAGAGACCACACAATAAATAGTGATAGTAACGACTAACGAGTAACACAAGTAACACGAGCATATAAATCTGATTCGCTAAACAATGAATCAAATTAGTGGTTGTTTTTCAGAAGAAGAATCTCTATAGACCAGATAAAGTTGAAGGATTCTACACTTTCTTGGCTTGTTTATCCTAAGAAATCTGCGGTTTTGATCAACAGATCATGTCGATGGCACCGGGTAAAATCCGAAACTTTTTAGGTAGAAATCCAAGATGTTCTCCATCTGATTGAACATAGATACTTCCACTGTCTGAAATCTCTTCAACTTCGATACTTTGTACACTACAAGAGAGGAAGCATCAAGGTGGTGACTTTTCTAGTGCTAAGGTCATTTAAAGGACAAAATGAGAAGAAACAAAAGAAAAGTCTTACCTTCTTGAAGTCACATTGTTAACTGAAAGATGCGTTCCGTTGTATAGCTTATGAAGTTTAAATACGAAATCATACCATTTGAAGTCTTGAAGAACCACAACCTACAGGGAAGAAGTGTATGATGGTCAAGACTCGAGATCTATCGTATTCACAACATAGGATTTGAGATCGAAGAAACGAATTGTTGCACCTCAAGATTTCCATTTCCAGGGACGGCGTTGGGTGTGATTTTCATTCCACCACCAAAGTATTTAGCGTTTCCAACGCAGAGAGCAGTGACCTGAGGGTATATTTCCCATTCACCTCCATTGACCTGAGAAAATGACACAATGCTTTCAAGTTACTAGCTACGGGGCAGAAGGGATTTCACAGAAAAAAATTGCTTACTCTGATTCTCATATCTCGGTTATGATGCCCCATGAAAGCTTGTAGGGCACCAATTACGTAGCACAACTTTCCAAATTTCTTGTATTTTGAAGCGTAAAATCCTGCCTTTGCGCTCCTGCAAGTAATGAGCAACAAAAGGACAGATATACAACCGCCTCATTAGGGATCAATCACACAGGAAATTACACGATATCCTTACAAATGAACATCAGCTACGTTGATGAAGTAATGCAAATCCTTTCCTTCCTTGTCGATAACACCAACATCAACCCGTGATCGCATCCCTGAGAAAATGCTGGTTATGTGAATATGAGACATAAATACACAGTAGTAACTACGTCCCAACTCCTCAAATGGATTCAGTGACATACCTTTAGCAATGCGCTCCACCGCTTCACAAGGATCATTGTTCCTAAAAAATGCATGATATACTTAACATATGGCTCAACATAAGTTTCACAAACAAATCACGTCAAACAGAAGTTGCAAAAACTAACCAACCAAATGTTCTAGCAAAATCTGAGCCAGTGCCTAAGGGAATCAGCTGCAAAAAAAATGATGGACTGAGATTGTAAGTTGTGACTCCGCAAGACATATACACAAAAACAAGTAAAAAAGTCAACTCAAGCTACTCACACCAAGTGCAGTCGAATGACTAGCTTCGCTGTTGAGATTACCGACAGGTTTCCCCTCCCAAAAGAAACCATTAACAACCTGTAGATAAAAAAAAAGATAGAATGAGTGGAGCTAAGATTCTCCAGAGCTCAGTTCTAGCAACAAAAAATGGCAATTCCTACCTCATGAAGTGTTCCATCACCTCCAACCGCAATGACAGCATCTGCACCATCCCTTATAGCCTGAGAGCATAATTAGAAGCATCAAACGATCAGCATAAAACCAAATCGACAAGACAGCATATACTGTACTATCAAAGTAGTATATTACTTTCACTGCTCCTTACCTCTCTTGTAATGTCAATGGCATGAGAAGGACCCAATGTTAATAATTCAATTACCTGGAGAAACAAACAAGAATACGGGAAAAATCAGTTTAATGAACTGAAGAAAGCGAAAGAAGATGGCATCTCTAACACAGCGGCACAAAGGCAAGTGATTCAAAAACTCACATTACAGTCTTTACCAAGACAAGATCGAAGGTAAGGAAGCAACTTCTTCCATTCTTTAGCTGTTCTACCATTAGCACCTAATCTCATATAAAGGATATAACCCTAAACCCCAATTCCACATTGAGATTGATTCTCATATAAAAACATCATTTTTAAATCCAATGAATTTCAAATCTCAGTCATTTCTTCGTCCAGTGAGTAAAAGGGCAAACACACCTTGAGGGTTTACGACGAAAACGAGATCACGGAGGCCGGAGGAGGAGACGACGGCGGAGGCCCCGCCGCCGCCACCACCACCGCGAAGGGTGAAGCGATCAGAGGAGAGATCAGAGGCAATACGTTGATGTGTCCTAAGGAACGAAGGTTGTTTCGCCGTGAAAGGGCAAAGTGGAATGCAGGAAGTGGATCGTAGCATTGTATGGCCGCAATTCAGCTCCGGGAGACATCGCCGTTATCAAGTTCATCGGGCGATTAGACACTTACAGAGACCCTCTGTTTCAGCGAGAGGCTTTTCTCAACGTTTATGGGCTGGTTTTTCTCTTAAAAGTTTTAAGTCTACATTGGGCTTAAATCTTATGGCCCATAAAACAAATATGTCTTATAGATGTTGTATAAATTAAGGAACAAGAAAAACGAGTGAGGTAAATAAAGACAGGCTCTTTAGTCTTTGTCCGGATGTGAGTTAAGAGTGGGGCCATACTTTTGCCGACCGGTTTTTTCCTGACAGCTGTCATATGGGCTTTGCGGCCCATTTCTTACGCAATTTTCTAAGGAATTCGTTACGTCAAACAAATTTTATGAGTTGTTTATGTATCTTAAATATTTAGTTGTTGATTCCGTAAAAGAAATATAGTTGTTGAAAAAAAACTATTATTTATATGAATTTAGGTAACAATTAAAAAAACGAATCGTCAAAATTATTTTCCGACTAAATCTTCTAAGGTTTTTTTAAAAATCAATAACAGGAGTCTGTAGGACGTGGTATTATTAATTTATAGCCGTTAGATTTGGTTATAATAATTAAAATAAACAAAGACTACGCCAATCACTTATTTATAATCCCACGAAATCGTCTCATTTTGGCCCTTCAATAAAAAGAGACTTTTATTATTATATAGCCGTCCACTTTCCGCTAAGAGACTAAACTATACACAGGGCTGTGACCAATTAAATCCTAACAGCCATTCATAATGGTACACTTGGAAGTTTGTAATTAGTTTTTAATGTGACAGGCCGTGGCTTTATCAAACTCGACCTCCGCCATTCATTTTTCTCAGCCGACCGAGTCAGAGAATTCAATGAAGCAATAGAAGAATTATTTCCACAAGACTTTCCCTGTGATTTCTTCATCTCCGGCAACTTAATACGGTAAGCTTCGTGGAAATTGAGTTTGTGTTATCCATAAATCTCCTTTTCTTCTGTGTGTTCTTCTGTAAATCGAAGTCTGCGTTTTTAGTTTTAGGATAGATTTTACTGTTTGATGAAGAGTTTGTACCGAACTTGTGTGTTAAAAACTTCTAGGGTTCTTCGAATTTTGGAAAGATTGAAACTTTTATCCTAATTCCTTGATTCTGGACTTCTTCAAATGTAGAGTAAGGCTTAGAACAATTGATTATGTTTTTGTTTTCATCTTCAAATATTGATTTTGCATCATTTCAATAAAGGAGGTAATTTTTTTTTAATTCAAGATCTCTAAAGTTGTCAGCTTTTTGGGACTCTTAAGGTTGGGACTTGAGATTGTTCCTCCATTAACCCTTCTATTTGTAGCAACAACCCATAAGATACCTCAAGTTGACATCAAATCGGTTGTATGATTAATCATCAACATTATTCTAACAATATTTCTATTTTCATTTTTCAGTATCTAGCAAAATGAGCCGAGCACAAGATCCACCCCGAGGTTTCTTCCCATTTGGAAATCCCTTTCGGATGTTATCACCAAAGGGCTCAGATTTATCGCCATGGCTACTTTCTCTATTGAACGGCTTTGAGCTACGTTTGGAAGAGAGACTGAAGAAACTTATGCCTAAGAGCAAAGATGAAATCCTCACTTTATCGTGGATGAAGCTAGCTATGGAGTCACTCTGCGAGACTCATAATAACATAAACACGCTCATCACTGATCTCCAGCTTCCTGTCTCTGATTGGGAAGAGAAATGGGTTGATGTTTACCTCAACATAAGCGTTAGGTTACTAGATCTCTGTAATGCCTTTAGCTCAGAGCTCACACGTCTCAACCAGGGAGATCTCTTCCTCAAGTGTGTTCTGCACAATTTACAATCGGATTCCGGGGAGAAGTATCTCCAGGCTCGGTCTTCGCTTGATAGCTGGAGGCAACATGTTAATGCAAACAACCCTAGAATTGAAAACTGCCGTGCGGTTCTAGACAGTCTTGTTAAGTCTCTGAGCCTGCCTAAAGTCAAGAACTCGCCTAAAGGAAAGGTTCTGATGCGAGCTTTTTATGGTGTGAAAGTTCAGACGGTATATATATGCAGTGTATTTACCGCGGCCTGGTCTGATTCCCCCAAGGATCTTTTCGATTTACCTGTCTCTGAAAATCCATTGTGGGCAAATGTCTTTACTGATATGCAGAGTGTTGTAAATGCTGAGATCAGAAACATGTTGTCTTCCGGTAGAACCACGATTCTCAAAGAGCTGGAGAGTGTTGATGCTAGTGTCGAGAAGCTATACCCGATGATCCAAGATGGCGTTGATCCTGTCGAAGTTGAATGGTTCAAAGATTATGTTATGGAATTGGGGACACAAGCTGAGAAATTGTCTCAAGGGTTGGATCAGTTACTGGAGGAAGTTGATAGTTTCTTTAAACTGACTTTGAGCGGGCGCGATGTGTTGCTCTGTAATCTTAGGTCAAGTGACTCAATCTCTGGCAATGCAGTTGGAGAAGATGTAGACTAAAACAGTAAGGTAAACAAACAAGTTTAACCCCTACAAAAGGCAGCTTTAGGTCAATGAAAAGTGTTTCTCTTTTTGTTTGTTTGAGTCCATCTGCCGAGCATGTCTCTTCGGTTTGTGTGTTGGTCTTGTCTGTATGACTGTATGAAATCAATTCTGCAATATAATATAAATATATAATACATCTGTTTGGCTTGAAAAAATCACTGCTTTCTTTGTAATGATCCAGTCTTTCTAAACCAATTTCAATCAAAGGAACAAATCAGATCAGGAAGCATAATATAGGCTTTGATTTATAGATAAGTGCAATTAGTAGGAACAAATGAAAAATGCAATATAGCGAGTGACTCTGCTTCTTGTGACCATACACGTCTGTAATCTTTCATGCTCTTTAGATTCACGGGTCACTTGAGAGATCTTTTACAGTTGAAAAAAGCTTCTCTCTTCACATGGATTTAGTGTCTTCAAGAGATACTTTAGGAGATCCTTCAACTTCAACAAAAGCCCTTCTTCTTGGTCTCTCTCGTTCTCGGTCTGATCATTGCATCATCATGTCTGGAGAATCAAGCTCTGGTTCTACCGATCATTGCATCAAAGTTGTACCGACACACGGTGGCCGCTATGTTCAGTACAACGTTTATGGACAACTCTTTGAAGTTTCCCGAAAGTATGTCCCTCCTATTCGTCCCATTGGTAGAGGCGCTTGCGGTATTGTCTGGTAAGTTCTTTTGATTCTTTGTCTGATCAATGATCAAAGCGTTCCTTCTTTTGAATGTTCATAGGCTCTTTATTCTTGAATTTCAGTGCTGCGGTGAACTCAGTGACTGGAGAGAAAGTGGCTATTAAGAAGATCGGTAATGCTTTTGATAACATCATTGATGCTAAGAGAACTTTACGTGAAATTAAACTTCTCAGGCATATGGATCATGAGAACGTAAGCATTAAGCATCATTTCTCACATTTGAAAACATCTTTAAGTTTCTCAATTTTGCTAGATCTATCAAGTGTTCCTGATATTCAGGGTCGAGGCAAAACGAGGATTCCTCTTTATATAAGATTTCGATTAATCTAATTCTGCAAGCCTTGGTTTGATTCTTTAGGTTATAACCATCAAAGATATTGTAAGACCTCCGCAACGAGATATCTTCAACGATGTCTACATTGTCTATGAGTTAATGGACACTGATCTTCAAAGAATCCTCCGTTCTAACCAAACACTGACCAGTGATCAATGCCGCGTAAGTCTCTGTGTTGTTGTAATCATTTGTAAAGTCATGGAACTCTCTGATCTGATCTATCTGATCTGATTCTATTTACCTGTCTTCCTGTTACAGTTCCTAGTATACCAGCTCTTAAGAGGGCTCAAATACGTGCACTCGGCCAACATATTACATCGTGATCTAAGGCCAAGCAACGTGCTACTTAACTCGAAAAATGAACTAAAGATTGGTGATTTTGGGCTTGCAAGAACAACTTCAGACACAGACTTCATGACTGAATATGTCGTTACCCGTTGGTACAGGGCTCCTGAGTTGCTTCTTAACTGCTCAGAGTACACCGCAGCTATTGATATTTGGTCTGTTGGTTGCATACTCGGCGAAATCATGACAGGACAGCCGTTGTTTCCAGGCAAAGATTATGTTCATCAGCTTAGGCTTATAACAGAGGTAAAACAGTAAAGTAAAAAGCATCAGTTTTCCACTTGTCTGAAACTGCACTGCCCAATTCTGATTTCACTTAAAATCCATTTCTTGAAATTAGCTTGTAGGCTCTCCAGACAATTCCAGCCTCGGCTTCCTTCGCAGTGACAACGCAAGAAGGTACGTCAGGCAACTTCCGCGATACCCGAAACAGCAGTTTGCTGCTAGATTCCCGAAAATGCCCTCTACCGCTATCGATTTGCTGGAGAGAATGCTCGTCTTTGATCCTAACCGGCGCATCTCAGGTAACAAACAGCACGAAGATCCTTAAAACATTCATGTGGTTTTCGCAGTTGGCTTTTGGCAGTTGGCTTTTGGCTTATCAATTGGTTCTGGTTTGTTTATACCTGCATCTGTTGTGTGTGTAGTCGATGAAGCCCTTGGCCATGCTTACCTATCACCGCACCACGATGTGAGCAAAGAACCGGTTTGTTCGACTCCTTTCAGCTTTGATTTCGAGCATCCTTCTTGCACAGAAGAACACATAAAGGAGCTTATCTACAAGGAGTCTGTCAAATTCAATCCTGACCATTGAGAGAGAAACATGTTTGAATGATTTGATTCCTTTCTATAAGTCTGCTCTGTTTGATCTCAGATTCCTTTATATTGAATCTAAACTCATTTTATCTTGATTGAATAATTGCTATGATGATACACACATATTTATCTATATCGTAAGCCCCTGCAGAGCTTAACTTTCTTTAAATCAAATTTCTTAAACTATTGATCATATATGATATCATTTTTGATTTTTCTGTTTACTGAAACAGAGTATTATGTGTAAGCATAGTTCGTTTAGTTAAAGTACAGTTGTTGAACTTAACTACGTACTTTAATGCCAAATAAATTGGTCGAAAATGGAAACCAAGAAACTGATAAAAGCACAAAGATCATATATTTTCCGAGACATTCACGATTTTCTTTCAAACACACACTTATTATTGTGAGTTTAGCATTTATTCTTTCTTTCTGAATCTCCATGCATGTTTCCATATTCTTTTTCTTATTCACTTTCCTTGTTTTTTGATTTATGAGTTACTAAAATATTATAATGTTACATCGTTTGCTTCATCTCTCTAAGAAACCCTAGCTTCTTTTCTTACTCCGCCGGGATGTCCCTCCGCCGCATCATCCTCGGCCTCTCTAAGTCTTCTCCTTTCTCTAGTCGTAACCTCTGCTCCGCCGCCGTGAGAAGAGACCGCCTCTCCGAGGAAATTAAACGGGCAAATCTACGGCGCCGCAGCAACAGCCACAAGACGTGTCTTCTTCTCTCAAATCCTCCTTACCCCATCCCAAAAAACAGAGAGCCCCTACGGCCGGAGCACAACAAGTCGAACCAACATTACGGTGAGAGCTATCTACACTCGACGGTCACGTTCTTGATCCACAATCTCGCGGACCTCGACACGGCGATGGAGTACGCACGCTTGACCGCTTTCACCAAAACTCGCGGCGCAACCACAACGGCCACCTGCGACCTTATAATCGCAGCCTTGTGCGAGGCCAAACGGTACAGAGACGCCTACGACCTCTTCCATTACTTTTTCAACGAATCCAACATCAAACTCAGCGTCCGTTGCTGCAATCACGTTGTTAAAGCTCTATGCGACGATGGTCGTGCCCATGAAGCTCTTCAACTCCATCACCACATGCGTAGCGATGGAAACGCCTCCTTGTGTCTAGATTATCAAACATACCGTATCTTGACCAAATGTTTGTGCGATGCCGGGAAGATCGATGAAGCTCTAGATTTGGTTAAAGATGTCTTCTCTTTGAGATTTGCAAAACCAGAGGATTACGACATTGTGGTTTCTCATTTCTTGGATCACCAGCAAGATTTTGACAAAAGCTGGGCGCTCTGTTGTGCCGCTAACCTGGGAATGACCGAGCTTAACAATGGCAACAACAGTTATCCAACGGTAACAGTGACCGCCGTAACGGTGACTCTCATTGAGCATTGTTTCAGTCGACGGCAAGAGGAAACAGCAATGGAATTCTACACTGATTTGTTAGCAAAAAGACCCGTGATTGAAGATGCTTCCATTAAACCACTCTTGGAAGTTTTGTACAAGTACGGTAAGACAACCGAAGCTTGGTCATTGTTCCATAACATGTTCGAGTTCCCTAGTGGTGTGGACGAGGATTCAGACCACTCAGAGCCTATAAATGCAATGATCAATGAGCTTTTCAAGCTCGGGATGTCTAAGGAAGCATTTGATTCATTCTTAAAAGTGAGATCAAAACAGAGATTCTTTATGAACAGATTCACGCATGTACCTTACGCCAACATCATCACGAGGTGTTGCGAAGATGGGAACTTGTTGTCCAAGGCAGACATGATCTTTCGTGAATTACTCAAGGATAATCCATCGGCTTGCAAGATTTCAACATTCGAAGAAATGATCAATGCGTATCTAAAGGCCGGGAGGCTCGGTGATGCATTGAAAACAGCAAACAAGATGGTGGATGCAAATCTAAGCCAAGTTTCTTCGTTATTAAAGAGTTGATTGATTTTACTCTCTACTTCTTCATTTCAGCTTCTTGTTATTTTCAACATTACTTCATTTTAAAAAATGTGAGCTTGATGGTCTGACTTGGTTTCCACTCCAAGATAATAAAAATAAAGCATCTACCGCCACCAATGAATGGTCTGAGTCAAACTTGGTTCTATTAAGCACGTCAATGTCATCGTTGACTAGGCATGGCTTCTTTAACAAAAGCGAGTTTAATTATAACACTCGATCTTCTAGTATTATATGACCTTGGCAAGAATTTGTGTAGTCGAAAGTTTATAACGAATACATGATATCAAACCTAATGAAAACATTATAAATTAAGGTAACAAAAATGAAAACTAGAGGTTTCTGAAAAAAAAGAAAGAAAGATTTATATATGTCTGCTCTTACCAAACATTGTTCATTGCTACTTTCTGTGTGTTTAAAAACAAGAGAATATACTCACTTATTTAGTGTAATTTAATTACTTTTTTTTGGTTTCGCATAAATCAATAATATATATCTTATTTCCTTGCTTCCATTTGTTCTTACCATATATGGTAACTAACCATGTGATCTGCATTTATAAATACCTAAAATATAAAACAGAGTTCTTATTACACAAATTAAATAAGAACCCTAGTTTCTCTCGTATTCCGCCGCCGAGATGTTCCTCCGCCGCATTATCCTCGGCCTCTCAAAGTCTTCATCACCAATCTCAAATCATAACTTCTGCACGGCCGCCGCCACCGTGGCGCGGTACCCACTGGGGAAAGACATCTGGGATCTGACCGATGAGCTGATCGAGGAAGTTAAACCGGAGTGTATCTCTCTCGTAACCGGGCGGCCGCTTTCTCTACGGTACAGAGTCGAAACGATGATTGAGCTATCAGATCTTGACGGAGCGGCTGAGTTGGCTCGTCTCGCAGTCTTGAAAAAGCTTCGTGGTCGTCCGGACGCAGTCCTCGTATGCAACGCCGTGATCGGAGCCATGTGCGACGAGAAACGTTACTTTGACGGGATCTCTCTGTTCCATTACTTCTTCAACGTGTCTAACATGGTCCCTAACATCGCCTCCTTCAATCTCGTGATCAAAGCCTTGTGTGACCAAGGTCGTTTCGACGACGCCCTGCAACTGTACCGTCACGCAGCTCCATTCGGTGCTGACAGACAGACATACAGGCTGTTGGCTGAAGCCTTGGTCAAAGCCTATGATCCCGATGAAGCTTACAACTTTTTGGACATAACAGATGCGGAAGACGATGATATGCTCACGGTGATTTTGCTTCGCGGGCACTTGGCTATCGAAGATGTTGATGATCACTCCCAAGACGAGTGGCTCGATTGGTACAAGGGTAAAAAAGCTTTTGATTGGGTTGCTACGACATTTGTGGATTACTGGTTCAAACATGGCAAGGACGAGAAAGCTATCAAGTGTTATAGGCTTATCCCTCAGGGGAAATGTCTGTGTACGACCACTGGGAACAATCTCTTGACAATTTTGCTATCCAATGGTAAGAAAACAGAGGCTTGGGAGTTGTTCAACAAGATGATGAAGACCAATTGCTTGGATTCAGAGACGGTAAATGTAATGGTGGACGAGTGTTTCAAGAAGGGCGAGTTTAAGGAGGCCATGGAGACATTCAACAAGTCACAAGAGGGAAAGAGAATGGCTAGGTGTTATAGTAACACGGTGGCTCGACTGTGCGAGCATGGGATGGTGTCGGAGGCAGAGGGGTTGTTTGAGGAAATGAGCTCGTACAAGGACTTGTCTCCTGACGTGGCCACATTCAGATCGATGATAGGTGGATATGTTCGTGCTGGAAGAGTCGATGATGCCCTCAATACCTCGAGAAAATTGGCTATTTTGAACCTACGCAAGGTTTCTTTCTATCGCGATCCACGTTGAATCTGTGATATCACTAATTTTCAACATTTGACGTGTAAATAATACACATTTTAATTTTCAATATGACTCTTGTCTCTGACCAACACGTACTAAATTATTCATATAAACAGATAAAATATTAAACCGAATGTAAATATTCTATCTCGCCGATAAACCGTGTAGAAGCCACGCGCCAAGATTCTTCATTACCAAAATCCCGATCATTTAACAACCGTTCGATCCGCGCGTGGAACTACAACACTTACGTGGCGCGGGAGTAAAATGACGAAAAGTTAAAGAAACGTAAAAAAGTCAGTATTTTTATAAAATAAAAAAGTCAGTATTCAACAATCAAGACGACGAAAATTGAAAATTCTTTCGAGTGATGATGCTCTCTCTTCTTCTTCTTCTACTCACACTAATAGTCTAAAACCCTTAATTCTCAGAAAAAGTTTCAGCTACAATGGCAGAGATTTCGTTTTTGGTTTTAACAACTCTCGTCGTTTTTTCATGGGCTCTTTCGATCGGTAATTGTCTTCAAGATTCTCGGTTGGACAATTATGGAAGCTTTTTCACGGTCTCGAGCTTCAGGTACCCTGAATCCCAAGTCAGACCCTACGATACACGTTACATCAGAGGTCTGTTTAATCTGACAATTTCAGATTCAAGCTTTTTCAGCTGCTTTTTTTTTTTTTGGGTTCTGAATGATGATTTGAACTTCAATAAACGGACTTGGATTTGTTATATCTGATCAATAAATAGCTCTTGGATTCTGATCCTTTCAATAATCAGGATCTTATTCTTCTTTTGGTTTATGCTCTCTGATTCTCTGTTTGATTCCGTACAGTTGATTTGCCTCCATGGTTCTCATCATTGAATGTTGCTATCGAATCTGATGTAGACATCGTGAGTACTACTACAGATCTCTCTCCTCCAAATTTTGTTTTGGTATCCAAAGGAAAATAGAAGTAAGTAATTGCTTTGTATTGATTGTGTTTTTGGTAGACTGCAAAGAGCATTTCGAAGATTTCGAAAAGTCTTCTTCCTGTTATTTGCTTTAGAGATGGTAGTCCTCCTCTGCCTGATGCCTCAACCAACGCTCTTGAAGGTTTAGGTACGTTTTAGCTTATTTGTCTGGTCAAAGAACCTTACTATTTTAGGGGATTAAGAAAGTGTTCTCTTGATGTTTTGTAGAGCTAGGACGGTTCTTCAATGGATCTTTCCAAGGAGCTGAAGATATTGAGATTTCTGAACAGTGTTATCCTATGCAGAAGAACATATCCTTGAGATTGACCAATGAACAGGTTTTTACATTACTTCTTGTGTGTTAGGACTTTTTTAGATGATGAGTTTCTTTTTTAACGTTATTGTTTCCAGATATCACCGGGAGCTTGGTATATTGGTCTTTTTAACGGAATTGGGGCTACGAGGACTCAGGGGAAAATGGTATGGTTCTATGTAACACTCCTAAAAACTTCGTTTTTTGAAACAATTTCAGCCTTTATTGTTTGTTTGTTCTGAATTAGATCTTTAATACTTGGATACTGCACAGATTGTTCGCTCCTCTGCGTTTTCATTTAGTGCCAACATTAGTGTTGAAGGTTGTAAAACCGCTACAATGTGGGGGCCTTCCTGCAACCAGACTATTTATCCGCTTTCATGTTCTCGGTTCGATAACCAGACAGGAAGTGTTATTTCTTGCTCTGATTCTATTCCTAGTTCTTGTCTGACCCATGCTGAAACAAAGACATATGCTTTAGATGTAGATGGGATAGCTGAACAATTAGTTATTATGGCATCCAATGTCAAAGTAGATTCCAATGAAAGTTATCTCATGTGTTACGCCCGTTTTGGAGCCATTGCTTCAGAGACTCTGCATGATTACGCTGGTGATATACATAAAGTTCCCTTAGTTGTTAACAAACCGAAAGCTGGTCGATGGTATATCGTTATTAGTTTATCTGGACGGGAGAACCGGTTTGTACAGGGCACAAATTCTGGTTCTAGGGTCTGCTTTTCAATTAATGTTAAAGTACTCGGATGTCCCGTAGGAAAAGCAGGACCAAATTGTGGGCAGCAAATCTACATGCTTCAGGTAAGTTGCTCTAAAAGCTTGTGAGTATGTCAAAATCAAGATTGAGCTCTATACTTATTAGAATTGTTGAACAAGATATATTTTATGCAGGCAGTTATGAGGAGGGGATGGTTGACACCTTTTGAATCATATTATTTTCCGGTCAATGACGCTTCACCTTCAGGCTCGAGCACAGATTTCCCCCTCGAACCCATCGTCAGCAACTTTTCCTCTATTCCAGAATTAGACACAAGCACATGGACTTATTTTCTCATGAACATCCCTCAAGGAGGTTCTGGTGGGCATATCCATTTCAGATTAACATCAGATTCCACAATGCAATATGAAGTATATCTTAGATTTGGTGGATTGCCCACTATTGACGACCGGGATTATTATTATGTAAATCGAACAAGTGCCAGCCGCTCAATGTTCTTCTCATTGTATAATTCTAGCCAAGAAAAGGTTGATTTCTACATCTTGTATGCTCGAGAAGGAACATGGTCATTTGGTTTAAGGCAGCTCATTGACTCTAATACTCCTGCTGCTTCCAGAGGTCCACCTACTCTAGTATCTCTTTCTCTCGAAAGATGCCCGAGAAGGTGTTCGTCTTATGGGCAATGCCGATATGCTTTTGACGCTAGTGGATTGACATCTTACAGGTTTTTTTTCTATCTCGAGTCAACCAAAATTTATAAACATGATGGAAAGTAGATTACCTTGAGATTAAATTCTTGTGTTGTGTTGCAGCTTTTGTTCTTGTGACAGAACCCACGGAGGCTTTGACTGCAGCATTGAAATTGTGTCACACCAAGGTATCTTAATGTATCAGTGTTTGAAACTTTGACAATTTTTCTGTGTACTCATGTGCGTAAAACCTGATGCAGAACATATTGTTCAGTCTATTGCTCTCATTGCATCAAATGCAGCGGCTCTTTTGCCAGCTTACTGGGCTCTTCGGCAGCGGGTAATTTTCTTGGTTTAACACTATAATCCGGTGCTCTTTGCTTTTTTCTTTTTTTCCATCTAAAAGCTGCTGATTCATGTCCTAAACAGGAGTATCCAGAGTGGGTTCTGTTCACATCCAGCGGAATCTCGAGCGCTCTGTATCATGCATGTGATGTAGGCACCTGGTGTGTTTTAAGTTACAACGTTTTACAGGTACGGATAGTTGGTAGCTGCATCATTGTCATCTTCTATGTGAAATTATACTTAGTTACGAGATGGTAATTTTTTGGCTTCAGTTCATGGATTTCTGGCTCTCTTTCATGGCGGTGGTTGGTACCTTTGTGTACTTATCCACTGCTGGTGAAGCAGTTAAGAGGACAATACACACAGTTGTTGCCATTGTCACAGCTTTATTGGCCTTGACTCAAGCAACAAGGTATCTGAGATGTTTGACTCAATGGTTATTATAAATAGCACCTTGATACTATTTCTAAACCTTTACATTGGCTTGCTATCTATCAGGGCGTCAAATATTATCATTGTGTTAGCAATCGGTTCACTCGGTCTCCTCATCGGATTTTTGGTAGAATTTGTTACCAAGTATCGATCATACTGCGGGTCGGCTGGATTTTCATTGAACATGCTCAACAGGTAAAATAAGGAAGCCATTCTGTTTCCTGACTTACGCAGGATTACCTACTGTGACAAAATCATTATTTATTTGAGTTCTGTCATATTCTTGTCGTAGGCCACGGGCAGTCAAAGAATGGTTTAGTAATTTGATCAAGACGCTCAAGAAACGGTTTCGTTGGGGCTTTGTGGCAGCTGGTCTTGTAGCCTTCACCATGGCAGCCGTAAGTTTCAAAGTAGAAACCAGTTCGAGCTACTGGATTTGGCACAGGTGTGTGTATGTAAAGTTTATCAGATATGAATAATATCGATTGTATCACTTTTCTGAAGGTTGACTTATGAAAAATATGTGCAGTATTTGGCATTTCACAATCTACACATCTTCCTTCTTCTTCCTCTGTTCGAAGATTGCAATTGTAAATAACGAGAACCTAGCCCACAACGGAGCTGACAACTACGAGTTAACAAGGCAAGACTCGCTACCAAGAAACTAAGAAAAGCATAAAGAGAGAGGCTTTTACTGAATTTTTCTGTATCTTGTACTATATACCAACCAAAGAAGTTTTAGAACAGAACAAGACATGGTGATGGGTAAATATTCAGGTTTTTTCTCTCCCTTACTTAGATTCTTTCAATATGGAATCTGAACCTCACTGTCAACTTGTGTCTGTAATCATGTATGTTTATACACTCATAGTGACATAAAAAGATAACTGGAGTTGTCCAGTTGCATCATTTATCTTAGGCCTAGGCAATGTAATGTTTTGGTACAATGAGAGGCTTTGGCGCTCTTGAACAATCTTTACTTCCATGGCTTTTTAAGCTGACTAAAGATTGATGTGTTCATGGTTATAATTGCTAGATTGAGTAGTCCCCTATAGCCAACTGCAACCTGGAGTTTTGGGATTGTAGCAGTTTCTCCTCTCTTTTTTACGCAGTAGAGCCGCTTGATTCCAATGGCCTTCAGAGGCGTAAGCGTTTGACATGATGGAGTAGTTCACAGGTTTGCTTGGTTCAATTTCAAGAAGCTTCTTTGCACCCCATTTCATGGATTCTACTTTCTCATGGATGTTACATGCTCCTGTGAAAGCTGCCAAAGCATGTGTGCTTGGTTCTGTGGGCATTGACTTTAACACATCAAAAGCCTCGTCGATGAAACCAGCTCGACCAAGAAGATCGATCAGACAAGTGTAGTGTTCTTCCTCTGGTTCTATCTTGTAAACCTCAGTCATTCGTTTGAAGCAACGAAGCCCTTCTTGAACTAATCCTCCATGGCTACAAGCAGACAAAACCTCTAAAAAAGTGATCTTGTCTGGTTGAAGTTTCTGCAGCATACTTTCAAATATTCGCAAGCTTTCTTCTGCGAATCCATGAGAAGCCAGAGCTCCTATCACTGAAGTCCATGAAACAAGATCAGGTTCTCGGATCAAATGAAAACATAAAAGTGCTTCAGATAAATTTCCAGTCCTGGAGTAAGAACTTATCAGAGAATTAGCCACCGACAAAAATTCTGCAGAGCCCTTTTTAGTAACCATCGCTTGCACTTGCTTAATCTCCCAAATTGCAGAGAATTTCGTGCAGGAACTTAGAACACTTGCAAAGGTAAGCTCATCTGGTTGAAGATTTTCACGGAGCATTTGACCAAAAAGTCGCATAGCTTCTCTTCCTTCTCCATTTTGTCCAAAACCTACAATCATCGCGTTCCAAGACACTATATTTCTCACAACCATCGATTCAAAACACTTGTGAGCATCACTCATATGGTTACTCTTCGCATACATATTCACCAATGCAGTCGCCACAGGGATGTCGAATAAATATGACAGTTTGAAGACAATGGCATGAATCTGCTTCCCTTGTTTGATCCCGCATGCACTGAGAAGACTAGAGAGAGTGAAATCATCACCTGTGAATCCGTTTTTTTCAGAACTCATCAGCTTGAGTAAACCAAAAGCTTCATCAATCATACCGTTAAGAACATACGACGAAACTAAAGCGTTCCACAGCACTAAATCTCTACCCAAAACCGCCTCGAAAACTTGTCTTGCTTCACCAATGAGACCACATTTCCCATAGAAATCAACTAGACTAGTACTCAGAAAGCAATTCGATTCAAGACCTTGTTTCACTATCAGACTGTGTAATTGGTTACCAGCTTCCACATTGGTCGAATCAGTACACAACCGTATCAACCCGATGAACGACACATGATCCAAAATCACCTCACTAAGAAGACTCCGGCTCAAATAACAAAAACCTAGATGAGCTCTGTGGTTGGTGTCACCGTCTCGGTGAATGACCCCGTGAATCAGTATGTTCCAAGTAACAATATTTCTCACAAGCATTTCGTCGAAGAGCTTATCTGCATCATCAAATTCTCTGATTTTCGTGTAAGCTTGCAAGAGCTTGTTTTGAAGAAACAGAGAATTGTAAGTCCCTTGTTTTACCATGAACCCATGTTCTTGTTTCACGTCAAAGAGATGATCCAAGCTAGCAGATAACTTCGATACAGAGGATATAGCTACAGGTGAAGCAGAAGAAGGAAGGGTTCTAATGGTTCGCAAGGAAGATAAGTGGTTCTGATGGTTCGCAAGGAAGATCGGAGTTGATCGGAGGAATGTAAAACGCATCTCTACAGGAAATGAAATTAGTGTGGCGGGAAAATTAGTTTTACATCACTTACTCTTATATGATGCAAATATCTTGCATTGGTTGATGTTTTTTTTTTATGTAAATTTTGCATTAGTTAATACATAAATTTTACATCACTTACTCTTAGATAATTGATGTTAAAATTAGTATTTTAATTAAGTGATTTTAATATTTGTGTCATTTACGAAAATCGAATTAACATTTTAACCGCTAATGCCAATTTGGCTTTTAAAAAAATATTTTCGTTCGTATAATATTTTATCCTCGCTCAGTTTTTTTTTTATAATATACTTCAGAGCCACATAATTCAAACCACTAATTTATACTTATTTCCACCATTAGAAAACTTATATTATGCATCCCTCAATAATAATGTGTGGGACTTGCAATAAATATGTCTATTGTAAAGTATTAAGTATAGATAAATCTGAATATTATATAGAGAGAGTTTTGGATCCACTTCCTCTCTTTGAAGCGATGTAGAACAAATCAACGCTGAGTTTTTTTTTTGTGTCACAACTTACAAGTGTTTTTATTTTTATTTTGTTTTTGATACAATTTCAATCGTGTAAATAGGATCTTGGAGGCATGACCATGGTCAAACATAAAAATTAAAAACACTACATCTTTACCTTATATTTTGTTGGCTTTTTAAAATTTGGCATGAACAAAAAAGATAAATTAGACAGTGAAAATTTTTAGAAATACATTTAAAGTTGTAAAAGCATTGAAACTTGATTTGATAAAATTAATCTATAAGTAAAAGTAAAAGTTTCTTAAACTATCATCACTTCTTTGCAAAAAATAATATTCCTTCCGTTTCAATTTAAGTATCGTTCTAAATTAAAAAGAATATATTAAACTTCTAATTATTATATTTATGACTAAACACTATTTTCAGAAATTGAGAAATAAATTAAATATTCTATTATTCTTCTAAAGAAGTAGTCTTAAACGACTATTCAATTTTTCATTACTGAATAATATTAAATAAAATGGAATGAATCTATTACATTTTACATCAACATCTTAAAATAACAATTATTTTGAGTTTAAAAAAATAATCTAAATGAGGGGAAAAAAATAATAATTTAAACATGTTACAAGCCCCAAAAAGAGCCAATAAACCACAAGGTGCAACCACTGAATGTCTCTTGCTTTTTGGTTTGTTATAGTTTGCAAAAAATTTAACTCAACCAGTGCTCGGTTATATAATTAACTAGGGTTAAAACGTCATATGACAGCTAATATATATGGGTCTCTCTCTCTCTCATTTTCCAATGCGTCTTTATATATAAACGGTCGTGCTGCTTCATTCAATAAACCCATTTTCTCTACATTTTCTTAATACCAGCAATTAGAGACAGAAGATTTATATAAAAAAATTAGTAGACATAAAGGTTAGTGATTCTGCAATATTATAATCTGATCCTCTTCGTAAATTTTTGTTTGCAAGTTTCGTATTTTCTTCACATTGTTTAGTAACCCTAATTTTGGGGGAAAATTAGTTATTCGATTTTTTGAGGAATAAGGGTCTGTATCTGTGGAAAATTTGATTTTTGACCCTAAACTTTTTCTTTGGGTCACCATCCATCGAAACCCAAACCTCGAAAGAGAGAGAGAAATGGCGGGCCAAGGGGAAGTGGGAAGCCGGTATAGGGTTTTGCCAAAGCGAAAAGATTTCCTTAATTTTTCGATTTTTTGTGTTTCCCGCTAAAAAAAACCCTAATTCCGCCATGGAATCTCAGAGGTCTTAGTCGTAAGTTCATGATTCTGTAGTTCCTGGATCTTCTTGGGATTTCCTTTGTTTCTCTTACTCGTTGTCGAAGATTCCTGGGTTTTTCGTTTCTCTCTAGATTATTGGCTTTTTTTTTTTGGGTTTGTTCTTGTGGTTCAGAGGTAACGAGAAATGGGATCTGTTAATTGTTGTAGGGTTCGTTGTCCGTTGTTAATGGCGGGTTGGTCGATGGTAGCAGACGAGGATGCCGTCGATCCTAGTAAAACTCCGAAGAATCTCGACGCCAATAGGTCTCCTGAAAGCGTTAACCCAGAATCTACAGGGTCTGGCTTTGAAAAGAAGATTAAAGAACTCATCTCCTTGTTCCGACCTTTGCTTGATTCTTTTCTCGCTGAGTTTTGTTCGACGGATAGTTTTCGACCTCTTCCTGCAATGACCGGCGACGGGAGAACCGTTGATTTGTTCATTCTCTTTGTGAACGTGAGTCACAAAGGCGGATTTGATGCAGTTTCTGAAAATGGGTCATGGGATGAAGTTGCTCAAGAGTCTGGATTAGAGTCTCATAACTCTGCATCTGCCAAATTGATCTATGTGAAGTATCTTGATGCACTTGCTCGGTGGTTGAACAGAGTTATTGCTGGAGATACTGATGTTAGTAGCTTGGAGTTGTCTGGAATCTCTGATACTTTGGTGGCTAGACTGAAAGTTTTTTTATCTGAAGTGAAAAAGAAGTATGAGCTGAGGAAAGGTAGACCTGCAAAGGAGTTAGGAGCAGAGCTTAAATGGTTTATATCGAAAACAAAGAGAAGATATGATAAGTACCATGTTGGCAAAGAGTCTGGTTCCAATGATGCTGTAATAGGCATTCAGGGATCAAAATTGACGGACAAGAGAATGGAGCAGATAATGATCCTTGAATCGGGTAATCAGAAATGCTCTTCGCCTGGGAAGAGAAAACGAGAATGTCCTTTAGAGACATTGAAATGGTTAAGCGAGGTTGCTAAGGATCCATGTGACCCATCTGTTGGTCGTGTGCCAGATAGATCAAAGTGGGTATCTTATGGAAGTGAAGAGCCATGGAAACAACTTCTTCTGTTTAGGGCCTCAAGAACAAACAATGATTCAGCTTGTGAAAAGACTTGGCAGGTGGGTATATAGTTACAGTTATTCGATGATCTGCATTTGCCTGTATGACAAGCCTATAAGATGTAGCTGCACCAACTTTCCTGCTATAGCGATTCAAAATTCGTTATTGATTTAAACTGTGGAGATGTGAACTTTTGCCTGTAGAATCATGAATTGCATGTGTCATTAAAGCATTCTAAGGAGTTACTAATAGCAACTTCGAAAAATGTGCATCAGATTTTAGCATAAGAAACTTGATTCTTTATAATGTCCGCTTCCCTGTATCCAACAATGAACATTCTCTATGCTATCTCACTGTACAGAGACTGTGAACCCTGTGATTAAAATAGAATCTAATTAGTCTGATGGTGATTGTTTGTCTGTGCTCTCTGATTTAACTACTGTTCTTCCATGTTTATGCCTTCCAAGTCTTGATAATTTGCTCATGTGTTTCAGAAACTTCAGAAGATGCACCCATGCATGTATGATGATAGTGCTGGACCTAGTTACAATCTAAGAGAGAGATTGAGTTACGATGATTACAAGAGGGGAAAGACATCTTCTGGGAATGGCTCGGATTCAGGCAGTTCAGATGAGGAGGATAGACCATGTGCTCTAGTTGGGTCAGAGTTTCAAGCTGAAGTACCCGAGTGGACTGACATAACCCCTGAAAGTGATACAAAGTGGTTGGGCACTCGAGTCTGGCCACTGACCATAGAACAAACCAACCGTAATCTTCTTATCGAAAGAGATCGTATTGGAAAAGGAAGACAAGATCCTTGTGGCTGCCATAATCCAGGATCTACTGAATGTGTCAAGTTTCATATCACTGCAAAACAGGAGAAACTGAAACTTGAACTTGGTCGAGCTTTCTACATGTGGTGTTTTGATATCATGGGTGAAGGTACTCTTCAGTATTGGACAGACTTAGAACTGAAGAAGATAAAGTCTTTGATGAGTTCTCCTCCGTCACTTAGCCCAGCCTTCTTCGATCAGGCCAAGATGATTCTTTCGTCAAAGAGCAGGGGGAAAATTGTGAGCTACTTCTACAACGTGACCCTTTTGCAGTATAGGGCAAATCAGAGTAGAATCACACCTCATGATATAGACAGTGATACCGATCAGTTATTCATCCGTGCAACACAGAATGAAAATACAGCCCCTGAAGCAAACAGATCCCAGAAACCCGCCCTACTTTCGCCTAAGAAAAAAAGATGTCGGTAGAGCCTTTATGAATCACCCTGTTGAGATTCAAGTTGGAGCAGCTCTTTTTGTTTTCTTTCCATCTCATTTTTGGGGCTTATATTGCCATTGGAACCGCTTTAATCTCTGTGGGGGAAAAAGGCTTCATCATCGCATCGTCTTAGCAAATTCCGGTTTTAGTTTTGAGGTAAATACTTCCATCTCTTCCTTGATGATTCTACAGTAGTATTTCTTTTTGTTGGCATTGCTTGGAAGGCTTTGCGGAAACTGATGAATCAGAGAGAAAATTTCTTCAAGTACAGTGAGAGAAATTTGGATTAGTTTGGTGAATATAACAAAGGCAAAATGTAATTGCTATATGGTGTTTTTTTTTTTTGTTTCCAAGGAAAAAGAAGAAATGAGTAATCTCTCTTGCTATTACTTAAGTTCCAGAGTTTTATGATTTCGATTATAACTTCTCATCACTTGATAAATTAAAACCTTCACACGAGCAAAGTTAAAAGGCAGATGTTATCATATAACTCAAAGATCGTTATAACATTGTGAGAAGCTTAAACCATTTTCTATATATCAAGTAAAATGATATTTTCAATCATGTAATGATTTTTCGAAATAAAATTTAAGGATTTCTAAACAAATAAAAATTTAGTTTACATTGTATAATGTAATTTTCTGAAGGACTTCTAAAATTTTAACAAATTAGAATATAGAGATACTATTTACTAGTTCACATTGTAATTTAGAGAGGATACAATTGTATCTAAAAGTTTAAACCCACAAAACTATGATAAAGAAAATAGCTAATATATGTTCTAGACGACAAAAAAAAAAGAATAAATAAATACTAATTGGCTATATTACTGTGTCAGATATTGGAAAAAGGACAAACAAATAGTCATGAGATGGGCCAATTGCTCACTCGTCGGCCCATAAAAGAAGAACCCATGAAAAATCCAATCATCATAGTTAGCCCACGCGCATATAAATCGCGTTGTTGTAACGCGCCCGTTTTTTGCAGTCTAACCCCTACGAAAATTGGTCGAAAATCGACTGAATCCAATAATTTGGAGTCTAAGGGCGCGTGAGTATCGTTTTATTTTTTCTTAAACGATATTTTCCGCATTGTTCATGCCTAATTTTTTTTTTTGTTTTATTTTATCAATAGCTATATTGGATTATCTCAAAGTGCATGCCTAACTAGTAATTACTATTTTTAAATAGTTTAATTTAATTTTCTTTTCCCTCCCATTAACTTTTAATTACTAATCATTATTTTATTTGTTGCATCCCAAAATTTTATCTACTGAGATGAAAAAAGGAAATTAGTAATGTTATTCTATAATGCTAAACCGTGTATGTTAAGAAAATTAGAGTGATGATAGGGCTAATGCATGTGGACACGTTATTAATTTTCATTAAAAAAAAGGACATGTAATTTGTTGTCCTCACGTCTACTACAGTCGTAACTCCCGTAAGTTTATGGCTCACGTTTCTTTTAAAATAATTCATCTATCTTTTGGTTATAAAATACTACGAAGACATGATAATTGTAGGATAAGTCCCAACCCCATCATCATTTTCCTTAGAAAAATCATCCGTTTTATTGTAATAAAAACAAGCTGTCCCCATAACACGTATAAGGAGGAATGTATTGAAACTGAATAGTATATATGATCGGTCTAATGTATGTGTAGTTAAAACTTAGCATCTAATATTCTTTACCAAACATAAACACACTAGTATACAAAAAATAATCAAAGAAGCCAAAAAAAATATCAAAAAGGGCTTATATGTTATTTTAGTGTACTAGTGTGTTTATGTTTGGATTTGAATATGACAACAAAAAAAAGAAGAAAATTAAATATTTAAGTGCTTGACCATTATTATTTGCAGCCTGTTGTGATATATAATTAGTTAACTAAATCTGCTTTCACATAGACTTATATTAAAAAAAAATATAATATTTGTCCATTTTGATTAAAAGAATAACTACTGTATATGGAAATTGTTTTTAAAAGATTAAAAGACTAACAAAAAGAAAAGAAAAAAGATAAAAGCAATGAATGAAAGACAAAGGCAAAAGGGTAAAACTGGAATTTGAAAAAGGGGTAAATGGTAGTAAGGCAAATGTCCATTTCATTGATCTTTTCTTTTCTTATATATGATTTTATTTCTTCATTTTAGAATCTTTTCTCTATCTCTCTCTAAAACCAGATTCTTGATAGAAGAAAGAGAAGAAGAAGAGGAACGGAGAATCTGCCATGGCTTCACCAAGCAAACGTCGAGAGATGGATATGATGAAATTGTGGGTTAATTTTCCAGCTGATTGAATTATCTATAGATTTATTCTGGGTTTTTCTTTTTCTTTTTGATCTGTTGATGAAATTTCTTCTTCTTCTTATTGATATATAATTGATTTGGTCTGTGAATTTGATAGGATGATGAGTGATTACAAGGTGGATACAATCAACGACGATTTGCAAATGTTCTATGTCACATTCCATGGACCCACTGACAGTAATTCTCTCTTCCATTTTGCCTTTTTGTTTTTGTTGCTTATAAGCTACTTGTTGAAATGCCTCAATGAATCAAAACGAGTCTTTGTTTGATTTGTTCTTCAAACTCAACTTCATATTCATCAATGATAGGAACTAGATTGGGATTACATGATTGCCATACTTGAATTTGGATTATTTATAGGATTGTCATAGAAGCAAATGATGAATGAATCTTTGATACAAAACCAAGTTAAGTGCCTGTTTTGTTGTGTGTTTTCTTCAAGGTCTTTATCAGGGAGGTGTATGGAAGATTAAAGTCGAACTTCCCGAAGCTTATCCATACAAATCTCCATCTGTAGGATTTGTTAACAAGATTTATCACCCTAATGTCGATGAATCGTAAGTGATAACTATCCACATTTTCCATTGTTTAGTGTTTTGCATACTCTTAAACTCTGGTTTTGCGTTTGTGGCAGTTCTGGTGCAGTTTGCTTAGATGTTATAAACCAGACATGGAGCCCAATGTTTGGTAAATTACTAGTTTTTCTCTTTGTTTTTAATGCCTTTATATCTCATTGTGTTTGCATCCATCAAAGTTCTGCTTGTTTTGCAGATCTTATAAACGTTTTCGAATCCTTCCTTCCGCAACTGCTTCTGTATCCAAACCCATCAGATCCGTTTAATGGAGAAGCTGCTTCTCTGTTGATGCGAGACCGTGCAGCCTACGAGCTGAAAGTGAAAGGTAAAGTCACTCTCTTCTTCCCATTTTGCTTCTCTGTTCGACCTCTCATTGACACTACAATTTTTCACCTTTGAAGAATATTGTGAGAAATATGCAAAACCCGAGAAGGAGAATTTAAGTGATGATGATGAGGAGGATGACGATAGCATGAGCGAAGATGGCTCGGACTCTGATGATGATGACGATGAAATCGTTGGAAAAGCCGACCCATGACTGTTACAAATCAATCTTTCTTTGCACTTTCATTAGTCCATCTTCAAATTTAAACCATTAATGCTCATTGCAAAGAGGAGAGAAACTTTCCTCTGTAAATTTGTAAAGACTTATTATTCTTTAGGCCTACTGAAATTTCTTTTTAAAACAGTAGATAAAATGTAACAATTTGCAATCTCACATTAATGGAAACATTAATCCATATCTCATTTTGTTTGTTTTATCCTCCAATTTTTTTTGTACATGACCATATATGAAGATGGATATTGCAGACAAAAGGACATTCCTCTAAAGTTTACTATAAAATTTCGGTATTACGATAAAGAGCAACATACCAAGAAAAAGGAACTATAGACCTACAGAATTATTTGATTACTAAGGTCAAAGATTCACTTCTAAATTGCTTACAATGCCACATTGAATATAAGCAAAAGAGGCTTAATCCTCTCAGGAACCAAGAAGGGTCCCTCTATAAATGGCTAGGCCGTCTTTTACCAGAATCTGTCCTTAACCTCTTCACCGGATTTGCCCATCCCACGGAATCACCAGCCGTACCGCTGTTGTTTGGATGAGTGGGTTGGTTTGGCCAGCGCTGCTGCTGTGCTAGCCTTGTTTCCCTTGGAACTCCACCAGACACAGGACTTCTAAGACCACGACCAATCAGAGCTGGAGGTGGTGAAACTGGGCTGCTGGAGCCACCAGTTCGGGTTTTCGGAGCAGACTTCTCTCGGTCTTTCCTCTTCTTCTTGCAGATTACTAATTCCCCTGGATGAGCTAAAATTGGGGATTCATCAGTGTGGCTTGTTGTCCCCCCAAGCTTTGTTTCTTTCTGCGGTATCTGTACTCTGATCCTTGAGTTCTCACGTTGTTGAGGTCTCTGAGGAGAGCTTGGCTCGGGTTCCGCCTCGTTTACCAACTTTTGCCTCTTGCCTTGGCTAACGCCTGCTCCTCTTGGGGATGGTGTAGACACCAAATTTGGGATTGGGCCAGAAAAGGAAAGAGCATTCCTTGCTTCCCGGAAATCTGTGTCTGGGAAAGACATCTTTAATAGATCAAAGAACAGATTGTGAACCTTCCTTGCTTCAGATCTCACCTGCGGAAATTTTTGATCACCTTTAAACCCATTTGGCTTGTACATCAAACAGCAAAAGGAAATCACTTTTATTAACAAAGCAAAAATCAAACCTCATGTGAAAATCCATAGAATTGCATTGCTCCCCTTAGCATTAACTGCACGTCAGATGCGAGTTCCATAACTCCTGCGTACTCTAGTCTTTCTACACGGTTGTCTATCTCTCGTAGTTCCAAAAGGTTATTTACACCTCCAGCTGCATAACCATTCTGAATTCTCTTCCACAAATTTGTCAGCATAGGTACAATCTGCTGACCTTCCTTGTCGATTCTCCTTTGGAGCTTGCTAATCACATTTTTGCACTGCAAAGTCCAGGACCGAATAAGTTCAGACTAACGATACAAAACAGATGCACCAAAAATATCAACCATATCAGAGAATGCTGCGATGAAGTAAATTCCAATTGACAGAGCATACCCGTTTCTGTATGATGTGGGACATTCTTGCACCAGCATTTGAAGAGCCAATAGGACTAGTTCCATCCCACGTTTCTCTGGAAGCTTCAGCGTTATCCTCCACGGTAAGCTGTGTGGCATTCAATCTACCAGCTTTTGGTGATGATACATGGAGTTTGGAAGTACTAGCTACCTTCTTCGCAGGTAAACTCCTTAGTCTAGAGGACGAATCACTCTGATCTTGTCTTGAACCATGTGAGTCAACAACTGTCCTTAACTTTGATCGGTAGCTACGATCAACTTGTAATGGCTGAGCTGCAGGCATCTCACTACCGTCAACTCTTTCTGCCGTTTGACGGGGTCTTAGACGAATACTCCGTTTTCGTTTTATCGTAGGTTGCAAAACCTGTTCTTCATCCCCTTCATCACGGTCATGGGCCCAACTTCCTGATCGTTGGAGATCTACGTGAGAATCCCCTGATGCTGCTATTTCCCCCTCTTCTAGGTCATCCAGCTATTCAACATAATGAACAAAGCAAACATTACACAAACAACAAAGAAGAAGATAGACATGCAAAATAGATCAGGTACCTACCAGTCTTTTTGAGACAGAACCTGGCCTAGTGTCCAAAGCAGATAAAGAGCCAAACTTTTGTGAAGAAACAGGAGATGCCATCTCTTTCGATCTATGGCTCTCTGGAGAAGATCCTGAAGAACCGGCATCATCACGAGGAGGAATTTTTTTATAACTACCAGAACCCGGAGGATAATCATAACCACAGATGGGGTTCTCTCCATCAGATTCTCCCTTGTTGGTTTGGTGATCTCCAAGAGCGACAGTAAGTTCATCATCATCAAATTGTCGAATGTCTCCCTCTTCTTCATTCCCAGAATCAATGTTCCTTTCCACAGAGCTTTCCTCAGAGTAACCTGCAATGTCATCTTCAATTTCCTTGTAGTTAATCTTTTTGCTCTTGGGCCGCCCCCTTTTTCTCTCACCTCCCGGTCCACCAGGTTGCACAATCAGATTACTGCTAGACAACATGTTCTTTGAAGGTTTCTTAGACAAATCAGCAACAGTAGCATTCACCTCTCTGGTACTAGCTCGAAGCCACTTAGGCACCTGCTCATGATTAGTCATCTCCTCCGTCCAGTCAAATTCTTCATCCATCTGATCAAATAACTCAACTTCCTCTTCGCTTCTGGCAATCATCCTGTTCACCTCATGCAGAGAAGGTACATCATGGACAGTTTCTTGATATCTCTCTTCGTCATGCAATAAAGTCTCCAATGTCATTCGTCGCTCTTCATGAGTTGTCCTTTGGTCAAAACGCCCAGCATTAATGACCTCATCAGCCATGTCAATCTTATACTGTTGAATATTATTCCTTATGAGACCCTCTATAGATCCTATATATCGGTCCTTCCCAGCCATGTCATCCTCTAGGTCTATTGAACCACCACTTCTAAGCTCGTCCTCCTTTTGATGGCTGGAGATTTTTTCAACAACTGCCTCCATATAAATCACTTTTACTTCCCTTGTCTGCCCTATACGATGGGCTCTGGCAACTGCTTGTTCCTCATTCTTGGGATTTGGATCCGGATCATATATCACAACTGTGTCAGCAGTCTGAAGGTTGAGACCCCGTCCAGCTGCACGTATACTAAGCAAGAAGATAAAGCAATCCGTATCAGGATCATTGAAGTCCACAATAGCTGATTCCCGATCTTCTAGGCTGGTAGTCCCATCTATTCTTCTGTATACAAGCCTTCTCCATTGTAGATACTCTTCCAAGATATCAAGAAGTTTAGTCATTGTACTGAAGAGCAATACACGATGGCCTGTCCTCTGTAGCTTTATAAGGATCCTGTCCAGAATCCACAATTTTCCACAAGACCTTACGAGAAAATCTTTGGAAAAGTCGTTGAAATATGGGTAGTTGAGCAAAGGATGATTGCAGGCTTTCCTCAACTCCATGCACCTGTTATTTAAAGTTCTATATATCTTGGCTTGGTATATTGGATTCTTCTGAGCCCTAAGTTTTTCATCGTCTGGATCAACTCTAAGAGTTCCAGTCGCTTTAATCCAATCATAAACGGCACTCTGAATAGCAGACATTCTACACCTTAAAACTACAGAAACCTGCAACCCAAAAGCATAATCAGAAGAATCATCTAGATGGGAAATAACGGCAAAGATAGAAGATAGATCCTACCTTAGCAGGAAGTGACCCTTCCACATCCTCAACACGGCGTCTGAGCATGAATGGCTCTAAAATTTGATGAAGTCTGTGAATGACTATAACCTTTTTTTCAGTCTCCAGCCAGTCATCCTCTATATTATGCGCAGGACCTTCTTTTTGAAAGGGTTGCGCAAACCAATCATGAAATGCTTTTCGATTGTCAAAGACATCAGGAAGGAGAAGGTTCAATAGTGACCAAAGCTCTTTCAGATCGTTCTGCAAGATTCAATAAAAGCAGGGTAAGAATGGTCACATAATATGAACAGCTTAGAGAATCTTGGTTTCCATTTATTATGTGTCCCTGATTTATGCCCAAGTAGCTATACTGTTACCAACCTGCAAAGGTGTTCCAGTGAGAAGTAATCTCCTCTGGCAGCGATACCGGTCAAGATCTCGGGCCAAAACAGATTCTCTGTCCTTCATCCGTTGTGCTTCATCAATTATAATATATTTCCAGTCAACTTTTGAGAGTTTTGATCGATCATACATAATGAACTCATAAGTCGTAACGAGGACATTGAACTTCATGGCGCAAACCTCCTGTTAAAGAGAACAGGGGATGCATCAATCAACAATTTCAAAACATCTGGAGCAAAAGCAACTTTTTCAAAATTTTACCTGAGAGAACAATTTTGAACGTTGATCCTTTGTACCAACATAATATATGCATGAAACAGATGGCAGCCAAGTATGGAGTTCACTCTGCAGAAGAAAACCCGTTAGACTTTAATCAGTTACCAGCGAGAATCGACAAAAGATAGCAAACAAACTGATACATATTCTAAGAACACAGAAGAGTTCATCAACAGGATATGGCCATGTCAGCGCAACTAACAGCTAGTTAGCAAGAGTCAAAGTTAATCTTAGATAATAGATATAAGAGGCTTGTGGGTTATTGCCGAACTGAGTTAGATAATTATGAGTTGGGAGACTTGGGGTCTCAAATACTCCCTTGGTTCTAAGCAGCTGCAATGATTCTGTGGAAAATCATAGGAGTCTATCAGAAACACAAACCTTCCAATTCACCAGAACAGCATTGGGAACGATGATGAGATGCGGTCCATAATTCCCCTTAAACTCCATAAGGTAAGCAATCAGTGCCATTACCTGTACAACAAAGACCGGAAACAATAAGCATATTATGGCGAAAGTACAGTAAATCCAGGAATCCCTGCAAATCGAGAACAGATATAACCTGCACAGTTTTTCCAAGACCCATCTCATCAGCCAAGATCCCATTTAATTTGTTATTATACAACGATAGCATCCATTGTAATCCAACCTGAATGGCACAGAGCGTAAAACCTTAGAAACCATCAAAACGTGGCATGACAGTAAAAAAAAAATCAAATTGCAACGACATAGAGTCTAGATGGAGGAGATACCAGCTGGTAATCACGCAAAGTTCCAGCCTGAAGCATTGAAGGTTGTCTTATAACCACTTCATTTACAGCATGAGCCAGAGTATAATACCTAGAGTTAGGCATAACAAAGCGGGTAAAGAAAAGACTAATGACATCACCCAAGGCACCTATTCCTAATTTTGTGATCTGTATAAACCCCTCACACATGGAAAGCAGGATTATCAGCATTTTACAGATAAGCACATACTTTATAAGCAGTCAGCTGCATTGGAAATTTTGAGTAACAACTAGTACTTTGCTAATTCCCTGTTTTAATCATTTTTTGTGTGACTAATGGCTTACTTGTTGACGGATGAATTTTCTTTTGGCGCATTCATTTCCGTAAATCTATTTCTGATCACAACTTCTTCTCGAGCACAAGTAGCTGCTGCCCTGACCTCTTCTTCTGACAAGCCCTGCATCAAAAACGGAAACAGCTAAGCTACTATATCCACTATAACTTTGAAAAGTTAAAATTTGAAGAATTATCTACAGAGTGTAATGGATAATTCGCTGTGGAGTAGAGAAAGCAGTATTTATACCTGCAATCTGGCTGCTACTGCTGCAGCATTCGCTGCCTCCTCCACTTCCTGTTGATTTTTTGTGGCAGTAATCTTACCTCCAAGTTTATGAAGATAATCTTCGGTTTGGGTCAAAAATGAAGAGAGAACAGCATATCTTTCAGCAGCATCACCAGGCATATTTGTTTGCTGTTCCAGCAACATCTCCCTGTACCTTTCTACATCATTATTCTTCAAGGCCTCCATCCTTTTGTTCCGGCCATCATCTTTTCTCTTCGAAAACTCTCTCAACATCTTTTCATGGTATTTGGCCACTCCCCTGTTACGAGCAGTGCGTGCATCACGTATAGCCCAGTGAGCCTCAAGGAGTTTCTTACGCCACTGAAAAATGGTTTTTAGCTGCTTCTCTCTAACAGCTTTCTGGTTGGCCAGTACTTGTCTATTCATTTCAAGGCGTTGCCGTTCGCACAACCTCACAAATTTGCGGTATGGCCTATCGGGCATGGACATTATCTCCTGTTGTTGTCGATCCACTTCCTCTCTAACACGAGACTGAAGATTCGATAGCCTAAGCTTTTTCTCTTCAATTTGAAGCCGTAAAACAAGATCAGGCCTAATCCTTTTCCTTTCTAAATTTTTTGCTAGCAGACCATTTATCTTCTTCAAACTGTCTGTTCTTTTCTTACTAAGGAACTCTGCACCTTCTTCACAAATCAGATCTTTAATATCATATGCTAATGTGAGATTGTTATTGGCATTGGCTGTTGCAGACCCATAAGAATCAAGTTTTCGAGTGAAAAAGGGAAAATCAAACAAGGGTCCATAATATTTCCTGGCAGAGGCTGTATCCTTGGGCTGCTGGGAAGAGTTTCCTTGTGGAGGAACCTTAGATTGGCTTCCATCAGATGCAACAGCCTTTCCCTTATCAGCTGTAGAATCACTTCTAGGATTCTTTTGAGTACTAGAATCTGCTCCTTGGTCTGACTTAACAGGGAATACATCAGTTTGTTGCTCCTCTTTCGTAGCCACGTCAGAAGAAGTAGCTTCTTTCCCCAGGTTTTGAAATAATTGGCTGTGGCCTGTTGTCAAAGCTACTTCTGTATCTCCAACATTATCTTCCTCTTTAGAAAAAATCGGTCCATTTGAAGAAGCAGCCGCCTGAGACTCTTTGCCACACTCTAGCGACCTTGCTTGGTCTTCTCCAGTTTTGTCTGAAGATCTATCCTGAACTTGTCCTCTGACAGGAGATATTTGCCTCTGCGTCTGCAGTTCAAGGGGTGGTGGAGCAATAGCTTGAAGAAGCTCTGGAGGCAAAGAACCTTCCCCTTTCTGTCAAGTAAAAAGCAATTAAGAAAAAAACAATCAACCTAGCTTGCAGAAACGATATATATAGGCAGTGATACATCGCCAGCAAAACATACAATAAAAAAAATAAGAAATATGGAAAAAGTCAGAGCTGAAAACCTTCAAACGCCTAAATGCCAGTATCTGGGCTTTGAGAACATGGAGTTGCTGTTTGGTAAATCCTGATCGCTGCTGTGCTTGTTGGGTCCCCTGTCCACTCTGAAGGGAAGAGTTACCGAGTGGACCAGTATCAGATGACGCTAGTAAATTTGAAGTCGGTGCATTCAGTTGCCTAGGCTGCTGCATTTGCAAATGTTCAGCAGGACCTAAACTTTTTTTTGTAGACGCATTCTGATCCATAATAGGAGTCTCATTTGCAGAAGTCTGCAGGGAATTTCCTGAGGGCATCCCATTTGTAGGCTGAACTAAATGTCGAGGATACATTGGATTATCTCTCCCTTGGACGGAGAAGGGATTCATAGCAGGATTGACCATTCTGGGACTGGAAGTCGAAGCAAATGAGCCAGTAGATATTGCATGCCTGGCCTTTGCTGATCCTGACTGCCCAGAGATATCACTAGCAGAGTTGGTACGCGGTGAATTCTCACCTGGAACAACGGAAGATGAAGCCGGCTGGCTAGAGATTGGAATAGAAGGTGACTGTGAAGCCACATTGCCTTCACTAGCTTTCTGTTGGGCAGCCATTCTTGCCTGAAGGATGTGTGCCATTTGGCTGGCGTTGGCAGGATGTGAGAGATCGATATTCCGCTCACGCGCCCATGCCTGCATTGCCTGCCACTGTTGTGCAAATGCGAGTTGGTTGTTTCCCATATTATTGATAAGCTGTTGAGGCTGTGGTGCCTGCATTGGCCTTATCATATTTCCAGGCATTAGTTGTCCGGTACTGACCTGCTGCTGAGGATGAGAATTTGTTTCGTTCCTTTGCTGAGAACCTGATTCCATCTGCCTTTCACCGCGAGCAAACTGATCTCCCGATGGCTTAGACGATGAGGCCTGAGCCTGACTAGACGGATTCAAATCTTGTATATTTAACATTCCCATCCGTCCATCTTGATCCTTTCCGACACTTGATGAACCTATCATTCCCATTCTAGCTTGCTGCTGTGCTTTTTGATGCTGAGCCTGTATAGCAAACTGAATATACGCTTGCTGCATTGGATTAAAACTTTGCTGGCCCTCTTGGGTAGAAGAGCCCTGTTGTTGTTGTTGTTGCTGCTGTTGTTGTTGTTGAGGAGACTCAAAGAATTTCCTAGACTGCTGAGGCATTTGGGTAGAACCCGAAGGCGAGGCAAAGTTGCCACCTCCCATCATTCCCTGAACCCCACCAGCATGATATGCAAACATGTTTTCGTTTGCATCTGAGTTTCTCTGCTGCTGCTGTTGCTGCTATATATTAGAAGCACGATAAATTATTACTAACAATCAAATGAACCATACTCCACGATTCAGAGCAACTTTTTATGTGAAAATGAACAATACATGTTCTCCAAGTCGCTACCATTACACAACTTCAATTTAAAGAAATTGTTTACTTTCCTTTTCCACAGAATTGATAAACAGTTAAGTCCCACTAAAATTGAATAGCCGCAAGTTTAACAGACAAACATTGGCAACTGCAAAGAAGCAATTTATCCCTGCCTAACGAACCAAACACAGACTTGAGAATCTTTTACCTGCCTAGACGCCAGCTGCTGCTGCTGCTGCTGTTGTTGCTGGACAGATGAAGAAGAAGAAGAAGGAGAAGCAGCGGATGACGTGGACGCAGTCCGACCAGCCGGACCCATGGGCGGATTCCGAGCGGGCCCTCCGCCACTGCCTCCAGATTGCATGCAATTGGTCGATGAATCTGACAGTCACTACACTGGAAACAATTAAACCCAATTCAAATGCACAACGAAGCTGGAAGAAGAAGAAGACAAAAAGTTGAAAAACCCTACCAGATAAATCCCTCCAAAAGAATTCGGACAGTGAGCCCCCGAGGCAAAGGAAAAAACCTCAAATAGCAAGCAACAGAGAGAGAGAGAGACACTGAGTCGTTGTTGTAGCTACGCACACACCTTTCTATTTCTCTCTCTTCTTAGATTTGCATCGAATTTGGGGGAAATCGGAAACGAAAGTCGCGGGGGATGCAACGGTATAAACTCAGATCCTTTGAGAGGGCTTCTCGATAAAAAGGAAAAGAAAAAGGGAGGGAAACGAAATCCACGGAATCGATGATCGATTCCTCTCTTTGAGAAATTCACGCAGATCAGAAATTTCTCGCAGTCAAACCCTAGCTGGCTTGTTACTTGGAAAATTTGAATGTATAACCAAAAATAAAACTTAAATTAACAAACTAACCAAAAAAAAAATGTGAAGTGATATTCTATATATTTACTATAATATATACCAAAATACCCCTTCTTTTTCCTACAACCCCACCATCACCAACCACCATCTCTACCTCTATCTCCAGCCACCGTCGGCCACCACCGAGAACCACCACCCCGGCTACCACCACCACCGACCTCCGCTGGCCACCACCACCCCCGAACTCCGCTGGCCACCACCACCCCGGCTACCACTACCACCAACCTCCACCGGCCACCACCACCACCGCTGCTGGCCACCACCACCGCTGCCGGCCACCACCACCACCACCCCGGCTACTACTACCACCAACCTCCGCCGGCCACCACCACCACCACCGCTGCTGGCCACCGCCTCCACCGCCAGCCACCACCACCGTCGACCACCACCACATGCCACCTCCCCTCTAGCCACCACTACAATGGCTAATTTGGTCATTATACTACCCTCTATGGTTAGTTACTATATTTTCAATATTAGTGTGTTAGTTTCTTAATTAATTTATCAGTTTTAGTTATACACCTAATTCACCCTTGTTACTTCCCTTTTCCTTTTTTCTCTTTCTTTCTTTCTTTTTTTTAATATTTTTTCATTTTTGTTTTTGGAAGGGGCATTTATTTTAATTTTATTTTTGATTGTGGGTCCCACGCCTCGATACAGTTGGAACACGGAAAATGCGTTTCACGAGGCCACCCCTGGGTTTTCGCTTTTATTACCACAAGTACCCTTCCATCTACATGAGAGTTGCACAAATTACGACGTGACACGTGTGATTGATTTACCAAACGCTTGCTTTCTCTTTTACCAAATGGGATGACTTTTTAATTTTTCAAATATTTGTTTATGTATTCGTTATAAGATTAAAAAAAAAAAGATTACTAACTATAAACAAATTTGAATATCAAATTAATCTGATGTTTGTTTTATTTAATTAGTTAATTTACCAATCATATTAGACAATTTTTATTTTTAATTTTACCTAGTCATGTGTAGAGTGTAGTAGAGTAGTAGATTAGAGAGAATCGAACAATTACTGTACTCTGTTTAATTTACGGTGCAGCCTCGTGTCGTTTTCATCTTTTAGCCTTGCTATGCTTGCCATCTTTACGTCAATGATTCGTCACGCAGTTCTATTATAAGAGAGCAAAACGGCGAACAGTTTTGAACGAGCAGGTTCTGTTTATGTCGTTAATAGTTTTTCGCCGAAACAAGCAAAAGATCACATTATTACGGTTCTGTGACTTGTGAGTCTGTGTAAAGCCTACTACTGATATTAGAAATGCCGTTGCCGATGCAGTCTCTCTTCTTCTGTATCTGATTCCTGAAAAAAAGTTGTTAAACGATGGAGAAGATCGTTCGTTCTTCTTCACTGATTCTACTTTTTGGCCTCCTTCTTTTTCTGAATTTTCAGGGATTCGTCCAGATCGCTGAAGCAGGGAAGCGACGGATCGAGATCTCCGATGACCTAGACGACGTTGAAGACAATGAAGAAGACGAATCATGGAAAGAGTGGGGGAAGAAAGCAACCACCCCGGAATTTGATCCGCCTCCGGATTTCACCAATATGGGATTCGATCAGATCCAAGAGGAGATGGCTAAACGGACTTTTGGAACGGTCGTCGGTTTCGTGAAGCTCCGGTTAGGCGTCCGCCGCACCAAGGTAAACAAAAATCCAATTCTCTCATTCTCCGATTGCAATGGCTCCATCAGTCAAAGTTTCAGATGAGTTACTGTTTAAAAATCTCTGAATCGATTTGGATTTTATCGTGATTTGTTTGATATGATTCAATCAGGATATGGTGATTGATATCGCTATGAAATGGACAAAAGTTTTGAGAACAGGAGGGATAGAAGTAAGATTCATGGCTGTAGATCGAAGCACGGTGATGTTCAATATGCAAAATGGGAAGCTAGTGACTGAGGTAAAATCCACAGAAAACACACAATGCTTAAAACTTTGTTTAGTGGATTAGTCAAGATCTAACATCACAATCATATCTTTCTGTTGGTGGATTTTCAATTAGCTAAGGGAGTTTGTGCTGAGCCAAGAAGAAGCTTACGAGGTTAAGATAGGGAAGCAAGAGTTTAGAAGACCTGGAGATCCTCCATTTGAAGATGTCTTTGACAAACTTCAAGCTGATCAAAAGAAAGATGACGAAGATGGTGATAGTAACAAGAATGATCTTACCAAGGATGAACTATAGGTCACAGAAAAGCTTTTATATTGGGTAGTATTGAAAGTTCAACTCTTTTACTGAAGCTTACGTTAAATTTCTTTGACATGTTTGGTTTTGAAATTCCGTTGAATGCCGTGGGATACAATAAAAAGGAAAGCTTGTTTCTTTTCCGATGAGTATGCACTCATTTAAGCTTATTGCTAAACGCGGAGAGCTCGATAACCTGAATCCTGGGAATGCTTTCTGCTTCTGCTCTCTCTTTCTCGGTGTTGTATCCCCAGTTTCCTGTTTTGAGATAAGTTTTTGTCAGAATAACCAATAAGGAGAACCAGAAGAGATGATATGGGAGGGGAAGAGACCACCTAAGTATAAATTCCATTTGTCTAATTCAGGCTCTTTGATGACATTCTTCAGCGTTGCGAGTCTGTCTTCCACGAAACTGGCCAAATTAAAACAATCCATAGGGATTGTAAACTAATGGTTAGCATTACTAAGTCATGCAGATAGAAGAATTAGTGATAAATATATAGAATGTGAGTTACTGCAGCGTCAAGCCCTGATGTTCTGGTTTATCTTGAAGTAGCTTTAGCACTTCCACCTTTGGCCTGATGATATATCACACAGAAAATAAAACTAGCTTAAGGGTAAAATCTGGATGAGAAACAATTTCTGTGTTCATTGGTGGACCTCATAATGATACTGACCCTGAACCCAAACCATAAATCCTTTCTGATGGTATGATTACACCTGCTATTTCACGCAGTAACGCTTCTGCAAAGCGGCCCTGCAATTTAAACCACCCATACTAACAAAGTTTAGCTCATCATAGCTCATCATTGTGACAGACAGTATGTGTGTCCAGACAGTTTTGGATAGGATTGGAATCATTACTGCACCTGTTTCGTGGTAACGATATAAATCTTTGAGCTGGCAAATTTCAGTGCATCTGAAACTCCTGGATAGAATCTGCAAATATAGTAGACTGCGTCAAAGCTGTGAAGGCAAATGTGCAAGAGAAGATGGAACTTTGACTGTGTGAAACCTTATTGTTTGTACAAGATAGGTCTTGAAACGTGTGTTATCAAGTAAGATATGATGTTGAAGACCTACCTGTTGGCACCAATCCAAGTTGTCAAGTCCTTGTTAATCCAATCATCTCTAACATTTCCAAACAAATCGATCAGAGCATCTTTATCTTCATCCCAAGCTTCCATGATTACCGGCTTAATCTTTGCCCAGCTCTCCAATATCCCATCAACAGTCAAACCTTCTGCAACCTTAATAAACAAAGTGCAATTCATCATCTACAACTCAAAAAAGGAACACTCAACCCGAACTAAGTTTAAGGTTATAATGAGCATTCACACTCACTGAAGATTTCCGAATCGATGGTATCTTTGTCTCCAATAACAACCGCACAAGTAGAAGATTTTCATAGCCAGTTTCCACCACTGGTCTCACCTACGAACACCAACTCTTGAATCTTCACATTCTTATAAAATCACAGCTAGATATAATCTTAATCTAAACTATTTCAGAATCCAACAACACTTTCTAAGCTGAAAAAAAAAACGTAAGGAAGAAACTAATTTACGATATGCATTTGATCAACGATCCATTCCTCTAAAGTGGAATCAACTCCTTCGAACAAATCAGGCCATCTCACTTTCGCTGCCTATAAACACAGAAAAATCAAAGGATGTTCAAGCAAAACTTCAAACGAAAGTTCCAAATTTCAAAATCAGAATCAGAGAAACAAAATCCAGAAGTATCCCATAACAGAGTGTCGAGAGAGAATGATATTGACCTTGACAGCTGATAGAGAGCTCTCTCCACAACTATCACAGAGAACTCCATCGAAGTCCAAAGCGTAGAGATCTCCCATTTTCCTACTTCACCACCAGTTTCAAGCAGCTGCCACACATTTGTTAGAGACGAAGGTTTGTTGTTTTTACTCATACTCTTCGAGAGCTAATGATAACAAGCCACGTGTTTATGACGTTTTAAAATAAAACGCATATATTTTCGCGTTACGTCGCGTTTGCGTTACTCAATCAATTACCGACTGCAGCCGGTAGCAGCGTCTATTCAGCCGACCTAAGAACCGGTATCGCCGGTATCAATAATTGCTGATCTTTTCCTTCTCTTCCCCAGATTCTCAAGTCTCTCTAACTTGAGGAGGAGATAGAAGAAATCTCATCATCAATCTCCGGATCCAATCCAATTCCCTATCGTCTCTTCATAGGTATTTTCCCCATGTAGAAATTGTTCTCCTTTTCTCAATTGTTGTTTTTCCGGAGATTGATTGTCCACATAGCTCGATTTGAGTTTGATAAGCAATTGTTGTGTAAAGAGTTGATTTTGTATTATAGATTGCATCGACTGCTATTGTTTCCGATTGATTGAACGAACTAGACAAGAAAAGGATTCGGTTTTGTCTGGTTTTGAAATTTCCTTACATTATTGATTGGTTCCAAATTCCAATCCTTTTGATGAAGATACTTTGCTGCTATCTATTAGAAACCAGCATGGCTCGTGTTTTGTCCCCTCCATGTTGTTTTTGGTTCAATATCCTGCATTACTGATTGTTTGTTTACCTTTGTTTATCTTTTTGAGAAATGAGTAATTTTGCAATTGATGATGTTAGATACATATTGAGGATGGCTAACAAAGAGGATCGTGAGGAGCATCCTCCTCGTGGGAATGAATGGGAAGTCGTCTCGCTTACTTCTTCAGCTTACGCTGCTGCTCCTGGTCCGTATAACGTTGAATCAAGAGATGTGCGGAAATATGATGCTTACTATGGAGCAGAAACTTCACGTGATCTGTACATGTCTGAACACTTTGTATTCCCACCTAGTGAGCATGAGAATTTACCCATTGATGAACATTTATTCAAGGAGGAGCAAAGAAAGGATGGCGGAGACTTGATGCTCGAAGGTCAGGGATTGTCTGATCAGTTTCATTATGAAGCTGGGAACAACCAACAGAGTATCTATGGTGAATCTGCGCTTGGTTCTTCTAGACACATGGAATCATTCGGAAGTGAAACAGCTGTGTATGAACACGGGTTAGTTGATGCCGAGCCAAATGAGTATGCAGAGGGAAAATTAGATCTCCATTCTGATACCGAGGGAGAAAAGGATGCCGAAAAATCAACACACAACCTTCCTTGTGAAGCTTGGTGGAAAAGGAGAGCTATTTCTATGTATTCACGCACAAGAGAAGCAAACGCGATATGGTCCTTATTCTTTGCAGCTGCAGTCGCAGGACTCGTAGTTCTTGGTCAACGCTGGCAACAAGAGAGGTGGCAGGTTTTGCAACTCAAGTGGCAATCAAGCATCAGTAGCGAGGTATTAATCTATAAAATCACCGAAAAAACTTCAGTCAAGAATCATTATGTTTTACAAATTGTAACCACCTAAGCCATTTATTGACGACTCTTGAATGTTTCCCACACAGAAACTGAGCAGAGTACTCGAACCTCTCTCACGCGTGAAAGACGTGATTGTGAGAAGTAACCCACAAGCTTCTCTCGTAAGGAGTGGTTCATCCAGTGAGGTCTAGAGGCAAAGTATGATAAACTCAAAGAGACAAAAAGACCAATGTAACGTTTGTTGCTTTGACAATCTCACACAAGCATAGGTAAGTACAAATTTGGTCTTGAGTTACATGTGTGCATGATTGTCAAAAGCTATCTGCTTTCTTGGGAGCCTATGTTGCTTCATTATCTTGTACCATTAGAATGGAGATCCAGTTACCTTCTTACAAAGCAATCTCTTTAGGTGTCAAAAGCGCTTGTTCTAGGGTGGAAACTGGAAAAATATACACATACACTGCTTTTTTGTTTTGGTAATTATCTAGTTTTATTCACTTTTTATTTTTTTTCACTTTCATTGTATGCTTACTATAAGAGGCCAGATATTTAACACATACCTTCTGATTTGCAGTAGAAATGACAGAATCGTACAAAAGTATTAAATGGTGAAATGGATTTGTAGAATCATGACACCTAACTCATTTAACTGAAAGTTTACGAAATGACATGCAATACTACTTACTAGTATAGAATATAAATTGCCATTTCACAAAAATGGTAAAAACCGTAAAATGCTGCTGAAATCGCAAAATCATGTTTTTGACTACCAAAGAGAATCATTGTTACACCGATACAAGCTTTAGCATGTGTCGCAGTAGTCGAGACAAAATAAAAATACGTCATTCTTTAGTTTCGGTAGTAAACGAGAGAATAAAGATAGAAAATTAAGTAAACATGTGATTATGTGTATTGAATTACTAGCCTCTAGAGTGGTTGAGTGTTGTCTGGATTACTATTAATTACCATGTGAATAAGTGACGGGGTAACTAACTATCATAATGATTCATTCATTATTTTAGCTACTTTTCAATATGATTTTTTTATAGTATCTCCTTTTGATTCTATATATGGTCTTAAATGCAAAAATGAGACAAGTAACAAGTAAGTGACCAAATTTTTTTTCACTTAAGTGACCAAATTTTTTTTCACTTAAGTGACCAGTTTTATGTGGGACAACCCACGGAATCTAAAGATTTATATTTTGTTTATCACTTTACGTGATCGGTTAAGTTTGTTTGTTAAGTAGTAAGAATCGTCACCAAAGACTCATCACCATTAATGTGCCAAATTTCGAATAGATTTTAGTCATAGGCCATTTATTCAATAAACAAGTCATAGCTATCGAGAATTCCTTCAGTTTTTTTATTTTTTGGTAAATAGTGCATGGGATGGATATACTTGATGTACCTAATCTAACTATTTTATTGTCTATCATTTATGTAACTTCCCGTACGTAACTGTCAATTTTCAAGTATAAACGTTAATTAATTTGAAAAAATATTATTATTAATATGATCTAGAAAAGTATGTTTTCTTTGCCGTTGATGGGAAGGTAACCTAATTAGATAACTTATATTCTCTGTCGATTTGTCCTTTGTCTTAAGTTTTGACCTAATATTGCATATTTATTTAGCCACATAATACACTAACATATGTCAAAATTCACATTCTGCAAAGATAGAGGAGTCGTAAAAAAAACAAAGAATTTGACAAAAAAAAAAATATCAACTGAAAACCAACTGTCAATCAAGTTCATTTAAAACTCACCTTGTTTCATACAGCTGTAATGAAAAATAATACTATTTCGACGTATTAAAGTTCGAACCGGGTATTCTGCAAATTCTTGGTTCGAAATTCGAAAAAGTTGACTTCGTTGGTCAATGCATTCATGCTTTCATGAGAAAAGTCAAAACTACTTTTCTCTTAGTTAATTCTCTGATAGTTTCTTTAGCTTAATTATAGGTTTTCTTTTGTGATTTAGTATTTCGAAAATTGAACTCCAATTCAGTACATGTCGACGTATGTTGAGTTTCCCCCCTTCTGATATTACAACGTGTGGTTTAGTGGTTATCAAATTCAAAATTCAAAAGATTTCAATCTTCGACACGTGAAAATGTAGAATTATAGGAGTGTCTTTATGTATGTACACATCACAAGTTCTCTCGTATGAGTATGTATTGGTTCTTGCATTAATTTACATGATCACGCATTAAGAAGGCGACACATTATTATGGATGTTATAAATATTGAATACTTATAACGTCCTTTTTAAAAATATTTAGACAAAAAAAAAAAAGTCACCAAACCCATAAGCAACCTACATATGTTGTGTAGTTGAGCAAAAATATCATTGGTGAGTTTGTTCACCCATACCCTAACAATCTCAAATCTAAAACCCTAAATACTCATTCCTACACTCTATACCACAAAAATAGGATTCTATATATAATTATATACACGCACATACACTTTGTCAAAGCGTATAAAAAAAAATTGAAATAAAATCAACGAAATAACGTGATATGGTAATAGTACGTCGTTAAATGAAAATAGTTTAACGTAAACGTGAAAAAGTGAAATGACATGCATTTTCATATTTTTGTCATAAAATGATATAAAAATAGAATAACCGAACACAAATCATTTTTCACATAACTTTGTAATTGAAAAGAAGAGAATTAAAGACTATAGAGTGGCACAATTAATGGCGAAATCACTACTCCCTCCGTTTCAAAATATAAGGCATTTTGGAAAAACTTTTTTGTTTCACAATATAAGTCGTTTTCAAGTTTCCATGCAAATTATATATTATTTTAATACTTTATGATTATTTCTATTATACAGTCTCTTTTATGATTGGCTGATCTTTGAAAAAGTAGATCTTCTTAATCGGCGTGCTTTTAGCTAAAACGTCTTATATTTTGAAATGGAAGGAGTAGTGACCATGACTAATAATACATATATGAAACATCATCTCCCTCAAACCGACACCGAATTACAAAACCCTAATTTAATATATTCAAAACTAGAATTTAATAGCCACGAGAATAAGATAAAATGAGGAGGCAACATCCCATGCTTACTTTGTGACTTCTATTACACGATTTTCTAATACATTAAAAAAATACTACTTGATAGTTCTCTCTTTTTTGGGGGTTTGAATTAAATTGTATATAAATGGTTCATGCTCGGACATTGAAAAACTGTGGGTCATTTAGTCATAGATCTCTCTCTATCTTCCTCCTCCTCTTAGGCTCCTCAACTAAACGTCTTTAATGCTCTCTCTCTCTCCATTCCTTACGACCTCATAGACTTGAAAATTTTACCATCAAAACCTTTATTTTCATCCATATATTGAGATTAATATATAAAGTCTCTCCAACCACCTAGCTACCAGCCTAGAGCAGGAACATTAATGGTGGTGCACACCATCTCATGCTTCACATACCCTAAAGCTCTTCACTCCAAGTTTATGAGAGATCTACAGAGATAATCATATAGAGAAAGAGAGAGAAATAGAGATCTAGAGAGAAAATCCATTGAAGGGGGAAAGAAACAGTCTGTCTTTCATAATTGCTCTTTCTATAAATCTTCTCTCGTGTTCTTACATTTCTTCTAAAACCATTCTCTCTCTCTCTTCAAACTTCATCACTCTTTACGGAAAATTTCTTATTTCCACCACCTGGGCCGTCTCTATATCCGTCTACTTCTCAACTTTTGTGCCAAAACGTCATTTCTTCTGAGGGAATAAACACAAAACATTTTCCCGGAAAATCATGGAGATTTCCACTGCTCTAATGATTCTTTCAGCCATCACGGCGTATTTCTTATGGCTCACATTCATATCTCGTTGTCTTAAAGGTCCACGTGTTTGGCCCATATTGGGTAGTCTCCCTGGTCTAATCGAGAACTGCGAGCGAATGCACGACTGGATCTCCGACAACCTCCGTGCTTGCTCCGGTACGTACCAGACATGCATCTGCGCCATTCCGTTTCTAGCTAAGAAACAAGGTCTCGTGACTGTCACTTGCGATCCAAGAAACCTCGAGCATATTCTCAAGAATCGCTTTGATAATTACCCTAAAGGTCCGACGTGGCAAGCCGTTTTCCATGATCTTCTTGGTCAAGGGATCTTTAATTCCGACGGCGACACGTGGCTTTTTCAGCGTAAAACCGCCGCTTTGGAGTTCACCACAAGGACACTCCGTCAAGCCATGGCTCGTTGGGTTAATAGAGCGATCAAGCTCAGGTTTTTACCTATTCTTGAAACGGCTCGGCTCGGCTCTGAGCCGATTGATCTTCAAGATTTGCTTCTTCGGCTTACGTTTGATAATATCTGCGGCTTGACATTCGGGAAAGACCCGCGGACTTGTGCACCGGGTCTTCCGGTGAACACATTCGCGGTGGCTTTCGATCGAGCCACCGAGGCTTCGCTACAAAGGTTTATAATGCCGGAGATATTATGGAAGTTCAAGAGATGGCTCCGGCTCGGCTTAGAAGTCAGCTTGACAAGAAGCTTGGTCCAGGTAGATAATTATTTGTCTGAGATTATTACGACACGTAAGCAAGAAATGATGACTCAGCATAACGATGGGAAACACCACGACGATCTCTTATCGCGGTTCATCAAGAAGAAGGAATCTTACTCCGACGAGACTCTCCAGCGCGTGGCGCTCAACTTCATCCTAGCTGGACGTGACACGTCATCAGTCGCGCTGAGCTGGTTCTTCTGGTTGATTACGCAGAACCCGACTATAGAGGATAAAATCCTCCGTGAGATCTGCGCCGTTCTGATCGAGACACGTGGCGATGACGTGGCGTTATGGACGGATGAGCCGCTTTCGTGTGAAGAGCTTGATCGATTGGTTTATCTAAAAGCGGCGTTATCGGAGACTCTGAGGCTTTATCCTTCGGTGCCGGAGGATTCTAAACGCGCCGTGAAAGACGATGTGTTGCCGGACGGGACATTTGTGCCGGCGGGATCTTCGGTTACTTATTCAATTTACTCTGCGGGGAGGATGAAATCGACTTGGGGAGAGGATTGCTTAGAATTCAAACCGGAGAGATGGATCTCGCAATCGGACGGTGGGAGATTCATCAATCATGATCCGTTTAAATTCGTGGCGTTCAATGCTGGCCCTAGGATCTGTCTGGGTAAGGATCTGGCTTATCTACAAATGAAATCAATTGCGGCGGCGGTTTTGCTCCGCCACCGATTGACGGTGGTGACGGGGCATAAGGTGGAGCAGAAGATGTCGTTAACTCTATTCATGAAGTACGGTCTTTTGGTTAACGTCCACCAACGTGATTTAACGGCGATCGCGGCGGATTTACGAGTGAAGACAGAGTGTAAATCTAACGTCGTCAATGACGGGGTTGGTAACGGCGTTTCAAGGTAGGTAGGGGTAGGTGAACCAATCGCATCTATCATTTACTGTCTAATAGAGAGTGGCACTCGCCTTTTGGCGCGTGTTAAATACGCGGTTATTTGGCCAACACAGCAAGCACGCCCAGTTGTCGTTGAATGGTTGGCTGCATAATCAATAGAGGTAATTTTGCAAAGTGCGTTTGTTCTGTTCCTTTTTACTCATCTGCCTTGGTAATTCAGACAGTAAAATTTGATTTCATTATTTTGTAAGCATCTCTCAATTTGATTTAATAAATCTTATTTTTAAGGGTTTCATTCTAAGCTTAAAGAATGTCCCATGACTCACATTGTTTGGAAATCTGATCGCGATGGCCACATTTTATTTGTATGGTAATCCATAGAATAACCAAATAGCTCTATGTTTCTTACAAATCATTTTCCAGGTTTTTATTTGTAGTGAAATTGCCATTTAATTTTACCATTTGTTAAATCCTAGTGTTATTTATAGGAGTCATATCGTTGAATTTGAGCCAATTTTGTCAGTTATCATTTGGCATGATTCACTTGTAATGGCACTTTTCGTTTGTAGCAGATTATACCATAATGCATTAAATATGTTTGGTCCACTTTGATTCAAGATAAGTTGCCTGCTTGAGAAAAACCCAGAATGTGCCAATTATAGAAATCCTTTGATAAATGGAGAAGAAAGATTACAGATGTTTCTGGGGAATATCTTTGTTTTACATAAAGTCTCCATTAGGCAAAGAAGAGGAGAACAACAGACACACGGTACACACAGGTAGCAGATTCACAAAAAAAAAAAAGCAAACTAAGAACAAAAGCCAGATTTTAAATAAGAACTCAATCAGCTTAGCTTCTGGACTTGAATGGGATGGCTCTGATGACTATAACGTGGTAGAGAGCAGCAAGAGCAGCACCAATGAATGGTCCAACCCAAAAGACCCACTGAAAGAAGAAGATACAGCTAGATTAGTTATCCCAAGCGTTGGAAATTTGAAATAATCGAAATATGACTGTGAATTGGAAATTTGGTGAGAAGTGAAAAACTCACATGGTCATCCCAAGCGTTGTCCTTGTTGAAGATGATTGCAGCACCAAGACTTCTTGCTGGGTTGATTCCAGTTCCGGTGATGGGGATGGTTGCTAAGTGAACCAAGAACACAGCGAATCCGATAGGGAGCGGTGCTAGAATCTGTCAAAATTTCAAAACCAATTAAGCGTTTTGATCCAATGTAACAAAACCAAAATCCATCCTTTATTGATAGTGACTTACAGGAACATGAGAGTCACGAGCGTTTCTCTTGGCATCAGTGGCTGAGAAGACGGTGTAAACAAGGACAAAGGTTCCAATAATCTCAGCTCCAAGACCACTTCCTTTGGTGTAGCCATGAGCTATGGTGTTGGCTCCACCTCCCAAAGCCTGGTATTGCTTTGGCTGGAACCCCTTGACCACACCAGCTCCACAGATAGCTCCTAAGCACTGCATCACTATGTAGTACACAGCTCGTGTGAGCGAAAGCTTCCTGGCTAAGAACAAACCGAACGTAACCGCTGGGTTGATGTGTCCACCTAAGAGGTCACAACACACACAAACACAGATTAGAACATCTGCAAATCAAATGATTCTACACAGAACAAAGCTGAAACTAACATCAAATTTGTTCCTGATTGAATCCTAAACATGCTAAGATTTGAATTTCGCTACCTAACTAACAGAAGATCTATCTAGATAACGAAGAATCTGAAGAAATTCGAAAACAGAGAGTGAAATCGTTAGATCGAAGAAACTAGAAGGCGATTTGACTTACCGGAGATACCAGCGGTGCAGTAGACGAGAGCGAAGATCATACCACCGAAAGCCCAAGCGATTCCTTGGATTCCGACGGAAGCACACATGTTCGGTGACCTCTTCACACCCATAACAGTCAAAACAGTGATGTACAGGAACAAAAACGTAGCGATGAACTCAGCGATTCCAGCTCTCCAGAATGACCACGAAGCTATCTCGCCGGGCTCGAACAACGGCGCCGGTGGTGGCTCTTTGTAGTCCTTGTCACTCTGAGCCGAAGTTCCGATAGGTTGCCTCTCCGGAAACTTGTTAGCTCCGACTCTGACATCTTCTTCTTTACCTTCCATCTCCGACTTCTCTCTCTCTCTCTTTTTCTCTCTAGAGCTTTCTAGGTTTTTCTGTGAGTGGGTTGTGTTGCAGAGAAGAAGAGAGAGTGGTGGTTTTTTATAGTGACGAAACTCAATGTTGGAAGATAATGGAAATAAAATTTAAATAAAACAATATGTTTATTAATTAGTTAACTTAATTGCATGATAGTATAATTAACGTTATCATCTCTGCTGCTACTGAATGCTGATAATGCTTGTTATTGATTAATGATAATTAAAGTGTGTGGACAGAGTTTCAAATCCCGCTTTGCAGCTATTTTTGATTACTCTAATCAAATGTCGTTATTGTACCCTAATAAAATAAATAAATTTTGGACATTTTTTTCTAAATTTATTCATGTATATTTCATGAATGTTCCTTTTTAAATGTAGATTATGACAGGTAAGAAAATACAGAAAAACATACTGTATTAAAAAAGGAGTTGAATATGTGGTCGAGATGAACCGCCGGTTAAGTTGGACCGTTGTCAGGATAAGCACATGGACTCACCGCACCTAAAAGACATAGGGACACCTCATTTACCAAATCATCTATAACATTTTCTTACTTTACTTTATAACATTACTAATTTTAGTTATGAGTGATAGTTTTAATTCTCCAACAATTACTTTACTTTATAGCATTACTTTCTTACTTTAATTCTCAACAATTTTAGTTGTTATGAGTAATAATAGCCAGTAAAACGGAAAAAAAAACTAGAGACTTAATGATATCCTTCTATTAATCAAAAAACGATAAGAGATTCTTCTTTGTGTTCTGTTCTTTTTGTTATTATCTTCACAATTTATCCATGAGGCTATTTTTTATTATTGAAATCATCTAATGGATCAATCAATCATGACAGCAGAATTTTGTTTGTATATAATGCAACTTTAAAGTACCAACTACTCCAAGTATTGATCAAAATAAATTGCCATGCACTATGCACATACATATGCATGCATATATATACCAAGCAGTTTCACCATGAATGTGTAAAATAAATGCATGATGAATGGTGGGTTTTAATGAGATTAAAGAAGAAGATTGGATAGTGTAATATTCGGCTGCAATCCACTATTTGCCAAAAAGGAAAGACAACGTTTAAGCCAAAAGAAAAAAAAGGACCGAACAATTATGGTTGCTTCGTTGCTTTGTTGTCTTTTTGGATGTAACACTATGTCCTACCCACGTGCTGTTTCCTTCTAGTCCCATTACCAGATTTCGTTATTTACTCTCGATTCCCTTCTTTTATTACCTTCCAAACTCTCGTATGGACCAAATTTGATCTGACCATGTACCAAATTTCCTTGGTAAATTCCCTCTTTTAACGGTGTATATTGCAGAAGTTATGTTATCGCCTTTTCCGTGTCCCGAACCATGTACATGCTCGATAATGAAGTTAAATTCACATGCATGACGAAGATATCAAAACATAATAAGAAAAAACTTCTATACCCTATATTTGTTTTGCATGAGTTTGAGTCTTGATTAGTAAATCTGTCGATATTAGAATAGTCTTTTTTTTATATACCATTCACACAATTCTGAAAAGTTCATTGCAACCATTCAATACCATTTTGCCATGTATTCGAAAAAACGGAATAAAATATAATTCTTACAATTCCATTCAACCTATGTATCTTTTTTTTTTTTTGGGCAAACAACCTATGTATCTAATTTCAACTATTTGGTGTTCCATTATAGTACTATCAATCAAAATCAGGATTGCTACTTTTACAAATTCTTTAGTATTTCTTGGTTTAAAGCCATGGCTTTTAGCTTTTTCTGAATGAAAAAAGGGGGAGGTTGTAATATATTTGGACTTTGGTATGAGAATAAAATATTCCACGATTCCAAGCCGTCCAATCCATGGATAAGAAGACACGTGGCATAACCTTACGTATACAAAAACCGACCAAGCCACCCAAACACTTGTCACCTTCAGCCAAATATTAATCATTTTTGTTTAAGTTTTTATTTTCCTGAGTGCAATAATTGCATGCCCACTCCCAATATTCCCGTTGCGTTACAGTCCCCACTTCCACCTCTCCTGGATTATTTAATTTTGGAACATTTTGTTCACTTTTGTCTTTTTTTCGACAAAAGAGTTTTCTGAACAATTTACATAGTTTTAACAGGTTGAAATAACATCATGGATAAAAAGATTAGACAGCAAATTTTGGATATATCAATTAAAATTTACATTTCAAAACAAAATTTGCCAAGAAAAATTGCTCCTCTTTTAACTATGGCCTATTGGGAAGAAATTATTTATCGTCATGTAGGATGTGTGAGTTGATTTTAAGTTCCTACAATTTAAATTCAAAGTACCAAATTTTTGGAAAATCAAATTTCTTAGACATATAAAAGAGATTCGAGCCTTTTTATGGTTGGGCCATTTTTAGCATGTATAAAGCCCAAAATAATACTTATAATTGGGCTGATAATTTAGTCCACAAGGGCCTCCAGCTTTTTAACAAAAATTGGTCCAGCGACCAAGGAACCTAAACCAACCACTACAACTCTACAAGCATGACCGACTCGAACCACTCTCGCTACTAGAACCCAACGACTCGAGCCATTAACCAACCCTAGTTTCCTTTTTTACGTAACCAAACCTTTTTGGCCAACAGGATTATGACACCTGGACATGATCAGTCCTCTCATTTTCTGGTTTTCCAGCTTCTCATTTGATTTTATTTTTTTAAATAAAATAAATTCCTAAATTTAGCCCGCTTTCTCTCTCTACGTTTCTCTCTCTTATCCGCTCCACATCGCCTGGCCGCCGTCCGCCGTCCGCCGTCGCTGTCCACCACCAGATTTTAATCCCTCCGCCGGAAGTCCACCTTCATTACCCAACATCTGTTATAAGGTACAACGCGCAAATTCGCATAATTGACTCTCCTTGGTTCTGGTTCAAAAGAGCTTTTTCGGTGGTTACATGTTTGTATCTCTATGTGTTTGCTATTGCTTGTTTGATTTATTGTGTATTGGACAATTCGAATATATGTGTACCTCCAAACGTATACGGCTGTTTCTGCTCTGTTTTTGTTTTGCTACATCATTGGATCAGTTTTAAAATACCTCTCTTGTTTTGCGTTTCCTGATTTACCATTTCGTTTTATTGGATGTTAAAGGCTTAAAAGTTGTTCTTGTTTGTTCGTCAGATACCGTTAAAGAGATGCTTTTTGGAGATGATTTTTTTTTTCCCAAACAGAGTTTTTTTTGCTCAGCCAATTCCTTGAATTGAGAGTGTATATTGCTTAGCTTATTGGTTTCTTGAAGACCAGCTTCTTCATTGCATGTTAAGATTCAGGGTAGGCTTTCTGAGCGAGTTTCGTTATCTTTTGTTGGAGTGGTTAATCTCCATTTTATACATTTTCTCTTCTTCTTCTAGTTTGGTGGATGGAGTTACTGGATATTGCTTGAGATCGCCATCTGACTTCAAATCTCATAGACCTGAGTACTTTGCTACTTGGCGTATTTATTTTATCTGGTTGGCCATTTTTGTCCTGAAAAGCTTCAGGATTTTAAGGGAAACAGAGACTTTGTATAGGAGCTGAAGGTGTAACAATAAATGTAATAGCAGAAGACTGCGTCATCAAGTCTATTATCAATGTCAGAAGGTGATTTGGCCGTCATGAAACCAGAGGTAAACATTTCATTCCTGTCCTCTTACTAGACTACCTTAGTCAGCTACTTTACCTCTAATGGAAAAGGACCAATAATTCATATGCCTTAACTAGTACTCCCTCCGTATTTTAATAATTGTCGTTTTAGAAATTTTATTTTTTTGAATTGGATGTCGTTTTCAAATTTCTATGCAAAATTTATTACTTTTTAATGTTTTAAGACATCATAAAACATTAAAAAGTAAGAAATTTTGCATTGAAATTTGAAAACGACATCTAATTCAAAAAAATAAAAATTCTAAAACGACAATTATTAAAATACGGAGGGAGTATCGTTTAAGGTTTAAATTTAGTTTTTGAAAAATGAGTTCATTTTATCCAAAGCACCTTTTGATAGATGAATTTTTACAATTTAGTGTTTGACTCGTGATTAACTTTATCTTCATCTTCCCAATTCACGTGAGCTTGTTGTTAATTTTTCTACAGTTGTTTGAATTTATATGAATGACTAAATTTCTTTTTGCGGTGTCATGGATTCAGACCATGAAGTCCTACATCTGGCTTCAAACTGCTGATGGTTCAATCCAGCAAGTGGAACAAGAGGTTGCAATGTTCTGTCCCATGATATGTCAAGAGGTAATACAGAAAGGTGTTGGATCTTCTAAGAATCATGCAATATCGCTTCCACAACGAGTTAATCCAGCTATGTTCAGCTTGATTCTTGATTACTGCAGATTTCATCAACTGCCTGGACGTTCAAATAAGGTTTGTTTGAATTTTGAATAAATATTTTCATATCCATACCCCGTCTGGCCTTTTTCAATACATCTATTTTCCACTCATTAGGAACGAAAAACTTATGATGAAAGATTCATTAGAATGGACACAAAAAGGCTCTGTGAGTTGACCTCAGCCGCTGATAGTTTGCAGCTGAAGCCTTTGGTTGATCTTACTAGTCGCGCACTTGCAAGAATCATTGAAGGAAAAACCCCTGAGGAGATACGAGAAATATTTCATTTGCCTGATGACCTTACTGAGGTATGCACTGTTCAATATCATCTCTTCTTAAGATGTGTCTGCTCCATCTGCTTCGTTTTTTGACTGCTCTTTGATTATTTATCTAGGAGGAGAAATTAGAGCCTCTGAAGAACACAATGGATGATCCACGGATTCGACTACTGAATAGATTATATGCAAAGAAAAGAAAGGAGCTGAAAGAAAGAGAGAGATTGAAGGTCTGTTTAGCAGTTTCTATTTTACCTGTTTAGATATTGTGATTTGTAGCTTTATAAATGAAAATTGAGGGTAATTTGGTTTATAAGATTGAACTGTTTCACGAGCTTATGAAGTTGGGGTTTTCATGTCATAGAATGTTGAGGTTGAAGAACACGTGGACGAACGTTCTGTGGATGACTTGTTATCATTTATTAACGGCAGAGGTACTTTCCTTTGACCTTACTCTGGTTTTCTAAATTCACGATATCCTTTCATTTGTTCCGTTTCTTCTTTGGCTGCTTTGAGTTCTCTCTATTTAACACTGTAGTACTGTACCACCACATTATAGTTCATCTTTGGAATCTTTTTGTGTTAATTGAGTGATGTCTATTTTTGGTGATTAACTATATTTTCCTCTTGCCCAATGCCCGAGAGAAGATACTCATCGTCTAGTGCAGCTGTCTGTTTGGGCTACATATCTGCCATTTACATGAATAAATCATGATCCATCTTTGATTGAGATATTTGGTGTGTGAATTTATGTTTGTGTCGCCTCTTAGTTTTCTCCTTTCTCTATTCCACTTCCTTTTGAAGGCCTCATTGGAAGTAAGGAAAATTCTGTTTCACAGATCCCAAGGTGGTAAAGATGTCAAAAGGAAAAAAGAAGAAGAAGAAAAAAAAGGATCAGAAGATTGTTTCTTCAAATGACATTCATGACAAGGTTCAGACTAGTTTCTCTGTGTTTGTTTTCTGGTCGGTATTTACCAAGTCAATGAATGTGTTCCTTGTGCTTAGGAATCACATGATCTGTATTCCAAACAACAATATGTTGAAGAGACTGGGTCCAGCATGAGAGAGGTACCCAACTTACCTAGTGCAGAAGATGACATTTCTACGCCAAAGGCCGGGTCTGAAGATGAAGATATAGACGATGAAATCGATCCAGCCATGAGGGAATTGCTTGATAGGTAAGACCCTTGTTAAATCAAAACCAGGATATTCTCATAATGAATGTTACACAGCATTCTCCAAGTCATGAATAAAGATGCTCCTTCAAAATCTTGTATCTGAGAAATGAAATAGACTTGTTCTCATGAGTGGTGAATTAGTGTTATTACAGAGAGGTAGAAGATTTTGCTCAAAGACTGAACTCCAACTGGGTTCGGTCGCTAGGAAAAGAAAGAAGGCCTGTACACTTCTCCATAAATGGCAACGGGACTACAAGACGGCATACAGGTATGGTATCTATTTGGCGGCATGTATGTTTACTCTTTTCATTTATCTTAATGTTGTGTTGAACACTTGAATAAAGGACAAACGTTTTTTAGACATACTATAGATGACTGATGTGATGGTGTTATGGTTTGAATTTGAAGGTCAATCTCCATGACACGATTGGAGCTGAAAATGGAACAGTTTTGGTTAAGTATGTGAGCAAATAGAAAGAAAAAGAGAATGGTTCACCAGTCAGTCACCACCGGCGTTTGATGCGTGTCCTCATGTAACAATTTTGATTTTGATTGTTTTACTTTCTTCTAGTGATCCATCTTTTTCTTTGTAAAACCACGTTTAATTAGTTGTTAGAATCTAGTTCTACGATAGCTTTTTTTGTGTGTTTAGGTTCCATTGTTTTAGCATCAGAAATTAATCATACACACTCTGATATCACCATTGCGAGTGTAATAAATGGTTTTAAGTTCCCCCTATACTAAATGATAAGACCTGAGATGCTAAAGAAAAACATAACAACACTCAGCCTTGATCAAGATCAATTGCTTGTTTGGGAGCAGAGTAGCAAGATGATAATGCCAATTGCGATTAATTAAGCTTTTGAAAACGAATAACATAACAACTAGAGAGGAAATGGAGGAATCCAGTGAGGAACCCAATTGGGAACCACGTAAACTTGGCCATTAGGTAAATCAGAGAAAGCTGAAAAAGACTTGGGATTGAAGGAACGTGGGGTTCTAGTGGCGATATCGTAAACACCATAGCCTTCACCATAACGGTCACCGAGGAAAGAAATGGAATTAGGGTTTAGGCCCGGGAAGGAGCTGGCCTTGACACAAAAAGGCTCGTTATTGCCGAGGAATATGCAGAGATCACCAATGTCTTGTGTGTAACACATGTTCATATCTTCCTCCTCTCTAAACACCATGAACAGCTTTGTGCCGCCAAAACTGAATTCTACCGACCTATGCGCAAGGCTTTGAACAGACCTGCCAATGGTTTGAACATACCTGCCAAGCCAAGGCAAAAAGAAAGAAAATGTTCTTATAATGGCAACATGCATGAAACCGCAGAAGCAAACAAATTATTAGAAAAACCTCCTACCATTTGACTAGGAAACGTTGTCCTGAGGGAGACTCAACAAGTTGTTGTGTCCTGTAACAAGATCTCAAAAGCTGCAACTCGGAAAGTGAAAACAGAGGAAGGTTGTGAAAGCGTAAGTCATGGTACTGAGAGTCGGTGGATATTATACCGTTCCAAGACCACAAGTGGTGGCCTCCAGAACTTGGCATGTAGAACCTTTGATCTCTCTTGGAATACATCAAGTTGGCTTGTTCAAAATAATCGAATAATTCAGTAGACGAAAAGCGGTGGTTCCCCTTACTGTGTTGACCGGGTCTATATATACTCACCCGACGTCCCGTGAACTTGACAGCCATAACGAAGTCTTCTTCTTCAGGAGAAGAGGACATTGCCACGCCACTTACCAATTCATTTTGACAAGAGTATTCATAACTCCGAGGAGGCAGAGGGATCATCTTGGGGTTTGATTTGGAGCTCGAGGGATTGCAGTAGTCGCTAATTAGTATGGAATTAGGGGAGCCAAGAAAAACTCCCCAACCATGGGAACTTCCCACCAGCCTCGACGTAACCAACTCTTTGGTAAGTGGCTTATCACGGACGGTAAAATACTCTTCCTTGGCCGGGTCAAACATCCGGAGCTCTGTCATTGCACCGGCCTCTGGTGCTTCACCACAATAGGTGACATAATACATCATGTAAGGGTTGGTGGTGGTGGAGGAGCTGGAGGAGAACATCCGAAGGGTGTGGCATCTCTAAGGAATAACTAGTAAGAAGTAGACATCAGAAGAGGAAGAAGAAAACAGAGATTATACAAAAACTAGAGAGAGAGAGATTACCAGAGCAAGTTTACGGAGAGAGGGCTTGGAAGAGAGGCTGAGAAGCAGAGACGACATAGCTTGCTCTGTGCCTTTCTCAAAAGGGTTTACGAGTTAGTCAACAAGGAAAAGAAACATCTTAAGTTCTGTAATGTTAAGATTTCTAATATTTTCTTATGACAAGATTTTTCTTTCCTTTGTCAGAAGACTCTAATAAGGAAAAACAAAGTGGACAAGCACTTTGGTCTTAGATCGAGTCAAGAAGGGAATTCCTTTTGAGAAAGGCACAGAGCAAGCTATGTCGTCTCTGCTTCTCGGCCTCTCTTCCAAACCCTCTCTCCGCAAACTTGCTCTGGTAAATCTATTCTCAATCTAGTTTTTGTGCGACCTCTGTTTTCTTCTTCTTCTGATGTGTCTACTTCATACTCTTCCCCAGAGATGCCACAGTACCCTTCGGATGTTCTCCTCCTCCACCACTACCAACCCGTACTTGATGTATAGTCTCATACATTATGGAAATTCTTTGGATGATATCGATATAACAAGCGCTATACACTATTTTGACCCGGTCAAGGAAGATGAAGTTATTGTCCGAGACAAGGCCTATCCCATGGAGTTGCGTAATACGAGTCTGGTTGGAATGTCCCATGGATGGGGAGTTTTCAATGTGGAGACAGGTGATGGTAGACATAAAGCCGTTTATGTTAGCGACTTCTGCAATCCTTGTGGCTCCAAAACAAATCCCAAAATCATTCCTTTGCATCCAATGCATCCCATTGGTAAACCTAATATTACCCAATTACGCCTCATCACTAACGCCGCAATGACTTGTTCACCTGATCAAAGTAAAGATTTTGTAGTAGCTGCCAATTGTTTAGGACTTGAGATCCATTTCTTTAGGCCTTGTGGCAAAACCAAGAACTACTCTGGTTTAGGCTTTAAAACCGAATCCCACTATTTTGATCAGTCAAAGGTTATGTATTCAAAGAAAGATAAAAAGTTCTACACTCCTAGTGTTGGAGGCCACTTGTTGGGTTTCTGGGATTCTTGCTTCGAGGATTTGACTGCCTCCAAGATGCATGAGTTGCGGTTTTGCAACCTTCCTGAGGTGACCCAGTCCGAGTGGGAGCTCTTGGACTCATGTTCCCCGCCAACTGTACACCTTGTAGAGTCTCCCTCAGGACAGCGTTTCCTAATCAAGTGGTACACTCAGAACTACCAACCGGGCGAGAGGATGACATTCTTGTGTCGCGGAACAAAGCATTTCATGGTGTTTAGAGAGGAGGAAGATATGAACATGTGTTACACTGAGGACATTGGAGATCTCTGCATATTCCTCGGCAGAAGTGAGCCCTTCTGTGTCAAGGCAAGCTCATTCCCTGGCCTAAATCCTAACTCCATCTATTTTGCAGGCGATGGCTTTGGTGTTTACGATATCGCCACTAGAAAACCACGTTCCTTCCGTCCCAAGTCTCCCTCAGCCTTCTCCACAACACCACTCTTCCCTTACTGGATCCCTCCAATGTCTCTCTAGTTACTATACAAACTTCACTAGTTATTCTCTTCTTGTGGGTGTCATTCGAGTTAAATCATGAGTCATAATTAAGTTATTTTCAATAGTATGATCGACTTTGAGTATTTCAGTAGGTGGATCCAATATAGAATCCAGTTTCTTGTTTCACTTTGTGTTATGTAAACTCAAAAGAAACTAATGAAGACATGTTCCATTGTTTTAGCATCACAACTCATAAGCCACACACTGACACAAGACGAGAAAAGAAGAAGCCAGAAGCAGCTACCTTTCACACATAAAAGGGTTCTTGTTACATACATAATACATTTCCTTGTATATACAACTATTTCAGTTCATTTCAGTTTTTATCTCTATAAGACGTTTAAATTGGCGAATCACTCACAATGCTCATGGTTTTGAGTTGTGAGCTTCTGCCATAGCTTAGTGGAGTTGATTAGGAAGTTCATCATTCCGCTGCACTGATGAAACAAGCACAGTAGGCAACTCCATCAACCAGATGAAACGCAAAAATAGAATCTGCAGGGCCTTTGTATTTTCTACTCAGAATTTCAACACATACCGGGAAAACGTGAGAAGATGCGTCATTCTGTTCCTCTTGAGCTAGGTTTAGTGATGTTGCAGGCTGTGATAATGTATCAGCAGACTGACAAGAGCTGGTATCCAAGGAAGACCTCCTCTCGTTTTCTACATTCAAACTTTGAATCGGATCAATGCTTGTTAGTGGCAATACAAGCCGCTGAAATTCAGACAAGAGCACAGAGAGAGCTCGAACTTCATCCATTCTTGCTTCCCTACATTGATCAGGAAACATCAGCAATAAGCAGCATCCAGCAATTCTGCATCTCTTTCTGAAAAAAAGAAAAGTTCTTGGCCAAAACCTTGTATGGATAAGGTTTCCTTTGCAAGTGAACTGTATTTGACAAGTAGCAGACGCTTGTTTACAGACAAATTTTGCTTTCCTAGACTTAAGATCCTCCATTTTCCTGCAAAAAGTTAACAAGACGGGCTTAGTGAGCAAACAGGAGATTCAAAAAGATGGTCATGTCTAATCTCAAAGAGCCGATGCGATACATGGAATAGTGTTTATCTGCAGCTGCTCCCATAACAAACTTCCTGATCCTATGCTGATGTATCATTTCCACAATCCCTTTCTCAACTGAGTCCATTTCAAAACACAGTTTCTCTGCCTGTACCTACAGAAACCAACCTTCTTTAAAAAATGGTGAAAACAGAGTTGACATTAATATCATCTGTGTTCACATCACATACATACCCCTTTTCTCAGACAAATACTAAGGTACTCTTGTAGAATCTTGTCTGTTTTGGCTGTTTCTTTGCCTCTATACGCTCTCACTGATACATCATCTGCCGTCGAAGCTTCGAATTTGGTACCCACTTTGCATCAAAAGTGAGAAAAGTAAAGTCAAAACCTTTAAAGCCTGCGTGATCTAACGAGAGACTCTTGGAAAGGCAAAACACTTACAGACAGGAATCATTGGAGATGGCTGGTGAATATGAAGGATGCAGATTCTGTTTCCCTCGGAGTTTTGTAACGCCCAGAGGAGATTTGATGTGTTCTTCCATACATTTCTCCCAACTGCGACATAGATTTTGTCTTCGAGAATCCGTGAACTGACTGTTTCCTCCATAACCTGAGAACTAAGAATTTTCTCTGGAAAATGAAGAGGCAAGATTTTGGAAGAGAGCCGTTTCTTGCATCAGCATTTGCTCGTTTACTTGGACAAGAAGACATCCAATGGCTACACATCTCACCATTCTGGTATCTCTGTTCCTTCGAATATTCCATCAATCTACACATATTTTTATATATTGAAAAAGACTTGATTGATGGTTTCGTTACATATTTTATTTCGTTAATGAGCTGTTTTCAACGTAATGCATATGGTCAGATTGTATTACTAAGAAAACAAATAAAAAATGGAGAGAAAAATGAAGAAAAGGTCTTTCAAATTACATGGGTTTAATATACATTACAAACAGAGGAGTTCGTTGAAGCAAATGCTTAAGAATATATTTTAGTGTGATTTTATTTCTATTCACTTTCTGGAAGAGGATGAAGCGTGAAGCCATTCCTGGATTGCAGATCGAAGAGCAAGATTTGGAACTAACTTTGTATGAAGAAGCTTCGTGTTTGTCATTGGGGAAGTCTCATGTCCTCTCTGAAGCCATGTGCTTATGGCTTTTGCTTCATATGTAAATCCATCTGCTGCTAGTTGTGGATCCTTCATCACTTCCTGCATCATTCAAAACAAAGGTTTTAATTTTGTGAACTGATTCGATACAATCTTCGGTTTCTCTCCATATTGACTTTTTTTTTATTTACCAGTGAAATGGGACAGATGAAGTACTGAGGAGCTTCACGGTGCTCATCAGATCGAGAGACCTTCTCATGGATTTTTCTTAGCTCCTCTACTTCTATAATTGCTATGTCGCGTCCTTTTATCAAGAAATCCCGTTCTTCCTTGGCTTTTCTCAACACTTTCGTTGCCAAGTTATACTTGTCTTGCAGCTTTTGCACCAACATATAAGACTCGGTTATTCGGTTCTCAGATATATACCTCATATTTTCGAGTTTTTCTCTCACTTTCTTCAGCTCCATCTCTGTTTCTTTCCTTTGTTTCAACTCCTCGAAATAGGCATTTTCCCATTCTTTAGCCTACATTTGGTCAGAAAACTTCGTAAGCATCAGGAAAAAACAACATTCCCAATGGGTAATTGCAATAGGTACAAGTTACCCTTTTGATTGCTTCATTTTTCTCTTTCTCAACTTCTTGATGCTTGAAAGCCTCCAAGCTTGCTTCTTTTTTCGATTTCTCAGCTTCAAAGACAGCTAATTGATACACATTTCCATTTCCTCTAGATATCGTGTATTGGCCCGAAGGTATAACAGATCCTCGTGAACGGACTGAATCTTGATCAGAACTTGTAGATGCATACTCTAGAGAGGTGTTACCCATGATAGCTTCCCTGCATTATACCATCACCAGATATATTAGAGCTTGTGACATGTGATTGTTCTCACAATCCCAGTTCCCGTTAAAACTCACAAGAGTCTGAAAAAATACAAAGATCATTCCAAAAACCGTCTGAAGTAGTATTTACGGTTGTACAGAGATTAAAGGGACTCGGGATAGACCTTTTATATACCAGGTATCCTTTGCAAGTAAACCATATACAACAAGTAGCAGGAACTTGTTGACGAATGTAAATGGCTTTCGTGGACAACAGATCTGCCATCCTCCTGCAAATTAAGATTAATGATGAATCCACCGGTGAAATAACAAGAACCATCCATGAGAAGATGAAAATCCAAAACTATATGGTTATGCTGGTGTGCTTTGTACATTGAATAGCGTGTGTCTGACGCAGCTCCCATGACGAGCTTCTTGACATTGCGCTCTGAGATCAATTGGATGATCCCTTCCTCTACCGACTCCATTTCAATGTTTATCGTCTCAGCACAGACCTAGGATATCAGAATCGGCTCTTTTTTTTATCTCTTGTATCATTAAACAAATGAATAATATCACTTATTCGCAATAGAAGTAGCTAAAACATACATTCATTTGCCTGCATGTTTGTAGGTACTTGTCCAGGATCTTTTGTGCCTTTTCCTTGTCTTTTCTGTAGAGCGGCTGGTGAACGTGGACGATACAGAACTCCTTGCCTCCAGTGTTCTGTATCGCCCAAACAAGAGTGGACTTGTTCCCCAAGTCACTCCCCACTGCAACATATATCTTCTCATCCATTAGCAGCTGCTGCGAACCTGGCTTGCCCATCATCTCTCCCTATCACCCTCCTGCTTGGCCTGGATTCAGCGTTTAACGCTGCATCGAAGCCTCATGAAGCCAACACTTTTCCCCTTTGCTTGGATCGAAGCTCCTTTCTCCAACACACTCCATATGAGACACTCAAAACATTCCTCTAATTCACTCAAGATAATAAACAAGAACAAACATAAATTTTTTGCAATACAAGAAAAGAGATGATTGATCTAAGAGAGGGAGCAATCAACAAACCAGAACATTTTCTTATGTTATAACATGCATACGAAGTCAACCACGGTAACAATGACGAAACCTAGCCTTAACGCAGAAGCTGAAGCATGTATTAGAATAATGAAGGCTTTTTGACTTTCAACGAGCCAAACCAGGAATCAAAAGCGACAGTATCTGTGTATGAAGAGAAATGTCGACATATTGACACAAATACACGAATTTCACAAGACTTTAGAGAAAATACTGAAGAATACTCTCAGCATTTTCCAGGTTGGTGTCTTTCAATGCTGCGTTAGGTTGGCTTACCCCAGTGCAATCCTGATTTTTTTTACAGATATGCTACTAGCCGCCAAAACGACCTGACCTCACTGCTAATTAAGTAAGATTAATCCCAAGAATCTTAAGAGTTTATTAAAAACCACTATATGAGGCAATCAAAGGTAACTTCTTCCAGGAGGAAAACAAGTCTTACACGATAGTCTTGACTTAATAATTTAAGACTCATCCTAATTTTAGCTAAGCAAAGGCATCATCAGTGGGATCATGTCTAACTGTCTAAGTATAAACCTTGAGGCTAATCTTTGTTCTAAAGAGAGCTTCGAACATAATGGAGGAACAAAATAGTGGCAGTTCTTCTCACACAAACGGAATAAACATATAACTTTTTTCATACAGAACATATACATATATATACACATACAAATCTCACCAGCTTCTTCTTTTCATATCTGACAAATATGGAGGACTTACACTATGCTTGACAAAGTAAACAAATATGATATCCATGGAGAGATTGTATGTATACGTATAAGGAAGATTGAAAAAACTAATCTTACTCACTCACTTACTCTCTGTTGCCTCCCGCAGAAAAGGCAAAAACTTTTTTCATAAGAGAACAGGGGTTGAGGGTTTGAAGGATTTTATTTTCACAAATGATGTTGAAGCCACTCTTGAATCGCAGAACGAAGAGCATGGTTAGCGATTAGGCTGGTGTGAGAAAGCTTGACATTGGTCATTGGTGAAGTATCATGTTCACTGTCCAGCCACGCTCTTATAGCCTCTGCTTCGTATGTGAAACCGTCTGCAGCCACGTGTGGATCCTGCATGACTTCCTGAAAAATTTGAAAAAATACAGAGGAAGAACGGGTTTAGTACCATTAGACTGCAACATAACGTTTCGAGACCTCAAACAAGCAAATTTCAATGACTTAGTGATCGAAGTCTTCTCAGATTTACAATAATATTGGAAATCAATACTCAAATATACAGATTAGTTACCTGGAAAATGGGGCAAATGAAGTATGGAGGGGCTATGCGGTGCTCGTTACGGCCGAGATGGAAAGATGAAGATCCTCCACTAGAAGCCCTCATAGGTTCAAGTACCCTCCACACTTCAGTTCCAAGATCCGGACGATTCTCGCTGACAGTCTCGCAGCATCTCAATGCCAAGCGAGCAAGCTGCTCAGCCTGAACAAAGGGCCAGTCCCCTGCTAAAGGGTCCAAGAGGTCGTTCAATGTTCCATTATCGAGGGCATACTTCACTTCGTTTGATATCCGTAAGGCAGGTCTCCCGGTCAACAAGCGCAATAAGATAATCCCAAACGAGTAAACATCTGACTTCGGAGTTAGCTCTCCACTACTGGAAGCTTCTGGATCCAAATAGGCAACTGTGCCTGTGACATCAGTTCTCACACTTTTGCTTCCATTACGATGATGTAGTGAGCAGGTCCCAAAGTCACTTAACTTGCTAACGAGATTGGAATCAAGAAGGATATTTGCTGGCTTCAAATCACCATGTACTAAGCTATGAGCTTTATTGGAATGAAGAAAGACTAGTGCTGCGCATATCTCAGTGGCAATGCGTACACGATTTTGCCACGACAAGGGTGGAGAGTTGTCCTTGCAATTAAGTCTGTCTTCAAGGCTTCCATCCGGAAGATACTCATAGACAAGACTCCACCCCTCTGGACATGCTCCAATTAACGTAATGATATTTGGATGCCTCATTTTACTTAGCACATCAACCTGCAATGCCGCAAATATAAGTCAAAACTCCTCCACAGTGAACATTATAAAATTACAACTTCAGCAGGACTGTGTTTCCAAGTCCCCTTTTTCGTAGAGGCAGCAATTTGTGCCCAACAAACCAGTAAAAAAAGATGATGAAACGAAACAACAAATTTCGTTTGAACAATTCTTAATTTCACTAATAATATGTCAGGAAATTACCTCCTGTTGATATTCTACAGGGCCTTGCGAACTGTTAGGATTCAACATTTTTATAGCCACCTGAGTATGACGCAGTAAACCAATGTAGATGCTTCCATATCCACCTTCCCCAATCTTCAGGGTCGAATCAAAGTGATTAGTTGCTTCCTCAATCTCGGAGAATGAGAAATCCGTGAAGTACTGAGGTAACTGTAGGGTTGAGGTTTCTGCGCGACTCCTTAGCTCCTCAGCTTCTCTGAGTGCTCTGTCACGTTCTGTCTGCAACTCCTCTCGTTCATCCCTCAACTTTTGCAACAACTTCACAGCTATATCAAGCTTCTGGTTTAGCTTTTCCATTGTACCATCAGATTCTGCTATTTGGCTCTCAAGCATCGCTTTCTGATCCATTGCACTTTGAAGTTCCTCCATGATTACCTCTTGCTCATTTTTTATTGTTATAAATCTCTCTTTCTCTTTCGCTACTGCTATCTCCATATCTTTCCTTCGCTTCAACTCCTCAGAATAGGCACTTTCTGATTGTTTAGCCTATAGTAATTAGCAATAATATCAGAATACTATTATATTTTAGCTGTTATTGGTGTAACTAGAAGCACCATTATTAAGCCTAAAATCTCTCCAAGTGACACACTAGCAAACATGATGGTCCAGTATAATATCTCCAGCTAGAATATCTAGCAATCGTTTCCAAAAAGTTTAACAGTGCCAACTAAATTATTTTTGTAAGGAAACTCACCCTTCTGATTGCATCAAGTGCGTTTTTTTCAGCTTTCTGACGCCTAAGAGTCTCTGCAAAAGCTTCTTGTTTTGAACTGTGAGCCTCTGACGTGGCTTTTCGGATTTTATCGTTAAATGAATCATCCACCCCATCCTGCAATGTTGGACAAATTTCCTGGACAGCTGAGAATACAAGGTATATGAAAATCAAAATGCATTGCTTTTTCCATTAGGAACGACATGGCATACCGGAAAATTGGAGGGAGATGAATGGCCAGAACTCATAACTGTTGCACTTCCCGTTACTTCACTGCCACTAGATTCTCTCTCCTCCTCATCAGTATTTAAAGACCCATCCGACACCCTCCCGCTGTGTTCAGTTGAACTTCCATTGCTTACTAATTGATGAACTGAATCGGTGCTCTGTACTCGAGATATATGCTGATGTTCAGACTCCGGTGTAGAGAAAGTTTGAAGTAGATCACTTGCACTTATGGAAGGACGCGGAGATGCATATTCTGACTCAGTGTCGTCCATAGTAGCTTCCCTGCAATCATAGTACAATAATATTACTAATAAGCAGCCAAAAATGCGTCATTTTCAATGCCAATGCAGCTCTCAGGAAGCTTAAAGACTACTGCAGTAATAATTATGCATGGCTGACTCGTACAAGTCATTTTGAAATCCAGGGATTCGGTCATGGTGAGAAGAAGAATTGGCCAAACCTTGTATGTATCAAATATCCTTTGCAAGTAAACCATATTTGACAAAGAGTAGGTGCTTCTCGGCGTACGAAGATGGCTTTCCTGGACTTCAGATCCGTCATTCTCCTGTAAGTCAAAGTATTGACAAAGTAAGTAAAACATTAAGATATTAAAGAGTGAGACAGCACACAGCTCTACAGGATTTGATTCAATATGAATAAGAGATCCAAAAAAATGCTTCCTGAAGCCCATAAGCAGACCTTGAATAGTGTCTATCTGCTGCTGCTCCCATGACAAGCTTCCTGATTCCCAGCTCCGAGATCAGCTGCACAATTCCATTCTCGATGGACTCCATTTCAATAAACATCTTTTCTGCCCTGACCTACAATCATAATCGACACCATTATTCTCTAGCAGCGACTAAAACTATCAACTAATACACTACTTAACAAGGCCGCTATCATCGTAGTGGTAGCCAATGAAGTAAAACAAGTATCCCTATAAAGGGCATAACATCACCACTATAAAGGAAAACAAATGGAGCCATACCCCTCTCTGCTGGCATATACGAAGGTAGTCGTCTAAGATCATATGCACTTTCTCCCTTTCTTTTCCCTGAAAACCCTGACTTCTTCCTCCTTGACAGCACCAACTGGAAATTTGGCGCCCACTAGGATGAATCAATGAGGAAAACACATTAAGAACAAGATCAGTGACCACACAAACTAGATAAAACGAGACTAAAATTAGGCTTTTATGGGAAAAAACACACAAACTAAGGAGGTCTAAGGGAACTTACTAACTGGAATCATTTGGGAGGGCTGATGAACATGAATAAGGCAAATCTTCTTGCCGCCAGTGTTTTGCAAAGCCCAAATGAGTGTAGACTTGCTCTTGGCCACGTGTTTATCCACAGCAACGAAGATTTTCTCCTCAATCAGGCGCGAAACAGGTTCGTCCATAATCCCGCTCCTACTAGACCTTGATCCTGGGCTACCAATTCCGTGAAATCTCATGGATCCAGCTCTTTCACCCATTGCTGGAATTGGAGTCACCAAAGCCATTGCTCCAATACCAAATCCGAAAAACCAGATCGTTTGATTCCTAATATTCAGAATATTCAACAGATCACTCAGGAGCGAGTAAAAATAGCAGTTTCAAAATCCAAAAGGGAAAGTTCTAACCAAACCAGACTGACAATTTGACTAGAGAGGAAACAGACACACTCGAATCGTAGTGAAACCCTAAAGTCTACGGACTACGGATAAGGAAGAAGAAGAAGAAAGAGTTTGATATCAATTTCGAAACGTATTGACCAAATAAAACGACTCTTGGTCAGACCAACCAAAACTCACGGCAAGAAACTGAGAGATTTTCTCGGAAAATTTCACGAGAAGAGGGAAAGAGAATTAAAAGCGTGTCTGCATATAATATTTGTTCGATTTTGCTTTTAACATACCAAAACGAAGCTTCTTGGGGATTTGTGTGCTTTGTTTGATGCTCAAATCTGACGTGGTCGAGAAGATGAAGAAGAAAAGAGGTTTATTTATCTGCTGTGGACACACACACAGTAGACCTTATATACTATGATGGTCCACCTTAACCGATTAATGACACGTGTACCTGATGATGAGAAGCACGGATGAGATTTGGTACACCAACTCGCTGTCTTCTAATTCTTTTTTTTGTCGACGTGTTCACCTTTTTTTGTTCCCGCCGGAGTACATTATTTCCATTACAGTCATTAGAAAAAAATATTTTATTTGATAACATAAATCTATTTGCATTTGATATCAAATGCATGCAATCTATTTTTCAGACTCCAAAAGAGCTACTATCATGCAATCTATCAATATTCATCATTCTACACATATATGTTAATTTTAAGGTGCTGGTCACTTTTTAATTAAGTGTGACATTTAGATTTATGAAAAGTTAAGCGAAAAGCCATTTTATACTTTTAACGTATCACGAATCTAAAATTCTAGCAAGTGTGAGAGGAACAAGTGCACTATGCTGCTATACATAGATGACAACGTATATGAAAAGTATTAAGTGCATCATTATGTGTCTATCAAACTAAAGTTTCCAATACTTGATGCATCAAACCTAATACACATGGTTTAACCAAGTGTTCTTGGTCTAGTGGTTGCCACTTGTGGAGGAGTTGCCCTGTTGGTCTAGGCCAGGGATCGATTCCCCTCAAGCGCGCAATTGCTAGATCTCCACTTGGCCACTGCGCAATTTACCTGCGGGGCGCAGCGTCCCAGACCACCAGTTCCGGGGGGCCCTTAAGTGGAGGCTTAAAAATCCCAGACACGCGGGCTTAGGCCCAGTGGACTAGTCGGATCACTGTGTGGTCTGGACACTGGGTTATCAAAAAAAAAAAATACACATGGTTTATGCAAAAACCAACAGTTGGATGACTTTATATATCTCCAGATATATTTTGAGGATCTGGTATCGGATTACTAGTACTTTCTAATATATCACTCTAATTAATGATTCTTAAACATAGATCATTATACGTTATTTTGCTAATTTTGTTAGTTGGCGTTCAAGAAATATGTTATTTTGAAAAAAAAAAAAAAAAAAAAAAGTTATTTTGTCCTGAAAATAGATGAGAAAAAGTCTTCTAAAAACAGTTCAGTGTAGATGAAAACATATTTTCAAGTTCTTTTTTTTCTGATAAATTTAAAACTAGTTGAATTCTTAATGTGGCGTGTGTGGTTGTACCATGTTATATAATGTAAATTAATAGGCATATTCCCCGAAATGCTTATTCCCTTGTCATTTTCATTGAATTATATATATGTTTCCGGGGTCGAAAAATAGAATTTTATTTCTTATTGAATATTACGTTAATGTGTAATTGACAGGTTTTAAAAATAAAGAAAAGGTTGTCTCAGGATATGAAGACAGGCGAAGCACATCCACAATTTTCACTAGTTTGATAACTAGTTTGTTAATTAATCATCGTTATCGTGGAATATTTCAACTTAGGATATACGGTTTGGGAATGTAGCATCTCTTTATTCATTCGTTAAAGTTTCACAGTAAACTGCAAATTGAATTTGTTTGTGCACGTTTCCGTTAGGCCAATAACGTTAATTGGATATGACTAGTCTTCACGATAACCGGGATTAACATGTACTTATTCTATAAAAAAAAACCATATCCTTTACCAAAATAAATACCTCCTTAAATGGGCAATATATGTTTCACGGGCCTTAATGTATCCATATAATTAAGCAAGTCGGGTTTGAATTCTACGCCCGAATCCAAAGTTTTATTTTTCAAAAGTGTGAATCCAAAGGTTTGCTTTCAATATTCTAAAATATTTAAGGACGTATCAACATTTTCAAATTGCAGGCTTTGTAGCACACAAAATATACGACAGAATCACCCATACTCCATTGTTCCTCGTTACACAAGCATTTTTGGCTTTTAGTTAAATTTTTTTTTTTAGGTTACGTTATTAATTACATTAATGTTTATGTGATGTGATTTTCTTAGTTAGCATTATTTAAGTGTTTGATTTGTCCTAAATTAATTATGGGATTTATAGATATATACTATATATATATATATATATATATATATATATAGTTTTGCTGAGTTTATATAAAATATTTACTTTGGCGTCTAGAACAAAATGTATACACACTTATTTTGGTGTCTATTACTTTTGTATTAGTGTGATATTGTTGAGACATCGTCCAAGTTCAAATCCGTATAATGCAAATTGCTTGGAAAAAACATGTGTATTAACTAGTTGTTTATATTAATTAATTTGTTTCATGCATCATCGTATAATTAATCTGATGTTACAACTTACAACTAGCTAATTGACATAAATTTTGATAGTTTCATAAGGGAAATTATTTGATACAAAATTTGGATCAGTCATATTATGCTTCATTTAATTAGATGTTTAAGTTTTAACAGAGAGTCCTCATGCAGATGAGCATTATTTTAACGCTATCACCGTCTTTCCATGATGATTATATGTTACCAAATTCCTTAACTAAAATGATTGTGGTGATTAGATAGAGTTGTAATATGGCAACCGCGGATGCTTATTTTATAAGATTACACTCAAATCTATATATATTTCTGTTAGGTAGAACATATTGAAAGAATTCTATATAACATACAAAAACAAAAAGTCAAAAACTAATCATGCAGTTAATTACACATGACGCTACCATATACTTTTGTTAGCTTCCTAATCTTTTAAATTCCAGTTTAAGTAATAACAAGTCTTCGTTCGGCGATGGTACCTAAGAACGAACAAGAACAACGAAACATTGCTTGCACATAACATTCGGGTTCCGAATGCTGAAAGCGATGCACAAAATAGCCCATCAAATTTCCACATGCGAATTAGGACAAGATAGACGAAAAAGGCAGTGACCTGTGAGAGAAGAATCCTAAGAAACTATATTTGCTTCGTATTCTCCACTATGTCGTCGTTTCGTCTGTTGTTATGTGCTGAGTAAAAATACAAGAGACGTTGTCGGTTTCTTAGTTTTGTTTTTGATGCGAACATTTGTTAATTGCTTTTGTCGTTTGTCTTGGCACTGACTACTAAAAATTTTTTTACCTACTTTCTAATTAGGGATTTTCTTTACGGCTCCTTAAAGGTATTTTAAATTTTTAATTAATCTCTTTCAGCCGAATTTTTGAATATTAGTCTTAATCAGAAATATATATATGATGATGTAAATTTGGAACGGATCAAAACTAATAATCCCCAATGAAATTAGCACTCTAGCTAGAGTGACGAGGTTGTACCTTTTCAATTTATTGTCAATAACAAATGACATCATAAATTGGTGCATGCTACATGCATAACGACGAAATATAAAACAATTTAGCTGCATATATATAACATGTTGAAGAAAATTTTATGTATATGGATGGATACACGTATCCAAATTCGCTAAGTTTACACAATAGCTAGGTGTGGTCCAAAAAAAAAAGAATCAACATCGATCGATGTTGTAAATTATGTGCTGATTCTACATAAATAGCAAATGTCCAAATAGTCATAAATGGAATTCGCCAATTGTGAACAACTCTTTTGGCAATATTCTCCTTATTATTAGTTGTTAGCAAATGTTTCATCAACCATATCTAAGTCTAACACAAATTTTTTACCGGATTATACAAAAGAGTTATAATACGGTGAAACTACTAATAAGAGAACCATTAAAAACCACATGATCTCTTCTTTCTTATTCTTTTTGGAATAACGACCAAATCGTTTTGTGATTCTGTATGTTCTTTTTTTTTTGTTAAAATTCTGTATGTTCTTACCCAAATACAAGATCATAATTACGATTTATAACCTTTTTTGATCAAAGATAAAGAATCCACTATTCTACCATACATTTACAATCTTGTTTCATTTATCACGATCGTGCTCTCGACATTTATTACGAATTGAAGTATTTATTAAACTATAGTTTTATTGGGACTTAACACTGACATTATATAAATAACGGTGAGTCAGAACCCAAATAAATAAATAACGGTGAGAAATTGACGAGTTTGCCCTCCCCGACACACTTGTCACCGTACGGTACTCACTCGGACAACTTGGCTCCGGAGGACCATTACCTACCGACTCCGAGACAATTCCCCATATCATTCATTTATTGCATATATATATAAAATTTTATTTACAGTGGCAAAACATTTATGTAGAATGTACTACAATAATGTGTATCCATATTCAAAAACAAGGCAGTTATTACTTAGATATATTAATGAAAAAAAAAGATGATCACAATTTGTAAATCAGTTTTAAACTTTTAAAGTTTTAATTAAGAAAATAGTAGTATGATTCTATGATATTTTTCTCTTTTTTTCTACGTGGGAAATGAACAAGACAGAAAAAGCTTTTGGCTTTTTATCGTTTTCTTCTATTAATATATGATTACTATATTATACGTAAAGCATGAAACTTGATCGGATTTTGTCGGTTCTAATGTAAACTCTTGTAATTTGATGCCAAATGTCCATTTTTTTTAATCAAGTACTGTGTTTTCTTATATCTCTGGGTGTTTTTTTAATTGAGTATATTTCTGGTGAGAGAAGTGGGTCTACTAAATGACACATTTTGCTAAACATCTACCCTCGTGCTTCGAGCTTCGTATCCTCTCGTGATTTTTATTATATTAATAAGCGAAGAAGCCGCATTTCATGCGAAAATCTGGAAATAAAAATCTTTTAAGGTTTTCTTAACAATGGAGGCTGAACTCTGAGTGATCAAAGTATTATCAGTGTTTTCTTCTTTTCATATGCATTATCAGTAGATTTTCCTGTTCTTGCAAGCATTGGATCAGATTCTAAAGGTAACAAATATTTATGCTTTCTCTTCTTTTTTCTGTGTGGGGATCAACAATGCATGAATAATAAATTCGTTTGATTGTAATCATAGTTTTGGTATCTGTCTTTATAATTTACTCTTTTGTAGATTTTGCTCAAGAGGAGTAAACAGAGAGAGAGTAGAAGAAGAGCATTGAGGATTTTAAATGGAGAAAGAGATTTGTAGAAGACATCTTTCAAGAGAAGGGATAGGATGTGTTTGGGTGTTTATGAGCATGTTTGATTTCAGACATGGTGGATCTAACCACAAGCTTTTGATGGATAAGAAACGTGGTGGAAGCAAACGAATCATAGGTTTTTTTTTTGGGTTCTTCTTCCTTTTGAGTCATGAAAATGTGTCTGAAACAAAAAAGATTCTCACTTTGTTGGTTTGATGAACAATGCAGGTAATAATGGAATGTTTGACACTAAGGTTGAGAAGCAGCTTACTTGTGACTGTGACTATGACTGTGAGGTCTTTGTTAAGTTTTTGTTGGATTTGAGAATCAAACTTGCTTTTGTTGTGTAAAATAGTTTTGTGAGGAATCAAAAACTGATGTAGATTGTTTTGTGTTTTTGTCTCAGGAGAGTGAAGCTGAAATGCAGAGTGTCAAGAAACTCATAGAAGATGAGATTGATGAGAAGACTAAGCAAAAGTGTGAGGCGAGAAACCGAAAGAGGAGAAGTAGAACCTGCAGCAAAATCAGTGAGGATATCAATGTTTTGATTGTTGGTGATGATGATGATCATGCAGATAAATCAGATGATCAGTGTCCGAGAATTTCACAGAACGAAGTGGATTTGGTAAATGATGATTCCGAAGAGAAGTTCAGCGAGTTGATAAAGCGGTTGATAGCTCAAAAGGAAAGCGAGGTAGATAGCTGCAAGAAGAACCTGGTGGATGCATTTCAGGTCTTGAATTCTAAAGAAAAATCATTCTTGAATACCGATACGCCAATTTCGGGAGATTCTCAAAGAATCAATGAATGTAGACAAACAATTGTAATTTTGAAGCCTGAACCAAACAGCTTGGATGCTGGATCATCACCTGGCACACCTTCTACAGACAACAAGGCCAAGAATGGGAGATTCAGTTCTCGCTTTATTCTCAGTAGAATCAGAAGAAGACTAAAGTTTGCGGCTGGAAAGAATCCATGCAATGCTCAACATGACTCTGATCCTGATCCAGATACATTGTCTTGTAACATGACTCAAACTGTTGTTTGGGAGAAGAGATAGAGACTAATCCCTGGAAGGGTGTTTCGGATGGAGAAATATTGCCTGACATTGCTTCAAAAGTGAGGCTACTAAAGAGGACACTGTCCATGAAAGTGAAGAAGATTCCAAGAAGAGTATGTGTGGTATATACATTGCCGCCAAGAAACACCTGTCTGAAATGCTTGCAGAAGGAGACATAGATGCTGATTCACCCGATAAGGAAGTACCAAAAATTCTTGGGAAGATTCTTGCTCTCCCTGAGTTCTCCACACCAGACAACAGTCCTAGAGTAAACTTGTCACTTGATCATCCGCTAATCGATAAACCAAAGATTCAGCAGTGCAGTTCAGAAGATTACTACTATGAGCCACTTGGACTGGATTCAAACAAACATGAAGAAACAGAGTTTATGCCATTTCCGGAAGGTGATTAATGTTCTTCTTTCATTTGATCTGATTCTTTCTCAGCCTTGTCAAAATGATACTGACTGCTTTTGATTTGTAACATGCTCATTTCAGACACTGGGATGGAAGAGGAAGAGAAGACTGTTTTGGATTCGTTGTCTGAAGTAATTAGCTCTTCCATTATCCAACAAGATGCATATGTTGATGAGGATGAGCAGAAGCAACTCTTGGAAAAGGTTTGATGAATCCTTGTGTCCATGATACATTTTTCTTGAAGGAAGGCTAATATTTCCTGCTTTATCATGTTTTCAGGAAGTACTCGACGAAGGGCGATTACCGTGTTCTCCACCAAACTCTTCAGTGAGAATGTCTGAATGCCAAGAAAATACCACAGATGTATTGGGAAAGTCAAGTCCTGTGTCGGTTCTTGAGCCTCTCTTTACAGATGATGACACTAGTCCAAACAGCTCCAGGTTCTCTTCAGGTATGCCTAGAAAGAATTTTCAACACCAGTTCAGTATTCTGGTAAAACTTTTGTTCAAAGCTCAGTCTCTGACCTTTTTCATTGCCTCATTTAGTCGAAATGCGGATGCAACCACTGTGCATAAGATTCGACGAAGCTGATTCTCCAAGACCGGAGAAAGACAATGATGCCAAAATTAGAATGGATGACAAGGAATTGGCACTTGAATACATTCAAGCCGTGGTGAAATCCTCAGAGTTGAACTGGGAAGAGCTTTTGGCGAGATCTTTTTATTCGGAGCAGATTCTTGAGCAGGCTCTAATGGATGACATAGATTTCTGTTCGACAAATCTATGCAGCGATAAGAAACTTCTTTTTGACTGTATCAATGAGGTTCTTATGGAGTTTTGTAGACATGGCCCTTGGATTTCATTCGTCAAACCTGCAATGTGGTTTTTTCCAGACATGGAAAATGCTGTTGAAGTGGTACAAGAAGAAGTTTACTGGCATCTCTTACCGTTGCCTTCTCCTCACACACTAGACCAGATAGTGCAGAAAGACCTGGCTAGGACTGGAAACTGGATGGATCTCCGCTTCGATATTGGTTGCATCGGTTCTGAAACAGGTGAAATAATTCTTGATGAACTATTAGAAGAGATAATCAGCAGCTGCACAGACTTGGTCCAACCTGAAACAATCAACGAGCTGATTCATTGAGTCTCACTGCTCCTACACTACAGAAAATAAGAAAGACACTCATGGTCATCTCAAGAGGCTCCTCTGTTTACTCTGTACAGTTTCACTTCCACTTCAACAGACAAGCTCTAGTTTTCAGTTTTTGTGCAGATACACACAACCACAGCTTTTAATACCCCAACGACTGCAAAAGAAACCCTTTGTTTTGTTTCTTTCAGTCCTTATTATGTTTTCTTTTCCATTTGGCTTCTGTAAAGTTTTGAGTTCTGTTAGTTGTGAATGTTGTTGTTATATGAGGTTGAATAAAACAAGGCTTGAACTTAACAAGAAGAACATCTCACCTTGCTTCATTGTGTTTCAGTCAAGAAAGAATCCAATACAGAATGTTTTTGACAGATAAAGCTCTTTGGCAAATTAAGGCCTGTAATGAATTTTGGTTTTGATATGTGTAAATGTACACACAATGTAACAAAATTCTTGTTCACCCTTAATTGGTTCAGAAATTCCTTTTAGAGATTCAGAAAACAATCATAACAAAAAAACAAACACATTTTGTTTTGTATTCTCATTACATCCACAAAAAAGGAAAACATTTTTTGTCGGTGCTCAAAAGAAAAAACTCAGTATGAAAACCCTAATCCTCTCTGTTCCTCACTGTTCTGTCGACGTAAAGAACATCATCAATCCACGACACAACATTATAAGCCAAACCTTCTAAAACCCTCGAATAGCTCTCCAATACCGCCTTCCCAACATCCTATCCGAAACAAAAATACACACAAAATATTAATCATATATATAATTTTGATCTTTCCATCGAGATCTTAAAACAAATTGTAAAAAAATGTTCTCTAAATAGGGATACTCACTCGGTTAAACTGAATTTTGCAGATGTCAAGTGAGGTCTGAGAAAGTTCAGGGTATCTCTGTTTCAGACAGAAAAGTAAGCTCCTTGCTCGAGCCGCAAGAATGTGGTTCTTGTCATTGCCACGATCTGCATCGCCACCGATATCTTTCATCATGTCCCATGAGGACTTAGAGTGAGTCAATCCTCCAGTCTTACGCCTCCACGTAACTAGTGAAGCCTCAACTTTGTCAGCGAGCTCAAGGGCCTCATGCTCTGATGTGATCTTCAGGATATCGAGAAGCTGGTCGGGATAAAACTTCTCGGCAGTGCACAGTTGCTTGTATATCACGTCTCCTACACTTGCTTTCCCACTCTGTCCAGAAAATCAAACAACACCAAGTTGCTTTCAACACTTTCACATTACATTTATATGGAAGTCGCAATAATAGTAGGTATCTTTTATATTTCCCCTAATCACATATGTATACCTTTGGAAGAGTGGTGAGATAAGAATCAGGAATATCCATGTCATTAAGAGTGGAATCATTAATGGCCAATGCTGCTTTATGTATCTGACTGGCACAATCACGTTTGTGACGCAAATTCTTTCGTTCTTCTTCTGATAAACCTTCAGCAGGAACACATGGCACCGGAAGCCACCATTTCTCGTCTTTCCGTTGAACCACCACTTTCCTAAACGTTCCTGAATCTCTACCACCACCGCCCGAGTTCATCGATGAGCTTCCTCTTTCAACGTACCAGAACTCGTTCTCCGTAAAACTATCCAATATTTCCTACAAAAGCCAAACAAGTCGTGTTGGAAATCTTGAATCTTGATTTAGCTATCTGTCTAATTCGAGTCTTATACTTACCATTAGCATGTTATCGAGTTTTCTCAAAGCGGGAAGACTCATGAGAATATCAGATCTTAGCTTTGTTTCTGTTATCTGGTATTAAAACATCAAAAAACCGGGGTTTTAGCGTTTTAAATTGTATGTCAAAATCAAGATAGTGTTGAAAAAGTATTTTACCTCAACGTTAGTACCAAGAGATCTTGGAATAACTTCGACAATGTAATCACAAATAGACATGAAACAATTCATCTCTCGCTTCCATAACTCTTTCTTCTCTGTACTCAATGGTTGTAACCTTAAACTTTGTCCAAACACAGTCGCTGCAATAACACAACAGACACGCGCTACACTATAAATACTCTGTTTTAAAAACAGAGCATATTTGAGATGAGAGGAGAAGAAGAAGAAGACGAACCATAGAGATTGGTAATGGAGTTTGAGACAGTAACAGCAGTACAAACTCCTTTCCCACTTCCTGACATGTCTTCACCAAGCAATAGCTTCGCAAATCTTTCTCTCATCATCTCTAGCTCTGCACTAGAAAACCCGATTTAACCGAAATGACAAAAGAAGAAAGTTACAATCTTAAAAAATTTACCTGCATCTTCTGCAGAATCAATGTCGCTGTCTTCTTCGTCTCCATCTCCGTGGACGTCATTGACGACATCATCTTTTGGTTCCGCGGCGTCTTCGGAGACATCTTCTTCATGGCCACTCAAGACAACAGCGTTAGTGTTTGACGGCCGGTTATAAAAACTCTGAACGTCGAATCGGTGAGATAATCCGGAGATATCAGAGTATGTTCTCCGATATGGCGAAGAAACAGAGCTCGTCGGAGTTCCTGAGACAGATTGCTCATTTTGGTCGGAATTCAATGAACTCTCCATCACGATTCACGATTGTGTATAATGATAAATGTTTTGGTGAGTTTCAAATTCTTCTCTTGCGTTGTTGGCTCCTCTAACGTGACAAAGGTTAATACATGAAGTCTCTCCCACCATCAGCTTGAGTTAAATTATATTATTTAATGACTAAAAAAATTAAATTATGATTGTCTCCGACGAATTATGGCCGTTCGATTTGATTGTGGGGAGAGACGTGCCTTCCACATTTGGCTAATCAAATCTCATAATGAACGTTAGTTGCTATATATGCGTTAGGTGTATAACTAAAGGTTGTCCCATTCATTTCTAATTAAATTCTAAATGACATTTACACCATACTATCACAATTTTCAGATAGTAATGTTATTGGAATTATTATTTTTTGTTGACAATTTTTTTATTGAAAATGTTACTAATGTAGACATCTTTGCGATAACAGGTGTAAATACCATCATTTACTAGTAGTATTGTTCTGTAGACATGAAATATTGTTTTAGATCATTTTAATAATAATCTTAATTTTTTTAGACATTCGATAAAATGGTATAGATACATTTAATAGTATTAAAATAATTATCGCATTCTTAATCTATTATTCTTAATAAATACATTTATTCCAATTCTTATTATTGTCTATAAAATTAAATCGGATTTAAACATCTGTTAATGACATTTCACATTTGTGTTTTGTAATGAATGTTTTTTGGTTAACTTCTAGTAGTTGACATTCAACGTAAACCCTCGAGACAAGAGAGAGGGTTCAAGCCATGGTCAAAGTCGAAGACTTTACTTTGGTTTTAAAACCGGGATGCAGTTCACGCTTAACAGAGTAAAACCGCACGCAGTTTGCAAAACGACCATAAATTAGACATCACATCATGCGAACTGTGTCGGGTCAGGCATGTCACGTGACTACCTCCCTGCCTTCTGCGCCGAAGAGTGCATCGAAATCTCGTGATGGTGGAGGTGGCACGTGCTTCCCTTCACACGTTTAATGAGTCCGTCTCTCCTCTTCCTTGGTAAACGCACACACGCCTAGTTCGTGCCAAGCCTTAGCTTCACACACTCCTCTTTCTCCCAGACACGCTCGAGCCGCTACAACACGCGTGAAAGCTTCGTCTTCCAATTCACGCTGCACGCTCCTTCACGCGCCTTCTCCATCTCACGGCCAGATCCGCCGGAGATCCACCGTCTTCTTCTCTTCTCTCTCTTGGTTTCGCTGACGGCGACAGACGAGGAATTCTTTGATCGGAAGCTCCATTTCTAGGGGTTTTTTAGTATTGCTAGACGATTTGCCGTGAGGGCCGAGAATTCTGGCAATTTTCGAGAGGAGGCTTGTGATTGTTGACAGAATTGCGCTAGAAACTTATTCACCGAGGTAGATTATATATGATTAGGTACTTAATCTGCAATTGTGCTTTGAAGAACACTAACTCTGTCCTCTGTTTGGTTGGTCACTAAAAAGTTTTCCATTTTATTGTCTGGAAATATGTTTTGTAGTTGAAAATGCTGTTTATATGTGCTATTGATTTTTGTCTTGTAGGATCGTTGTTGAAGTTAAGCTGAGAGCAGCTTATGCACATTGAGAGATTGAAGATCAATTTCGTTGATACTAAAATTTTCCCACTTTTCTGACTAACTGTAAGCAAGAAGGAAGGAAATATCATAGAATATTTGGCTACATTGTCCAAATGGTTTTTACACGTGGAGTGTTAAAACCAGAGAAGTAAATATGGAACATCTCATGACAAGGCAATAACGTTCTTAAACTAACAGAGGTTTGGGTGGTTGGGTTATAAGAGGAGTAATGGCTACGGATATGCAGAAACTGCTTGGAACTAGTGAAGAGGATGATGACGAAGAAATGGATATGGATGTGAAGGAAGAAGATGATGGAGACCGACGAAATAGAGACACACGCGCAGCTTCAGGCAGTAGTAATGATGAGTTTATGTTTCAGCAGTCAATGCAAGATCAAGTGGGCACTCCTGGGGGAGGAGGAAGTCGCAGAAGTAGACCGCTTGAAGAGAAGGAGCGAACTAAGTTGAGAGAGCGCCATCGAAGGGCTATTACTGCAAGGATACTAGGCGGGTTACGAAGGCATGGGAATTATAACCTGAGAGTTAGAGCTGATATTAACGATGTTATCGCGGCTTTGGCAAGGGAAGCTGGATGGGTTGTTCTTCCTGATGGAACTACTTTTCCAGCCAAATCTCAGGTACTTATTTACCCTGTCCCTCTGCTATGTATTGTGTTGCATGCTTTAGCTGACGTTTTTCTGTAGTCTAGTAATTGTTATAAGCCAGCAAAATTCGCTTCTACTCGTAGTTGTCAGAAATCATTAGTGTTAAGCTTGATCCTTGGTTGGGGAAAAACTCCTGATGTATCCATTTCCAGCAAATGCTAAATCGTCTTCTTGATCTGCTTAACCTTTTAGGGGGCAAAGCCTACTGGTGGTTCTTCTGCCGTTGCCGCAGGTTCATCAGCTTCTCACATTGCATCACAGCAAACCTCTACTCCTGCTCTTAGAGTGGTATCATCTGGGCGTAGAAGCCCAGTGGAACTCAGCGCTTGCCGTATGAAAGGTGTTTTCACACCTGCTCCATCGCCATATGATATACTCCCAACTCAATCTCCAGAACTGGTTGGAAGTGTAAATAAGGCTGAGGGGCTTGTTGGTTGCTCAGTCGATGTTATCAACTCTAAACAGGTAGCGACACTGCACTAGTACATAGAAAATAAATCTTGTAACAGTTCAGTCCTTTGCATTTACATCGCTTATTTGAAATTCATGAAGTTGATAGTTTCCTCAACATAAGAAAAGCATGTTCAAAAACTGAAAACCCCCTTAAGAACCTATCAGATTGTCACTGCATGGGGGGTTGATTACGTCCTCCGCGTATCTGGGTTCAATTCTAATGACTCTCTTCCACATTTCGTATTTGGTAGATTCTCGAGATTCCTCCAAATCTGACAGAGCAAGATTTCTCTGGCACTCCTTATGTTCCGGTTTATGTGATGTTACCAGTAAGCAACTTTAATCTTAGCATTTACCTATAATATCCCGAAATTTCTCCTTACTAACTACATATCCTTTTCTGTCATCAGCTTGGGGTTATCAATATGAAGTGTGAATTGGCTGATCGAGATGGACTGGTAAAGCACTTAAGAATATTGAAGTCAATCCATGTCGATGGAGTTAAAGTGGATTGTTGGTGGGGAATAGTTGAGGGTCATTCCCCCCAGGAGTATAATTGGACTGGTTATAGGCAGCTTTTTCAGATGGTCCGCGATCTTAATCTTAAGATACAGGTCTGTCATATGCCTGCATGATTGGTTAAGATACAGTTTTCTTAATAGAATGATTGTTCTCAAGCTTCATATGTATCTCACTTTCTTTCTTTCTTGCTAGGTTTTAATGTCCTTTCATGAATGTGGAGGCAATGTTGGTGATGATGTTTGCATCCCACTTCCTCATTGGGTGGCAGAAATAGGGCGAACCAATCCTGACATATATTTCACTGATAGAGAGGGAAGACGAAACCCAGAATGCCTTTCTTGGGGTATTGACAAGGAGCGTATTTTAAGAGGCAGAACTGCACTTGAGGTATACATACTCATGACTGCAAGCTATCATCTCTCTATCGATCAGTAGATTCTTTAAACACCTGATGACTTTATGCACGCTTATGTGTTTTTTCAATTAGAAGATCTTTATCTCACTACTGTGGCCATGCTGTGTCTTTTCTTTACCCATGAATCTTTGCTTCTTGTTATCACAGATATTTAAAATAACCAACTCTGAAGCACTTTTTGGTGGATTTATTTTAGGTGTACTTTGATTACATGAGAAGTTTTCGGATAGAACTTGCAGAGTTTCTAGAGGATGGTGTAATATCTATGGTTGAAATTGGACTAGGCCCCTGTGGAGAGTTACGGTATCCTTCTTGTCCCATAAAACACGGGTGGCGATATCCAGGTGTTGGAGAGTTTCAGGTATATTTCCTTTCAACAGTCTAAACTCTTGAGATAGCCAAGCTTCACCAGCTAACTTACTTTTGGCTTCCACATGATGACCATTCCGTTGCACCGGTACAGTGTTATGACAAGTATCTCTCGAAGAGCCTGAGAAAGGCAGCAGAATCAAGGGGGCACCTGTTTTGGGCTCGAGGCCCGGAGAACACCGGCTCCTACAATTCCCAGCCACAGGGAACCGGTTTCTTCTGTGATGGAGGTGACTACGATGGCCTCTATGGAAGATTCTTTCTCAAATGGTATTCACAGGTTTTGATAGATCATGCTGACCAAATCCTCTCTCTCGCTAAACTAGTCTTCGACAGTAGCTGCATTGCAGCAAAGGTGATTGATTTAGTTCTCTAAGCCATTTGAATCCCTGTAAATTTTAGACTTTTTGTCATAATTTCATCACAATTGACTTAAACAGCTCCCAGACGTCCACTGGTGGTACAGAACAGCAAGCCATGCCGCTGAGCTAACCGCTGGATTCTACAACCCGAGCAACCGAGATGGTTATGCTGCAATTGCATCTACACTTAAGAAGCATGGTGCCACTCTGAGTTTTGTATCTGGAGAAGTGCAAGTTCTAAACCGTCCCGATGATTTCTCAGGAGCATTAGGAGAACCTGAGGCAGTAGCTTGGCAGGTAAAGAAAACACAGCATATCAGTTTCTTAAGCCTAACGCTTATCAGTTATCTCCAAACCTCAATCTAAACTTTATTTTTTGCAGGTGTTAAACGCTGCGTGGGACAGCGATACACCGGTTGCTCGAGAGAACTCGCTTCCTTGCCATGATAGAGTTGGTTATAACAAAATGTTAGAAAGCGTTAAGTTTCGGAACGATCCAGATAGAAGGCATTTGTCATCATTTGCCTATAGTAGACTCGTCCCAGCTCTCATGGAAGGACATAACATTGTGGAATTTGAGCGGTTTGTGAAGAAATTGCATGGTAACTAAAATCGGAATCTTTGTTTTCTCTGTTTAAAGAAGTCTCTGAAGTTCTGATCTTCTTATTTGGTCGTTACAGGGGAAGCTGTAATGAATCATCATCATCATCATCAACAGGTTTAGAGTTTTGTTTGTCCCTGGATCTGCTGAAATTATTTACTGTTAATGTTGTTAATTTTATTAGTTTAGCATCATTTCTGTAAATTTTTGTCATTAAAAAAGTAAGGCGATTACTGTACAAGCCGTTAAAGAAAATTCAAATAATATGGGCTTTATTATTGGGCTAACATTAAGAAAAAAAAATCAGCACCGACATAGTCCTCCTCCTAATGTAGAAAACCAAAAGGTCCCACATCGACAGTATCATGAATCAGCTGTTAGACCATCTGCATTGGGGGATCACCCCCCTGATCTAAGCATTATTTAAATCCAAAAAAATGGGTTAATGGGCTTAAGATCAGGAACTGGGCTCTTGACCTGGATCTGTTCTTGTGGGTATTGCGGGGTGACGTGGCATTTGGGCATTGGTTGGAATATTCAACATATTTGGAATAAATTTGGATAATAAACTATGTATTAATTAGATAAAATGTTTTTGTGCTTTTATTAAGTAATATGTTTGTTTGTTTATTGTTATTTATATTTTTAATGTTTTTTTCATAAATATTTAGTATTGTATTTTCACTTTTATTTTCAGTTTTTCATAAATTTGGCATTTGCAATTTATATGTTATTTTAAAATGTTTTAATAATTGTAAAATCTTAATTTAATTTAGATTATTATATTATTAAGTCTTAAGATCTTACACATGTTCTCCCACTAATCAACTTCTAAACAAAAGATCTAAACACATGATCTTACATTATTTTAACATTATATTCTCTATAAGAACACCCTTACATGATCCCCCATTGATGATGCCCTTAGTATATGTTCTATAAATAATCAGTATCTCGGCGATCAATATTCACTTAAAGATTATTGGGCCTTTGATTAATGTCAGGCCCGAGATCGTTAATACCGAAACATTTTTCGGTTAAGTTTAATCTTTTTAATTTGTTTGCTTTTTTTCTTCAACTCTTTTTTTTTTGTTTTGTTTTGATTTTGTATCTTTAAAAGTTTTTATAAATACTAAATTAACATTAAGTTGTGAAAACTAACCGGATTTTGGATCCCCGATTCCACAAATTCAACATGCTTTTCACATTTTAATGTAAATTAAGTATTTATTTGTACATTTTTTTCAAAAGTTTTCAACTCTTTTTTTAAAAAGACTTTTTGTTTTGATTTTTTTTCTTCATTTTTTTAAGTTTTTTAAAATACTAAATTAATATTACGCTGTGAAAACTAACCGGATTTTGGATCCCGTCATTTAACCGTGATCGTTAGCGATTCCACAAATCCAACATGCCTTTCACATCTTAATGTAAATTTAGCATTTATTTTTATTTTATTTTTCTTAAAAAAATTTCAACTCTTTTATTTGTTTTGTTTTTTCTTCAAATTTTTGGTTTGATTTTTTTTATAAAGTTTTTATAAATACTAAATTAACATGACGTTGTGAATATTAACCGGATTTTGGATCCCATCATTTAACTGTGGTCGTTAGAGATTCCACAAATCTAACATATTTTCACTTAATGTAAATTTTACTCTTTTTTTCTTCAAAGTTTTCAATTTTTTTTTTATTAAAGTTTTTGTTTTGATTATTTTTTCTTCATTTTTTTTAAATTCTTATAAATACTAAACTAACATGACCTTGTGAAAACTAACTAGATTCTGCATCCCGTCATTTAACCGTGGTTATTAGAGATTCCACAAATCCAACATGTTTTCACATCTTAAATTTATATTCTATATATATTTTATCATCAATACGTAACGATGAAAGCATTTTAATTAATACTATATAACATACAACTTCAAAACTATTTTGGTTACCTATTGTGGTTTGTGAGAAAATTATTGTAGAACTAAATTATTCTGTTTGAATTTTTTAATAATAACAACCTCAAAAATAACCAACGAGCGTAAAACATCACCGCCGTAGAAGCAGACACTGCTTATGCCATATGTACAAGCACACCACACAAGGGAAGCTGAGGAAGATACACTTAATGACCAAAGTCTATTAATTATTCATTCGAAAATCTAAGTTAGCCATCACACAGTATATTGTCATTCATTACTTCAAGATTGATGCCAACCATTTGATGAGTGCTTAATTTCACGGATCCTTTTCTTTGCGATGATCCGATTGCGTATGACCTCTTTGGATTCAACAGCTTCATCACTATTACTAAGCACCATAGCACATAGCTCGTCTAAAGCTAGCATTGAAAATGGCTCCTCTATAAGAACACCCACCTGCAAAAATTTCAAGCACAAAGTTAAAGAGTGATAATGAGGCAAGCAAAAAGAAGCAAATAGTGTGACTAAATCTATGAAGGAGAAATGAGTTAGGTACTTCTTCAATGCAGAAGAGAGATGCAGCGCTGATGAAAGTAGCAGGAACTACATTCCAGTGGCAATCATCCCAGAGAATAACAGGGAGCGTAAGATGCCATAAGACTAAGAACCTCGACGTTAGTCGTGTGTAGGAAAGTGGAATCGGGATGCCCATCAGTTGTTCACATACACCAATACCTTCCTGTAATTGCATCATCTTTGATTCCTGTGAAGGAGATAGGTAACTTATTGTAGTTCATATCCAAAGTCTATGGAAAGAGAATTAACCAGAAATCACAATCAAGAATGAAGATGCTTTAAAGATCAAGAAAGATACCAACATATCTATCTTTGTACTGTCCAAATTCAGCACCTGAAGACTCTGAGAGATGAATTGAATGACACAACGAGGACGATGCTTCGATTGAAGAATCAAAGACAGATCATCTGCTTCCATCACATTCTGGAGATCATTAGCAATATCTGAACCATAAATTACATGACACTGCACATGAACAAAATTGCAATCAATCACAATCAACCTTCCTCTACCTAACTCAACATAAGCTAACTTCACAAAACATAGATAAAGGAATACAACAACAAACCTTAAGCGCCACAGGGAAAGCAACAATGTAACGCAAAAGCGCATCTCTAATGACCATTTCATCACCGGAGCCATGAACAGAAGAAATGACTAGCCTAGCTAAATCATTGGTTCCACTGATGATCTTAACCCAAGCTTTCCTTCCTTGTTCAAACCTTGAATAAGAAGCCTCAGTGCGAAACACCAGAAGCAGAGCTAAAGCCGGAGCCGTCAGCTGATACGGAAGAGGAGAAGCTCGAAGGACGGGGAAGAAATCAGGCAACCAGTCCAAATCCACGGCGGAGTTATAGCCGGCGATCAGGAACGCTACGGTGGTGAAGAAGAAAACAGGCGGAATCAAAGATAGTATAACGCGTGAAGACGGACTCGAAGATACATGACGCAGATGGCGAAGAGAGCTTCTGTGTCTGACCCAATTCTCGTGAGTGTAGAGAGATCGTTTCTGTTGCATCCGTCTCTCTTTGATGCCGTCTGACCAATTAGGGACAGCTTTGAGAAGCGAAATGAGCTTCTCCGATAGAGGTGAATCGTCCGATTTGGAGCCGGAGGAGAGGCATGAAGGATTGAATTTGAAATGGAGGAATTTGGGAGCTCTGGCGGAGATTCCGGAGCTTAATCGTGGTTTGAGAAAGGATCGGTGGGTAAAGTTAGAAGAAAAAGATAGATTCATTGACTGATACATTTTGGGCGGGAAAATCGAGGTTTAGGGTTAGGGATTTTGGTGGAGAGGACGAGGAAGAAGAAGAAGTGGAGCGAGAAAACAATAAAGACACATGCAGAAATTGCAGAGTGCAAAAGTAAAGAGACAAGTGATTTGGAGAAAGGTCGTTGGAACAGTTGTGCGATCGGTAATACGACAGCGTTTTAGTTTGTCAGCTTTTGATTGGGCCTAAATGGGCTTATGTCTTATCTCAGCCCATTAAAGTTGTGTACCCTTTGAGGCAGTTGAATTTAGGGTTTATAGAGAACGCCCATCTGGTTGGAGAGGTGAAATTGGAACGGAAAAAATGTCGAAGAAGAACAATTTAGCAAAGAGAAAGAAGCAGCACGAGTACAATCTCCAAAGTAAGTTTCTTTATATCTCTGTAAACGATTTCAGTACTATACGCATGTGTTTCTCAACGAAATTTGGAAATTTTTCGATTTGCAGAAGAGAAAGAGTTACAAGACAAGAAGATTAAGAAGCTTCATGCGAACAAGAACAAGATGAAAGTAAGCACCTTTTTCTGTCTCTCTTATCTCTTAATTCTGATATTTAGTTCATAGACATTGGTGTTAGTTAAGTAGTAAACCGATTCTGTTGCAGAAAATGATGTTGTCTAACTCAATTACTTTAGTTGGTTATTAATGGTGAAATACTGAAATGATTTCATTGATTTGAATTTACTTGGAGTCAGTTTGATCTCTATAGTGTTAATCAGAAGCTTATTTGGGGGAAAAAGATATATTGAATCTTGTTAGTAGAACATCTGACATTTTAATGAAGTATAGAGTAGTTTATGATATCTGTGGGTTGGATGATTTTGTTGACAAGGTCGATGGAAGTGGGAAGAAGAAGAAAGGTGGATTTTCTGTTGGCAAGAAGAAGTTGAAGACGAAATTGACTCCAGCTGCTAAAGCTAAAGCTGCTCAGGCAATGGAGCTAGACAATTGACAAGGAACCTCAGTTTTCTTTCACTTGTATGTAACTGTTCTTCATTGATCTTTGTCTTTACTTTGAAGAAATCTTGTTGAAGCTAAATCTAGTTGAAGCTGGCTTCTTCTCATAGGTTAAACTCTTATGTATCTCTCTTCCTTTAAAGTTCAAAATTTTGCTGTCAAACCGGATCAGGATCATCGTGGAATTCAGTTATTAATCTGTTTGGATTGCTATTCCTTAAACAGTGTTGAATCTCATGGTCTAACTTTGTCATATGAGTATTGTTCCTAAATCCTAATTGCTTCTAGAGTTCAAATTCAGCATAGATTCTGATTTCTCTGAGAAATAAATCAACTTTTAGGTGAGCAAAACAACGACACAAGTATGTACCTATGTACAGACATAAGGCTTTCATGGTATATTAGTCAAACCCAAGATCTTTTCTGGTTTAGTACATTCCACTAAACATATAAAAAACTGTTTAAAAAAAAAGGTCATAATGTGTTTGTCATAATCAAAAGTCTTATATAAACAGTGTCACACAATACATGGTACATTAAAGCTGGATCCTAGTAGGAAAAAAATCTCAAAGGCTTTGAGAGGTTATATCATCCCATCAATGGGTCCTTGCGAGATATTTTATAGATTTCTTCTTATCAGCCTCTCTCGTCAAAATAGCTCTCAAAGTGGAAGCCAGTGGGCAAGTCTCTGACCAGACAGGCCCAAATCTTTTCTCACTCTCTCCTCTCTCTCCGGCGCGTGAACTCCACTCTCTTTATAGATACTACTGTGTACTGTCTCAGATCAATTTCCAAAGATACTACTCAGTCTATAGAAACAGTAGAGAGAGTAGTAAGTAGTAACATCAGCTTGAAAAGGAAGAATTTGTTCATCAAGATTTTTGGTTGAGAAGAAAGAAGAGTGACATGTTGGTGCGTAAGAGATGAGATACACGCGCCTGATAAAGAGTGTGGCCATATGAGTCATGTGCCATACAGATGCCTAGTTGCTATATAGAGCTACAGTCAAAGTCAGTTATTCATTAGGATTTTGAATTTCCAATTACATTTTCAGAAAGAAAAAAAAAAGAGAATTAAAAGATCCCATTGTTGATATCCTCACAGTAAATGCTTTTGCTTGAGAGAGGTTCTGTTAGAAGTTTTTTTGTTTGCTTCTGTTTCCTTCTGTCACCCAGAAAACAAAAAAGCAAATTCAAGAAGAGAGAGAGATAGCACTAAAACCATTGTTGATAGAAGAGAAAGCTTTTCTTCCTTGTTGCTTATGGTGAAAGAATGAAAGAGAGAGAGGAGAAGTAAGTAGCTGAGAAAGTGTTTAGAGCTTTGCATGTTCCTTTCTCGCCAAGTTTATATCTTCATCATAAAGTCTCAACCTTTGATTCTGTTTTTTCTTCTTATCCATTTATCCTCTTTCTTTCTCTCTCCTCATAATTCTAGCCACAATCTTTTTAGGGTTTCACAAGTTCACTTAAAAAGAGTCTTTCTTCAACTACTGTAAATGCAAAATGGATCGAAGAGATGCAATGGGATTATCCGGGTCGGGTTCTTACTATATCCATAGAGGATTATCCGGGTCGGGTCCTCCAACGTTTCATGGATCATCACAGCAGCAAGGGCTTCGTCACTTACCTAATCAAAACTCTCCATTCGGGCCAGGCTCCACTGGTTTCGGATCTCCTTCTTTACACGGTGATCCTTCTCCGGCAACAGCGGCCGGAGGAGCCGGAGCTCTTCCTCATCATATCGGCGTTAATATGATTGCTCCTCCTCCACCTCCGAGTGAAACTCCGATGAAACGAAAGAGAGGACGTCCTAGAAAATACGGACAAGACGGTTCTGTTTCTTTGGCACTGTCGTCTTCCTCTGTTTCGACCATTACTCCCAACAACTCTAACAAACGCGGCCGTGGTCGACCTCCGGGTTCCGGCAAGAAACAGAGAATGGCTTCCATTGGTAATAAACTCTGAAACTTGTAATCTTGAGAAACAAACAAAGCTCCATTATTTATTGATCAAGAACCAGGATTATTTAATGTTTTCTTAAGTCAAAATATCTCTAATTGTTTATTCCTAATGTGTGGGAGCTTAAAACTTTCCTAAATTGGAGCTGATTGGTTGTCTATCTATGTCTTATGCTCTGCTTAAACTCTATGAATTAGACACTCATTTATTAATTCCATGAGCTTTTTTTGGAATGGCTAGGTGAATTGATGCCTTCATCTTCTGGAATGAGCTTCACGCCACACGTTATCGCTGTTTCAATAGGAGAAGTAATGTTGAATCACAATTTCAGAGCTTCCTTGAAGTGTTTATATTTGCTGTTTGCTGAAAAACTTTGAAACTTTGCATCAGGATATTGCATCAAAGGTTATATCTTTCTCTCAACAAGGTCCAAGAGCCATTTGCGTTTTATCTGCAAGTGGTGCAGTCTCTACTGCAACACTTCTTCAACCATCAGCATCTCCCGGAGCTATTAAATACGAGGTTCAGTTTTGAAATTTCTTACTATAAAGAGAAACATTGGTGTTTTTACTCTTTTCTTTAAACATATGTTTCGTATATTTCCAGGGCCGGTTTGAAATCCTAGCGTTATCAACATCTTATCTAGTGGCAACTGATGGAAGCTTCCGTAATCGAACTGGAAACTTATCGGTTTCGCTTGCTAGCCCCGATGGGCGTGTGATTGGCGGTGCCATTGGTGGGCCTTTAATAGCAGCAAGTCCTGTTCAGGTCTGGTTTAAACTTTTCTCTTGAGCTCTGCTTTTTTTTTGTACAAGTCATAATTCTTGGGACTGAATATATATTCTTGAGTCTATCAGGTTATAATAGGGAGCTTTATATGGGCAGCTCCAAAGATCAAGAGCAAGAAACGAGAAGAAGAAGCTTCTGAAGTTGTTCAAGACACTGATGATCATCACGTTCTGGACAATAATAACAACACGATTTCACCTGTCCCTCAGCAGCAGCAGCAGCAGCCAAGTCAAAACCTGATATGGTCAACAGGTTCAAGGCAAATGGATATGCGTCATGCTCATGCTGATATTGATTTAATGCGCGGTTGATGATGATGATAGCGAGAAAGAACTCTGTGTATATAAAGCATGGAATCTAGGAAGAAGAAGAAGGAATATAAGCTAACCTCTGAACAAAAGTATGTGGAAATGTTAGGCAAAAAGATTGACTCTATTAGTGTACCTCTCAAATCTATAAGCTTATTTGGTTTTGTTGTTTTTGTGACTCTGAAGATTTGCAGAGTTCCTTGATTTCTCTATTTCAGATTGTTCAGTCTTTACCTTTGCTTGCAATTGTGATTCTACTTCTACAGCTTAGATTTCAGTTCATTGACTGAAGAAAGTCTCCGGTTGAAGTTGACCGGACCGGAGGTATATTATATCGGAATCTGGAAGTTGGGCCTTTTTATGGGCCTTTATATGATGATCCAATTCATTTTCATCAAATTTATATCATGCATAATTAAATTTTGTTTTTATAGATAAATAACTAGCTCAATGTTTAAGAATCTTCTTCTGTTCCTCCCAATACTCATTAGTCCACTTCTCAACTTCTTTCTCAATACTTTCTTTCTTCTCAAGAAACCTCTTGAGCTCATCTTCTTCAAAAGGTGGAGGCATCTCACAAGCAGCCTTAACGCTCGGAGACATAACCAATGAGTCATCCATAGATTGTCTCATTCGGCCTCCATTGATTGGACAAGCCATTGTCTCCGGACACACTTCCTTGGCTCCTTGAGGAACTTCTACATTCATCTTCATCAACTTCCCATAGCTTTGCAATAGATGCAACATGTAATCATACACATACTTCATCTTTAGATTCTTTCGAATATACCCACTTCCATTTCTCCCTATAGCTTTTGCCTATAAAACATGATAAGATCATAGCACGATCATCATCAATATACGAGTCAACCAAAATGAGTTGTAACCCCAAAAAAAAAAAATGTCGTTTGAAGTTTCTAATAACAGAGGACAGGTTATGTTGTTATAGGAGCTCTCCGGTTATGTCGTTATATTGTTACCTTTTTGGTATTGTTGTTGCCCCAATGGACAGCAAAGACAATGTCACTACATTTTTCTCGAGGTCTAATGGGCCAGTAATGCTCCATTGGAACTAAGCTTCTAGTGAAGAAGTCAAAGTAAAATGGCTTCACAAGAAGAGTCATACTGTCACAAGCTAATATGTACTTCTCGCTCACTGACCAAGCCCTTCCTTCTACATAAATCTTGTACCTTCATTATCCAAAAAGAAAAATAAACCCAAATTACTAGTATTAATATTTAATCTATCAAATAACAAAAAGATTCATATAAAACCTGTGGGTGCATTGATCTTCTAGGTTTGAAGTCTTATACCCAATGCTGCCCTCTTTCCACCAATCCTACCGTTAACATTTTCATCAATTCATCAAGCTACTAGAATCTTTAAGACCGTCATCATCATAAAAGAGACCATGGTAAAGAGATATAAATATAAAGAAACCTGGCGATAGAGATGAACCATGGGGTCATGACAATTCATGAGGTCTCTTCTCTTGCCAACTCTAGCATTCCCTTTCCAATATGCGTAAGGTTCTCTCTCTTCCCACTTCACCTTCTTTATCCCTTCACTTATCGCCTCCAACATTTTATTCCACTCCCTTATGTTGATCTCCGGCCTAACCATAATTAGGGGTGTGAGCATATAAACCGAACCAAGTTTCTAAAATCCAAACAAGAGTTTTTTTTATATAACTGTAACGGTTTTAGTATCTTTATACAGATTAATGGCTTTGTATGCAACCATAAATTGATTATATTACCAGCCCCAAAAGCTCCAATCGGGGAAGACAATGTCGAAAGCACCGGAATGGCCACAATAGTGGAAGAGTGGAGATGGTGGCCACGTCACATTGACTCCTGGTCTTGGCCTATAGTCTCTTCTCCAGATTTCAGGTAAGTCATCGCACATGAAGAGAAGCTCAAGATCAGGGACTTGACCAGGATACATCCTTAGAAGCTGTACTATTCCCCATATAGTGAATACATCTCTTGTCTGAAAAGATTTCTTGTATTGTTGCACATACACTCTTCCTCCTTTTATTATCAGCCTGAAGTGAGCTTTATCACTCGCTCTCTCTAACGTCTCTCGAGTGATTCCAGTCTCACGCCATGCTTCTAGATCCTTGTAAATCCACCTGAAGTAGTCTGGACAAGTCTCTGGATCGTCCTTACTAGGTTGTGATTTCTCCGGGTTGCTTGCAGGACACATCTGTGTTGCTATGTTCTGGTCTAGTGAGCATTGCAATGTGAAGTTAACTGGTGTAGAGATTTTTTTCTTGGGGATAGTTGCATTGGTGTTTCTTGTAAATATTGGTGTCACTTTGATTCTACCTCCACCTATTGAAAACTATGTAAGAGAGAACAATTTTTGAGTGAATTAAACCCATTTGAGATACTAATAGATTGTAATGAATAATTATATATAGATCAATATAGATACCATGTCCATCCAGCTGAGAGAAGCTCCAAGGAGGAGGATGATGAAGAAGAAAACAAAGATGAAGACTGAGGTGGTGATCCATGGCTTGGTTAGTTTATCACTTAAACTCGAGATTGAGTTTGTAGGTTGCCTTTGATGATCAACCACGTGAGAACTCATAGATATTATGTGTTTAATTCAATCTAAGAAACAAAAAAAATGAACAAGAGAGAGAGGTAAGAGGATCACATTTAATTTTGTGATTTTAGAAGGAAAAGAGGATTACAGATATTAATTAATTTGTATCTAAGAATTGTAGTGTTTTGGATGTGTAGACCCATGTTTTCTGGGGAAATTTGAAGAAGAAAATAGATAATTATTGGTTTATTGAGAACCGAACCAACCCACATATGGTCTTTGCAAAATTAATTACCATGATTATGTTAGGAGAGAAAACTAATTAATATTTATGGTTGCCATTATATTCTATATTTTAAAAAAAAAAGTTGTTAGTGTCTAAGTGGGAAACTCACATTTGTCAAACATATTTTTCTTATCTTCATCCTCTTAGTAAAGACACTTAAATTTTTTCTAATATATAAAGTTTCCAAATTTGATATTCTTAACTTACCTTATTATTACCAAATCAACTATTTCAATTTTCCTATAGATTAAGTGTTTAGAGTTTTTAACGCATATTAAATTAGAATATAAATCATTCATTTTATATGATTAAAAATTAATCAAAGTTTGATACTATAAAAACATTAGTTTACTTTCAAAAAATTCTATTTTAAATTTTTCTTCCAGTTTTAATGAATGTAATTATAAAAACTTTCAACCAAAATAAAATGTCTTAGTAAATAAAATAAAAAATTGAACCAAACTTATAGATATATTTTTCTGGTAAAATATCTGTTAAACTTATATATTAGAATAATGATAAAATTAAATATATTAAGTATATATATTTTATATTAACATATTATTAACAATCACACCAATTTGACTGAAAATACAACTTAAAAATATTAAATAAATAAATAAATATATTTACTAATAAAACTAGGGAGACTCACAAAAATGCCCCTTTTTCAATACCCCTTTTCAAAAATGCCCCCTTTGGCTGTCCATTTTTAAAAATACCCCTTTTTATGTACAAAATGACTAAATTACCCTTCTTTTAATAAAATATATCACAAATATATAAGGAAATATAACAAAATTAGGTCCACAAAATACAAAATATTTTTTGGCGGGAAAAGTGATCCCGCAATTTTTCCCGCCAAAACACTTGTAAAAACTTATAAAAACCTTTAAAATACCTTGTAAAATTTTCCCGTAAAATTTTTTCCCGCCAAAAAATTTTCCCGCCAAAAATTTTTTTTGCGGGAAAAGTGATTCCGCAATTTTTTTGGCGTTAAATTTTTGGCGGGAAAAATTTACAAGGTATTTTAAAGGTTTTTTACAGGGTATTTATAAGGTTTTACAATGTATTTTAAAAGGTTTTACAACGTATTTATAAGGTATTTATAAGATATTATAAGATTTTACAAGCAATTTTATAAGGTTTTACAAGTTATAAGGTTTTACAAGTTTTTTATAAGGTTTTACAAGTTATAAATACCTTATAAAACCTTATAAGTACCTTGTAAAACCTTTTAAAATACATTGTAAAACCTTACAAAACACTTGTAAATACTCTGTAAAACCTTTAAAAAACCTTGTAAATTTTTCCCGCCAAAAAAATTTCGCCAAAAAAATTGCGGAATCACTTTTCCCGCAAAAAAAATTTTTTGGCGGGAAAATTTTTTGGCGGGAAAAATTTTTACGGGAAAATTTTACAAGGTATTTTAAAGGTTTTTTACAAGTGTTTTGGCGGGAAAATTGCGGGATCACTTTTCCCGCCAAAAAATATTTTGTATTTTGTGGACCTAATTTTGTTTCAAATAAGGGTAAAATGGTCATTAAAAAATAAAAGAGGGCAAACTTAAAAATGGACTCTCAAAGGGGGCATTTTTGAAAAGGGGTATTGAAAAAGGGGCATTTTTAACAATTTCTCATAAAACTATAATTATATTTATAGCACAAGTTTTTCTTATAAGTAGATGGAATTTACCGCTGAGAATCAACGATTGTACATACTTATCTGAAAGAATGATGTTCATAAAAATCAACGGTTGTACATACTTATATGAAGAATGATGTTCATAGATTATGCGTGACGTGTTTTAGTTTTTAGTAAATTAACTTAAACTTTAAGGTAGAAATTTAAAAATTACGTCTTTCAAAACCTTTTTTCTCGAAAATAATTTGATGAACATATTCTTCAATATTTAAAGTTTGGTAATTTACTTACATTATTAATTTAACCCTGAGATTTGCGTTCACGTTATCACTGCAGAAGAGTCAGAGTATTAATTTTACGACCCATTGAAATGTTTAATATATGACCAGTGCTAATATTATATCTCTAGATCACGTGATTAACGTATAGGAAACCGTATAACATCTGATGATTCTTCAAATTAGTTTGAGATTGTCAACCTCTCGTACACTGCAGATTTTAAAATAGAACGTATTAAAGAGTAGACTGACTAATAGTAGCTTATCTCGATCAATTCAATTGAATTTTATTTTAATAAGAAAATTAGTTATATGTTAGTAATTGATCAACAACTCCAATGTGTTAAATTTCTCATGAATAAGTTACTCTTTTGACATAAATTACTTACGAGATTTATCAATAATTTATTACTTCTTATAACAAAATAACTTGTAACTAGATTAGGAGCTTTTGTGTTCCAGATTATATCGTAAGTATATTATTCATAGTTAATTTATCCATTACAAAAGATATATCGTTGTAAGTATAACCTGAAAATTCATTTCAACACATTTAACATAGTTAGCTGGAAAGAAAAAATTACTCGTTTACTAATTTCAATATGAATACAAAACTAAACTAAACAAGAGCCTCTTTGGTCAAGGCTTCTTGTTAATAGCCAATTCATGAAAATACTGATCTTCCCACAACTCAACTTGACGAGTCAAATTAGCTTTTCTCTCAAGAACCTCTCTTAAATCCTGAGGGTTAAAAGGAGTAAGCATCTCACAAGGAGACTCTTCACTAGGAAACATCACCATAGACTCCGCCATGAATTCTCTCCACCGTCCCGTCTCCGGGCAGCCCATACTATCCGGCGTAATCTCGGTGGCTCCCCACGGAATCTCCGGTTTAAACTTCAAAAGTTTTGCATACTCGTTCATCAAATGGAACATGTAGTCATACACATATTCCATTTTCACTTCCTCTCTAATAAACCTACTCCCTTCTTCTCCTATCTTACTCGCCTATCAAACAACCCAAAATTAATGGGTTACTTTGTAATAAACCAAAACTTTCAGGGTCTTAAATGTACCTGGTCCAAATGAGTATTTCCCCAATGTACGGCGAATTTGAGGGAAGTACACTTAGAGTTGTCTCTGATTGGCCAATAATGTTGTAATGGCATCATTCCTCGTATGTAAAAATCATAGAACATAGGTCTCACGTATAATGTCATTGAATCACATGCCATTATATATTTCTCACTCACTGACCATGCCCATCCTTCTATATAAATCTTGTACCTATTCCAACATTACCAAAAATTTTAAAAATCTAATTTTTGCAAACATGTCCTAAGTAAATAAAATGTGGCTTAAGTTTAACCTGTGGGTGCACTGGTTCTCTAGGTTTGAATTCTTGAATCCTTCTCTAGATTCTCTATCCCAATCCTTCACAATAATAAACAAAATCATTTAGATTATTTATAAATTGCAATATATATAGAAAATTCTACATATTTTGAGAAACCCTAACCTGAATGTAGAGACGTGTGTTCCAATCTTCTTGAGCTGAGACATTACATCTAAGAAGATCTCTTCTAGTTGGAGCCACGTTAGGGTTTCCTCTCCAATAAGCATACGCCACGCGGTCTTTCCATTGCGTCATCTTGTTCCCTTCTTCTATCGCCACTAGCGATTTAGCCCAAGGCTTTATATTAACCTCAGCCCTGGCCCAATAATAATATAATTAGCTAGGTCCAATAACAAGCCCATTAAATAGAGAATATAATTAGCATGTGTTAAGCCCGTACCAGCCCCAGAAGGACCAATCAGGGAAGACGATATCCAAGCTGGCGTCATCAGAGCAATAACGGAATAAAGGAGGCGGGGCCGGGTGCTGTTGACCTTGAAAGTCTTTAGATCGGACGGTTGGTCTATCATCTGGGTCAAACATGAGCTCAAGATCTGGCAGTCTACCTGGGTACCACCGTAGCAACTGTACGATGCCCCACAGAGTGAAAACATCTCTAGTCTGGATTGAGTCTCTGTACTTCTTAACGTACACTCTCCCGTCGAGGATTACTACCCTGAAATGCGCCGTCCTCCTTGCTTTCTCAAGCATCCCTCTCGTTATACCTGTCTCTTTCCATGGCCGTAGATCTTCGTGGATCCAACGGAAGTAAGAAGGACACGTGGATGGTCGTGAATGGCTGCTTCTGGGTTTGTTGTTGTTGTTTCTCGAGGAGCCATCTTGGGGAAATAATTGAGTTTGGTTCTTTACGACGACGCATTGGTTAGGGAATCTTTGGTTTGTGATTGGTGATTTTCTGATAGTTGTTGTTACTTGCTTCAGACCTGCAAAAGTTGTCTGAAGAACAGAGAGATATGAATTTAATTAAGTAACACTTCAAGTTCAAGATTCACTTGATTGAATAAAAAGTTTCTAAAAATGAAGTTATTTCAGATTCGAACTCACGAAATCGAAACAACCCAATAAGTCTAAGAGACCAGCAGATATGAAGAGAGAGGTGACGAGGAACAGAGTAGCTTTAGCGATGCTTTTTGCTGGATGCGACGCCGTTTTAAGACAGACATACTTATTCTTGTTCGTTTGAGGATTGTTGTTGTTCCTCTTCATGCTTATCCGGTGAAGCATGAATCTATATCTATCTCAGCTTTGTACATATATATGCTCACAAACATTCAACACGAAGAGAAGAAAAACGAGAATCAGGCGAGATTAAACGTTACCGAAGCTAGGAGGAAGCTCAAAGGTTTGATTGTGATGATCGAATATTGGTGCTTTTCCACGAGGATTTGAATCTTGTTTCACGTTTTCTTCAACACTAACCAGAGTTCTCATCTTTTGTGTTAATGAATTTCATAGTTTTGTGTGAATCTTGTTTACTTTTTAGTTTTTCGAAGGGTCCAAAATGTTTTTGAATATTAAATAGATAATATTTTATTAATTAGTAGGAGAAATTGGTCATCCATATTCCAATGCAAATATCGCACATGAGATATACAAATGTTTCCCAGACAATCCTCTCTTATTAACGTTGTATTTATTGGTAAATAACTAAATACTGGACCTTTGATGTTCTTAGAAAAATAATCTGCTTATTACAAAAATAAAACTGTTAAGAGTTCAATTAATTAAGTCCTCTTTGAGAAAGTTTGTTATAAATGCTTTAAAATTGAAAAAAAAGAATCCCAACTTCGAAGATAAAGCTTAACCCATTAAATAAAGTTGAATGACATCACAGACCATATTCGACTACTCATTATACAAGACAAAAAAATTCAATTTTGTATAGAATTTTTTTATTATCCTAAGAAAATCAAACTACGTTACAGACTTATATAATCTTTCACAGGTGAGTCTGTATGTGATTTTTTTTTTTTTTTTTTTTTTTGTCGACCAAAGCTTTTACTAGAAAGTCGAAAGGGCAAGTTACAAGAAGAAGAGTGATACAAAAGCCTTTTGAAGCCCAATATTAAATGAACCCAAAAACATAAGAAAATGACACGCAAGACATACACGTGTTTGATTCTAGACCAAGGGTCATGATTAGGCCTGGGCATATGGGTAACCCGTTCGGGTTCGGGTTCGAGTTGAATGGGTAATGAATTTATGGCCCATTCGGGTATTTCTAAATATTCGGTTCCGGTTCGGTTCGGGTATCGTCGGGTTCGGGTCGGTTTGGGTAATAAGCATGAGAACCGAAAAAATCCGAAAAATTTGGATTCCCATTGGGTTCGGGTCTAAATGGATAAAATTACCCATAAACCCGAAATATGACTCTAATACCCGAAGTTTTAAATCATTATACATGCTCAAATGATCAAATAAAGAGAACAGAACATCAAACATGACATCTAAAGACTAAATCCAATCCAAAATCACATGACATCAGAAAGTTCGGTGACGGTAAGGTCGCCGAGAGTGTCGCGACGAGAGTTTCCAGTTTCGATAATGAGACTCAAAAGGGGATTTTAAGCAGAGATTATCGAGGGAATAGGGATTCTAGAAGCAAATTAGGAAACTCAATCGTTAAAACTCAAAAGCTATGGCTATAAGACTATATGACTATATATCTATATACATATATAAACACATGTCTAAAAGTTTCGGGTTTATGGTACCCTAAATGGGTAACGGGTATTCTCCGATCCGATCCGATACCCACGGGTAGACCAAAACTCTACCCAATGAAGTAATTTCCTAATACCCTAACCCGCCCCAACCCAGTTTTTTCGGTCCGGGTATCGGTTCGGATATCGGGTCCGGTTTTTTTGCCCAGGTCTAGTCATGATGCAGATGAGAAAACCACCGGAACACCGTCAGTTGCTCATCGCCGATTTTGTTTGCCATCTTAACAAATCTAATGACAATCCTGAAGAACTAGATGAAGGCTTCAATCACTTCTTCTGAAACATCCTTCTACGTAATCGTCCGCATAGATCTGATTGTTTTTTGCTCGGATCCATCTTAATAAGTCAGATCTGAATCTTCTCAACCCATAGTCCTAGAAGGAAGCCACGCCAAAGACCTAAGATGAGGTCTACTTCATAAGAGAGACGGCGAGGATATTACTCTAACATAAGAGAAGAGTTAAGTTGATAACTTGCGGGATGGAATCTTCAAGCTTTGTAGAAAGATGAGTAACAAAACATCCAAACTTAGTTAAACTAAGAAGGAAATTTAAAATCCGAAACAGACTGGAAATCAATCTGATATCAATCTCCAGTTTGAATCAGAAGAGCAAGATCTATAAACAAAACAAAAAATCCGGTTGACCGGAAAAGTAGAGATCGGAAAACGTTTTCTCTCTCTCAAAGGTGGGAGTGTTAGAAAAAATAGTTTACAACGTTCTTTTAATTAAAACAAGTTGGGCAGAAAATTTAAAAACCCGGGGCCATTAGGGTGCACAAAAGCCCAATATCTACTCTATCTCATGGCCTATATCATATGCCTAAACCGGTTTGATAACCTTCTCTTACCACACACTTCATAACCGGAGCGTTCTATACACGCGCGAGACAAAATGGGTGAGGTTCCACACATTATCCCTTTTGTACTGTCTTCCAGCGTGTACACTCAGTGAGGCTCCACGTCACCCTTCGATCCACTAAATTATTTAAATTTAAAGAATTGTTTAATTAAATTCGAGTGATCGATGTAGATATTATCTTATTCTTAGGGCATCATCAATGGGGGATCATGTGAGGGTGTTCTTATAGAGAATATAATGTTAAAATAATGTAAGATCATGTGTTTAGATCTTTTGTTTAGAAGTTGATTAGTGGGAGAACATGTGTAAGATTTTAAGACTTAATAATATAATAATCTAAATTAAATTAAGATTTTACAATTATTAAAACATTTAAAAATAACATATAAATTGCAAATGCCAAATTTATGAAAAACTGAAAATAAAAGTGAAAATACAATACTAAATATTTATGAAAAAAACATTAAAAATATAAATAACAATAAACAAACAAACATATTACTTAATAAAAGCACAAAAATATTTTATCTAATTAATACATAGTTTATTATCCAAATTTATTCCAAATATGTTGAATATTCCAACCAATGCCCAAATGCCACGTCACCCCGCAACACCCACAAGAACAGATCCAGGTCAAGAGCCCAGTTCCTGATCTTAAGCCCATTAACCCATTTTTTTGGATTTAAATAATGCTTAGATCAGGGGGGGTGATCCCCCAATGCAGATGGTCTTATACATTTAATACACATACACACGACACTCTGTCAATTCTATAGCGTACGAGCTCACTCCAAATTTAGATTCAGTTTTTAATTCGAAATTTTTAGTTTGCCAAGATTAGCAACTAAATAAAGTCAAATATAATACAAGATTGTTTATTAAATTTTCCTTTTCTTCAATGTAGTTTGATTGTTGTTTTTCCTCATAATAAAAAATCTATGATAAAATCTTATTTTCAAAAAAAATTTCACCAATCTTATTTTCAGTTTCAAACCAGTTTATACTTTTAGTTCGGAATTTGGAAGAATTAGTTTTGTTGAATATCATCAGGAGAGAATGACAATATTTCTACAGAGGTGACGTGGCATCATTGAACCACTTTACCTGTCGGCAGTGAGGTGTTTAATCACATGTATCGCATCCAATGCGAATGCGAGCTTTCCAGCCGCACGATCACATGCGCACAAAAATCAACGGTGAATCAAAACAAGTGTCGCACACATATTAAACGCGCGTAGTACGCTCCACCGGTATAAGCTAACGGAGGATATAAAAACTCTTTTCTCATTATTTCCCTAAAATCTCATTTTTATCCATTGTTTTTATTTTCTAAGGAAAAAAATAAAATCTGTTCTTCTTCTTCGGCTGAGAGACAATGGCGGAGGAGCAAAAGACGAGTAAGGCTGACGTAGAATCTCCGGCGGTTTTATCTCCGGCAACGGAACCGACTCCTGCTCCGGTGGAAGTCGCGGATGAGAAAATTCATAATCCACCTCCCGTTGAGTCCAAAGCTCTGGCCGTTGTAGAAAGTAAGCTTTCTTATTTACATACGTGTGTGTTTATATACGGTAATCTTATACTTAGGAATATGGATTCATGTTTACGATGAATTAATTATATATAGTATGTAATTTAGAATTCTTACGTTTGGAACTGAGGTTTAAATTTACAATTAACAAATGAATTTTCTTAAGATGCCTAAGGTTTTTGTGAGTTGGTTTGAGCATGACTGGGTCTATGTTCAGATAAAATCCATTCACACTAAAATCCATCCCTGTTAGAATTTAGAACTTCATCATGGCATTTTCAAGAGAATTAGGTTTTTCGAGGAAGATATTATTAAAATATGATTAGTAATAAAGCAATGTTCCCTGTAATTAGTGTTATCAAAAGTATATGGAATCATGACAAATTTAGTTGTGGACAGCTATAATTTAAGAAAAGTGGTTTACTTTCTTAATATTCCTACATTTTTTTGTTCCCTTAAAGTTGCCTAACTCTTGGAAAATAACAATTTAAGTACTAACTTTTAAGGAGTTTTTAAATCCAAGAACAGTCATTAGTTCATCTTCTTTATTTACTATCTGTAATTCCTTTTAACTAAAGTTAAGTTCTTGAACTCTTATGTTGTGTTTTGCTTTGCGGTGTGAAGTTTCATGAACTTCTATTTTGAAACGAGTTGGTGATGGATAGAACTATAATTGATGACCTTATTAGCCAATTAGAGCATCAAATTTTAACTTATAAGTGAGCTTCTTGCAACAAATCTCCATGAGTTATACTTATAATTGAGCTTCTTGCAGAACCCATCGAGGAGCATACACCGAAGAAAACTTCATCTGGTTCGGCCGATAGAGGTCAGCTAATGATAACAACATTTTGTTTCTCATGTCCAGTTTCTAGTTACTTAGTTCAGTAATTTACTTCAAATGTGATGTGTGTGTTTGGTCAGATGTGATACTTGCCGACTTGGAAAAGGAGAAGAAAACGTCATTCATCAAAGCATGGGAAGAGAGTGAGAAGTCAAAGGCTGAGAATAGGTACACTTTCTAAATTTTCATCATCTTCTCACCCAAAGATTTCTTCTTGTTACAGATCTCTGATGATCTTCAAATGGACAGGGCACAAAAGAAGATCTCTGATGTGCATGCTTGGGAGAATACCAAGAAAGCAGCCGTAGAAGCTCAACTCAGGAAGATCGAAGAAAAACTAGACAAGAAAAAAGCGCAGTACGGTGAGAAAATGAAGAACAAAGTAGCTGCAATCCACAAGTTAGCAGAAGAGAAGAGAGCAATGGTTGAAGCTAAAAAAGGAGAAGAGCTTCTCAAAGCTGAAGAAATGGGTGCTAAGTATAGAGCCACTGGTGTAGTACCAAAGGCAACTTGTGGATGTTTCTAAGTCTTTATTGAATTTGTTTCTCAGGTCAATGTTTGTAACAATTCATCTCTGTTTTTTTTTTTTTTTTTTTTGTGTGATTCAACAAGTTTTTATAGTTTTTGGTTATTTGTTTGGTTGTTTGTGTCTTGTTTACATATTGGGTGCTTTTGTGTAAAAACAACATTGAAGTGAAAGATTTTATGGAGTATAATTGTATGAAGCATCAATCATGTTTTGCTTTTTGTTTCAGTTACACGATTACGATTTCACATCTGATCCTTAAATTCTAGAATGTTAAGACACTTGAGTTGACACACACAAATAACCTAAAACCCTTGATAGTTCAGACACAGGTGGAGATCTAAAAGCAATAAACAAGCGAATGAAGTAAAAATGTCTTCTTCGGTTTGATCTCACTACTCGGAATTCCTCCCAAGTCTTCAAGATGAGAGAACATGAAAATGAAAAGGCAAAAGGTTTCTTAGAACATGAAAATTAGAGATGAGAGAAGACAACTTTAAGGTTCATATCATGCAGCAGAAGAAGTCTTCAAACCAAAACAAATCAAGCCGGTACTGCTTTAAAGGTTTAGATACAATCAACCGCTTCCATCGCCATCAACCACCTATACTGCCACTTCTTGCCTCAGTACAGTACTCTGTGTGTTGCCTTCATCTCTAGAACGAGCTAGTGGCTGCCAAAGCTGAATGATTTGCCTCCTCAATACACCTAAACAACAGCAAACCAAAATCAATGGAAATTTGGTCTATGAGCAATGCAGGTTTAGTTTTAATGTCGAGATGCCTAGAGAGGGATTTGTCTCACCGTTAATCCATCAATGCATTGCCGGGTGGAGAATGTACACCAGGTAGAAGTTACTGACAGTAGATTGCCTTGTCGATAAGTGAAGGTATTGGCTTGATTTCGGTTCCAAGTTCTTGCTCAGTCTGATACCTGTTGGAAACCGAATAAGTGAGTAAGAAAGCTATATCATCTAAGAAAAGAGAGGCTACACCAGTTGAGAAGAAGAAACACGAACATTTTGAAGCGGTCCTCATAAGTTACCAAATTCACAGCCAACCCAAGGTGTCCGAATCGTCCTGATCTGCCTACCTGGTAATGTAATGAAGTAAAAACCCATTCACAATTTGAACAAATAAAAAAGAGAAGGTTCTCAAGAAGATAGATCAAAATCGGCTTCCCTTAACATACCCTATGTAGATACGACTCAGAAGTCCTAGGAAAATCGAAATTTATGACCACATTCACAGCTTGAATGTCAATCCCACGTGTAAACAAATCTGTAACAAACAGACATTCCCCATGAAACTTAATCACATTTGTCAATGTTCAAGCACATGAAAAACACAAAACGTACCAGTGCAAACAAGATTTCTGCATGCACCGTTGCGGAAATCATGGAAAACCCTGTTCCGATGGTCTTGAACCATCTTTGCATGGATATAGAAGCATGAGTAACCGAGTTCTGTTATTTTCTTGGCCAACAGCTCAACACGATTAACAGAGTTGCAAAAGATAATGGATTGGTTTATTTGTAGCTGCAATTGATAAACAATATTTCTATTAAAAGATTCACTACATTAAGTAGCCAGAAAATAAAACATTGGGGTTTAGGACTGTCTAAAACTCTGACCTTAGAGAATAGCGTGTTAAGGCAGTGCACCTTCTGTCTCTCTTCAACAAAAGCATAATATTGGGTAACACCCATAAGTGTGAGCTGATCCATGAGATTGATAATGTAAGGCTTCCTGAGATATCGATCCTTGAAAGACTTCACAGTGACAGGAAATGTAGCCGAAAACATCAGAATCTGACGGTTCTCTGGCAAGAACTGTATCAACTCCTCTATAGATGGTTGAAATTCTACAGACAAAAGCTTGTCGGCCTGGAAAAAGATGTTTGCGAGTTAAGACCATGAGCTCATGAGAAAAAGAAAATTATTCGATCAAAATCTGCAAATATCTAGCATAAGAGTAATCAATTTTGTTTTAACTTAAAAGAAAGTTTTGTTCAGGGAAAAACTAGAAAAGTCCTTTTGGCAGAAATCCAACAATGTTTGTCTTCACAGATTTTAGCAATAAATACACCAATACGAAAAATCTAGCTCAGATATAGTCGAATCAGGAACTCACCTCATCCATTACAAGCATCGCACAATCTTTCAAAACACACACACCCTTTTTGGCAAGATCTAATATTCTTCCAGGAGTTCCAACCAACAAATGGACAGGTTGATACAATCGCATGATATCATCCCTCAGACTGGTACCGCCAGTGGTGACCATAACCTCAATTTTCAAATATTTCGAAAGCTCCTTGCAAACCTGGGATGTCTGAAGGGCCAGCTCTCTGGTTGGAACCAGGATTACGGCTGCATAAGAAAAAAGATCAACAAAAGTAATGGAAAGTCAGCAAGAAAGTAGCGTTTCACTGAAGTAATGAGCAATGGAAGTTCCACTGATCAAGTAACTCACAACAGAGAAAAGCTGGAGAACTCTAAACAGAGAAACTTTCTGAAAGGAAAGTAACAAACCTTGAATGACATTGTTCTCCGGATCAATTTTCTCAAGGGTAGGAATGCAAAAGGCACCAGTCTTCCCAGTCCCATTTTTGGCTCTAGCAAGAATATCACTGCCAGTCAAAGCAATTGGAATGCTTTCTTCCTGAATCGGAGATGGTTTTTCAAAACCCTTTTCATAAATTCCCCTAAGAAGATCCCTCTTCAAAAAGTAATCTTCAAATTCATTTCCTTTAGTGGCAGTCACATCCTGAAGACAAGATATGGAAAAACTATGATCTAAGGGAACTGCTGTCTGGTCCAAAACAAGATTCATATATAACTCAGGAAAATTTCAGAAAGCAATAAGATATGGAATCACTCATACCTCTGTCTGGTAACGATTATCTCGTGGTGGCAGCTTTAAGGTTGCTTTCCAGTCTTCATTACTGATAAGCATAAGAAACACACATAATCCGTAAAACAGCAACAACAAGAGCAACATTCATAATAACCATTCTTCCAAACGAGCACTTACTTAGAATCGCTTATAGCTTCAGATTGAACCGTTTTCTCGACTTCGTCTACATAACTTGGATCACCAGGAAGCTGAGGGCGTCTAGACCATTGTTGTTGTTGTTGCTGTTGCTGTTGTTGTTGAATCTGCTGAGGATAACCTCGTTGAACATACTGCTGAGCATCAGGTTGAGACTGGAGATACTGTGGAGGCTGAGTTTGAGGTTGCTGTGGAAACGGAGTCCGTGACTGAAGGTACTGTTGAGGCTGAGGTTGATGAGGATTCGGATTCGGATTCGGATTCCGTGACTGAAAATTAGGATCCGGACCCGCCGCACCAATCCCCGGTGGAAATCTTCCTCTATTATTATTCATTTCGATCTCGAAACAGAGAACTCTAATTCTACCAAGAAATCTTCACAAGCTCACAAATCGTAAATAAGAAGAGGCTATAAACAACAATATGGTGAATGTTAGGACAAACGAAGCTTTGTAAGAGATGATTGATCTGATTGAAATCTCTCTCGCTCCCTCTCTCGGGGGAGGGCAAGATCGGAAAGTACTGACAATTATCCACAAAACCGAGCTTAGCTAAGATAATAACTGAAGAAGAGAAATAATTTTCTTTTGTCGTCTGTTTACTGAGAAACTGAAAGATACATATACACTCGCCGGGGTCGTTGTTGTTTAGGTCGTCGTCGTCGTCAAGTGGATTTTTCGTTAAACAGACAGGCTCTTCTTCACTCACTCTTATCCACATTATTTCACTAAATTACCCTTGTATTTTCGTATAATTATGAAATAACCCCATATTTCTTCGTATCCACATTATTTCACTCGCTCCTAATTTAAAAATAGACCTTCCGCAAACAGAGCTTATGGCTGAAAACGTCGAAACCCAGAATTAGAATTTTGATGATTTAATGGCTTCTCCTCTTTCGAATCTCTACCACTGGAACCAAAATTACCTCTAATTCTTCAAGAATTTTTGATAAATAAGACAGAAAACTTCAGAGATGAAAAGAAAAAAAAAAACACAAAACCTGGTTTTTTTCTCTCTCGTCGTCGTTTGGTCGTGTCCTAAGACAAGAACCGGCGAACGAAGAACAAACTTTTTGAATCTTATTTCCGAAAGAAAGAGAGAAAATGTCGTTTACAGGAACATTGGATAAATGCAAGGCCTGTGACAAAACCGTGTACGTGATGGATTTGTTAACATTAGAGGGTAACACTTATCACAAATCTTGTTTCAAATGCAGCCATTGCAAAGGCACTCTCGTGGTAATTCTCTCTTCTTCTTCCTCCATTGTTACTCTGTTTTTCGACAATGCTTTTTTCTTATTTAAAGATCAAATCTTTTTCTTAAAAAACAGATAAGCAATTACTCATCAATGGATGGAGTTCTTTATTGTAAGCCACACTTCGAACAGCTTTTCAAAGAATCTGGCAATTACAGCAAGAATTTTCAGGCGGGAAAGACCGAGAAGCCCAATGATCATCTGGTATGTCTTCAAAGATTCATTTTTTTTTCCTGTTTTTTTTTTTGTTTCCATCTGATTTTTTTTCTCACAATTGGATTATGCAAGACTCGAACTCCAAGCAAGTTATCATCATTCTTCAGTGGAACACAAGACAAATGTGCGACTTGTAAGAAAACGGTTTATCCACTTGAGAAAGTAACAATGGAAGGAGAAAGTTACCACAAGACTTGCTTCAGGTGCACTCACAGTGGTTGTCCTTTGACTCACTCTTCTTACGCTTCTCTTAATGGCGTCCTCTACTGTAAAGTCCATTTCAATCAGCTCTTTCTCGAGAAAGGCAGTTACAATCACGTCCACCAAGCCGCTGCTAACCACCGTCGATCAGCCTCTTCTGGTGGCGCTTCTCCACCTTCTGATGATCACAAACCTGAAGACAGCGCCTCAATTCCCGAGGGAAAAGAAGATGATGCTGTCCCTGAAGCTGCAGGAGAGGAGCCTGAGCCTGTGGTTGAGTCTTGAATGTGGTGGAGGAACGATCTTATTATCAGTTGTCAAGTTTGAAGTTTTATATGCTTTTACTGTTTAAATGAATATATAAATACAATTGTTGTTGTTTCTTCTTGTAAATTCTTGTAAAGTTTAAAGCTCTTTTGGAGAGAATATGTTGTAAACAAAATCTTTATCATCCAATTTTTTTTTGAAGAGGATATCTTTAACCTTTTATAACTTTGAGAACCATATTCTGGAACAGAGTTTATAACAAGATACTTATTTGATGAATCAAAATTCAAAACATACGAGTATTGATAGTATTCAAACACACTTCTCTCCATTTCTTGTAATGTAAATAATCAAAAGTAGTGAGATTTCACCAAAGAAGAATCAAACTCTTGACACTGAGATGGATGGTGTTTCAAGACATGAACAGAGCCTTGCATTTTGCCATTGTGTCATCTGGACTCGTAACTGCAACAACAGAAATAATCCTACTTGTCATGAATATATCTCCCAACACAAACATACAGAGACTAAACGATAATATATCCAAGTAACTGACCTGAATGGCCAATTGTTTTTGGTGATTCATAGATTTCATAATCGTTTCCACCCTGCAGAAGGTGAAAGCCATGTTTTTACCCATCAAGCTAAACAGAAACCATATAACAACTCTAATGAATAGATTTGGAGAGTTGAGATATACCTCATAGGTCTTGTCACCGAAGAAATGGATTTCATTGAAGTCCTCGAGATATTGCAAGCAGTAAGTCTTATCCCAACCTTTAGGGAATACCTAAGCCATAACAGTTTAATTAGACTCAGTAACTCAAAAAATTGGATTTAAGAAATTGTTATAATCCACATTTTGGTTCTACTCACATCGAAGCTTATCTGTCCTCCAATTGAGAAAGTAAGGTTAAGATGTGCAAACCGCTCACGAAGTTCAGCTACCATCTTTGGTCGGATGTTTTGAACCTTTTAAACAGAATGTTGAATGACCATGCTCAAGATATATTCTAAAGAAACTGAACAAACTCAATATAGTTTCTTTTACCTTATCATATCTCTCAAATTCATCTCTTTCTTCTTGGCTGCAGTTGCGACCAATGGGTGATACATTGAGCATTCCATTTCGGAATTCAATAAATGTTCCCCTATGTATACAAATGTCAAGAAAATAAATCATCTTATCACTTTGCAAACATGATTACAGATTAACATGATTAGAGATTAGAAGTTGGATCCACATTGTACCTCTTAATTGGAATATCCAAGTCTGCAATGTAGTGCAGCGTGAAATTTATCAACTCCTGCAACATCAATTTACGCTATCAGAAACTATCTAGTATATACAACATCAATAAAACCACTAAAGCAACTGCTGCTACTACACATGAAGGACAATGATATGAGTTTACCTTGAGTTTATCTTCTCCGAGGTGCAGCTTCAGGCTCTGAGAAAAAGATACAAACTATTAAGAAACAAAAGAAATGATAAAACAATAATGTGGATAAGTAAGTAAAAGCCGTTGTTTCATATGCACCTGAACTCCAATGGATTTCCCATCTTTATGGGCAACAAGACCATTCTCAGAGAAACAATAATCATAGTCGTTTGTGACTGCAAATTTTACAAATTCAAAAGTTTTAGCCAAACAGCTGGAGAATCACAAGGCAAGAAACTTAGAGCTAGATCTAAAACTCCCTCTTAAGAAAATCAGATGAAATCTAAGACTTAAGAAAATCACACTCCATAATTTGAACTCAACGAACTTAATGATCAGCAGCTATCCCAAATTCCAAATCTACAGACTTTATTCTGTATCCATGTTGTTGATGGATCTAGTCAAAGATATAAAGCAGAGAAAATCTATGTAGTTTGTCTCCACTTTTAAAGGATCCATATAGTAGAGAACAGAGAAAAAGAGACCATTCTCTTTGAATACCAAATCGAAAATTCTACCACAGATTATAGTTATTCCGATCCGATCACAGTCGTACCTGTTTTCCCAAGCTGCTCAGATATCTTGCTTAGATCAGATCCACCAACGACTCCAATAGTGACGACCTGCAACTCTCACAGACATTATATCGAACACTAACTAGGCATAAACACAACTCTAAGAAACGGAACCTAGCAACGCTGGATCAATGACAAACCTTGCGCAATTCTCGGATAAAATCAAGCAATTCTGGAGTAGCTTCCTTCCTTGGAGCTGTGAGAGTACCGTCGACGTCGAACAAAGCGATCACTCCGGGTTTTTTCGCCGCCATTGAATCCGGTGGTAGGGAAGGAAATGGATGAAGAGTTTTCAAATTAGAAGATGATAGTGGCGGAACATGTGATTATATAAATCGGACCGATCTAATCTAATCGTAACCAAAGAGTGTCGCTTAAACTATGGTCCTCACTTTTTGTCCTAGAGATCAGTGATTGGTTGATAAAATAATCGTGACGCATCAAATTATTCTTTTCTAACATTCCTTATTTATGTTATTTTCTTTTTCTTATTGAATTCCTAAATTCTAAAATTTGAGAAGTGTTTTTTTTTTCCCCTTTCTTTCAAAGGTAACTGATGCTAAAATATTATGTAGTTTTTGGATTAAATTAGTATCTACTATCTAACAATATTAATGTAAATTTACTTGGATTAAAAACATGTACATTTATGAAGAAGACGAACCATTCCATTTTTAGTTTCTCTAATCGTTAAATACTTTGGACGTTGACCCAAAAACATGGAATGGTATTTAAGGGGAAAAGTATTGACTATTGAGGCCGAAACCAATTATTTATGAAGAAGCAATTTGGGCCATTACTATAAATGGGCCTATAGAACTTCCAATGGGCTAACACGGAAAGATGTTATACGGAGCCGTGTTCATGTGCCATTCAATTTTTGCGCTTACAATGTTCTCTTATTAATCTTTGCTGATTCCTTCAAAATCAATACAACATTAACAATATACAAAATAGTTGTGAAATACAAGCAGTTTCTCTGACTCGTTACACTCTTGTGTAAGTCATCACTCTCACTGTGCCAACGAGCTTTGTCACATCATTAAAAATCAAAACTTGCATCCCTTGCAGAAAGCTTGACGACCTAAGATCTCCAAGAAACTAAGGAATGCTTCCATCTGCATCTTCGGCGAAAACACTGGGAATGTTTCCACTTGGCTCTGGCCTGTTGAAGATGATAGCTTTTTCAAAAAGACGAGGTTTTATGGTTTAGGAGAATATAGCATTCACAAAAGCCTCCGGATCAAAAGGTTGGAGATCTTCTACAGCTTCTCCTACTCCGATAAACTTTACGGGAATGCCCAATTCCTCAACCACACTGACCTGCAAGACATGGAGAACCAGTTTCAAAGACAGAGCTAATGGAAAATAAGAGCTTTAGGTGAGAAATGAGATCAAAACTTTATGGGGGTATTTACCACACAACCTCCTCTAGCAGAGCCATCTAGTTTCGTCAATATCAAACCAGTAATACCAACAACCTGATAAAAATGTGACCCAGAAATCTCAAGATTTTACGAAGAATTTCTAGTTTTGGGAGCCAGAAACACTAGGTTTAGGTGGTTTCGTATGGTACCTCGTTGAATTCTCTAGCTTGCGGAAGCATGTTCAAACCAGTGTTTCCATCAAGGACAAGTAGGATCTCCTAACAATTCCGTGAATATTATTTTTAGCTAACGAATGATCAAAATTGGAGACGGCCAGGATGTAATAACATAAGCAAGATAACACAATGGGATAAGTAAAAAGGCTCACTCACATTAGGTGCACCAGAGACAATCTTGCCCACTGCTTTTTTGCACGCAATCAACTCCTCCATCAAACTGTAATTAGTATGAAGACCTTACATAAAGAGGTGTATGTTCCTCAGATCAGTACAAACAGTACATAAGCATGTTCTTAAGTCAGCTAGCAAACTCTTGTATGCTTACGTCCAGATGTGTCACACAGTACAACATCATAGCCTTCCTCCTTCCCCCTTTTAACAGCCTTTGAGAGAACTATTCAGAAACAGAAAGAAAATGTTTAGATAGCGAGCTCAAGTTGCACCCAACACTGATACTGGCAAGCCAAAGTAACAACGCACTGGTTTTACCTGTTGCTGCTTTAGCCTTCTCTCCTTCGGCCACAACAATCTCACACCCAGTCCTCTCTGCCCAAATCTCTAACTGGTCACTTGCTGCTGCTCTAAATGTATCACCTGCTGCCATTAATACCTATGACAAATCATCGCAGGATTGCTGATGAACATACTGATACTCAATTCTATTTCTACCTATCCTGGCAAAATTTCGCATCACCTATTTGAGAAACCACTTTCTAATATCCCATCCAAAATCTCAAGAGAAGAACAAAAAGGGTCTATTCTACATTGATACCAAACATGAAAGGTGTACCTTAGTTCCTTCATTCTTCAATCTATGAGCCAACTTTCCTGAAAAACAAAAGCCAACTCTTCACATAAGATCTTTCTGCGGCTAACCCAATGCAAACCAAGCTAGTCTTTTGAGTTTCCACTCTAAAAAATTAATGCCTAATTCCTTACCAAGAGATGTCGTCTTCCCACCTCCGTTGACTCCAACAATCATTATAACAGCTGGTTTCCTGATACACCATAACATATAACCAGACTTAAACCACAATGTTTCATAATTCCACTTCAACAGAATAACAAGTAACAGAGCAAAAAGAAGAGAACCTAAAACCCAATTGAAGCTCTGTCTTGCTGTTTTTCTTAGCGAGCATCTCCAACACACTTCCCTTCAATGCATCCTACACCATTCTCATTTCGGATCAACTATCTATAAAGTATGGAGCCTAATTCCTTAAATGTACTGATGTACCTTAATCTCGCTTCCTGATTTGAGTTTCCCTGACATTATATCCTCTCTTAGCCTCTCAACAATTCTAACAGTAATCTTCGGTCCAAAATCAGAAACCAATAGCGCCTGCATTGAAAGTTTTCACATTTAGATTTCAGGAAGACTCCATTTGCATCTGAAACCAAGAGAATCGACAAATGATACGAATTAAGAGAGTTAAAAAAACCTCTTCCAATTCATCGAGAACTCGGTCTGTTTCAGAAAGATTCCAGAAGAGTAAGAGCTCGTCGATGACTGCTAGATTTTCCCTAGTCTTAGAGAATCCGGAGAAAACCTTCTCAACGTCGCTTTTGGCCTTCTCCTTAATCAACCGACCCAGCCGCGTGAAGAATCCGCTCGGTCCGGCCGAGCACCGGAACCGGGTCATTGGTGGACGAAATTCTCCTCTGTGTGGGGATAATACGATCCGTTCGGAGGAGAACGGAGACATACGTCCGGCGAGAAACGAGAGGTGAGCAGAAGAAGTTGCCATGGCTCCGTCGCAATCAAGAGAAAACTGTCTTAGTGGATATAATGCTTTTCAATACGCTGCGTTTTGAGTATACGTTTTGCGTTTTGCGTTTTACGTTCTGCGTTTTGCGTTTTGCGTTTTGCGTTTTGCGTTTTGCGTTTTGCGTTTTGCGTTTTGCGTTTTGCGTTTTGCGTTTTGCGTTTTGCGTTTTGCGTTTTGCGTTTTGCGTTTTGCGTTTTGCGTTTTGCGTTGTTTCTCAATAATGTATGTTGGAGCTGTCTGACCGACTGGTTTAATTAGCCCATTTGTGATTATTCAAAAATGATGGAACTTAAGGAAATCGTTACCATATATTTTACACAGAGAAATTTTTAGTGTTTGAACTTGATCTTACATAACAAAAGTTTACAAGCCGGAAAACCTTGATTAGTTATATACATCTTGTACTTCGCCCTAAACGCTAAGTAATGTGGCCATTACATTATTTAGCGTTGCCACATTAGTCATTTGATCTAGAAGACAAGTTTTATTAAGTTATGTTAGGAAATTTGTGACAGACAATAGTTATCCAAAAGTTATCATCTGTTTATACTAATTTCTCTTTCAAAGATGGGTTTGTACAGTCTACTACTACTAAAATGTATCTTACTTAAACCGATTTTCAAAGAGATTGGAATTTTAACCCCTATTAATTAAGCTTACACCGAAACCTTGAGAGAGCACTCAAACCTTGATAGTAAGCACATCCAAAACTTGTTAATTAGCTAGGCCGGTAAATGGTATGTCAACTTGAGCAAACATGATATAAGAGAATGAAATCATAAGATTAATACTTAATTAAACGAGTACAATCATTCAACTAGCAATCACATCAACATACCATTGCAACCACAAACCTATCTGTTGTTAACAAGAAGGCAGCAGTGGTAAAAGCAAATATATAATTTCACTCATTGATGGCGCCATTAAGCCTTGGTACAAGTATGAATAATCCTATCTTTGATTTCTTTTTCTTTTGCCTCTATTTCCCGTTTATTTTATCAAATGTCCATAGAACCACTTTAATTTAAGACTCGATGCAAAGCATGTAAACAAAGTCCAACAACTTCTTATCACACGTGATCCAATTTAACTCAAAATGCAGTTGTGGAAACTTGGCGAATACTACTTTTGACAATTTATATATACTTTGTTGTTGCCTTTTGTTTGCACACAATTTATAGGACTTCGCCTACTTTGTTGCTGAGGACTTTTTTCAAAAAAAAAAAAAAAAAGGTGTTGTTGCCGCGGACGAGTGGATGACCAAAAGTGAGAAGTTACGATAAAATAAGCAGTCTTTTTTTTTTTTTTTTTTTTTTTTTTTTTTTTTTTTTTTTTTTTTTTTTTAACCTTATATTATTAATAAACCCCCAAATGGGCTGGACCTTTGGGCTTACAAAGGAAGTGCAGTTACAAAATAGAGGTCATCGGAAAGTTCACCGGAATCGGAGCCGTGGCTCGGATCTTGCTGTCGACCGGAGGCAGAGAATCAGACGCACCACCTCTGGCGGTTTCAAGGACCACGACTTTGAGGAAGCGTCGAAGGGATGAGGCCAACGATGGAAGAAACCGATTTCCGCCGTCGACTTCACTCCGCCAAGCCACCGTGCCCGCTACAGTCCTCCCAGGATGCGCAACTCACCAACAACCGGCTCTACGGAATCAGATCCCATGCCTAGCAATCCGAAACTCTGGGATCTATCCCCACACTCCAACACCGGAAACCCTAAGAACTCACAGAGCCGAGAAAACTTCGATTCGATTCAGTGGACACCACCGCGGAAGATCTAGAGGACGAAGGCTCAGGCGAACACTCTAGATCTTGGATCCGCAGCAGCCATCAAGATCGCCGGTCTACCGTGAACCACCGAACAACTCAGCGAAACCCACCACGGGACGTCACCGATGAAACCTCCAGCGTCCTCAACCAGAGGCGACAACACCAGAACATCCCACCACCCCACCGGAGCCACCGCAAGATCGACGGAGAAGACACCACACCACCGCTAACGAAGAAGGAAACCGACCCACTACTGCACCTCAAATTACAAGACCGCTGGCTAACGATGAAGCTCTTAAGAGAAACCTAGATCTAGAAACGGATCTGAAAAATTTTGCCTTCGATGAGAGAGAAGAGAGAAAAGCTACAGGAACGATTGGCCTAAAGTTTTTTGGTCTTAAATAAGCAGTCTTTAGGTTTAACTTATCTTTTTTCTCTTATGTTTGGCATTACTTGTCGTTTATTTGTTACACCAACTGCCGAACACATATATACATACAAACGTACGTCATAAATGTGACATAAGCAAAACGATGTCATGAAGGATTAGATCATATGTGGAAAATGTTACAAAGACTATTTGCTGCTCTGTTTTCTTTAGCGAGTACTTGAAATTAAATATGCATGTACTATCACAGTTATATCGTACATACATATGTGTTCCAAAAGAAATTATAAATAAATCACATAATCTTTTTCTTGTGGATTGAGTTTTTCCATCAATTGATCTCTAAATTCAGTGGTATAGACATGACTTTACAATTTACACATATCTTGAAAATTAGTTTAGATTTTGGTTTGACAGTCTCTGATTACAAATGAAAAAAATGGCAGATTATATATTTCGAATCTGATTGAATATTAACTATTTGCTTATATTAATATATTTTCTTATTATTTTTTGCTATTGGTAAGCCATTTTTAAATTCTATCTTTTTTTTTTTTTTTCGTCCCATTTTTAAATTCTATCTTCTTATTAGTAAGCAGCGTAAAAAACTTGGTGACTATGCTTATTTTTATATCTATTCGGTCAAAAATTATAGATTTTTAACTTTTATCTTTAATGATATATAATATATAAAGCGACTAGTATATAACTCCTACATGGTGCGGTTTTATGAATATTTGAATTGGCGTTTTCAAAAACCACACTTACAAGATTCGTAAACCATACCTTGTAAGTTACAATTAGCTGTTTCATTCCCGCTATCCACCAAAAATGGTATAAGAAATAACTAGTAGATATTGACCTAGATTGACTATATATATACTTTAATCAAGTCAACAAGACAACATTGTAGAAAAAGTACGATATAGTTGATATGAGTGCCTAATCCATGTGCCGTGAAATAACGAGGCAAAAAACAACAAATTTCCAGAAACAGGATCTGTAATGATTTAATTTATTCATCACTGCAAGCTAACCCCAACGGTTATCTTGGGTCATATGATTATCTCGCAAAAATATACATAGAAGAGTGGACGATCACATCGTGGCAGTTTTAAACTTTTGTTACATATATGAAAATTTCCACAGCTAATTAATTTAGCTCACGACACGATGCTGACATAGGTAATTATACGTACAATGTATAGGCAGGCATGCATGTGTTTGTTGGCCAAGATTTTCAAGACCTGTTTTTAGTTTTTACCTTTCCCAGCTATTACCTACATCCACTCTTTGAATTTGGATGAATCACGTAACTACGACTACAATGCCAATTTGTATTAATTAACTGTTACGTCAAAAGAATTGATCATTTATATATACACAAATGTGAGAAAGCGGCTCTAGTGTGTTCTCGGACGGTAAGTTGTTCTTCGTGCAAAGCCAACGGCCATTGCAGCTTTTCGTGTTAACGAGAGGGTTTAATTGCTCTCTAAACGTTTTATTATAAGAGCACTTAGTTACATTATACGAGATTAGTTTCTATATAGTCTGTTACATTCTGTGATGAAATTGTTATCGAAATTATTAACTGGCATTGAAATTAGTCGATTATTTTGGTGTAGAAAACAAAACAAGAAAAAAACGCGTCCCGACGACGTTTGGCAAGAATGAACCAAGAAATACCTGAAACTTCGTTCGAATTCTCGCCCCAGTTTCCTTAAAAAACAGGAATAAAATTAAAACAAGTCAATTAAACCGCTTGTGTACGACACGTGCCGTATCAACGACTGCAATGACTTTTCCAAAAGATTACGTTTCTATGTACACAATTGTAGTCCTTAAGTTACCACTTTCATAGTTTTCTTCAAACTAATTAAGTTTCTGATTTTGTGGATGCCTATTATAATATACAAGGAAAAAAGTTTCTAAATTGCACTTGTTGACAAAACTAATTGTATAACAAAAAAGAGATTGGTGAAATTTCTACGGCCTGAGGCTTTTTCTTTCGTTTTCTTTATTCCTTTTTTTGGAAAACCAAAGTATTTGAACAAAACAAATTTAAAAGCGAATTTGTAGAGGACTTTTGTAGTGGAGCCGCGTCTATTCTTTGGAAAATTAATGCTACTGGATAACTTTTAAAAAAATAAACCATTAATAATTCTGACCTAAGGAAAATTAAGTAAATAAATAACTAATATGTAGTGATGTGATGTCATCAAAACAAATTAATAATTTGCAACACGCATCTATGTTCTCAGTTCTCACGCCGCACACCACCGTTGATCATGCCACCGGCCAAAGCATCCAGGAACCATCCGATGGACCACGTCATTATTCCTAACTATTTTAAAACATATCTAATTTATTCCATCCCCTGAGAAAAGCATGGAATAATATTCTATCTAGCAAATCAAATTCAGAATAAGAATAAATTAGATGAAAGCATATATATATACCCATTATAGGATAAATAAATTTAAAATAATACAACGGTCGAATGTGGGGAAATATGTTTTGACACTTTCCCGGAAAAAAAGATAGAACAAAAAAATAGAAAGTGAGTGGAAACAACTACGAAAAAAGGGAGGGTGTTCGTCAGTCAATTTAGCTAAGCTATAAAGTACAAACTCATCTTGTCCAACAAAGTTCACGACACAAAACAATAAGGAATCTCCTGCAAAGAGGATTAGACTTATACATACTCACAGAAACATAAAAACACACCATGTCGTATTCAACAGTGAAACGATCACTGGAGATTGAGGTAATCTCAGCGGAAGGACTCAAGGTAGATCGAAAACCATTGAAGAAGAAAACATACAGCGTCGTGAGAATCGATGAGAAATCTTGGGCTTCCAAATTGGACGAATTAGGAGGGAGTTATCCAATTTGGAAAGATAAATTCGATATGGAAATGCCAATAAACGCAAGTGTAAGGTTTATCTCCATTGAGGTTTATTATCGCACAAGTAGTGGGAGTAACAAAAACGTTGGTTACGCCAAGATTCCGGTGACGGATTTCATGGGAGGTTTTGCTCCACTAGGGCATTTGAATTTCTTGAGTTACAGGTTGAGAGATGAATACGGTGACAAATGTGGAATCGTCAATGTGTCTATCATGGTGAAACCTGACGATAATGATCATAAATCGTCGTCGTTTGCGGTGGCTCCGGTGGATTATGCTGCGTGTTCTTGGCAAGCTACGGCGGCGTCGAATAATCAAATGTGGAGACCGAGGACATCTTCATCAATGGCTTCGACTGCTGGTTATGGCGGTGGTCGTGTAGTCACCGGAGTTCCTGTTTGGTGTGCGTATCAACGGCCGTCTTAATTTTTGTTTTTTATTTTCTCGTATATTATGCATGCACAGATTTATCTTGATATTTTTTTGCCATGTTTTTATTCCAAAAAAAAAAAAACGTTTGATTTATCATGAAATCTGATAAATTTTCGTACTATGAAAAGAATAAATAAATAAAATCCATCTTTAACTTTGGAGTCTTCTTCTGATGATTTAACTCATGCTTAAAAGCTTCAACGATCGTTTTTTTTTCTTGTGACTCCGATTTTGTTATTTGAATCAACATAGAAACAAAAAAAAACTAGCTTTGTTTCAGATTTTTTTTTGTGAAATAATAAGATTAGATTAGTCATGAAACCTCCCATTTCCACTACAATCTTTTAACTATATATATATTTTTGTTCTCAGCTGTCAACAAAAACAATTAGTCGTCTGGTGGTTACCGTGTTTCTAGATCCCCGGGGGAATCCGGGTTCGACACGGGAGACGCGAAGCTGTGAGGAAAACTGCGCATATTGATGGATTTGGGTTCATCACCATCGTCTGATATAAAGACGAGTCAGGTGCGCATCTGAGCTTTGTTTTTTTCTCTTCTCATTTTCTTGTCTTGTTTATTTTCGAAACTAGAAGATATATTTATGTAATAATGAATTATGAAAATGTACCAGAAGAAAAAAAATATATATATGTACCAGAAGTGGATAAATAGTGCTTGAAAAACCATCGTAATTAGCATCCTAATAATAAACTATCATCTTTATTTACCAAATGTTTTTATTATATGACCAATCTAAACACACATTTGTCCTAATTTTTTAACCAAGTCTTGATTCAAGTGAATTTATACTAACTTAATTTTAATAAATTATCAATAATTGTTTTAATCAATTAAGAAGTTGCTTTCTTTATTCTGTTTTATAAAGTGATAAAAACGTTTCTTCAATCATTTTGGTAGAAGTTTGTGGGCGTCTACTACATTCACAATGTGCATATGAAGACAAGTTCTCTCTCTTAGTTGTTGCAAACACTCAAACCACACGGCAAAGCCTCAAATTATTACATAAAAATAATTTCAACATGTAATAACAGTTGTGTAATATAACTATTTACTGACTGCATTTATACAACAAAATACCAGAGAAAGAGAACTCAAGCCCCATCCGGTTGTCTCAAGTTTCCACAGCGATATTAAAGCTAAAACTTTAACAATGGATAGTCATATATCACCGATAAATAAATCTGAATGGAGAAGCTTTGATCATACTGCATCGTTGCCACTTTGTTCACCGGTTTTGAGAATGTTGAATTTGCAGAGAGGGCAAGTGGCGTTAATACGTAGCCATTTGTCTATGCAAGTTTCATGGAAGTGGTGTCTACATGACAGTTCTCTCAGCTCTGTTCCATCTTCATAGTCACAGAGACAAATGCAACATTCCTGAAAGAGAGAAAAGATTCATTTGTTTGTACCAATGATCGTCTCCGGTTTTGGATAATTGATTAGATTTCAGACATGGATGGGTTTAACTTACAGCTTCATCGCTTGATAGCACACGCTCGGTTGGAGAATCAACACCAAATTGAGTCATTATCCCTCCATGAGTTTCTCGTATCTCACCATTCACTTTCTCTGAGTTTCTTACCGTCATAAACTTGAACTTCGGGAGCCTTTCTATCTCCTCATCCGATGCGCCTTCCTGAAACATCAATAAAAGCCCTGTAAACACAATCCATCGAGAACACCGGTCTTGAATAAACGGATATTTGTCTTGACTTTACCCGATCTGCCAAAGCGTACAAAACCGCAATGATGCAAGGCAAACAGCAGCAAACAGCAATACCAATAAGACAAGCGACAGCAACGCAAAGGACTACAAAGATAACATCAAAGGCGAGAAACGCAACACAGAGCCTGCAGACCAGTAACACAAAGTATATGAAACAAGAATCCATCTAAAGCTCAAACAAGGCAGAAGAAAGTTTTCGAAAACAAACCAGTAGAGTTGAGGCGAACTTTGAGCTAGTTCTTCAGAATCAGCAGTGATCCAATAAAACCCAATGATCCACCAAACAAACGAGAAGATTGCATTTGCTGATTCAAGGTGCTTAGCAACACTACAATGAACATTAATTGAATCATCAATGGTTCTTGGGAGATAAAGAAAGGATCAAGCAAGCTTAAAGCTTTACCTAGTTCCAGGTTCAATCTGAGAATCATCTACAATGGCGTAATCATCAGATTCATCTTCACTAGATCCGTGATTAGAGCTTGAACCCGAAACAGAATCTTCGTTGGGAAAATCATCACTTTGTCGTCGATGGCGACGACGATACTCAGCAATTACACATCCAACATGGAACAAACACTGTAAATTGTACCCAATAATCCAGAATCTAAGAGGAACGTCAGGATTCTCATCAGAACTAAACCCTAGAATAGCAATTGTGACGAATACAAAGGCTAGATTCCAGAGCACATCTAAGACTATAACCGGTTTCGAATACGCCCACTCACTTTGTCGCTCCTCAATCTGCTCAGCCGCGTTCTCACGGACTCGAACCGATGACTCACGGAGCATCATCCGGCGACTGCTAGCTCGGCGAAGAAGCCGAGACGCTGCGCCACGTAGCGGTTGCGAAGAACGGGAGAGAGCACGCCGGTTTCGATTTAGAAGCGGCGACGATACATCCGCCGCCGGAGAGGAAGAAGAGGAGGAGACAGGAATCGGCGGTGGATACATTTTTACGGTGTTGGAGCAAACACGATTCAGAATTTGGGATTGGATCTTGAGGAATAATTAGAAAGGGTCGTCGTGGTTGAATTTCACTGGAAATTGGAACGGAGGACGGAGGTTCTTTACATGAGAATGGGATAGTGAAAACGACAGAGGTCGTGTGTGTGCTCCATTAACGTCTCATCAAAGCCTATTAAATTATTATGGGATTGATTGAAGTTAATTATTATTATTTCAAGATTTTTGTGTCAAATTTTCTCAGCTTTGGAAGATCATAAAAATTTAATTCAAATTTAGAAGAGGCAATTTTTTTGATTAAAATTAATTTCTAAAAAAGTTGTTAGGTTTTCGATGGTTAATATTTTTCTTAAGTTGAACTCTATCTTATTGGTTTGATGATGTTTATTGGTTCCACATGTTCAGATAATAAGGAAATACTTGAGATTGATGGAGTACAAACGTAAAAGTATTTGTGGTGCTGCTCGGTGTGAATATGACTAGCCAGGAGGTTCCAGGAGAGGTATGTGGCCATATAATTTAACTATATTTACAATTCAAACTTACTAGAAGAATGTGGAAGAGAAAACAAACGAGAAAGTTCCTCACTGCAATTTACTTCTTGAGGTGTGTTAATTGGCTGGCAGTTTGAATCCCACATGGAAATCATATTTCTCCACTGAATTTCTGTATACATCAGCTACCGTTTTTAACCTTCTATACTGTTAATTTTTGTGCTAAGAGGAACTTATAAGACTCTTAATGATGTATGGAGGGTCTCGACAAGTGGATTTGTTAGATCCTATCATAGATAAGGACAAAGAGGAGATATCAAATTAATACATGGATGTAAGGTTTTGTCTTACTAATCGAAGATATGACCATTGTAATACAAGTTCCTTTAGTGGAGATTTGGTTGTGACAACTAAAGAGACTGTTACCTAGAACATTCATTTGTAATGATATCGGTTTGGCCTTTTGTCGTTTCTTTATAGGTTATCTCTTTATTGACTCCAATTCCAAAGAAGAAGATTAGAAGACCCCAAAGAAGATTGGAAAAATGCAGAAAGAGAAGCTAGCAAGAATGTTTATTATGACATGGTTGATTTATGAATTTTTAGTTCTTTTGTGAGTTTGAAAACATAGAAAAATGACTAAGACTTGGATCTTATGTTGTGTCCAGATGATTGGTGATGAATCATGTCATGGTGTGATTATTATTTTTGTTTGTTCAGTTTATTTCGAATTACAATTTAATTTAGTGAGAAATTAATTTTTTTGAAAGTAACTTACATATTGGTGTGTATTTACGTCTCTTTTAAACTGACGCTAAAATGCAGAAAAGTGACGCGAGTTATTTGACGTTAAATATATAACATAATGTACTAGCTTTCAGAAGAAGTACAGAAACATTAAAGAAGAAGACCAAAACAGAAGGGAAGTTCAAGTTTCTACAAAATCAGAGTGCAAAGCTCCTCACTGTCTGCCGTGGTGCAATTGCCATTGACATAAGCTCTTGAAAGAGCAATTTGCAAGCATATGGAATGGATACCTGAGAAGATTTTAAATGAAATGCCATCAGACAAGCGAGCATGAAAGAGCTAAAGATGAAGAAGATGAACCAGTTACACAACACTTTTATGCTTTGGAAACTTACCTGAACAATATCTGTTTTGTTCTTGCAACCTCTGCATTCAAAAGAATTCTTCTTCAGATTTGCAATGGCGATGAGTCCACAGACTTCACACACATGTACCGTATACGCATCACCCTGATCAAACAGTCTCTCTTTCAAAAAGTGAGCATCACCATGTGCAATCATTCAATCGCATATCTGTTGAACAAACAATTTTTTTTAGTTTAGCTAATTAAGCTTCAACATGTGAGTATGTGAAGCAGTTTCTCACCTTCGTCGAGATAGTAGATGAACGAGATACGCTGTTATGTGTCTGCCAGCGACATTCATTCTTTTGGTAAGATGAGGGAAAGAGTAGCCATCAACCACCGGAACCTAACATGTGAGGCGAAGACGGTTAAGTTCTCTATTATAAGCAATATTCGATCTGAAAATTACAGAGATTTGTAGCTTACCACATGAGTAACACCATCACCAGAATCAATAACCAAACCAGTTAACAAACCTGAAACCAAAAGTTCAACACAGGATGACAAATATCAATGAAGAATGTTTTTTCACAGGTGACTATATAAACACAAGAAAGAAAATCGTAATCTTCAATAATCTCCATAAGCACCTTGAGCATACAGAGTCAAAACGGCTTGGATTGAATGAAAACGCCAGCGAAATTGTATTTCTCAAACATTGTCTCAATCTGTTATACAAAATAAATAAGCTACTACTTGAGCAACCATCAACGCAATTATTCCGTTTCTCTTAACCAAAGACTTGAGAATATCATACCATGCATTTTTTCACGGTTTTTGGAGGGATGAAGAGGTGGATCCGTGAGCAATATCTTACACTCAGATGGATTGATCTGTTAATAACAAAAGGGTTTAAGGATAAGTCAATATCTTTCAATGAGTGAACAGCTCATCAGAATCACAATTTCACATCTGATTTTCTCTTTAATCCTAACATATCTAAGATATCAACAAAACGATTCAGCCAGCGGAATTAAAAGAAATAACAAGAAAGATGTTTAGGCAGCTGCATATGTCTTTAAGAAAGAAGAACCTATTCAAGTTTACACAATGGAGACACACACAGGAAAATCGAAACACACACAATATTCCTCTGTTACACTAGGCTTGAAACAGCAAGCAACCAATGAACCAAACACAGGAAAATCTAAATGGATAAAACAGATGAGACCAAGATACAAAAAGAAAGCTTTTCAAGAGAAGCAGACATTTACCCCAACCTTTCCTTAGAACAGAATCCTCAAAGTAATTAAAATCAATCCGTCTTTCTCCAATTCAAAGAAGACACAATCAATGATGGATAAACATACCCAATTACAGAAATTATCAAAGTATGGTTAGTCTAAGAATCTACTACATTACATTTTTGCGGGTCTAAAGCTATAAGATGAACAAATGCATATATCCATGAGTCTAGGCACTGAAAAAATCACTACACTGGAATCGCAACTCAACATTGGAATCCAATAAGATCCCCAAAAAAATGTTCCAAAGAAGAAAGATTTAAAAGCTCGAATCAATGTGAAGTAAATAATAAAACCAAAATCATCACCACGGATCGAAAAGGATTGACCAATGACCCAGAATCCAAAAGCTTTACTACGTAGAGCTGCCTAAAACCAAAATCATCACTTGTGGATTCCACTAGAACACTCTAAGAATAAGCAGCAAGAACACAAAATCAGAGGTCTTGACACTCAATGCAGTGTCTATCACATGCTTTCTCAACCCATTCTTAATTCTTAGCAACAATAAGACTCAACATAGCAATAGAAGCTCAGAATGAATATGTGAGAGAGCAACCGCAAATCAAATAAGTTACAGAAACCTACCCTTGACACTGCAACATGGTTCCACGATCTCAAGCTTAGCAGCAAATGTTTGCAAATACATACTATCTAAGCCCCTTTTAAGAAATAAAAACATTTAACTTCTTAAGCCTTTCTTCTTTCCTATCTTTCAAAACTGTCACATATAATTCCAAATTTATCAATATACACCCCAACAATTTATTACTCGGAAAAAGGCTTTAGGCCTTTCTATTAATGGGCTTTTAGCGCGAATGTCAAATTTATATTTGGCAACGACGACGTTTCAAAGTCTTGAACCATGTAAGATTATAGAATTAGGGTAAAATCTCCTGTCAAGGTGTTTGCTATTCTCGTCAACACAGTCTCCATTTTGTTCGAATGAAGTTTCATATTTTCAGTTCCACGTCACCATCTCTATCTCTTTTGTCTATCAACTTTAACTAAAATCTTTTAAAAATGTTTATTACTGGCATCAGAGCCGGACCAATGAATTTTGGGGCCCCAATAGAATTAAGAAAAAAAATAACATCATAATTTTCATAATATTAAAAGTTAAAAAGTAAAAATAATCAATTTAAACAAAACTATTATTTTAAAAAATATATTACAATTAAATCCTTTGAAAAAGAAATAATAACTTAAATCTTATGAAAAATAATTTTTTATGGGGTTTTTTTCAAAAATTATTCATCAAAGTTGCTATTTTTTTCTCATATTTACAACAATTTATATATATGTATAATTAAAAATACATTTACGTGGGGCCCCTCTAAAGTGGGGGTCCCTCTAAAATGGGGGCCCCATTGGAATGTTTCATCACCATGTGCTCAAGTCCGGCTCTGCTGGCATGGCATCAAATCGAACTTGGGATCTGTTTCATTACAACGAGAGTATATGAATGGTTTGATTATTTTATTAGTTTTTAACTTTTTATCAATATATATTGTTTTGAAGTTTATTAATTATGTGAAACGCTGATGTTTTTTCTTCTGTTAAAAGCATTGCGTAACTTGCGCTGCCTGTTATAGTACTTTCTTTTGCTTTGTATAATTTTGATAAACTCAATTGATGTTAGAGAAAATTACATAATCATAAATGCATCTGATCAACATTATATATATGGATCTGTAGACTGTAATAATAATAGTAAATTTTCAAATTATTTTCAAGCTATTTGGAGTTATATGTAGGTGTATTTTTTGGGAATAGATAGATAAATAAACATTTCATATACTAAATCAGATATCAATATTGTCACAAACCATAATTCATTCAAGTATAATAAATCAGATATCAATATCACAAACAAATTTTGATATCTCTGCAACTGCAAGCATTGCATTTAATTTATCATAATCAGAAAATGTATCTTCAATCATTGCATTTATTTTATTAGGGATATATCGACCTAAATACACTTTTAGTTTTTATGACTTGTAATGTGTTACTCATTTCATCATAGAATGTCTATGCACAATTAATGTCTATACAAGTATTCATTGCCATTATTCTTTTTTCGGTTTGTTACAGATTATTGAAGTTGTAATGCGTTACAACTTACATAAATTGCCATTGTGTAGAGTAAAAAGTTGAAGGATAAGATTTCAAAACCAACTAGCTACAATTTACTACAGGAAAAAAAAAAAAGAAAGATAATAAATAAAAAGATAATTATACACTACTAGGCACTAGCTAGACAATGAAGAATATCACTAAAACCAGAAAAGAAAGAGGAGACAATGAAAAGTACAAGAGGATGTTGACATTTGACGAAAAAGTAACCAATATGTTTTATGGATGACATACATTTTGTACTAGTGTTGCATTTTGATGGTTCTAACCTTTAAAAAAACCTATTTGATTGAACTTTCAATGTAATATTATCGTTCTTTTACTTTATGCTAAATTTTCCCATCATGCGTATTAGTCATGATGCATAAAACATGAAAAATTCGGAATGTGTTTATATTTTTTTCAAATGGTAGTCGTAGAAAGGCTTTTTTGGTCGTCGTCAATCGCTCTTCACAAAGATGTGAACTTCAAATTTGCATTTTCCATCTTTCTACTTTTTTGGTTCTAAAGGAGGGATTTATAAAAAGATTTGATTTTTGTTTTGGTTTCAAAATTTGCCGATCATTTCTAGAGCGTTTGCTTCGTGTTTTGAAATTTAGGATCATGAATTTTTGATAGTTTCTATGGAAGTGTGTGTTCAGTTGATGAATTTTTGTTGGCTCTCTTGTAGCTTCATGGAAAAACATTTGGCGGTCTCCCATTTCATTTTGGCTCAAGATACTACTCCAATGCACTCCCTCTCACAAGGCAATGGGCTCAATATCAACAAGCCAAAACTGGAGCGATCTTTCTTAAGGGCATACGTGATACCCCAGCGGAAACCCAAACCCAGGCGACCTACCAAAATTCCACCCACTGATCAAGGTAGCAATCTGGTAAGATGAACAGCACTCGGGTACACCTGTTTTGCATACAGAAAATCATCAATTTCTGGTCAAATATATATATAGTTTCTTCTCTAGAGAGCTATTAATTTATACATACCCCTGAACTTTTCTGATTCTTCTTCAGTCATGACTGCCTGAAAGCCATGGTAAGTGGTTGTGCTACAAAATTTACTTAAAACATAAAGGTTTTGGCTAAACTGAAATTTTAAATTTTAATTTGATTTTTTTTACCAAATTTTTTTAGAAAGTAATCGATTTGATATTTAATTGATCCACGTGATTGAAACAAATTATAAATTTTTCTTTTAGCTATAACATTACGATGTAATTAACAACATTATGGAAACAAAATCATCATTGTTGAAAGCCCATCTTGTGGACCTGAATATGATATTTACCTCATGTGAAAATTCTGTAGTTAAGTTACTATAACATGCCCACAGTTTTTGTTTTCTTCTAGCCCATAAAATTGTTCCGATGGTTCGGTATTGGCCCACTAATTAAAAGATAAAAATAAATAGGATACAGTGATACACACAAAATTAACTTTTCAACGACATACACACAATAATTACTTTTCAAGGCCTTTCACAAGAAAATTCCGGTTTAGTTTAAGTTCGGTTTAAACTTACCAGTTAAACCACGCTCGTAGATCGTGTCATCAACTTCAGGTAATGGTGTCAAACAAGCATAACAACTTTTTTTTTTTTTCGTCTGAATAATTCATGAAATATAACCAAGGGAGAAATACAAAGTTGAGATACATGGTGAAATACTAACGCCGGCGGGACTCTAACCCCCGGAAAACTAAGCCGGCGGGTACATGGAAACCCCCAGAGACAAAGGCCAAAAAAGGCAGACATAAAAGAAGGAAAACCTTAAAGTACAGGGAAATGCTAATATCTAAAACTCAAGCAACACAACTGCAAACTCTTCACGAAAAGAATCCGATAAACATTTCCATAGAACATTTTGGGCGCTGGAAAGTGGTTACAAACAGGAGCAACGAGAGGACCCATCATTAGATTGCCTTTACATGAAAGGCCCGAGAAGGATACAAAACCAAGCTCACACAACCACTCCCCGAGCAGAAACGAGCACAGATAAAAGAGGATCAGAGCACAGATCCTAACCATCACTACCACACCAGAAACCAGAGAAGACAAGCAGGAGAAGGGACAAGGAGAAGCCTTGAGATCCGAAGGGGAAAACGCCAAAGAGGGCCAACAAACCTTACACGCGGACATTCGTAGACCCAGCCAAAACCATCTACAGCCTAAGAACTGGTTACGCCACGCAAGAGAAGGAATAGAGACCGAGCCTACCACATCGTCTTGAACTCAAACCTTAATTCCAAACAAGGAAAAGGAAGAGAGCTAGTAGATGCCTTTGCAGGAGACTACCATCCAAATGAAGAACCCACAAAACGAAACCTTCACAAACTCATAACCCCAATAACCGGGCAGAAAGTAACAGGAGGCAGAACTAGGAGTCAATATTGCCATCCCTAAACTTGAAACTAAGGCTTCTACCCTCAACCAACCAAACTACTAACCAATCCTTGTCGAGAA